AGCACTGTGCTATTATATGTCTCAATTCTCGTTATTCTTTGGTGGATACGGAGGTATTGTTGGATGAACGTTGTCTTGTTGCATCTGTCGTAGATGCCTCAAGCAATGTTTTGTGCAAAGTGGCCAACGTCTATGGTCCAGCGCAGTCTTCTGACCGTCCTTCATTTATCTCTGATTTTCTCTCTCTTTCTGTTTGGTCTGATGTGTTCAACACACCTTGGATGGTTATGGGTGATTTCAACATTCACTTGCACTCTTTGTCTACTTCTCGTCAAGCCGATGTCGCTCCTTTTGTTCACTGGTTGCGTACTCACTTTGTCAATTGTCATCCGGATGGTTTAGCCACGTTTCCAAAGAGCAATACTTGTATTGATTACATCTTTGGTCACTCTTCTCTTGCTCCTCGTTTGACTAATAGTCAGTTACTATATATGCCTAGTAGGTGGACGGATCACTCTCTTTTGACTGTTGAAATGTTACCTGCGACAGCTAGTATTGGTCCTGGTAGTTGGCGGTTCAATCCAACTCTGCTTGATGATAAGGAATTTGTTGCGTTGTTGAATGCCACGGTGTCATTGTTCTTCTCTGGTGCTGTTGGTGGTGGGTCTAAGGGTGTCAATACTAGTCAAGGTAGTAGTGGTGACTCTGAAAGCACGGTGGCTAGATGGGAATCCTTCAAGTTGTTACTAAAGTGCTGTGCACAAAAGTACACTAGAAGCATGAAAGCACGATTCAAGAACAAAGTTTTTACGCTTCAACTGGAACGTATTAGGGCTCTGTCGACGTCTGTATCGGGTGTTGAGACTAGGAATGCTATTGGTCAAACTGATAGAGTGTCTACTGCTTCAGGTGATGCTGAACAGCAGGTCAGGCAACTAGAAGTTTTGATTGAGGATCAGATACAGAAAGAGACTAGTCAGAATATGCTTCGCTCTGCCACTCGTTGGTTAGAACAGGGAGAACGTAGCAACAAGTATTTCTATCGTTCGATCAAGGTGCGAGAGTCTCAACAGACAATTCAATCCTTAAAGTGCTCTACTACTGGGGATATCTTGGTGGAAGCAGCAGCTATCAACAGGGAGGCACAAGGTTTTTATCAAAGGCTATATACCCCTGATGCTGTCGATGCTGAAGCTATCGATACTCTCCTGGGGAATGTTCCAACTGATGTACGTCTATCATCTTTGGATGGTGATATGCTAATGGAACTTCCAACTCGCGATGTTTTGTTGTCTCTGCTCACTCATGCTCCCAAGTCTAAAAGTCCTGGTCTTGACGGTTTGCCTTTTGAATTGTATCAATATCTTGCTGGTGTTTCTACTGATTTTCTTGACTTGCTTGTGGATGTGTTGGGTGCAGCTTTTTCTGGTGTGTTTCCTCCTTCGTGGCAACAAACTCGTATGGTCTTATTGTTCAAGAAGGGTGACCCTCAGTTGTTGGTTAACTGGAGACCTTTGTCCTTAATTAACAGTGATGCCAAGTTATTTACAAAGCTCATTGCTAATCGTATGAACAAAGTGTTGCCAAAGTTAATCAACCCTTATCAAACTGGTTTTCTCCCTCATCGTCTGATCTCTGACAATGGCTGGTTAAATCAGTTGTTGATGTCTCACTTGCGTGTTGTTGCTCCTGATTTACCTCAAGTGGCTGTTTTGTTGGATCAAGAGAAGGCGTATGATCGGGTTCATCCTGAATATCTTTGTCGTGTGTTGCTCCGGTTTGGTTTTCCTGGTGAGTTGGTGTCTTGTCTGTCTTCTTTGTTCTTTGGAACCAAGATTTCAGTGTCTATCAATGGTTGGCTTGGTGCTCCTGTACCTCAATTGCGAGGTCTTCGTCAAGGTGATCCTCTGTCTCCATTGCTATTCAATCTGGCATTTGAGCCTTTGCTTCGTTCTCTCCTTGCTTGTCCTGGTCTTTCTGGTGTTACTCTGTCTCCTGTTAATATCCCACGTAAATGGAAGCCTTCACCGGTTGAAGTTCGTGTGGATCATGGTACTGGTTCCCGGAATTGGACTTTGGACTTTGTCAGTGGCTCTGTTGCTCCTCCTCCTGTCAAGATTCTAAGCTATGCGGATGATCTTGAGGTGTTTTTGTCTTCGCCAGAAGAGTGGTCTGTGTTGTTGTCTGTTCTTGATCTGTATGGCCGAGCATCTAATGCGAAAGTCAATATCAGCAAGACAGTGTTGGTGTCGTTGTCTGGTGTGTCCCACTCTGCTTGGGTTGCTTTGGCTGATTCTACTGGTCTCCAGTGGCATGACGCTCACTCTCGTGGTGCAGTACGTTACTTGGGTTATCCCTTGTATCATACTGAAAGTCAACTTCAAGACTATCTTGATGGTGTCTTGGTGAAGGTCCAGCGACACAGTAACTTGTTGAAACAAAGGAATCTCTCCATTAGGGGAGCAGGACTAGTGGCTAACTCGTTACTGTTGTCAAAGGTATATCATTTGTTGCGTGTTGTTCCTGGTGGTGCTACTACTGCGTCGTGGTTGAAGTCTCTCACTACGGTGGTCCGTGAGTATCTGGTGTCCTTTCGCCCTGGTGTTGCTTGGTCTACTTTGTGTCTCCCCCGCAAGTTTGGTGGTGTTGGTCTCGTGGATATAGCAGATCAAAGCTTAGCTTTGCATCTTGTCTATTTGCAACGTTTGTTGCGTCCACCCTCTCCCAGTGATTTTGTCTCCTCTTGGTTGGTGTATGCTTTTCAAGTTTACACTGGTCATAAGTCCATCTTGCCGTGGTTTTGTTTTCCTGGTCTTTACCAGTCTCGTGTGTCTTCTGTGCCTGCTCTAACACATCTTGGAAAGCTTCTGTTGAGATTGCCAAAGCTAGTTCCTTCCTCTGGTTGGTCTGCTAGGTGGTTTCTTGATCTTCCCTTGTGTTCTGTACTCAGTACTGTGCCTTCTGTTCGTCCTCCTCGTGATCCATCATCTCTTGATCCTCGTTTCTTGGTGTCGGATGTCTCTTTCTGGCAACCTGATCTAGGTATAGTTGATGGTGTCACCTCTCATCTTGCTTGGTCATCTCGTGTTTTGCGCCCTGTTTTTCTTGCCTTGAACCGTGATCGTGGTCCTGTCTCTCTGGTATTCCCGCCTGTCATGGATAGTAAGATAGTCTTGTCTCAAGCAGACTATTTTGCTATGCCCCGTTCTGATGGTGCTACCTCTTGGATGCCAGATTGTACACATTGGACTGTCTCCAACTCGTCTCGTTCTGCTGCTCCGGTTGCTCGTCTCTCTCTTGGTGCTTTGCGAAGGTATTGGCACCCTGCAAAGGGTACCATTACCTCTCGTATGGGTCCTCCCTTGAAGTTGCCTGCCCATTTGTTGCTGTCTCCTGCTTTGTGGCGTCTTTTCTGGTCCCTGGAAATGCCTGCAAAGGCTTTCACACCTTGGTGGCGATTGCTACATGACCGTGTCCCGCACCGCTCGTGGTGTCATAAGATTATGCCTACAAAAGTTCTGTCTCCTGCTTGTGCTCTTTGTGGTTTTGCTACAGAGGACCTTTACCATTTCGTGGTGGGTTGCCATGTCAAGTCATTTTTCTGGCAGGATGTAGTCTCTTTGTTGTCACTTCAAGAGCTACTCCCCTCTGCTTCTTCTATTTGGTTGGCGCTGACTACCTTTTGTAGTGGTTCGGATTTGTTGGTGATCGATGAGGATGTTCTGATTGCTCTTGGTGCTGCTTACAGTACACTTTGGAAGTATCATTGGCGATGCGTCATAGACGAGGAGCCTTGGATAGCTTCTGCTGCTATCAACATGGTCCGTCAAGACCATAGTACACTCTTTTCTTCTCTTTCTTTGGCAAGTGTTCAAGCTGGCACCTTGGCCTTGCCTGTAATTACTGTATAGATTATAAATTTAAAGCTAATAAAGATACACTTTAATACAAAAAAAAAAAAAACACGGAGATAGTCTCCATTGCTATTCAATCTGGCATTTGAGCCTTTGCTTCGTACTCTCCTTGCTTGTCCTGGTCTTTCTGGTGTTACTCTGTCTCCTGTTAATATCCCACGTAAATGGAAGCCTTCACCGGTTGAAGTTCGTGTGGATCATGGTACTGGTTCCCGGAATTGGACTTTGGACTTTGTCAGTGGCTCTGTTGCTCCTCCTCCTGTCAAGATTCTAAGCTATGCGGATGATCTTGAGGTGTTTTTGTCTTCGCCAGAAGAGTGGTCTGTGTTGTTGTCTGTTCTTGATCTGTATGGCCGAGCATCTAATGCGAAAGTCAATATCAGCAAGACAGTGTTGGTGTCGTTGTCTGGTGTGTCCCACTCTGCTTGGGTTGCTTTGGCTGATTCTACTGGTCTCCAGTGGCATGACGCTCACTCTCGTGGTGCAGTACGTTACTTGGGTTATCCCTTGTATCATACTGAAAGTCAACTTCAAGACTATCTTGATGGTGTCTTGGTGAAGGTCCAGCGACACAGTAACTTGTTGAAACAAAGGAATCTCTCCATTAGGGGAGCAGGACTAGTGGCTAACTCGTTACTGTTGTCAAAGGTATATCATTTGTTGCGTGTTGTTCCTGGTGGTGCTACTACTGCGTCGTGGTTGAAGTCTCTCACTACGGTGGTCCGTGAGTATCTGGTGTCCTTTCGCCCTGGTGTTGCTTGGTCTACTTTGTGTCTCCCCCGCAAGTTTGGTGGTGTTGGTCTCGTGGATATAGCAGATCAAAGCTTAGCTTTGCATCTTGTCTATTTGCAACGTTTGTTGCGTCCACCCTCTCCCAGTGATTTTGTCTCCTCTTGGTTGGTGTATGCCTTTCAAGTTTACACTGGTCATAAGTCCATCTTGCCGTGGTTTTGTTTTCCTGGTCTTTACCAGTCTCGTGTGTCTTCTGTGCCTGTTCTAACACATCTTGGAAAGCTTCTGTTGAGATTGCCAAAGTTAGTTCCTTCCTCTGGTTGGTCTGCTAGGTGGTTTCTTGATCTTCCCTTGTGTTCTGTACTCAGTACTGTGCCTTCTGTTCGTCCTCCTCGTGATCCATCATCTCTTGATCCTCGTTTCTTGGTGTCGGATGTCTCTTTCTGGCAACCTGATCTAGGTATAGTTGATGGTGTCACCTCTCATCTTGCTTGGTCATCTCGTGTTTTGCGCCCTGTTTTTCTTGCCTTGAACCGTGATCGTGGTCCTGTCTCTCTGGTATTCCCGCCTGTCATGGATAGTAAGATAGTCTTGTCTCAAGCAGACTATTTTGCTATGCCCCGTTCTGATGGTGCTACCTCTTGGATGCCAGATTGTACACATTGGACTGTCTCCAACTCGTCTCGTTCTGCTGCTCCGGTTGCTCGTCTCTCTCTTGGTGCTTTGCGAAGGTATTGGCACCCTGCAAAGGGTACCATTACCTCTCGTATGGGTCCTCCCTTGAAGTTGCCTGCCCATTTGTTGCTGTCTCCTGCTTTGTGGCGTCTTTTCTGGTCCCTGGAAATGCCTGCAAAGGCTTTCACACCTTGGTGGCGATTGCTACATGACCGTGTCCCGCACCGCTCGTGGTGTCATAAGATTATGCCTACAAAAGTTCTGTCTCCTGCTTGTGCTCTTTGTGGTTTTGCTACAGATGACCTTTACCATTTCGTGGTGGGTTGCCATGTCAAGTCATTTTTCTGGCAGGATGTAGTCTCTTTGTTGTCACTTCAAGAGCTACTCCCCTCTGCTTCTTCTATTTGGTTGGCGCTGACTACCTTTTGTAGTGGTTCGGATTTGTTGGTGATCGATGAGGATGTTCTGATTGCTCTTGGTGCTGCTTACAGTACACTTTGGAAGTATCATTGGCGATGCGTCATAGACGAGGAGCCTTGGATAGCTTCTGCTGCTATCAACATGGTCCGTCAAGACCATAGTACACTCTTTTCTTCTCTTTCTTTGGCAAGTGTTCAAGCTGGCACCTTGGCCTTGCCTGTAATTACTGTATAGATTATAAATTTAAAGCTAATAAAGATACACTTTAATACAAAAAAAAAAAAAAAATACACGGAGATGATGCTATGGAAGAAGATGATGAGATCGTGCTTGCTGGTAGTGGTGTCAAGAAGCTTCCTGATGTGCGTGGCTCTGCATTCTCGAAATACGCTTCTAATGAGGTGGCTCTTACTATGAATGTTGACTCTCCAGAGGAGATGATGGGTTTGTCTAAGCTCAAGGAGGCCTCTCAGAGAAAGCGAATGGAATTGAACGCCAATTTGAAGGCTGTGAATGGTGCTGGTGTTGCTTCTGGTACTGGTGTTGGTGTTCTTGGTAACAAGTCTGCTGGTGCTGTTGGTGTCAAGAATAGCAAGAACAATGGCAAATTGCCTCTCAAGGCTAAGCAAGACTCCCGTAGGGCTCAATGAGTACAAAATTAGGCATCAAGATTGGCTCCTTGAACACGCGTAGCTTGTTCATGCAGTCTAATCCTACAAATTTCAAAGAGTTTTCATCTTATCTTCGCTCCTCCTCTCTCCATCTGGATATCCTTTGCTTGCAAGAGGTATCTCATTTCCGCTCTCAATCTACTCTCACTGAATCTCAAGTCCGTTCCTTTTCTTTTGCTTTTCCTAATTGTTCTCTCGTTGTGTCCAAGCATTGTGCTATTATATGTCTTAATTCTCGTTTTTCTCTAGTGGATACGGAGTTATTGTTGGATGAACGTTGTCTTGTTGCATCTGTCGTAGATGCCTCAAGCAATGTTTTGTGCAAAGTGGCCAACATCTATGGTCCAGCGCAGTCTTCTGACCGTCCTTCATTTATCTCTGATTTTCTCTCTCTTTCTGTTTGGTCTGATGTGTTCAACACACCTTGGATGGTTATGGGTGATTTTAACATTCACTTGCACTCTTTGTCTACTTCTCGTCAAGCCGATGTCGCTCCTTTTGTTCACTGGTTGCGTACTCACTTTGTCAATTGTCATCCGGATGGTCTAGCCACGTTTCCAAAGAGCAATACTTGTATTGATTACATCTTTGGTCACTCTTCTCTTGCTCCTCGTTTGACTAATAGTCAGTTACTATATATGCCTAGTAGGTGGACGGATCACTCTCTTTTGACTGTTGAAATGTTACCTGCGACAGCTAGTATTGGTCCTGGTAGTTGGCGGTTCAATCCAACTCTGCTTGATGACAAGGAATTTGTTGCGTTGTTGAATGCCACGGTGTCATTGTTCTTCTCTGGTGCTGTTGGTGGTGGGTCTAAGGGTGTCAATACTAGTCAAGGTAGTAGTGGTGATTCTGAAAGCATGGTGGCTAGATGGGAATCCTTCAAGTTGTTACTAAAGTGCTGTGCACAAAAGTACACTAGAAGCATGAAAGCACGATTCAAGAACAAAGTTTTTACGCTTCAACTGGAACGTATTAGGGCTCTGTCAACGTCTGTATCAGGTGTTGAGACTAGGAATGCTATTGATCAAACTGACAGAGTGTCTACTGCTTCAGGTGATGCTGAGCAGCAGGTCAGGCAACTAGAAGTTTTGATTGAGAATCAGATACAGAAAGAGACTAGTCAGAATATGCTTCGCTCTGCCACTCGTTGGTTAGAACAGGGAGAACGTAGCAACAAGTATTTCTATCGTTCGATCAAGGTGCGAGAGTCTCAACAGACAATTCAATCCTTAAAGTGCTCTACTACTGGAGATATCATGGTGGAAGCAGCAGCTATCAACAGGGAGGCACAAGGTTTTTACCAAAGGCTATATACCCCTGATGCTGTCGATGCTGAAGCTATCGATACTCTCCTGGGGAATGTTCCAACTGATGTACGTCTATCATCTTTGGATGGTGATATGCTAATGGAACTTCCAACTCGTGATGTTTTGTTGTCTCTGCTCACTCATGCTCCCAAGTCTAAAAGTCCTGGTCTTGACGGTTTGCCTTTTGAATTGTATCAATATCTTGCTGGTGTTTCTACTGATTTTCTTGACTTGCTTGTGGATGTGTTGGGTGCAGCTTTTTCTGGTGTGTTTCCTCCTTCGTGGCAGCAAACTCGTATGGTACTTTTGTTCAAGAAGGGTGACCCTCAGTTGTTGGTTAACTGGAGACCTTTGTCCTTAATTAACAGTGATGCCAAGTTATTTACAAAGCTCATTGCTAATCGTATAAACAAAGTGTTGCCAAAGTTAATCAACCCTTATCAAACTGGTTTTCTCCCTCATCGTCTGATCTCTGACAATGGCTGGTTAAATCAGTTGTTGATGTCTCACTTGCGTGTTGTTGCTCCTGATTTACCTCAAGTGGCTGTTTTGTTGGATCAAGAGAAGGCGTATGATCGGGTTCACCCTGAGTATCTTTGTCGTGTGTTGCTCCGGTTTGGTTTTCCTGGTGATTTGGTGTCTTGTCTGTCTTCTTTGTTCTTTGGAACCAAGATTTCAGTGTCTATCAATGGTTGGCTTGGTGCTCCTGTGCCTCAATTGCGAGGTCTTTGTCAAGGTGATCCTCTCTCTCCATTGCTATTCAATCTGGCATTTGAGCCTTTGCTTCGTTCTCTTCTTGCTTGTCCTGGTCTCTCTGGTGTTACTCTGTCTCCTGTTGATATCCCACGTAAATGGAAGCCTTCACCGGTTGAAGTTCGTGTGGATCATGGTACTGGTTCCCGGAATTGGACTTTGGACTTTGTCAGTGGCTCTGTTGCTCCTCCTCCTGTCAAGATTCTAAGCTATGCGGATGATCTTGAGGTGTTTTTGTCTTCGCCAGAAGAGTGGTCTGTGTTGTTGTCTGTTCTTGATCTGTATGGCCGAGCATCTAATGCGAAAGTCAATATCAGCAAGACAGTGTTGGTGTCGTTGTCTGGTGTGTCACACTCTGCTTGGGTTGCTTTGGCTGATTCTACTGGTCTCCAGTGGCATGACGCTCACTCTCGTGGTGCAGTACGTTACTTGGGTTATCCCTTGTATCATACTGAAAGTCAACTTCAAGACTATCTTGATGGTGTCTTGGTGAAGGTCCAGCGACACAGTAACTTGTTGAAACAAAGGAATCTCTCCATTAGGGGAGCAGGACTAGTGGCTAACTCGTTACTGTTGTCAAAGGTATATCATTTGTTGCGTGTTGTTCCTGGTGGTGCTACTACTGCGTCGTGGTTGAAGTCGCTCACTACGGTGGTCCGTGAGTATCTGGTGTCTTTTCGCCCTGGTGTTGCCTGGTCTACTTTGTGTCTTCCTCGCAAATTTGGTGGTGTTGGTCTCGTGGATATAGCAGATCAAAGCTTAGCTTTGCATCTTGTCTATTTGCAACGTTTGTTGCGTCCACCCTCTCCCAGTGATTTTGTCTCCTCTTGGTTGGTGTATGCTTTTCAAGTTTACACTGGTCATAAGTCCATCTTGCCGTGGTTTTGTTTTCCTGGTCTTTACCAGTCTCGTGTGTCTTCTGTGCCTGTTCTAACACATCTTGGAAAGCTTCTGTTGAGATTGCCAAAGTTAGTTCCTTCCTCTGGTTGGTCTGCTAGGTGGTTTCTTGATCTTCCCTTGTGTTCTGTACTCAGTACTGTGCCTTCTGTTCGTCCTCCTCGTGATCCATCATCTCTTGATCCTCGTTTCTTGGTGTCGGATGTCTCTTTCTGGCAACCTGATCTAGGTATAGTTGATGGTGTCACCTCTCATCTTGCTTGGTCATCTCGTGTTTTGCGCCCTGTTTTTCTTGCTTTGAACCGTGATCGTGGTCCTGTCTCTCTGGTATTCCCGCCTGTCATGGATAGTAAGATAGTCTTGTCTCAAGCAGACTATTTTACTATGCCCCGTTCTGATGGTGCTACCTCTTGGATGCCAGATTGTACCCATTGGACTGTCTCCAACTCGTCTCGTTCTGCTGCTCCGGTTGCTCGTCTCTCTCTTGGTGCTTTGCGAAGGTATTGGCACCCTGCAAAGGGTACCATTACCTCTCGTATGGGTCCTCCCTTGAAGTTGCCTGCCCATTTGTTGCTGTCTCCTGCTTTGTGGCGTCTTTTCTGGTCCCTGGAAATGCCTGCAAAGGCTTTCACACCTTGGTGGCGATTGCTACATGACCGTGTTCCGCACCATTTGTGGCGCCATAAGATTATGCCTACCAAAGTTCTGTCTCCTGCTTGTGCTCTTTGTGGTTTCTCTACAGAGAACCTGTACCATTTCGTGGTGGGTTGCTACGTCAAGTCATTTTTCTGGCAGGATGTAGTCTCTTTGTTATCACCGCAAGAGCTACTCCCCTCTGCTTCTATTTGGTTGGCGCTGACTACCTTTTGTAGTGGCTCAGATTTGTTGGTGATCGATGAGGATGTTCTGATTGCTCTTGGTGCTGCTTACAGTACACTTTGGAAGTATCATTGACGATGCGTCATAGACGAGGAGCCTTGGGTAGCTTCTGCTGCTATCAACATGGTCCGTCAAGACCATGGTACACTCTTTTCTTCTCTTCCTTTGCCAAGTGTTCAAGCTGACACCGTGGCCTTGCCTGTAATTACTGTATAGACTATAAATTTCAAAGCTAAAAAAGATACACTTTAATACAAAAAAAATGCAATGGAGCCAGGCTCATCGTGAAATCTTTAGGTGTTAGAATAATTGAAGCAACCATTGCCACAGGGCCAAAAGCAGGTGACATTGTGTATATCCCAAGGTTCAGGTTTATTACAGAAGCCAACGATAGAATTCCCTTCGACTTCAGTCGCACCCAGTTTCCTGTGAGATTGGCCTTTGCCATGACTATAAACAAATCGCAAGGCCAAACATTATCTAACGTTGGACTATATCTTCCCTCTCACGTCTTCTCGCATGGTCAGTTGTGCGTCGCAATGTCAAGGATCAGTAAGTCATCGTCGATAAGAATCATGACTGATCCTAATATCTCTGTACTGGAAAACCTACCTGGACACTATACACACAATATAGTATACTCTGAGGTCTTTCAATAAAGTTTTTATACATTTATATCTCAAATCACATCAATTTTTAATTGTCAGGCCGTTAGTCTCATCATTTCTCAACAGATATAAAGCTTTGTTTAATGGTGGAGTAAGCCTGTGGCAGCACGACGTTGTATACACCGCGAAGCGGCGTTGTGCAACTAGTATGTTATAACAATAAATAAAAGTTATACTAATTAAATTGACAAATAAGTCAACTCAGATCAACTAATGTCTAATCATGCTAAAAGACAACTCCAGCAAGCTAATCATGATCTAGCTCTGTCTGGATGAATAATTAGACTCTCATCCGAAGTACCCTGATCTATCCTTTCTATAAGGATAATTAATATCGATCTAGTAGTATATATCCGATAGGTACAGTCTCCTTAGTCTATATCAATAGTACATATCTGAGTGTATATCGCTGAGCATACATCTTTAGCATATATCTGGATACATGGTATGTCTATAGCATATTGTATGCATGCCTATAGTATGTCTCATATATAGTACGAGCCTGTGGTACATATGTAGCTAGTATCACGGATATAAGCATGTGTCTTATAGCGTGAATCATGAAGTGCACATCTGAAGCAACAAGCTCATATTGCATTAATCTTGGTGCTTATCCAGATATGGTAAACATCCGTAGTCAATGTCGGAATACAAGTATAAGTCTATAGTGCCATCCATGTCCGTGGTGCCATCTATAACCTATATCTTATATAGTATGAATCTTATAGTACTAGCGTATCTGAAGTCCATATCTTCTTATAGTATAAATCGATATCGTACATCTAATCCAATGCACACATAGTTTATATCTAATCTAGTAACTAGATGAACTGTCGAAATGCAGATCATAGTGGATGTATTCCACTAAACCAAACAAGTCAATGTATAACAAATGTTCATCAATTGCCGCCTCGTATTTGTTTCAAAAATTACCTACTATGCAGCAATGAAGTCACCCTCTGATGATGCATACATCGAAAAGGATTATGTTGTTTCACCCACAGTTAATGTAAAAACGATGTCTAAATCAACGGCCTTTAATGTATCAATTCTAAACCGGATCTCTAAATGCGTAGAAGCAATCAGTTCAAGCACAGATCACATCAGATCGTAAACTTTGACATGAAACAGGATTCAGTTACGACCCGAGTTATGACATGTTCAGGATAATAGATCCAATCTATTACCTTATCACCCAAATCAGCCCATCTAACACCTTATCCTCACATCAAATCCCTCAGGCAGTTCGAATAGTATATAAACCCTCTTATTTCCAATGTAATAAACGATATTCTTTACCTGATTAATTTCATACTCTTTTTTTCTAAATTTATTTCTGATAAATCAGTATTTTCTAGGATCTCATCAACCTCTGGCGAGAAAGATGAGATACTTATCATTGGTAATGCTGCATTAACGAGAGATATTCTCGCAAATATCGCTGCAAGAATCTCATCTAAAATTTCAAAAGCAAACGAAGAGGTAGCAACAGCAATTCAATACAGATTAACTGAATATCAATGATCGTATCTCAAGCGACTTGTATTCACCACCATTTCTATTCTATACCCTGTCTGTTTTGATGGTTATCATTCACTTTTTTTTTCTGGCCTATTCCCATCCATATTTTTCTTTTCTTTTAGTTTCTTTCGACTTTTATCCAAGCTAGGCAAGTTGCTCTACAATGCAATTTGGACGATTAAAAACAAATATGATTTAATTCAAGTAATCGATGGTTTGTCGGTTTGAAGACATGATCCTGCTGGAAGTTGTCGTCCATGTATAGCATCTTGCGGACTTACAGTAAATCGTTTTTTCTCCTTGCTTAAAAACTTGAATCAAGGGGGGCACCTTTTTCTCTCGTTTCTTGTTTTTGGGCACTTTAAAAACCGAAAATAGCACAATTAACGCACCCAGAGCTAGTTAGATTCCCTCACCTAAGCCCAAGACAAACCCTTATTTCGCTTCCATCGTCTGTTAGCCTTCAATCCAAGATCACCGCCATCACCAAACTCACCCGTTCCATGACGAAAGCCATGGAAGCTAACATAGATCAGCATGTTGCCGTTGCTACCATTTCCAGTGTAGCGCCTAACACAGCACCACGCATGATGACTGCTACCAACAGCCCAGCTCTCTCGCTCAGTGATCTCAACATCCACTCGGTACCCGACCTCCTTGACTATCTCAAGGACATTTATGCCCATTTGAATAGCCAAGCTGCTCAGATTTTGGAAATGCAAACCCTCATCAATGAGAACTCAAACCTTCGTTCTTCACTGGATCAAACTACTAAGAAACAACTGGAAGATGCACAGCAGTGCATTCGCCAGCTTCAGCCCTACTACCTCTGAAATTCTTCCTGCTCCTACTACTCCAGCTGATCCCACTCCTACTGTTATCTCCCTCGCGAAGAAGCCCGCAACATCGTTAATCAGAGTGAAATCTTGCCAACCACCTCGGAAGAAGTTCCAGTCTTTCAGCCTTGAGATCAACGATGCCGGCCTTGCCGCTGCTCACCAGTTTTTTGCCATTTCAACCAGCCACGGCTATCGATTCGTCTAAATTCCCAAACGTAGCCGTTTGCTTATTAGCAAAATGAGGGATGATTTCATGTTATGGACATCCACAACAAGTGTCTCTTGGATATCCATTTCTCTGAGCGCCATGTTTGTAGCTTATCCATAACGACTACTTTACCACCTTGGAAACCCAATTGACTAAGTGTGAGCTGGTACCTATCGCATTTAATCCTATGAACACTACCAAGTTGCGAGATCCCAAATACAAAGACGCTGACCTCGCCTTCCTTGCTGATAAATGCCACCGCCTCTTCCTCGCTCGCTTGAAGGTGATCATTGCTCGCCTAAAGGGTCCTCACCACCAACTAGCAGCGACCCGCTTCTTTTGCTTTAAACAACCAGTCATTCATAAAGACGAGTATGGCCAATTAGCCAAGACCATCAAACCAGCATACAAGCGTCAACAATCCAGTGCTACACCAGCAGCTGCTGAACAGGGCCACACCCTGGAAGAGGCAACCAATAACACCACCAACACAGCCCAACCTACACCAACATTACCCGAGCTGAAGAGATATCAACCTCCATGGTCCAATAAGTAACAATATGAATTCCTCACCTCATGTCCCTTCTATGTTACATTGTACTACTAATTCCCCCCTATGGCAGATTATACATCAAATACCAAGACAGGCTCGCCCAATTGTCGAAGTTTCAGTAAGCTTCCCAACCCTACTGCCAGTTCCGAAATTTGTACGATTCCTTCGCAACCCTGAACTGAAATATGACATTTTATGCCTTCAGAAGACTCATGCTATCGGATCAGTCCATGAGCGACTGAACACACAATTTCAAACCACCAACAGTATCTGGACGTTCAATTGCGGTATTGTTTCCCTCAACCACAACTCATCAACCACCCTGTCCACATCGATCTCAATGAACGTATTATTGTGTTTCAGGTAGCACACTATAATGCATTCTTTTCACCCATCACACTTGTTGATATCTATGCTCCTGCCATGTCGTTGTCCAGAAAGCACTTTTATCCACAATTACTTATCGTGCCACTCTTTCACCCCGGCACATGGGCTTTGGACACCTTCTCCATCACCATCGATATCCTGCCATCCCCAACATCTAGTGAGGAACCTTTCACGATCGCAATGGATCCTGAATCTATGATTATCCTAGGCGACTTTAATTATCATCCCAACGCAACCTCGACTTCAATAGCTCTACATCAACACCCAATAATGCCATCCATATTCATTCCCAACGGAACCTCTCCATTTATGGCAAATCTACCGTTCTCAACACACCCGTTTTCTCGAGGCTGCTATGGCATGTCATGTGTAATTTTATTTTCACCAAAGCTCCATTACTCTTCTTACGCAGCCTGGGTTCCTCATTCATTACCTTTCGTATATTCCCCAAACTGTCCTTTAGAACCCTCCAACAACCTCGCCATTATGGCGGGTTTTAAGTATTAGATCCCACCATCCAACAACAAGCTCTCCAATGACGCTGAAATTACCCTCTCATCTTGGCCGCCTGCCACTCACCAGTATTGTCGCAATATACCACACCAAGCACTCCACTCCTTCAATACGCCCTGCAATGATATTTCAACTCTGCCTCCTTCTCTGATTACTTTTACTGTTTATTGTTTCCTACCGCTCGGTAAGCTATCTGGTTCCAACATTGACCCAGCTCACATCAAGCTTTACTCAACATTCTCACCAATGTCCACACAAACATGGATCGATTACTTCGCTATTTTACAAACTGTCGCTGAGGCCCCCTATAGATTTATCATTAACTTTCCTTGCAATTATATTGTATACCCTCTCTTCTACTCATCCCCATTTTCTTCTTTTACAGCTCCAGACCAACTGTTTGTCCGACATCCTGGCGTCCAGAAACTGCTCACAATAGATGTGTTTACCTTGGACTTTGACCTGCAGGTGATCCGTGCTAGAAATTGGTTCCCCCTTGAGTTTTGCCATTATCCATGAGTCTCTTATTGAGTTGCTCGTTCGATTGAGGATGGCCAAATCGATCCTCCACCGCTTCATACCCAACACTCATCCTTTATTTTCGTGTCCAATCTATTCCACCCAGTGCTCAAAGGATATTCACTATTTCTTCTTCACTTGTCCACTCAAAATCTCTGTATGGCGATTCCCACTACTTACCTTTCACACATACCGCTGACTAACGAAGCTCTTTTTCAATTCCTCCGAGGCATCCAAACTCTCTCCGTAACGGAATCTGCTGGCTCTGCTTCTCTACCCTTTCCAGAGCTTACTGTTTATCAAGTTTTCGCCACTAGCTTACTCTGTATATGGCAGGCTCACTAGCGTTCCATTTTCGATCCCATCCCTTTTATCACTCTCAATATTAACACATCTATTGCTCGTTGTCTAGCTTGCTTGGATTCGGAATTACAGCTTGATTTGCAAGTATGTACCTTATTAATTTTATTTTGATTCTTCAATTTCTTTGCTCTCTTCTCCTCCTCGAATATACCCAGTCTTCTTCCCTCACCACGCATTTAGAGGACTAAATAAAAATGTATTAAAGTGTATCTTTATTAGCTCTTTTACAAAAAAAAAAAAAAAAAATGAATCAAGGGGGAAAGAGAGAGAGGAAATCTCTGCATTGATTGGTTTTGACACACAATCTAACCAATATAGATCCGGAGCTTAATTAAAGTCTCTTTTTTTTTTCTCGAAATGTATCAAGATGGGTTCTCCACTTTTTTTCTTCTCTCTCCTCTCTTTCATTACTTACATTAATCATTAGAAAAAATCATGGCATTTTCATCCGCTCTTGTGCTTACAGATTTAAATGACTACATTGCTCCTTCTCAAGCATGTATCAAACCTGTGGAAGTAGAGAAATCAGAAAATAAAGGACCTGTAAGTTTCTGTCAATCACACTCTTTGCTGTATCGACCATTGACTCACACATGTGCAGAGCGAGATCAAGGTAGATGGAGAAGGTGCTTACTATGAAATTTCTCAAGATGGCGGAGAAGAGAAACTCGAATCAGCATCCATCTCACTCAACGATTGCTTAGCTTGCAGGTAAAAAAAAAAAAAAAAAAAAAAAAAAACGACATGGATGACAAATCAATGCTACGGCAGCATATTGACTATGAGAATGATACAGTGGCTGCGTCACATCTGCTGAAAGTGTCTTGATTTCTATGCAATCTCAAGACGAACTGTTCAAGATATTGCAAGACAACAAGCTTGCCATCGAGCAAAATCAACCACACAACCACCGCACTATTGTTATTTCTATCAGCCCTCAATCTCGAGCCTCACTCGCCGCCAAATATCAATTGACACCTCTGCAAGTGCACCACAAGCTGGTCTATTTCTTCAAGCACTTTTTGGGTGCTCACCATGTCTTTGATACAGCATTCACACAGGATTTGTCGTTGGTCGAATCAGCCAGAGAGTTTGTAGATCGATTTAAACGATACATGCAAAATGGAGGCGAAGCATTGGAAGCAGCCATGCAACAGGCGGATAAAGAGAAACAGGCGCTAGCAGAGGAAGGGAAACCCAAGGTGAGAGCAAGAAGAGCAAGAGCCAACAAATCCAGTGAGAGTGCAGCACCTGTCAATCAAGATTTGCCTATGCTGGCCTCCTCCTGTCCTGGCTGGGTATGTTATGCTGAAAAAACGCACGGCGAAGTGTTACCATACATTACTGCTGCCAAATCACCTCAACAAATGATGGGATCGCTTGTCAAGGATTACTTTGCAAAGAAATCTGGATTAACGTAAGTGTGTGTGTGTGTGTGTGTGTAATAGGGTGACTTAATCAACTGAATGACACAACAACAGCCCAGATCAAATATACCACGTTTCTATTATGCCTTGCTACGATAAAAAACTAGAAGCCAGTCGACCTGATTTCTTTTTAGAGCAGTATAACACCAGAGAAGTGGATTGTGTATTAACAACCAGCGAAATTGACAAGATGCTGATTGAACAAAACCTGGATTTCAGACAGATGACAGAAAGTCCCATCGACGACATGTTCAACAAGGTGGGTATCAATCCTGCTACTCAGATCGAGACCGTGTACGGCGTATCTGGTTCTTCGTCAGGAGGTGGTTTAGAATACATATTTGCTACAGCTGCCAGAGAGCTTTTCAACATTCATAACGTGCCCAATGATCCGCTGAATATTGCATCTGCCAATGTCATTGTCAAGACTGGTAAAAATGCCGATGTCAAGGAATACTCATTGGTGGCAGAGGATGGACGTATTTTGCTGCGATTTGCAACTGCTTATGGGTTCCGTAATATTCAAAATGTGGTACGAAAAATCAAGAGTGGCAACTCCAATTATCATTACATTGAGGTCATGGCATGCCCTGGTGGTTGTGCCAATGGTGGAGGACAGCTACCAGCTGCTGTGGACAGTGAGCAAGTGGTGAATGCCAAGGATTGGGTGGGCCACGTCGAGGATATTTATCGATCTTCGCAAGGTGTTAAGCCAGAGGATAATGAAATTATCAAGGCCCTGTACAGGTAAGTTTAATGTAAAGGCAATTTTCTATCCAAGTTGAGCTCATACTCTTTTTTCTTATCGTCATAGTGAATGGATTGTGGATCCATGCAGCGAAAGAGCACATCAGCTTTTGCGTACACAATATCATGCAGTAACTCAAAATCTAGGCAATCCATTGGCAACCAAGTGGTAGTTTTTAGTTGAATATATTTGATTTATTGCCTAGAGAATAAATTATTACACTCCAGAGTGAGAGAGAGAGAGAGCGAGAGGGGGGGATATTGTACAACATGTCAAACCGAAAAAGAGAAAACTAAATTTTGTAAGGACGCCAGGGAACAGAGGATGAAGCAATTTGACCTTGAAACAGATTGCAAGTTCATCCTTTGGAATGATGGCACAAACAAACATGTATCATTTTTACACTCTTTTATATTACGCATTTATAGTACAACTACTTTGAAGAAGAGCCTCTAAAATTTGCCTTCAATTGCTTCATGAACTCTTTTCCTTCCGTAATGATATCTACATAGGGATGTTCGATTGGCACCCATTCCACTGTCCACTGCTCTCCTTCTTTAAAGTTGACAATCTCATTCCAATCCTCAAACAAAGGTTTGTTGTCCAACGAAATTTGACGGCCTTGTTTGGTGGTGATCTTGGTAACACGTCTTGTTTGATAGGAAGCGACAATGTGAATGCGTTCTGCCAAATCTTTGCCCGTATCAGTAGGGTGGATGCGGATCCATACACGTTGACCTGGGTTGATGCTGGATACAGTGATATGACGATCATCATTGGATGCTATAGTAACGATATATCATCAGTCATCATGTACACATACCCAGATATCCATGACACTTACTAGCAGATGGAGGTAGTTTTGGTAATGTCTTGTTGGCCAATTGATCTCCTTCTTTAAAGTACCCATAATCAGTGGCAGGAACAACTAGTGCCATAGAAAGCGTCAGTGATCCACTGTTCATGACGAGCGGATTACAATATACTTACTTCCTTGTTTCTTAAAGTATGGATTTGCTGCCTGCTGCTGCTGCTGCTGCATCTGAGAGGCAGAAGAATCAGGAGGAGCACCCGCCTTCAATATGTTGGTCGGGTACACTTTGCTCTGTTCGTCTTCTGGTAGATGCAGTTCTATCAGTGGTGTTGATTGAGAGTGGCTATAATAGGAGAGTTGTTGTGATGGATGAGGAGGCGCTGGTGATGGTGAATAGAAAGAAGGTGCTGGTGTAGCTGCTACAGAGGATGACACGTAGGATCCCATCGACTGTCGATTCATGTGAGGTGTGATTGGTCTATGCTCAATCTCTTGGCTCTCCTTTTCAACATACTGGCGAGGTGTATTGTCCTCTTCGGTTTTGTCTTGCTTTGGCTTTCTCTTTTGTACAATGATCTTTTCCTCCGCCTCCTCGGGAGAAGCAATAGGCGATGTTGTGGCAGGGATGATGGTTGGATCCAAGATTTGAATGGTAGGGGACAATGTGGTAACAACACTGCTGGCTCTCTTTTTTCTGAAATCACCCACTACAGTAGCACTGGTCGCTTTGGATCCTTTGGGTACATGCACTGCAAAATCGTCATCAAATGGATCAATGGCTGTATCTTCCCAATCTTCTTCTCCTTCTTCTTCCTCTTCTTCTTCATTTTCTTCCTCATGATCTGAGTGGGTGTGTTTCTTTTCTTTTTCCTCTTGTACCTTTTCCCCTGAATGATAGATCATGTCTGAATAATCAATCGCTGATTCCTTGTCATCCTCATCCTCTTCTTGTTCATTCACAGCCGCGTTGGATGCCATAGGTGTAGGTGGGCGATGAGGTGTCTTTGCTGGTCTCACAATATCCCAATCATCATCTTCATCTTCGTCATCGTCCTTGCCATTGTCCCTACCCAAACCTAACAGGTCCTGATGCATGTATTCCTTGGGTTGTCCTTCATCTGGCTTCAGCGAAATGGTAGAATTAGACAATGGAGGCTCATCTTGCTTGTTGTAGTAAGGGTTTGTAGGCGCTAATGTAGATTTTCGCTTTTGCTGAACTTGTGGTTGTGGTTGTGGTTTTGTTGTTAGATTGCTGCTGGATGAAGACGAGGCACACACAGGCATAGGAGGTATCTGAAATCCACTACTGCTAGCAGCAGACACAAGGGGAGGCTTCACGGAGGCATACGATTGCTGTTGCTGTTGCTGTGGCGGTGGCGTAGATTGGTATACTGAATTAAATGAATAGGAAGGTTGCTGAGCAGGAGGACTTTGTTGTTGTTGTTGTTGCTGTGGTTGAGAGTAATTGGCCTGTTGATAAATGCCATTAGAATTCAAAGGTAATGATATAGCAGGAGAGGATATGCTCTGACGCATAGTTTGATAAGGGTAATGTTGCTGCTGTGATTGTTGTTGTTGTTGTTGCTGTTGTTGTTGAGGAGGAGGAGGAGGGAAATACGAAGCATTGGTATCATTTTGTTGTTGCTGTTGCTGTGGATACAATGGTGGATGTGGAGGTGCCACTGGTATCAGAGTAGCAGCAGCAGGAGCAGAATAGTGCTGCTGTTGCTGCTGAGAAGAAGCTTGAGGAGGAGTAGGCTGGGATAATGGTAATACAATGGGATCTGATTTATGCGGTGCATATGAAGGTGGTTGATATGGAGCGTTTTGTGTAGGACTCGTGACACTTGTTTGATGATGATGATTGTTATATGACGAAGGTGCAGAATTGGCAGACATGGATTGAAAGTGTGTTGGATTCATATCTGTGGGCATAGGCATCTCCATACGATTGATAACGGGTTGTGTGGATGCAGGTCGACTGATGGGTGGTGGTTGCGGTTGAACGGTTACTGGTGCAGGCCGGGATGGTTGCATGCCATTGGAGCTAGTAGGTGTCTTACTGCCATTGTAAAGTGCGCTGTTATTGCTAGCACTATTTGTGGTATTGGTATCCAATGCTTTCAGAGGCGTAATAGCAGGTGTCATCTTGGGCGTCTTTTGATAAAACACAGAACTAGGACATGGAGCGGGAGAAGCCAAGGCAAACTGAAGTTCTGGTTTGTATCTCTCATTGCTGTTGTTGTTGGACAAGTAGGATTTCACAGGTCTTTTATTGCCATTGGCAGCATTCTGATCTCTTGGTGGTAGCGCAGGTTGTGAATGATGATTGGTAGAGGATATACTATACATTGGTTTGGTTGCAAAGGGTGATGTGGATGATGTGGGCGATGTGGTGGAGGCGGTTGGTAATGAGTTGGAAGAGTAATTGGTTGGTGGTGATATGGATGATGATGAAGCAGTAGCATGACTAGAAGAGACTAATGCATGTTGATGGTTGTGAATATCAATAACAGCTATACAAATTCACTCGACTCAAACACTTACTGTTGGTGCTTGAATTATACGCTCTTGGCTTTGTCGGCAATGGAGGCGGACTGTTGGCACGATTACTGCCATTGGCAGCAGAAGATTCCTGCTCTAATTGTGCCTGTAATTCCTTTGCAATAGCTTCATCGTTCAACTCTTGTTCTCGTCTACGAGCAATTTCATTTTCCCATTCTTTATCCGCTTCTTTCTGGAGTTTCTTGACAAGCTTGATTGATTTATGCTCTTTTTTGGTATCAAACAAATGCCTCATTATTAGCTGTAGAAAGGAAACGATGCAAAGAAAGAAAGAAAAAAGGGAAACGAAGAGGGCCAAGATGTTATAAATAGAGAGTAATGAGCTCGGGGTTTGTTTGGTCGCACACTAAACACCAGTTACACATCCATCAGATACATCAAGACATCTTTAGAGTGCATAGTAAACTTCTTGGCAAGTCGTTATAAATATAGGTCAGAATCACAAAATACATCCTATAAGATCAACATGGAGTAGTGAACATTCTTGGCGAAATTATCGAGATATCATCTGCTGATTTCCTTTCATGCTGTTTAATGGGCGAATGAGGAACAGGATAATAGATCTACCAAGCCCTAAAGCCACACACACACACACTCTTTTTCTTTTCTTTCACAGCCATGCCAATCACCAGAAAAGAAAAACAACTACTGGATTCTCAACGAGAGATACAATGGATCAAACGACAAATCGAACAGATTGAACAAGAAGAGCGAGCGAACCGAGAAGCCCATAAATACGTAATACCACAAGATGCCACTGAGGAGCATGTGGAAGAGAGCATTCAAGAAACAAAAGCCAAGATTGACGAACTCAAGAGCGAGTACGACATGCTGTGCCAATTTAACAAAAGCAAAGAAGCGCTCGCCAAGGCTGTCAATCATCAGCACTTTACGTTGGAAGCACTCTACCCCAAGCTATCAGACCACGAATCCATGGAAGTCAAAAAGGCCACAGAGGAACAGATCAATGCACGGGATGAACACGTTGTGCAGTTTATGAAAACACTCAAGCAACTCAACAAGAAAAAGAAGGAGCTGACAGAGATACAACAAAAAATTATGCGACAACATGAAAAGAACAAGGATATATCGGCCAAAGTGGAGACATTGAGATCGAATAAACGAAAACAGAATGTGAACCCTGAAGCCACGGAATTACTACAGGCGTAAGATGTTGGAGAGAAGGGGAGTGAGGGATTTGCTTTATTGACATTATTTCATACATGGCACAGGATGAATGCGAAAAGGGATCAAATTTCACTGATACGTGGTGTCCTTAATGTAAGTAGATATAAAGAAAAAAAAAAGGGGGGGGGTTATTATGTAGAAAGAAGCAATGTAACGTTTTTATTTATTTCCATAATTTTAAGGGTATCATACTGGAAAGTGGTATTGCTTGGGATGAAGATGAACGTTGGTTAAATACAATGCTTCGTATAGGAGACACTTTACCGACGTTTTAATATGTATATATAGGAGTCAAGAATAAATAAAATAATATCAAATTATGCATGCAATGTATAGTAGAGTGGTGATCTGATGTAGTGGTGGTAGTTGTAGGCGAATCCAGCGTCTAAACTTTAGCAATAGGAGATGTCGAATGGGGCTCAGGAGTATGTGGCCCTGTTGATAAGGACGCATCGGACAAATAAACATCCTCCTCTTCCTCCTCGTTGTGTATTTGATGATGGCTAGGTAATGTTGCTTTTCCAATTTGATCTGGATCCAGACCCAAGTCATCCATGACGACAGGTAATGCGCCCATGCTGTACAGGACATGCAGTCAGTAACGAGATCAAATCCATCACGACCACACACTGACAAAAAACTTACCGAGAATAAAACATCTGGAGCCTGAGTCGAATGTTTTCTGTATACAAATCCTCAATGGATCTATCCGAGTACAGGCCCATTTGTATATTTCGTATAAACACAAAAAATTCACAAACGGCTACCAATCGATCTCGGCAATACTGATCAATAGGTAACCAATTTTCATTCTCGTCCAACCTGAACCGATAATTGAGCAAAACGGATTGACTATTGCCAGGGTCAGCAGGTCTTGCACATGCCGAACATGCGTTGGCTACAATAATGTTGTTTCTAGCGCTGCTCGTGCTGGTACTGGTAGACGGGCTGTTACCCGTAAATCTTCCCCAGAGTGGCTTGCTTTGCTGTGCTGGTACTGGCGATGGTGCTGCTGATGGTGTCGCATTCACGTTGAATGCAGTGACATGTTCAATGAAGCAAGGTTGTCGAGACAAATAATCAATCATTTTTTTGATGGATAGCTTGGATTGAGGTCCAAATCGAAGACAGGGTTCAATGTCCTCGGACAGACAGTGCTTCATAAAGGGCGTTTGATTCAATTTTTTGGGTGACAAGAGCTGCTTGGAGGATGCAATGGTGTACTCTTGAAACAGTTGCAATTGAACGCCATCCAGGGTTGACGGCTCCTTTTTGATGGCATGATTGGAAGAAGATGGTGTTGGTGGCATCGAGATGGTTCTTTGTTCCTGATGGTGTCGTTGTTGTCCTTGAGTGTATTTCAAAGCATGATTGGCACTGGCACGTTTCAAGCCATGCAATTCTTGCAAATCCATCTGTGCACGCATATTGGAACAGCTCTTTTTCTTTTTTGCGACATGCTCTACGGATACGGTTTCATCGTCGGCAGTTGTCAATTTGAGCCGCAACTCGTGTAGTTGTGTTTGTTCCGCCAAGAGATGTTCCTGAGTCTGTCTCAATTCGTTTTCCACCTGCCAACGTGCTCTCTTTTCAATGGCAACCATGGCATTGGCTTCTTCAAACAACTTTCTACTAAGCTCCTCCAATTCGTGCTCGACCATGTCTTTTTCATGCTGTACATTGCCTACTCGTTCGATCTCGGCTACATATTTCTGATTCAAGGTCTGTAGATCCAATTCCATGCGCTGTAGCTGATGGTTTTTTGTACTGAGCTCTTGTCGTAGTGATAAAATGAGTTCATCTGACTGACAGTGATGACAATTCATTTTTGCTAAAGTGTGTATGTGTGTGTGTGTGTGTGTGTGTGTGTGTGTGTGTGTGTGTGTGTGTGTGTGTGTGTGTGTGTGTGTGTGTGTGTGTGTGTGTGTGTGTGTGTGTGTGTGTATGTATGTGTGTGTGTGGAGAAAGGAAGAAAGAGAGAGAGAGAAAAGAAGAGAGGGATGTTGTATCACACAACACCTTTTTATATGTAATTTTTAATATAATAACACAAAATTTCGGGGACACACGTTTAAGGAGAAGCTAGATTTGGCAAGGAAAAAGAGAGAGAGAGAGAGAGAGAAAGTTTAATAAAAGATCATCATCATTACTAGTGGTATACTAGAGTGGTGGTGCTTGAACCGACGACATACCAGCACTTTTGTTCAATGTTACGCTGAATTAATATTATAATAAAGGTGACACACGCTCATATTGCATGCCATTTAGCGCAAAATCACATTCAAATGAGAAATTTCCCCTTATTCAATATACGAATCCCATTCAATTGTAATGTTCAAGGATCCAAATGCCATTGATTTACATCCCAAATGAAAGCATTTGATTACCCGCATGTTTGTTGATGAAGGGTGTAATCGACAGCCGAATGACATGGTCCAAATGTCAAATGTCACTAGCCAGCTATAACTGAGCTAAAGAAAGGTTTCTATTTCTATTTCTAGAACCCTCAATCACCATGATCAAGAACACACACAATCAAAGAGGAGGAGGAGAGAGAGAAAGACATGGCATGATCTGCACACAAAGTCAGCAAGCAAAAAAGCATAAAAAGGGGTATAAAAAAAAAAAAAAAAAAAAAAAAAAAAAAGAGAACTCCATTCATTGTCGATTGACATGGCTACTATTTGCCATCTGGCTTTTCTACCGGCACAACTACATCTGGCAATGTCATGTTCAGATTACTGTCTACTGAAGGTTTCGTTACATCATTGCTGCTGGTGCTTTTGACAATAAACTGATGTGGTGGATCTATCTTTTCAATTTTATCCCAGTCTACTTGCATCATTTCATGCTCTTGCTGTTTGGTGGCCGTACTCACGTCATGATGATTTGATAATGATGATGGCCCATAAGTATCATCCCCATGCTGCCTTGCTGTTGTATGACGGCGCTGTTGTCTTGCTCTTCGCATGACAAAAATACATACAGCAACCAGTAAAACGCCCTGATTTTTATAAGGGAGAACGTTAATGTTGTGAATTTACTCACGACACATCGGTCGATCCAATCTACACATACCACAATACTACAACCTACAGCAATGCCAATGGTTGCTCCTGAGCTTAATCCAGACTTGTCTTTTCCTCCTCCTGCTCCAGTACCGTCATGACTGGATGATCCATTTGAATTTGAGTTGCTAGACCCACTAGCATCTAAAGGATATTTGCTTGAAAATTGAATTGCACCGACATTTCGTACATCCAGCACGAGCAAGTCAAACGTAGGATTGGCATCTTTGTCGATACCAAACAGAATAAAGACAGCATTTTCCACCAAGACAGCTACATAGATGTCTGTAAGTCACATAGGGTGTATGGATTTCAGACGTGTACAGTGTACCTGAGTGTTGAAAGCGAGGGCCAGAGGAGGTACCTAATGGTGCAATCAGTGATTGACGAGTCCATGTCATGGTAGGAACATCCAATGTGTAGCAGTAGTCAGCGGTTGCTAAGAATGCACGATTGAGACTAAACCGTCTCCTTTGAGTAATCTTACCTACCATTGATTCCATTTCCTGTTCCACCGTATAATAGTATGGTATTACCATCAGGCACTACCGAGTGCACACTGCTTAGTACTTTTTTTTTTCTCAATCAACAAATGAAAACTCACAAAGAGTCGCTGTATGCATCGTGCGAGGTCTAGGTACAGTGGCACCCAAGAGATCTTGTTTGATCCACTGTCCATTAGTGGTATCAAAGATCATGCTACGGTTCAACAGATTTGTGAATAGTCGACTACCGGTTGGGTCATAATAAGCTCCTCCCATGTAGATAATCCGTTTACTGTCCGGATGATAGGTTGAGGTAAGCGCAGTGTGATGTGTTAAAGGTGGGTTGTATTGTTGTGGAGTGGTCCAAGTCTATATAGAACGCATATTAAGCAGACTTCATTCAGCATCGATCCCACCAGAGACCTACATTTAGATTCAAATCAAACAAAGTGAAATAGTAAAACCCAACATAGCTATTAGAGATACCATCAACATTGGTAAATGTAAGATTGGACAGCTTTGCACCCGTAGAGAGAGTGTAACCTGATTCAATTTGAACATGTCTATTATGAGAGAATGAGGTTAAGAAAACTATGTCGCCTAATGAACGTACTCTTCATATCCACCATAAAATCCAATGGCATTCAAATGAGGCACTGATACAGCAGTTCCATTGTATCTATTCATCCACTCTAATGAATAATACAGCAGTTTTTAATATGGCTAGAATTCTTACATTTGTCGATCTCCACCATTGGCAGCGTCATTGAAGTTGGGCAGAGACTCCCAATGGTTGGATTCCGCATTATACAATACAGCTTGGTTCGAAAGCTTTGATGTAGCATTGTTGTTGTACCCTCCATAGATCATCAGTCGCTTTCCATCCAGTAGTGATGCTACATGGGGAGCGCTTCTTTTTCCTAAACTGATTGTCGTCGTAGTCATGGGTATCGGCTGCCACTGACTGTTCAAATTCTGATAGGGTGTTGCTTCTTTGTTGTTGCTGTTGATATCCAATGCCATCAATACGTCGTTATCGCTGGATGAGTCTCCTGCACCAGTAGATCCACCATAACAGTAAATTTTGTGGGACAAGTAGGCGCAGTCTATTTAAAACGAGTTGAGGGTGTGTGCGTGTGGTGTGTAAGCTCTCTATATTGGTACTTTACTTGAGCCATTTTGTGGAGATAGTTGTATAGCCAATGCCATTGTAAACCATAGCAGAAGCATCTGTATCATATATAACTGCTGTAACATCAGGCCCACCAAGTGTGGATATGATAATGTAAAGAAGAATAATCAAAAGAGCGAAAAGGATACCACAACAATAAGATGTTTGTGCCTGGTATATACTACTCTGATGGTGATACATTTTACCTGCTATGTACAAGGCATTCTGTTTGTAATGCTACCATTATACTTTGTCCTACCACAAACCAAGGAAAAGGACAATTGGATGTATCATTGACCTAGTAGATTGGATTCAATAAATGCTAAGCAGATTTCTTTTAGCAATTCATAGCAATCCCGCCCTTGTTTGGCCAACTGCTATTATACAGAGTCAATATGTATGAAAGGCTATCATGCTTTATTTTAACTAACCCTTGGACCTTTGCCCGCACTAGAGTTGAACTGCTGTATTCTATCCAAATTTTGATGAGCGATTCAGTAGAAAGGCTTACCATAGACATTACCTTCGTTGCAGCCCTCTAGAACAATAGTGAAAGAGATCCTTGAATGACTTTTTTTTTTCAATTGCTTCATATATATATATAACAAAAACAGGAATAAATCAAAAGATCCATATATTTATAGTATACATGACGATGATATGAAAAATTGTCAAACTGCCATAGTTAATTACAGTATGTCTCCTTTGGTAAGGTGCACTTGTCGACCAGCGTTTGCACGTACAGCATCATTGGTGATGGCGGGATTAGTCTTGAAAGAAGATTGAGCGCCTCAGTACCTTCAAAACAGAGCAATACAGAGGGCCTCTCACGACAATCTACGTTAAAAGGTAAAGTGTTTCAGTTATTCTACACACGCAAATTGCTGTATTATTTCAAACTTTCTGGCCAGTGCACAGATGGCCAAGTCAACAACAAGCTCAGAAGTGTTGGCTCATGTCATGCAATTTTTGATTACAGTTGATTTAGACAAATTTCACCAAATACAGACGTTATCAGATGAACTTTCCGTGGGTTCTTGAGGTAGAAAGCCTTTCTCAATTTGTATGATGGACATACGTAAGCGCTGAAATGTTATTTCCAACTCTAGATTCATTGTCATTGAGTGCCAAGAGTCAAGCCCTGATAGCGTATCATTCTATTGCGGCCATGTAACACTAAATTCATAGATAACCATCTGTAGATTTATTGTTCCTATTTTAGCATGATAAAGGGTACATCAAGCAGCAAATAAACGAACGGATAAATTGGAGCAACAGTTGCCGTAATTGAATTATCAAGCCGCCTTGATATATAGTTATGCAATCGAATCTTGAAGAGATCTTGGTGATGAGATTGGCATCACAACAAATACATGGATGTAATCACCATGCATTAGACAGATCAAATCCAATTTATTACTAAATCTCAAATGATAGAAATAGCCGTATCTTTCATGTCTTGTCGAATTAGCCAGAAGTACATTACTGCGCCTAGCTTATAAATCAAAAAATGCGCTAGCAACTTCCTGATTTGAACAAGGATTTGCAGTGCCAGAGAGCTGGTACACGTTTTGTTTGGGTTGGCAAAATAATATAAAAGCTACATGTCAGAAACAACCGAATCAAGAACGACATCATACATAACCCGAAATGAGCTCTCAAGCACTGTTCTCTCCCATCAAAATTGGTGCCAACACACTCAAGCACCGTGTCGTGCTTCCACCATTGACCCGTCTTCGTGCTACTCCTGAGCACGTTCCTAGCGATCTCCAGGTTGAATACTACACTCAGCGTGCTACTGACGGCGGTTTGATGATTACTGAAGGCACCATGATCTCTCCTACTGCTGGAGCGTATCCTCAAATCCCTGGCATCTTTAACAAGGAACAAATCGAAGGCTGGAAAAAAGTGACATCTGCTGTTCATGCGAAAGGTGCTGTCATTTTCCAACAAATATGGCACATTGGCCGAGTAGGATCCAAGTATCTCAATCTCCATCACGAGCCCGTTGTAGACCCTTCCGCCACTCCTTGTCCAGGCAAGACGATGCAAGGTACTGATTATGAAGTACCTCATGCTCTTACGGTGGATGAAATCAAGTCTATCGTGAGTGATTATGCTCAAGCTGCCAAGAATGCTATTGAAGCTGGTTTCGATGGTGTTGAGATCCATGGTGCCAATGGTTACCTTGTCGATCAATTCATCAACACATCAAGCAACAACCGTACTGACAGTTATGGTGGGTCTGCTGAAAACCGCGGTCGATTTGCCTTGGAGGTGGTGGATGCTGTTGCTGCTGCTGTGGGTGAGGAACGCACTGCTATTCGTTTCTCTCCTGGAGGTGCTTTTCAAGGCATGGCTACTGAGAATGTGGAAGAGACATGGGGCTACTTGACATCAGAGTTGCAAAAGAACCATCCTGGTTTAGCCTACTTGCACATGGTAGAGGGTAGAACAAATTTCAATGACACAGATCAAGTAAATACGACAGACATCCTAGAGAGCTATCGTCAGATCTGGCGAGGACCTTTTATCAGCGCTGGTGGTTTCTCTACTTCTCTTGAGTTTGGTCGTGAGATTGCTGAAAAGACGGGTAATTTGATTGCATATGGCCGTGCTTTTGTTGCTAATCCTGATCTCCCTGAACGTCTTCGTAATGGTTGGGAGCTGAATCCTTATCACAGAAATACTTTTTACACGCATGAAGCAGAAGGTTATATTGATTATCCATTTTACAATAAATAGACGCAGCCATTCAGTTTTGTTAATGATTCTGCTATTTCTACACGATTTTTTGTCCATTGAGCGCCCCCATGTAATAGTTCTGCTAAAAAACTTGGTAAATGTCAATGTGCAGCTAACATAGTGCAACACATGTCTGCATCATCGTCATTCACCACCATTGAAAGTCTTGTATATATGAGCAAAAATATCCCCTATTATAGTTTTATGAAATAAATCTCTTTCCTTTGTTGCGTATTGGTGTTACTGCGAGTAGCAGTAGCAGAACGAGACAGCATATGAGCACATAGTTATCCCTTGAACCTCTTTTACTCAGATCCACGCCCTTATGACCCAATATTTCATCAAAAAAGAGGTCCTCACCCACTTCTGTGATATGTCCACTGACAGCCAACAATGCCTTGACTTTCTCACCATGATGTTTGCCTACAAACCCCATGTTGAAAATCTTGACCGTCTCACTAAACTTACCATCCCACAACCGGCACAAAATAAAATAATATCGTCATATCGTATATAAATGTCCCACAGATGAGACGATAATTTCAATGACATGGTGGAGGCAAATATGGCCATGAACCAATGGGGCAGGTAGTTTTTGGATGTCAGTGGCAGGTTTTTGAAATGCAGGTAGAGTTTTGGCCTTGAGGAAGCCTTGTTGGGGTATCCTTTCGTCCGCGTTATGGAGGGCGAAGAGGACTTGACTGGCACTGGTCATGTTGATGAGCGCTGAAAAGGTGTCTTGAGCGCCCATGTTGAGTTGCTAGACATGTGCTAACAAGGAAGCACCTCGAGACTATATAGTCTCAATAATAAAGACGAGGGGAGGATAGCTTTTACTATATACTTGCATAGGTGATGTTGGGCTGATACCCTACATACACATGAAGCGCTTTTCGTAGCGACATGTGTTTCCGTTAGAACCTTTTGAGTTGTCGGTTGCGCTAAGAGCTGTGGCGACGTGCAATGGTTTTCACTACTGTTTTGAGGTCATCCCATTGTAATTGAGGGGGAGTTACCTGGTACCTGGAAGAATTGATCTAAAGCTTGCTGGATCTCGGTGATGGAATACTCATTCTTTGCCAGCTGGGGATTAGCACGCTGATGAATTCGTAATAATAAGTCGATGATAATAATCAGTTGTCAACTGTATCTAAAACGAAAGCAAAGAGCTTCTTTATTACAGGGCATCTAGCTTGCTTAAATATGGTAGATCCCTGGTCAATGACTACTACGTTGAGATGGTATATAAATAGCAGGCCACTGGGGCCTTATGGATTGTTGGTATAGCTTGTTGAGAGGCCACCTAAGTCGATATGTTTCATGTAGTGTAGGTGGATCTCGATATCTTGACATTGGGGAGATTGAATGTATTGTAGTTCCTGAGGCACCTGTGCACACACAATTGACTGGACTTGTGAACATAGATGTGATGTGATACGATAAACATCATCTATGCTGCTACACTGTAAAAGGTGGCTTGAGGAGAAAGTGAATGTAGCCTAAGATGCATGCTTGTATGCAACACACGCCGGCACTACGGCCCAACTGATGTTCTCATGAGAATCATGGATATGCTCATATGGGAACATTTTTTGAAAACATTGATATTCTCATATGAGCACATCGAGCTTCTCAAAGACGAAAAATGCTCTCATATGAGAACATCCGAAATGTTCCCATATGAACACATCCATGTTCCCATACGAGCACATCGATTTTCCCTACCGGGATCAAACCCATAACCTATCGTTTGCTGATCTGACGTTCTTCCCACTAAACCACCCGAGTAACTTGTTGGTGTGTCAAGGCTCATTTCTATTTAGTAGTAACGCTCTATTACTATGGTCACGTGAGGCATTCACGTGACGCTTATTGGTCGTTGTCTGTACGGTCGCGCGAGCTCGATCCCGGATGTGTCAATATTATTTAACGAGTATAAACAACCCACTGTATTATACTCCTGAATAAACTTAACTTTCTATTAAATATCTATTCATATTATATTAATATTTGTTGTTCCTTACAGACATCCTTTCTATTCATAATAACAAAGCTACCTATTAGCCTCAGGCTATAGGTACATATATCACTACGGCCCAACTGATGTTCTCACAGAACATGGATGTGCTCTTTTGGGAACACCAATGTTCTCATTTGAGAAGGTGTAGTTTTCCACATGAATAAAATGGTTTTAATAGCTAAACTATAATATTGTAGGCAACAGAGAGACTTTTATTATCTGTAAGATTCATAAAATTACTAAACGTATTATAAATTGCACGAGAAAATGGAAATTTAAAATTTCCTAATAACTGTTATGTCAAAATACAATGTAAAATTGAATCTGCCAAAGAATTACACTTTTATTGAGAATGCATCCCAAGGATGCATTTATATACTTTTCATTATGCTAGGGTTTACAGCATGATAATGAACTATAATACAAATAGGTTTACTATCTACCCAACAATTGATTTGTAAATCATGATTAGCATGATTTACCCAAAGGACCTAAGAATAGCCTAAAACCTTTAGTGTGAGACCTTGCTATGACATTTGATATAACAATAACTACTTATTAAAGTAAAAGAATATATTTCAATAAGATATTCGAGTAGTATAGTGGGAAGAACGTCAGATCCACAACCGATAGGTTGTGGGTTCGACCCCGGTAGGAGCATTCTTTTCTTCAAATTTCTGAAAATCGATGTGCTCACATGGGAACATTTCGGATGTTCTCATAAGAACATCGGCCGACTTATAACATATCTTTTGGAACGCCGATGTTCCCATATGAGAGCATTTTTCACCTTTCGGGAACATCGATGTTCTCATGAGAACATCAGTTGGGCCGTAGTGGTTTGGGATTATTGTCTTGCTGGAATATCACTTGTTCACGGCGGAAGCCCAATTTCTCGATGGAAAAAGTGATAGTCTGCTCCAATTCGTCTATCAAAATTTTTTTTAGAGTGCCTTATCCATATTATCATTTAAATCGCACATCCTACCAATACCAGCATAAATAATGGCATTCCAAAGCATGATACTACCACCATGGTGTTTTACCGTGAGCTTGACATGGTGGTTTTGAAGCTGTTCACCAGATCGAATCCAGGCCCACTGTCGCCCATCTGAGTTGAAACGGTTAATTTTGGTCTCGTCTGTCCAAATAACACGTTTCCAGTCGTCAACAGTCCAGTCTTTATGCTGCTTACACCACGCAAGTCTCTTCTTGTCGTTAGTGTCACTAGGCAAAGGCTTCTTTTCGTTCTTGATAGCCCCTAAGCCCGCAGTGCGGAGTGCTCTACGAACGGTTTCCGGATAAACCTTCATCTGGAAATCTTTCTCCAACATTTTTGTGACCCTGGCGGCGCTTGAAACCCGCTCCTTGGTTACTTTTCGAACACAATAGCGCTTGCCGGCTTCAGACAACATTCTAGGACGACCTCCTTTCGAGGTTCCCAGACCCGGACAATGCTCCATTCTAATTCGCCCAATAGTAGACTTACCCAAAGACAGTTTTTCAGCAATTCCCGAATCGAAACACCGCTTCGAAGCATTGTGATTGCAGAATTAACCTTGGAGACAGCAATGGCTTTCATGGCTTGATAATCGACCTACTTGATATTTAGAACTCCAATTTGGATAATCGAGACTACTTGCGCTACATGAGGCTTTCTTATACGACGCTCTCGAGGTTATTCCAAATTGTGGGTTTCAGTTATCACCGAATTTGTGATTTTTCAAAAGCTCTTGCAGTAAAAAGGGGTTAAAAAAAGCAGGTAGAATACTGTTAAAATCCTTCTTTATTCGAAATTAGGATAATGTGCAATAAAATGTATATTCTATGTCTCTATTTATATTATTTAGTTTATATCTCTTATCTGGCAGCAGTTTAGTAGTTGCCAGTGATTCCATTACTTTATATATTTTTGTTGGGTCATTTAGTTGTTGATCTGATGGATCAAGAACGGTATTTCAATATATGGTTTTTGAATCATGCGTAAAGAATAGCTCTTTATTGTTGAGCCTGTATCCTTTTTAGGTATATTTATGTTACAACACATTAAAATACCCTTGACATTTACTTTAGTATCTGTCATCTCTTATTTTAGAGCATTTAACCCTTGCTATCATCATGCTAATACTATTATTATGCATGCCTATCTGCTGATGGTAGCATGGTTTGATTGAGATGACATTTATTTTGGGTTTTGTTTATGATGGGAATCTAGTCTAGTTCACTTCAGCTCTCACAATATTCTCCCAATGTACCTTATGACTTTGGCCAATCACAGCTTGTGATTCTACAGCTATATGCTTATAAAAGTTAAAAGATATGAAGAAAACAGTTAGAAAATACTAAATTCATTATTATTGGATAACTTCTCGTCCGGCGATAAGGTCTGAAATTTAAAATTGCTAAACATTGGGACAGTTTTGTGGGTCACGGTAGATGTTGAAAAAGGAATGAAGTAGCATAGAGGTGGTCGATAGTTGATTGCCCGGACCGTCGACGATAGGTTGGTAGTAGTGGACCCTCCTCCCTTGAATGAGTACATTCAAAGAAGTGGGAATTGATGGGACGGTGGAAGTGACGATGAAGTTCAGCACCTGAATTAATAATGTTAGGATCAAATTCAGAGTCTTCACTATCATCAGTCAAGTAAGAAGTGGCGTGGTAGTTAAAATCCTCCATCAGTAGCATGGGAGAGATGTTGGCAGCATCAGAGCCAAGGGTGGAAGATAGTGAGTGCAAGGATTCCCGAGTGGTTGAAGAAGAAATGTCGAAGAGAGGCAACGCTAAGAAGTCTCTGAAAAAACCACACTCGGGGTGAGTACTGAGCTGGTGCATAAATGTTAACGAGTGTGAAGGGTGGAAACAACGCATTGGCATGGACCGCTTTGCAGGCAATGAGGCGTTGATCCAGATTAAAGTCTTAAGATTGTAAATGAATTAACAGATTGAAGGAGATAATACCACAATGTTGTGTCCATAAAGTGGCATGAGCTTGGAATTGCATATAAAGTTTGTCCTGAACTGTCTCGACAGCATGCGATTCTTGAACACAGAGGATGTCGAAAGGTAAGGAACGGAGGTATCGGATGAAGTCAGAGCTAATCTCGGGCGTAGATGCTTTGACGAGATAGCGGCAGTTCAAGGAAGCTATATTATTGAGATTATGATTTTGCATAAAAAAGCTAATATTAGTGTCATATTATTGGCATAGTTGTGTGATTCAAAGGTATTAGTACTCATTAGACCAAGAGGGCTGAGACGCCATCAGCTGGGCCAATAGAGGAAGAGGAGGCAACAGGTTGGAATGTAGAATCTTGAGAAGCAGAAATATCATCCATGTTAACATCATCCGTTGAAGAAGATGAGGCAGTCTTGGATGCCTTGGCACGGTAGATCTCACGATAAAGTGTTTGATACGTAGTCTCGGATATCCATTTACGTTTGAAGCAGAAGTCGCGAGCGACGGCCAATTTGATGTTGGGAGTGTTGAGACGTTTAATCATGCGAAGCAAACGTTCTTGGTGAATGCGTGCAGCCTCAGACTGCAAAAAGAGCGGATCAGCATGGTTGGCGTACTTGGGATCCCCGAGGATGGTGGGTGCACAAGGGTCGAAGTCGGTAATCCGTTGAGAGTCAGGGAGTTGAGCCATTGCTTGCACGACAGTGGAGGCATAGTCGTTGTGAACTAAGAAACTAATGATGTGATTAGTTGGGTAATGGATATCAAGAATGCGGCTTTGAGATAAACCAAGCACCTGGAAGCCCGCACAGACTTTCGAGATGGCTTCACGTCCACGAGAGGTAAAGTACAGGGATTGGTAACCGTGGGTCGTCGAGGGAAGAGAGTAGAACCGGCTAACCTGCTCTAAAGTCAATGGCCGTTTGGCTTTGGCCTTGGGAGCTGGCTTGGTGGATGTGGAAGCCTTGGGCTTGGATTCCTTGCGTTTAGTACCGTCGGGAGATGATTCATCCGCGGGTGGTTTGGTAGCCATATCTGCCCATTGAGAGGCTGAGGTGCCCTCGGAGCTCCTTTCGAGAACAGGTGTAGTAGCAGATGGAGGTGTCGAGGTATGATTGGCAGCAGCCGACTTGAGTTGCGCTATCTCGTGGTGGTGAGCTTTATCCAAAGCGAATGGGAGTCCCTGGTTCTTTTTGATCAATTCTTGAGTCTGTTTGATCAAAGTTTGGTTCTGTTCCAGTTGTGGGTCGTGAGTCTGCAAGTGAGTGCTGACAGAGGCAAGACGTGAATAGATCTCCTGAATCCAAGTAGGCATCAGGGGAGACTGATGGATTTCGTCTGGTTTAGGTGGGTGCATGCCTTCAAGGAAGGCAGGTGGGTTGATCGCATTAGTGGAAGGCTCAACGACCATATTGGCAGTGGAGCTGGTAGAAGTGGCTGTAGGTGCAGGAGCAACGGGTGTTGCAATATTCATAGTGTCAATAAAGTCAGTAGTAGGTGCTTGGGTTCGCGGTGATCTACGTAAAGGTACCGTGATAGCTTTGATAGTGGAATGGCGACGCTTCCTAGAAGCAGCGGGAAGTTTAGAGGTTCGGTTGCCGGTTGTCGTCTGTTTGGTTAAAGTAAGACGAGAGTTGGAGGTAACTGTAGGTGTCGGCTGGCTTGACAGACCTGACTGGATTGTTGTTGGTTTTGTTTGGATCTTTACTGCTTAATGATGTTGTTTTCGGGGTTTAAAAGGCCTTAAAAACAATTTAGACGAGAGATTTAACCTTTAATAAAAGCTCTTCTTCATAGACATGTTATTGGCTATAAATTCAACTACAGCTATCGTCACTGTAAAATAAGCCAAAATTTTTCGAGTCTTAGCTGTATATAACATTAGGCTGATAAGGCTAAATACCTCGTAAAGAAAAAGTTTTTGAAGATCTGTAGCCTTATTTCCCCCATAGCCTTATATAGGACGGCCTTAAATACCGCGACTACTCTAGATAGCTATAACATCAGGCGTCTGTATTAAATTCAGTGAACGCTAGGCAGCCTCCTTCTAACAATTGATAGTGGTTGCGTCGTTATTTGTCCATGTGTTGTATGTGTACACGTGATATGTACTAATAAATATCGATATGAAATATTGAGAGATTGAGTGACAAGTGAGTTCTCACGCAATCCTTGTTGTTAAATAGTAAATGTCAATATAGTGCACCTAACAGCATGTCCACATCTATTTCATTACCGCTGAAAGCTCAATTGATAGGCAAAAGCAAATTGTCCACATAAAAAATAACGAATGCACACCTCATTTTGAAACAAGTCTTTGAAATGTTTGCCTCAAAAATAGCTTTATTGAACTATAGCCTGGTATATTTGCACTTTTGTACAGACTTGGCGTTTGTCTCTGTGGTTTCTTCTAAAATTCTTCCTGGACATCATCTGCGCCCAATGTATCGTATGCGTAAGAGTTGATTGGAAAGGATGATCCATCTCCCAACGGCTTACCCACTGGCATCAGTTTCTGCCATAAGGATCCCTTACCGAGCACTTGATCAATATTCTTTCGTGTGCCAATGTCCCATGGATTAAAGTATTTGCTTCTCATGATATCCCGACTCGATCCTCTTCCCATGCGATAGTTTGCCTTTTCGTAATACTCGATGGTGGATCTATTCTTGCATAGTTGTCTCGTATGGAAGATAGTGAAAGGCAACAAAAACAATCCAAAAATACCAGAGATGAATATCAGTAATCCCCAATTTACATTGAGGCCCAAAATGCTCATTGGGCCGTTGACTTGAATGATGGTGGGTGGTAGTGTGGTTGCAAATACGAAAACGCAGTAGGCGGATGCATATACTAGAAACAAGTAAAATGCCTTGTAGTTTTGAAATCCTACGCAATTGTTGATCCAAGGACAATGACTACATGTAATGATGAGAATGACAGGTCTTCCCTAGATTTTCAACAACAAAAAAACTTACTGATCCATCTTGAGCACACATTTTCCACATTGGCGACAGTGATGTGTTCTATCAAATTTCTCTAATTTGCATTTCTGACAGTATCGTCTATTTCCATCTCGTTTCACGGTGATCGGGACAGGGCTTCGTTGTTCTTGGTCTTGCATGGCAATCATATCTTTGTTATTGTGATCATAAGCCAAAAGCCCTACGGTATCTTCTTCTTGTTCACTCCTCTTTTTCTGCATCTATAAAACAAAGGCGTCTTAATAATTACCTCCTATCCATTGCATTCGTATGCTTACATCCAATGTAAACCCAGGCGATGTTCTGCAAACCACCCAATAACTCCACATGCAGAGGATAAAGATGGGATGATAGCATAGTATGTACAGCGACCCTAGAATATTCAGATTAGGCTTGTTGTCTTTCTTCTATGATGAGTCTATACCTTGTAATGTATGTCCTTCCTTTAAAAGGCCCATTGATAAGCTAAAGTTGAATGCCCAGTAGCTCCATGTGAATATGAGACATAGTAGAACCACAGGTGATGCATTCACCACTGTCATTATACACTGTTGAGTCTTTTTAAATGAACACCCCATGGCCAACATCGAAAATGGAATGAGGAGATGAAAAAAAAAAAAAAAAAAAAAACGAATGTGTCCCCTTATATTAATGCTTGGCTTGACGGCTGTTGAATGTCATTATTAGCTACATTTTGTTTACCAAAGAGCAACCTATTTCTCTCAGATGTGTCAAACACTGAAATGCCGGAGTCAGGAGGCTCTGCTGTGAGACCTGCTATCATAGACTCAAGCACGTTTTTACAGCTGGCTTCAGCTTGATGAATAGTATAAACTTTTTCATTAAGCCTCTGCAGAATTATATCAAATATAGCTCTGTAACATGAGAGCACCACTGACAAAACATAATCTTTGCAAGAGCAGCCAATCCTTGAGTATTTTAGGTACTGTTTTCAGAAATATATTATTAGATAAACTATAGAGCCTTTTCAAAAATAATGGTATAAGAATGCGCGATAAATAGAGTGTACTGAATCAAGCAAAAGACGAGGTATTTAGTGGTCTCGAGAAATACCACAATGACTAATAAGAATACTAATCTATAACGCATTGCATTTCTGATATCCAACTTTCTACGGTGCCCTGTTACTGAGGCTGTTTTACTTCAGAACATATACAACCTGTATGATGATATGCATAAAAAATGAAATATTGCAGAGCAGAACTCAATCTGAAAACATGCAAATACGATTAACATTAAAACATCAAGAACCATAGAATTAATTTGGACGATAAAAGTTTGGAGCGTGATTTCTAATAGCATGTTCAGCAGGCCAGCATTGATGATGGCAATGTATTCATCGAGACGCAAGCTTGGTGAGAGCTGAATTCAGAAGACTTTCCGGTGGATTTTGCATGAATTCGCGACACTGAGCATCTGTGACGGGCTTTCCTCCTTTGCAAAATAGACTTTTTGAATGAAGACTCTCTCTGCTTCTCTTCCCTTCCATTATTACAACAGCAAAGCAGACAATGCGGCATCTACTCGACCATTTGTTGAGTTACAAAAATGGCATAGAAACATCAGATCAGCTTGAAACAGCATTGGAAGAAGCAATCAAGAGAACACTTCAAGACAACACGTTTCGGTAAGGACGTACTATCAAGCAGTTGTGTCAAAACTGGATCCATTGAATCACTCTTTTTGGTAGAGTGCAACTCGGCGCATCAGATGACTATTGGAAATTATACAATGCTGCATTCTTGACACTTTCACAAGATACCAATGAGCAGTGTGTCATCAACCTGATCAAACTGACTCGAAACATCGTAGCAGGCGAATATGAAAACCAGAAGTTAGCCATGTGAGTTTTTGCTTGTCATGGTGGAAACCAACATCGATAGCTCATTACTTTGAGAAAGTCAATATGGAGCATTGTACAGGATTGAGGAGTTTTTAGCCGAGAAGATTGCTAGCCCCAGTAAATAGAGAGACAACTATCAATCTTACTCGAACCATGATCTAACAGTATCATTTGACAGGCGATAACACTACAATACTGCAAGTGTGTACGCAAGCCATTTGCAACATGATTACCAATAATGCAACAGCCATTGATTTCATATGGAAAGTGTGGATGTCGAATGAAAAACGGGGATCTGTATGGAGTTACATGTTATCCAAGAGCGATACTACCTTGATTATGAGCACACTTGTGTTGATTATCAACTGTATTCGAGGCAGCCAACAGAGATGGTGAGTTGGGGATGCATACGAGACTAGTAAGCTTCCGGTGAATAACTGACGTATTACCAATGACTAGTGATCTACTAGTGTCCAAAAAGATGGGCCAAGATATCATTGCTGCTATATTAGGAGATATAGAAAGGTTACATGGATACGAACAAGACAAAAATTTTGAATTGGGGTAAAGTTTAATTTCTAATTTTTCTCACACGCACACAACAGAGTTACTCAAAAGAAGCAATGCTCATAGGTATACAGTCATTAGTGAATTAATTACATTTGGCCATTTCAACACTCTATATCAACATGTCGATGATGCAAGGTGAGTCTAACAACTTTGAAAGCGTTGCCAGATCCTCCCGTTTACTTGCATTCCACAGCGACAAGAATCCAGTCAGTGATCATCAAGTGATCTTGTTGAAGTTACTCGACTCCAAAATTCATGCGCATCAGAAAGAACAGAGCTTCCCAGCTTTCATTCGGCACGAGGAACTGAAGTTTCTCACTGTTCAATTGAACCTGATTGGAAAACAGGCATTGCAAGTGATTGTACAAGTCAAGGAAAATGGAAGTCAGTTGCAACCTGATCAGATTTCCAATGTTTACACGGCCATTGTCCTGCTGCTCCAGATTTTAAATGAACTGTTTGTGCTGGACGAAGATCACTGCCACGGCACTAAGCCTCTCTTGGTGGATGCCGATGCACTGACGCTTGTTACCGGTAGGTGTTTTATGTCGAAACTCACACCATGAAGCTCGCTCATGCTGAACGAAAACAGACATGCTGGGTCATCTCGAGACACTCAAGGTCCCAGCACCTACACCAGCGACATCTCAGAACGATGATACTGATCCGCAAGCAGGGTTTCATTTTCTCAAAAGAGAATGTGTTCGTATGATGGGAACAATGTGCTATAAAGACAAGTCCATGCAAGACAAGGTTTGTTTTCTGTAATCAAAGTTTCAAATGGCTCTGTTAACCTCTCTCTATATCCTGCGTATAGATTCGCCAATTGGGTGGAATTCCACTTGTTCTGTGTCAGTTCAAAATCGATGATTCAAATCCATGTAAGGAGTGTGATGAGAAACTTGGGTGGAAGCCAAAATGTCATGAGATTTAACCTTTATAGGGGCTTTTTTTGCTTACATGTCCAATTTTAGATCTTCGAGAGTATGCGACAGTTGCTTTGCGTAATATCATGGAAAATAACCCAGAGAATCAAAAGCTGATAGAGGAACTTAAGCCTGAACAAGTGGTAGAGACAGAAGAGTTGAAACAAATGGGTATTGTGCCAGAACTTACGCAAGATGGCAAGTTACGCATAAAACGGCCATAAAATTTTGGGGTTGTAAATTTCCTGATGCTCGTTTTGTGCGACATGGTACCTTTTACTGCTTGCTTTTTTTCTCCCTCCTTCTTTTGGATAGTCACTGACGAGAACAAAGCACTTTAGAATAAGCTTATAGTACCTATTTTTTTTTTTTGCCTTTCTTTCTTGTTTATACAACAAAATAAAAAACAATGGCTCCTGCTTTCCAACCTCCTTATTCTATTCCAGTGCCTGGTGCTGTTCAAAAAGAGGGCGAGACCGTGCCTCACCGTCATTTCAAATTCGCAGATAAACTTGTTGATCATCCTGAAAATGTCTATACTTTGTGGGACATGTATCTTCATGGCTACAAGCTGGCTGGTGGTAAGTCTTGAGCTTGAGTCAATTGCTTAGAGAGACACACACATACTCAATCTTCATCTTACACAATTAGACAGACCATTCATGGGTACCCGTCGTATTGAGAACGGTGTTGCCAAAGAATACGTTTGGCAAAGTCATCCCGAAATTTACAAGCGTATTGAAAACTACGGTAAAGGTCTAATCCAACTTGGCTTGAAACGTCAACAAGCTATTGGTGTCTATGCTGTGAACAGACCTGAATGGGTAAATAGTTATGCTGCATTGCATTGAAAATCAAACCAGCGCTCACACACCTTGATAGACCATGACAGAACTCACTGCTTACAGACAAGCTTTCATCATTGTCGCGCTCTATGATACTTTGGGTGCCGAGGCAATGGAATACATTGTTAACCAAGTTGACATGGAGTTTATCGTTTTGAGCGCCGATAAGCTTGCCAATATCACCAAGCTTAAAGGCCAGCTTCCATCTATCAAGACGGTCATTATCATGGATGATACAATTGAAGCTTCAGCCAAGCAATCTGCAGAATCTGCAGGTTTAGCTGTTTATACCTTCAAAGAGGTAGAAGCATTAGGCGCTCCTATTACCGAAGAAACTGAATTAGCTAAAGCAGATGATATTGCAACAATTTGTTATACCAGGTAAGAGCAAGCACGAGAGAAAAGGGGGAGTACGGAATAGGGAGAGAAAGAGAGAGAGAGAGAGAGAGAGAGAGAGTGTGTGTGTGTGTTTGGGGGGGGGAAAGGGGAAGGAGAAGGAAAGTTCAGGGAATCATAGGAAAAATATACTGTGTGTGTGTGTGCTCTTTGTGCTTGTGTATTTTGTCTAACTTATCTCTATCATAGTGGTACCACAGGTGTTCCCAAAGGTGTTGTCTTGACTCAAGCAGCTAGTGTAGCAGCCATTTCTGGTATTTCTGCTGTGGGTGACAAAGGAACATTTGCCTTGATCACAAAGGAAGATGTCTACATTTCTTATCTCCCTCTTGCTCATGTATTTGAACGTGCTGCTCAAGGTATTCATTTGTTCAAGGGTGCAGCTCTTGGTTATTATCAGGTACAGTGTGCAGTGGCAGTCCATCAGTCTTGATTTAATCAATTCATACAAATCTTACTTGTGTACAGGGCGACACTCTCAAATTATTGGATGATATTGCTGAATTGAAGCCAACCGTTTTTTGCTCTGTCCCTCGACTTTTCAACCGTATTTACGATAAAGTGTTGGCTGGTGTCAAGGCCAAGGGTGGCGTCTCTGCCTATCTCTTCAACTCTGCTTTCAATGCAAAGAAGGCCAACCTCAACAAATCTGTCAATCACTGGCTTTGGGATCGTGTTGTTTTTGCTGGTGTAAGTTTGTATAGATCGAGATAGAGACTCAAAGGACTCATGCTATTATCTCTAGATTCGTCAAAAATTGGGCGGTCGTATTCGATTTATCCTTAGTGGTTCTGCACCTGTTTCCCCCGATGTAATGGATTTCATGCGTATTTGCTTTTCTGCCAAGGTGTTTGAGGGCTACGGACAAACCGAGAACTTCTGTGCTGGTTGCTTGGTAAGAGATATTGGCAGAGAGTTGATTATCATGATGACTAACATGCTCACAGACCATCTCGGATGACAATACTTCTGGTGTAGTTGGTGTACCCTTCCCATGTTCTGAAATCAAATTGGTAGATGTACCAGACATGGAATACCATGCCACAGATAAGCCTTATCCTCGTGGTGAGATTTGTATTCGTGGTAACTCATTAATGCGTGAATATTACAAATCGCCTGAAAAGACGGCAGAGACAATTGATCAAGATGGTTGGTTACATACTGGTGATATTGGTCTATTTGATTCTGCAAACCGTGTAGTCATTATTGATCGTCTCAAGAACATTTTCAAATTGTCTCAGGTACGGGTTTTTCATACATTGTTTGGTAGTAATTGAATTCAGCGTGACTAAGCATTCACATCTCTCTTATATATAGGGTGAATACATTGCTCCGGAAAAAATTGAAGGTGTCTATCAAAAGCACGAGCTGGTAGCCCAAGCCTATGTCTATGGTGATTCCATGCAAGCTTCTTTGGTAGGCGTTGTTGTCCCCGACAAGGATTCTTTCCCTGCATGGTTGGCCAAGAACCATGCTTCTGTCAATGCAGATGAAGCGCTTGAAAATGAGGATGTCAAGAAGGATTTACTAAAGACCTTGAACGCATATGGTAAACAAAACGATCTCAAGGGCTTCGAGCAAATCAGAGCTATTTACTTGACCAACGATGAATTCACTATTGATAACGATCTCTTGACACCTACATTCAAATTGAAGCGTGAAACTGCAAAGAAGGTGTACCAATCCCAAATTGAGGCCATGTATGCTACTTTGTCTAATGGAAGAGCTTTCAACTAAACGATCACTTATAACCCCAACTACCATTTTACGCCGCAATTTCTTTTTATCTCTTGTTTATTGTGTATACATAAATTTAATACTCGTTTTTCCTAATACAAGATGAAATTTGGTGGACGTCTATAGTTTGTGTACTCCGTAGAGCTAAATTCTGAACGTATGCATTACGAAAAGAATCATGTATACAGCCGAGACATGTGCAAGAGTACATCAACGCAGCAAAATCATATGCCGTTGCGCACAGTTTTAAAAGAGTGCTGTATTTCCAATATCGTACTCGATCATAAATTGCTAATATTCAAAAGATATTGATACACGGCCTATTTTTACGTTTTGATGGCTGTTGTACACTAATGAAAAGCTCATTGTACTACTACAGCTCTTGCCTCCTCAGCAAACTGTATTACAGTCTTCCTTCCACGATATACAGTTTTGCCGAACAAGAACAATGAGTTACCTTGATCGATCCTTGCGCTTTCGTCCTCCAGAGCTGAATCAAATCGTTATTATGGCTATCTTTACAAAATATCTGTATACCGCTCATTTGCGGCAGTATCTCTATACATGAGCATGCAGGCTTTTTGACTGATATCAAATCATTGAAACAGGAACTGAAAGCATGATCATATTCTAAATCAGTGAAAATCCCGGTAAATCACACTTGAACATGAAGGATATTGAACAACAGCCATCCTAATGTGATTAGCCAATTCTACACTCTCTTTCCATAAAAGCTCACATCAAGACCTTACCAACCATATCGAGCATCCGTTACGATGATGATGATTTGACACACTTTTTATATCAAGCAATATATGCCGCTGCCCACTGCCGCCACCGCCAAGTGTTTCTTGGAGAGCGCGATACGTCATGGCAAGACATGATTTATGCAATACACGTGGGCTTTAAATGAATAACATTTTAGAATACAATGGCATTGTTTGAATGCTCATATGCCGACAAAAGAGAGAAAACCAAGGTACCGTCATCTAGGGAACATGTCTTGCACAATGGATGAAGGATTTCTAGACACAAAGGAGCAATTGTGTGCGTTGTGTATCACCTTGAAATTAAAAGCTTATCGTCATTCTTGAATCACATGAAAATTTAGCAAAAAAAAAAAAAAAAAGTTAGAGTATAAAACCCCATCCAGAGAGTAGATTTATCTGCTCTTTTCTTACTCTTTTTCTCATATACTTTAAAATGACCAACTGGACCATTTCTGTAAGTGCCAACGTCCATTTCCCTTGTGTCTATGATACCATAAACTCATACATGCATATAGATCCCCGAAACCCCCTCTCCCAATTACGTACTTGTCAAGAACATTGCTCTTGAATCCACCGAGCAAACTGGTAAGTTCTATTTAAATGACAAGACGCGTGTGTGTCAGCAACGAGTGCATACTGATGTGTGGAAAATGGATCTCTTTTAGTCAAGGAATTTTTCTTGTTTTGTGGTAAAATTAAGGAATTTGAATTGAAAGTGTAAGTGCAATCACGAGTTGACAAAGGATTCTGTACTCATAGCAGTATATATATATATATATATATATATATTCAGTGATGAGGAGGACGAAAAGCATCAAGTTGCATTGATCCACTTTGAACGCGAGTCTGCAGCCAAGACTGCTGCCCTCTTGAGCAATGGTAAAGTTTATTTTTGTTGGGGATATAAACAAAATGTGTAACCAGTTTCATGTTCTCATTCTGTAACATTTGATATATAGCCTTGATTGATGAAAGCCATATTGTCGCATCACCTTATTTCGACATTCCTAGTAGCCCCTCAGCTGATAACGAAAGATCTGTCGAGAGCCCTGAACAAAACGAAACTCAAGAAGGCAAGCCCAAGTCTCGCATTGCTGCCGAGATCTTGGCTAACGGCTACATGCTTCAGGATCACGTCGTTGCCAAGGGTCTTGAATACGACAACAAGTACAATGTCAGTTCTCGTTTGACTGGATTCTTGTCTAGCTTGCAATCCAGCGCAAAGCAATTCGATGAAAAGTATCGAATCTGGGATAAGGCTGTTGGTATTGATCAAAAATACAAGATTGGTGAGAAGGTTCAAACCGCTGCTCAAACTGCTCAAACCAAGGCCCAAGCTGCTCTTCAAACACCTACTGGACAAAAGGTACAAGACCTTGCTAATCAAACATTGGCTCAAATCGCCGCTGTTCATTACGAAGCCAAAAAGATTCAGGTAAGTTGGTTGATGGGGATGGGGTTGTAGAGAGCGAGTGTTTCTAACACACAGCACAATAGGGCGAAAAGTTGAGCTCTCATGGTGCCTCTTCTCCCTCTACATCTTCTACTGCTGCCGTTGCTGCTACTGATGCCAAGACCACCGAGGCTGCTGCTGATGTTAAGACTGCTTAATGAATCCTTGACAACACAAGCATGCGAAAAAAAAAACTCAATTATCACCTTGCCGTAATAATGATTCCCCATATCTTTCTCTCTCTCTCTCTCTCTCACCTCTTATAGTGCTATCATACGCAATAAAATAATATATATTCCTGCAAGATGCATTGGATTGACAGTTTAAAGTAATTGAACGATAGGATACGTAATCATCAAGATGGAGGCAAAGAGTTTATTGATTTGGCCTCGTACAGTAGTAAATAACATACTGCAGTAGGAGCTAATGCTGTTCCAAGTGGCGGTCAAAGGCAATGCTGAAGCGATTTGATGCGAGCACTTGACAGTCGGTGCCAGCAATTGCTGCACCGCATAAACATGTGCCAATCACTATCATTGCTGGTTTCTCTGTAAATCAATCAGCGCTCGATTTAGATACTGAATTATATCAAGTGAACATCTTGATAGCATCTCGGTAGTATCTTAACGTCGAGACACGACCACAAATTACCATTGAAAATTGGAGGGGGGGGGGATTCAGGGTAATTTTATTGACATGAAATGTACGCTTGACATGTCTTTCCTTTGATTTTGCAAATAATAATAATAAACTATGGGTACTCGTCTATTTAATTTCAAGAAGCATAAGAACTTTGACTTTATACATAGATTCAACAAGGATGATGCTTTTTGCGACTATTGCCTTGAATTTTGGATGAACTATGCTCGGTCTGATCAAAAGTTCTTTTTCTCGATTGCTCGCCTTTGAGGCTTGGCAGCACATGGTCATTTGATACTTGTTGAGGTGTGCTAGCAGCCGTCGTAATAGTAGCTGCTGCTGCTGCTGCTGCTGCTTTAGACATGTTGGTTTTTGAGAGCTTGTTGAGAGTATTAGAAGGCGCAGACAATGGCATCATATTCATAGGCTGTGCCGGATCACTAGCTTGAGTTCTCTGACGAGATGGCATTGTAGTCAGTGTTTTGTATATAGTTGTATTGCTCTTTGGATAGCTGTTGTGAGCTTTGAGTGATAAAATGTATCTTTTAGGACTATTGCCTTGCATCGTGGAAGCACTGTGCTCTGTCTGATCAAACGATCTTTTCTTGGATTTCTCGTTATTAAACCTTGACGCCATATTTTTTGGGATACGAAGAGGAGAGATGGAATCGTCATGAGTTGCATCAACCGTGTTTGATTGAGTTAGTACAACAGCGTCTGGTTCGGTTGTTGTTGTTGAAGTTGTGCTTGCTTCAGTCAAAGGCATCAAAGGCTGTTCAGCTGAAGGAGGTAGTGAAACTGAAGGACATGTAGCAATTGGCTCACTAGAAACTTGTCGAGATGGTGCTGGTAACGTGCCGAATCTCTTATTTGGGGCTTCAAGTCTTTCGCCTTGTGTTGACTCTCTAGGTGTTGCCACTGTAGGTCTAGGCAAGTGGGGTGAGACTTGTGCAGAGGTTGATGCAGAGAAATCTCCAGTTGCTGTGGCCCCTGACACTGACACTGTGGTAACATTACTCATTTTAGAAAACACTCGTTTTGGTTCCGTTCTAGATGCTAATGTAGATGATTTGGGTGACTTTTGTGATTTGGGTGACTTTTGTGATTTGGGTGCTGCCGCTAAGAATGGCCTTCCTAAAAGTGAACGCTACAAAAGATGTACGCCGTTAGTTTGCTGGGCATTTTTTAAGCAGCTTGTTGGCGCAACACCTACCATGATATTCTCTTTTGCTGATTTAACATAAGCCTGAAGCTTTTCTGTAATGCGCTCTTTTAAAGGCTTGCTCTTGGGGGCGATCTCGTTGACAATGAACTTGATGGAGTCTTGTACGGTTGGGGTTCTGCCCAGCAACTTGACATCTTCCTCCGAACAATCGGATGGAAGTGGATTCAAGCGCACGTAGTTCTTTTTATCCATATCGTAGACCCATTGACACATGAAACCAAGATCTGCAATGTGAAATTTTTTAAGATAGTCCAGAAGGAACTTTTCCTCGAATCGCTTCTGCAAGACGCGTAATACTTGATCAGTGCTGTTGTTGTTGCCTTCATACACTCTCAGTAATGCTCTGAAGACAGTACTTTCAACGTCAACTAGGTAATTACAGCCGGCTAAAGATAACATACAGATGTGTCGAAAAGTGTCAGCACCGTATGTTCGAAACTTGTTTCTCTTGTCATTGGATACTCTATCCATGCAGAACTCGATATATTCTTCAGAGATAGAACTCTTGTGAATAAACTTTGGACAACCAAAAGCCAAGAGCTCAGGATCCTCAGAGACGACAGCATCCACCTTGCCTGTCTTTACCAAGTATGTCAGTTGAGCAGCAATTTCGCATGGCGCTACAATGCATTTAATCTTCTTTTCTATCAATTCCTGCAGAGTAAAGTCAGTAAAAAGGTATAAACCATCAAAAAAAAAAAAAAAAAGGGAATACTTACTGCAATGGTGGCAATGGCCATGTCATCTGAGATGTCTAATGATTCCACAATGCTAGACTCAATTTCAAAAAGCTCTTCTTGTTCCTGCAGATTCGAGTGTCTGTTCATTGCAGCATGACGGGCTCTACATCAAAATGCATGATCAATGACAATGATATGGTTATTTGATTGCACTACCAAAACTTACTTGCGATATTCATAATTCATGCTTTGCTTGAAAGGGAGAGTGAGACCGCCAAAGACCACAATAGGTGTTGCACCATTTTCTTCAAGCAACTGAATAAATTTCAGCAAATAGTCGTTATATCTGCAGGAAAATCTTGTTAATATAAGATCAACGGAATAGATATTAATACTTACGCATTGACGGGATGATTCCACGCAAGCGCCAACGTAGCACGGGAAGCTCCCTCAAGAAGAAAGTCATCACCATCGATGGCAACAGTTTTACCTTTGTATTCTGAGAATTTGATGGTTCTTTGGTTACGGTCAATCGATTGCAAAAGCACGCCAGTATTTCCCATAGTAAGAAAGTGTTTCATTGTAAGCTTATATTCTTTTTTGTTCTGTATTTATGAATTTAATGAGTGATAAATGAGAAAACAAGTGTGTAGCTTGGATATGAAACAGTAAAAGAAGACAGTGAAAAAGCTTAAAGCAAAATAGACTAGTTGTATATCAATGCATATATTTTTCGCGTTTTGTAGTGACGTCTGCATCCCATACTGTGCAATAGCTCAGTGCTCAGATCAGCCATTACGCCAAGCACACACACATGTATTGACTCTATATACTTGATACTTGAAACGCCACTCCTTTAAATTAGATTATCGGCAAGCCACCGCGTCCGACCTCTTCAATATATTGCCTTTTGGGGGGGAGGGGGGGAATACATACAAAGCAAGAACGTCTTGAACATGAATTTGATCTGTTGATTGACCTTGATTAACCTTGATTGACCTTGATTAACCTTGATTGACCTTGATTAACCTTGATTGACCTTGATTAACCTTGATGCTAGGACTCATACATTGCATTTCTTGGGTTGACACTAGCACAAATAGTTAAACCGCAACTGCATTCATTCGTTCCTGATTTGCAGCTCACATTCTTATTACATGAGACATTATGCAATATATGAATGCAATATATGAATGCAATGTTGAATGCAATATATAAATGCAATATATAAATGCAATGTTGAATGCAATATATAAATGCAATATATAAATGCAATGTTGAATGCAATATATGAATGCAATATATGAATGCAATAAAGATGTAGACGATACCTAAATGCATTCTATAATCAAGAAAGTGCAACCTTTATTTTAAAACTAGAACAGCCTATTTTTGACACCAAATATGCTCTTGGTATCGTACCTGCAGTGTATATTTACGTCAATAAAGGGTTGCTACTAGTAGATGTTGCGCTAATCTCTGTGCATTGCCTGTTGATGCTCAAAAATATGCAAAACACGGCAAAATTTGGATGCATTTGAGCAGTGGTTTCTGGTGGTAGAAGCCGTTTCAAGCTGTCAAAATAGCCCCAAATAATTGCTCTCATCTAGCATTTACTTGCTGATATCTTTGCTCAACTTTTTTTAGGACCCCAAAAAAACATGGCCAAAAATCGACCAAAAAGCATGAGATACCCCTCATGGTTTTCATTGAAAATCAAACAATCGCGTTTTTTGACCTTGATAATGAAGACTTTTACTATGGTATATCATGAATCAAAATGTTTCTCTCGATCCAAAGCAACCTCTGAAACCACTTTTGCGAGGCCTTTATATGCAAAATCTTGACATTTTGGCCAAAAACCGCTTTTCATATTTTCTTGAATTGCTCGATAAATTCAGTCAAAACATTTATTTTACTCGGCACCATTGGAAACGCCTTGAAACGTACTCCAAGAATGTATTAGAAAGCATCGGATAATAACCGCAATTCGTATAGTCGAATCCAACATAATAGATTAAAGAAGTCGACAAAAGACAAAATTTGGCCAATCTTGAGCAGAAAAGTGCTCTGAGCTTAAATGAGCTCAGGCCCTGCTGCGGACTAGCCTAAATGCCTTTTTGATGACAATAATGATGATTGCGATGCTGATTAAATGGGAATTATGGAATTGAAAAGACAGTTGCTTGGTCCAAGTATTTTTTTTGAGATTTTTTTTTCCCTATAAAGGGGTCTTTTGCAATGACAATATCTCAAAAAAATCGCTATAGATCTTACACAAGCCTTGTATATACGCATGGCCAGCTTTATGTCGCCATCTCAAGAGCAGCATCAGCGAATGGATACCCCCCCCCTCCCCCCTCCTAACTTTGATATATGTTTTTTTTTAGAATCTACTGAATATGCTAGATTTTTATTATCTCTGATTTGGAATGTCTTCGATTCAATGACACTTGGGATACCATTGCGTGGGCGTAGACACATTTGCTTATACCGACTACAGTCACCATCAGATCAGCCACGCTTTACCACGTTCTTTACAGGTTCAACAATTATTGAGAGCAATTGCAATACCTTCATGTGCATTGAGATTCAACATCATGCCTCCCGGGACAGGTGATAAGATCGCATGTCTGCAGTAATGATAGCTTTTCCATGCAGCAGCAGATACACAACTCATGAAAGGGAGAGCACATCACACCGTATTGCTCATGAAAAATCCAATAAATGGTATGTTACTCCATCACAATGATGCACTTGGATCGACGACAGTCATCTCAGATCGAACAAATACACACATGTCAAGGTCGTCAAAGCACAGTAATAACCCTTTGTGTTGGGTTGATTGTGCGACGCATGCTTTATTCAGGGAGCCAAAAAGAGTTACACCAAAGCCTTGAGCTATAAAGATGATATCATTGTTTCTGTCTCTCTCTCTCTCTATCTTGCTAGACCCAAATCTAAATGATATATTACATTCTCCTTCAAAGCCAAAGCCTACATTGAATGTTGCTTCATTATTACTTTGAGGAATGGACCAGAGGCACGGTAGCTGTCAGCATTGAATGGGTATGTACTTTCAAATGACATGATATAATCATGATCTCCACACACACACACACACACACACCACACATTGACCCCCTCCCCCCCAAACATTTATATATATAAAAACGGTCAGGCTGGGCATCTCATTTTGTTCCAGCAACCCCGAATATGAAATAAGTTGTATATATATGTGTGTGTGTGGGTGGGTGTATGTGTAGGTGTATGTGTGGGTGTAGAAGCAATTTTTCCCTCTCTTTCTCTGTTATTCTCCTTTTTCTTTCTTTCTTGATAATATACTTTTATAATAGAGGATAATCAATACATCATTTATGCGCTCACCTATGGATTTAAGAGTTGGAAATAAGTATAGAATTGGTAGGAAGATTGGTGCAGGTTCGTTTGGTGATATTTACCTCGGTAAGCTTTTTACACACAAAGAAACGCTTAAATGGAACTCGTTCTCACCTTGACCATTCTATAGGAACCAACTTGATCACTGGAGAAGAAGTGGCCATCAAATTAGAGTCTGTCAAGGCCAAACATCCACAATTAGAATACGAGGCCAAAGTCTACAAAGCATTATCTGGTGGTGTAGGTGTGCCTTTTGTAAGGTGGTTTGGTGCAGAATGCGATTACTATGCCATGGTCATTGATCTTTTGGGACGTAAGTTATTCATGTAGTAGCCGTTTTTCGTGTATAATGCATTGCTGACTTGTTTAAATAGCCTCGCTTGAAGATTTGTTCAACTTTTGTAATCGCAAATTCACATTAAAGACAGTGCTTTTGTTGGCAGACCAAATGGTAAATATATATAACATATATATTTGTATTAAGGAGCTTTGTATACACATACATATCATGACCAACATTCTCCTTAATTTCTGATTTCTTTGCTGACTCTTTATTATGATGTAGCTTTCTCGTATTGAATATGTTCATTCAAAGAATTTCATTCATCGTGATATCAAGCCTGATAACTTTTTAATGGGTATCGGTAAAAGAGGCAATCAGGTCAATGTCATTGATTTTGGTCTCGCCAAAAAGTATCGTGATCCTCGTACGCATCTCCATATCCCCTACAGAGAGAACAAGAACTTGACTGGTACAGCTCGTTATGCCAGTATCAATACACATTTGGGTGTTGGTAAGTGAATGCTGATGGTGGTGGAAAGGAGAGAGAGAGAGAGAGAGAGAGAGAGAGAGAGAGAAAGAAAGAAAGAGAGAGAGAAGAGCAAAGAGTAGACAGAAACTGATGTACACTATTTTGCAGAGCAATCAAGACGTGACGATTTGGAATCACTAGGCTATGTGCTCATGTACTTTTGCAGAGGCTCTCTACCATGGCAGGGATTGAAGGCAACTACAAAGAAACAAAAGTACGATCGCATCATGGAGAAGAAGATGACGACTCCCACTGAATTATTGTGTCGTGGCTTCCCAAGTGAATTTGCTATTTATCTCAATTACACCCGCTCTTTACGTTTCGATGATAAACCTGACTACTCTTACCTTCGTAAGTTGTTTAGAGATTTGTTTGTAAGAGAAGGTTACACCTACGATTATATCTTTGATTGGACCGTTTACAAGGCTGTAAGTATATGAGAGAGAGAGAGAGAGAGAGAAAGGACGTTAACATGGTACATTATAGAATGAACATGAGGCCAAGACAAAAGCACCAAAGGACGATGCCGTTAAGCGCGAGCAAAAGATAGCAGAGGCCAGTAAGGATTCGCAACAACAGCAACAACAACAGCAACCTCAATCATCCCAACAACAACAGCCACCTCAGGATGGAGGATTTCCTACCTCTTCTTTCCGTCGAGCAAATCCCACTCCTTATGTAGCAAAGCCATAACTCTATTTCACACATACACAACTATATAAACAAAGTAATATTCCTCATCCATTCTCTTTCTCTCTCTTTTTACACATAGGATTACAATGATATATACATAAAAAAAAGCGCTGCTAAAATACATTTAATTGTTTATATATATATATATATATCAAAGTTTAAGCATGATAATCTCCAGTCAATTCCATCTCGACACCAAATTGTTCATAAGACACTTTGTATCTCAAACGCAATGGTTCCTGAAAAAAAAAAAAAGTTTGTTTGTGTTGGATCATCTTTTATACCTTTTGATGAGGAGCTTCACATTCAATAATGCCTTACCTTATTTGGATTGTTCAAGACAATGCCTTGGGTAACAGACTTATCTGATTTAGGTGGTATGATTTGAGAGGATTGAGGCTCCATTTTGATTTGCATAGACTACATAAGAAAGAAGCATGTAAGTTGCATGAATGCGAGCGATGGATTGTCGTTCTATAACAATGTCTTACCTTGGGTGCAGCCAATCTCAACATCAGCTTTTCCATAGGAGCAGTAGATTGATTAGAGAAATAGGCCCTGATCTGGCAAACACTGTCATGAGGGTTCTTCATCTGTAATTCGATCTGCAAACCATTCTTATTGACCAAAATAGCTAAAGAAACAAAAAGAAGGCATTAGTGTGTGTGTGTGTGTGTGTGTAGACATGTCATTGTGTTGGCAGTATGTTACCTGACTCAACATGAGCAGCATCTTGACTAGAGTTAAATACAGGAGATGGAGTTTGCTGTTGTCTAGTTTGTGATGGCACATTGATATTGGAAATGGAGGGCGAAGCAATCTCTGAATGAGAAGCTAAAGGAGAAGGGTTGTTGGGAATACCGCCGCCCAAGAGGTCAAAGATGTCATTGCTTTTCTTGGGCTGTTGTTGCTGTTGCTGCTGAGGAGCTGGAGAAGAAGATGAAGCGCCCAATAGATCAAAAGCAGAGAGTGGTTGTTGCTGCTGTTGACTAGATGAAGGTGGGGGTGGAGATGAAATACTACTGCTACCAAAGAGATCAGATAATTCATTCAAGGCACTCTTGTTGTTGATACTAGGGCTTGCTGATCCAGTAGATGAAGACATTGCGGGTGTATCATCCAAATCAATCAAACTGATGGCTTGTTTAGGCTCCTCTGTTGTGTTGGTGTCTTGCGTAGGTGGTTTTCCACTAATCTCGTACTGGGTATCATACAATCCCTTCTTTACGTCAGCGAATTTGGCCATCACATTGTTAATCATGTCATTCAATGTAAGCAGGTTTTCTATTGTGTTTTAATATTTTAGTATCTGGATCCACCACATGAAGATTCAATGCGATTTATACCAATCTTGTCGTTATCTTCTTCCTCTGTAATCATCTTTTGAATCTTTGGCTGAGCGCTAGCACAAGCACCTTTCAAATCCTGTACAAGTGGATTTTAGTATTAGTCTCTCTCTCTCTCTTTTAAATGAACACCTCTTACCATGATGGTCTCATTTCTATCCACTTTCTCTCCAGGTTTAATAGTTTCCAACATCTCATACAATAAGATGGCTTTATCCTGAATCTTGTGAAGTTCATCTTCAAACTTTTGGCTGTAATCAGGAGTTTGTCTCGTATCCTAGATCATCGACACATGTTGGTTTATCGTGATATCAGCGATACACCCCCCCCCCTCTCTCTCTCTCTCTCTCCTTCTACCTACAAATCCAGACATGATCTTCATCAATCGATTGGCTTCAACTAGATCTTGAGGTCTACCACGACGAATCAATTCTTGCAATTTCTATAAAAAAAAAAACGGTTAAAACCTTTCAAGCCATAAATTCCCCCATATTCAAACAAACTGACAGCTGATTGAGCAACACGATCTTCCTCCTCCAATTCATGGGCTGATTTTAAAGACTGTATATATAGGATGGTGTGAGATTTCACGCAAATTGAATAACCTGCATGGCAAAGACTTACATCCGAAGGTGCTAATGCAGCTACTGAAGAGTCTCTCAGTTCAGGGAATCGATAACCTAATATCTTATATCAACATCTCTTCATCATGCGTAAAAAGAAGATAGATTTTTTTTTTTTTTTTTTTTTTTACCCTTGAATCTCAGCAATCGATACATATCTTTGATATGAACCAGGTCATCCTTATGTCTCGACATGTCTGTCAACGCAACCTTCCATTCCTTGATAAAATAAAGAATTCTTTGCACTACAGGGCTAGGAAAAGGCTATACGGCAATGAGTCATCCACAGAAATGTGTATATACTAATTTCCCCCCCCCCCCAACTTACTGCAGGACGCTCTGGAAATTTGCGAACCAATTCATTCAAGAATTCTTTCGAGGCAATTTGAAGGTGAAATGGGTAACCGCAATTCTTGACGCAGTTGTCTAGTAACTAATTTCATGTGTGAATACAAGATGTGCTGAACAAGCGTAAATTGCTCCTCTCTTACTGTGAGTGCCAACATGGCCTGGTTCAAATTCTTGCTATTGACTAATTTTACGATAGCAGAAGCAGCTTCTCTTGGACTACAGATGTTATAGCTAGAGTCATTAACCAGGCAAAATATATATACATGCTCAGCATGGAGAGACACTTACGCTGAGCCTTGTTTTTTGTTAATCATTTCACAAATCTCGAGATTAAGACTTAATTCAGGTTCATAACGCGCAGGACTACACGCTCCCTCTAATGCAACATACGATTAAGGAGCTGTTTTTTATTTGCTGAAGGTCATTCATTTTTTTTTTTTTTTACCTATGATGGCGATTAATGTACTCGGCATGGGCTGTTATTATGTAATTCCAACAAGCAAGAAAAAAATAAAAGTTAAAGAAAAAGGGAAATAGAAGAAAGAAGGGGCGGGCTAGATACGATGATGATGAATATTACAAAATTCCGTGTGTGTGTGTGTGTATATATGAAATATGGTTTCGCTTTTGTGTGCAACGTCTGGTAAAATAGCCATGGGATTAAATAGCCGCATATCTTGTTGATATGATAAAGCACACTCTTTCTCTTCTCTTTTTCTTATTTTCAAACACTACTACAAAATGAACGAATTTGCAGATATTCATATACGTTGGAACAATGGTCAAGATTTACTGCTGACTGTATCTTTGTATAATGATAACATGGGAGATATCAAGCAGCTGGTAATGTAGCTCTCTCTCTCTCTCTCTCTCTCTCTCTCTCTCTCTCTCTTTCTTACAGCTCTCTAATACACTTGTTTCTGTAGATTCGAAAGAATGCTGTTGAACAAACATCCAAGAAAACGATTCGCTTGATACACCGGGGACAGCTACTCAACAACGATTTATACACATTGTCAGACTACGGCATCCAACAACAACACATCTTTATCCATTGCGCTTTATCAGATCCCATTATTCCAACCAACATTATTTATGACATTGAAACTACAGACAAAAATGATGTAAACATGAATGATATCACTATGCAATGAAAGGCGCACTAATTGAATAATCTCATAGTCCATTTCTGGGTTTGATAAACTGCGTGAATCTGGTTACAATGAAGAGGAAATTCGCTCCATACGACTGCAATTCCATCAAATGCAGTCAACATCCAACTATGTAGATGGAGGTACATGTTGCTGTCGATAGACCTTTAGCACACAGCATCTCAAAAAAAAAAAACGTTTCATATAGAGCCACCTAGTGATCAAGATTTACAACTGGAAGAAGAATGGATGGAGCATACTGGCAGAAGATTACCAGAAGGATGTAAGCATATAAAGGCGGATATACAATTCAGCCATGACACTAAAATCCATACGCTCCTATCGATGCAGACGCACAAGGTTCATTCAAAGAGATGATGTGTGGATTACTATTGGGCTGTTTCTTGGGAGTTTTATGCTTGTTTTGGGTTAGAGAATCTGTATTTACCAGGAGACATCAGATGGGTAAAGTTGGCATATTCTCATCATAATGTGTGTATGTGGCTAACCCCATCCATTTCACATTTTAGGTATTTTAGCTGGTATGCTCATCAATGTGTCTTGCGGCATCAACTATGTATACTACTAAGCCATCTGTGAATCACCCTATACCCTATATCTTATTTATTGCATTAAAGTATTTTCCATCATAACAAACAGTCGTGGCGAGCTTTCTTTTTGTACATGTTCCATTTGGACGTTGAATTGCCATGGCAAAAACACAATTGTTTGACAGTTCAACTTTCCAAGGCGTTCTCTCCTGACTATTTGACAGGTCCATGATTACCATCCATGCGTACACAGGCATAGGAAGCCATGGCATGTCAGCCTGTATCACACAGTTCAATACTGCATATTTGATGCCTTGCTTGCTCTTACTTTGCTCGCTTCACCAAGGGTATAAAAGCTATAGAGTATAGCACAGAATCAAGCCCAATGTATGTGTGTTACACCTGTTTGATATTGTACCTGCCTCTTTTGAAACCCCTTTCTTTATTGCACTATAAATTAATTACCTCCTTAATTTTGTTGGTTTCTTTTTCTTTTCTTTCTCTCACTCTTTTTATACAGAAAAAAGTAAAAACAACCTCATGAGTAATATAAGTATACATTCTTTTGAAGGAAAGCGCATCTTGTGTACAGCTGATGTTCGAGGTAAGCAAAGCAATGCGTGTCACTTGTAGCAAGGCAAAAAAAAAAAAAAAAAAAAAAAAAAAAATCGAGAGAATGCTAAAACGACACTACACACATACAAGGACACATCTCTGAATTAAATAGACTTGCCCGTGAGTTTAACGCGCACTATATCATCCACACGGGCGATTTTGGTTTCTATGGTAAATAAGGAAACACGGATACAAGCGCACGCTTTGATGCTGACATGTTGAACTCACATCTCATAAAAGATAGATCAAGTTTGGACAGAATTGGTGAAAGGTAAAAGGATAAAAAAAAAATATATATATAAAAAAAAAAAGACACAGATCAAAGCAGCTCAACTCAACACACCTACACACATACACCGAAACAGACCTCTCAAGCACTGGATCCAATACACCACCTTGATGCCATCGCAAACTCGTTCTAGATTACTGGCATCCAGTCCAGACCAAATGTATCGCACGTTGGAGCAATCACCTCATACACTTTTATCTGAATTCTCTGAATTTTTATCAGGCAACAAGCAACTGGATGTCCCCGTGTACACAGTGTGGGGTGCTTGTGAAGATGTCGCTATTATTGAAAAGTTTCGCCATGGAGAGTACCATATCGATAACTTGTTTTTGCTGGACGAAGCATCTACTCATGTTCTGGATGTGGGCGGTGTCAGTTTGCGTTTATTTGGGTTAGGTGGAGCTGTAGTACAACATAAATTGTTCGATAATGGTGAAGGTAAGTCTCTCCTCATCAAACGTGTCTTTTCATACGCGTGTAAAGGGCCAACACCTCTCTCTCTCTCTCTCTCTCTCCTTGATGATATAGGCACAGATACAATTGCTGGAGGTTTAGGCGTCATGTGGACCACTGCACTGCAAATTGGTGAATTGGTAGAGTTGGCTTCCAATGTCTATGATCCAACTGAAACGAGGATGCTGGTGACACACGCCAGCCCTGGAAGAGAAGGGTTATTGGCTCAACTTGCTCTTACATTGCACGCTGATTTCACCATTTCAGCAGGCTTGCATTTCCGTTACAATATCGCTTACAATGAATTTGCTTGTCAACCAGAAATCGATCATTTCCGCAACAGACTGATTCAATCACAAGAGCAGTTTATGCAATTATGGGATGCTATCAAGGAACAAGTGGAGGAATCTGTAGAGTAAGTTGTGTGTGTGTGTGTGTGTGCTGCGTTTGGCTGTAAATGAGTCCTCCTCACACCCTTTATTTTCTCATAGTGAACATCAATACGCTCTACTTCGCAATGCTTTGAACGTTGTGAATCGTATACCGCCTTCTTTGGCCGATCTCGAAGAAAACTCTTCTCAATCGTCAAACTGGGAAAGAGATGAATTGGCATTCAAAAACATGTGGAATTTCAACTTGCCTGACGCTGCTTATGGTTCACTTTTGTTCAACATTCATCAAGGCATTGTAGCCTCTGAAATGAGATCCTACGGTCTTAATTTCTCTTATCGCAAGCAACAGCAGCAACAGCAAGCAGCATCGTCTCCTGCTCCATCCACCATCTCCGCCGCAGAGAAGCCTAATCAATACAGAAATAGCCCTTATGAACAACAACAAGACACAGCTGATACCACCAATTATAATACCAATCGTAATTCCAAACGACAAAGCATGGTAAACTATCAAGTAGTAAGCTACACTCTGACCAAAACCTAATAATTTCCCTTATATAGCAACGTAATCTTTATACTGCGTATGTGGGTGGACTATCTAATACGACAGTGACCGAAGAAGACATCAGAGAATACTTTGGTCATGACAATGTCATTGGCGTCAAGTTCCCCATTGACCCTACTACACAATTACCAAAAGCGCATTGCTATGTTGATTTCGTAAATCAATACACGCTGGAACAAGCCTTGACTAAAAACGGCGCCATCTATCGTGACAACAAACTAGTCATTAACAGACCCAACACTCAATTTTCAGACAGTAGAAGAGGCGGAAGAGGCGGTAGAGGCCGCAATTATCGTGATAGCAGAATCATGAATGATCATTAAGAAATAAACACTATTTGAAACGCCCTCGCTCTCTCTCTCTCTCTCCCCTTTTTCGGGTGTCATAATAATTACATTTATGAGATCAAATCATCCATGATGACGGAAAGTCAAATCATCTGTCTCACTCAACAAGGACTCTCAGGTACATATGGTTCTCTGACTGGAGATGGTTGTGTTATCATGTAACTAAAGTAGAGGGAAAGAGTTTCATGATTTTAAATGACATCATAAGCATGAATACATGAGTGTTTAGTATACACAAGGAAAAAAAAAAATACATGGATCAACTGATCAGTTCATACACTTTTAAAAAGTGTGGGATAAAAACTCGAGTCAATATCTCCCTTTTTTTTTTTTTTTTTTCATTTTTCGCCAAGAGAAATATCACTCTACCACATGAAATTCTATACCTTATCCGCAGTTGTAGTAACTGTCTTGTCAGTCATTACTGAAGCTGCTGTTACCAGGTAAAAACCATCTCTCTCTCTCTCTCTCTCTTTATTTATCTGGATACCATCGAGACAGTGCATTAACAAAACCCTCTCTCTCTCTTTCTCTCTCTCTATGCAGAATCCCTATCAAAAAGATTCATGAAACGCCATCCGAAAGACTGCAAAGATACTCTCATACAGGCGAATACTTGACTCAGAAATACTTCAAGTCCTCTCAACGCAACACTGAATCCTTGCAAACGTTCCAAGTAGAGGCAGACGGAAGCGCCAAGCACGGTGTCCCGCTGTCCAACTACATGAATGCTCAGTATTATGGTGAAATTCAATTAGGCTCTCCTCCTCAGACATTCACGGTGGTGTTTGATACAGGTTCTTCCAACCTGTGGGTCCCTTCTACACATTGTAGTTCCATTGCTTGTTTCCTGCACAAGCGTTATGACTCTCAAAAATCCCAAACCTACGCTGAGAATGGCACTGAATTCTCCATTCGTTACGGCACTGGCGCTCTCGAAGGGTTCATCTCGCATGATCAGTTGAACCTCGGTGGTATCAAGATTGAAGATCAAGGCTTTGCTGAATCGGTCAAGGAACCAGGATTTACCTTTGCTTTTGCTAAATTCGATGGTATCTTGGGTCTTGGTTACGACACCATCTCTGTCCAACACACCGTCCCTCCTTTCTATCATATGGTCAACCGCGATCTCATTGATGAGCCCCTGTTCAGTTTCTGGTTGAACGACGCGGGTGAGGAAGGTGCTGCTGGCGGTGAGCTTATCTTTGGTGCTACAGATCCATCGCATTACTCTGGTGAACTGATCTGGTCCGATGTGCGTCGTAAAGGATACTGGGAAATTACCATGGAAGACATCAAGTTTGCTGGCGAGTCCATTGAATTGGACCCTGTTGGCGCTGCTATTGATACTGGCTCTTCCCTCTTGGTCGCCCCTACCACCATTGCGGATTTGATCAACCACGAATTGGGTGCTGAAAAGAACTGGGCTGGCCAATACATTGTGGACTGCGCCAAGATCCCTGATTTACCTGAATTCTGCTTTGTGTTTAGCGGTCAAGACTTTTGTCTCACTGCTGAGGACTACATCCTCAATGTTCAAAACCAGTGTATCTCTGGCTTTATGGGCATGGACATTCCTGAGCCTGCTGGACCCCTCTGGATTGTCGGTGATGTCTTTTTGCGTAAATTTTATAGTGTCTATGACCTTGGCAACAATCGTGTTGGATTAGCACCCTCCAAGTAAAACCGTGTGTTTTATTTCATCTCTTTTTCAAATGCAAATGCTAAATAAATGCCTGCTGCCTCCCATTCCTCTTGAGTCATTTCAGGTGCTTGTCCTCCAATCACTCCAATGCGGTTGAGTAAACGAGCGTGTTCCTCTTCCTTGGAGGCAGACACATAGAAATCGTGAAAGTTTTCCTTGAATTTAAGCTTGAGCCCATACTCTGCTGCGAGATTTTCAAACGTGCGCCAGTGCACCAAATATTCAGGGCAATCCACAGCGTCCACCAAATGAAACATGTATTTGCAGCCAAAGGGCGTGAATCCAGTCTTGGTGCCATGCTCGTCCTTGATGTGATCAAATGTGATACTGTAAATACTGTTACCAAAGCCAAATGACCCTACAGGCTCTTCTCGCGCACGTTTCACAATCCAGTTTGCATCTGGCATGGTGCCGATAAAGTAGCCACCAGGACGTAATTGTGATGAGACGTTTTGGAGCATGATGCGTGCCTTGTGTTCGTTTTCAAATGCGTAGTGCAGACAGAATTGCATGGACACTGTATCAAAGCGCATGTTTCGATCTAATTTGGGTGCAATGAGCTCCTACAGAGAGACCGAGTCAGTAGGTTGGGTCGCATCTCGCACCTGTCTCGGGACTTACAGAATAGCAATCCATGGCATGAAATTCAGCACTAAATGTACGATCTCTCAATGTTTCATATCTCTTTCGCATTTGGTCCAAGGACACATTGGCAATATCTGGTGAATGAGTTGGATGAGCTGTATAGCCTTGACATCATTTCCTATGGCAAACTCTACCTGCTGCCACCAAATGCTGTATTCTCGCTTTGGCCCATTTGATCAAATCACCTCCTTTACCGCATCCCATATCAAACACGTTTTGGCGAGGTCTTACGTATCGATGGATCAAGACGCTTTTCACCCAATTATTAAAGCTTCGAAGTCGAATGATCCGAGACTCTTTGCGTTTCACTACACCTACATCAGGCCGGTCGTTGTAATGTTGTGCTACAGATGAAGGATTTGCATCATATTGGTGGCGTGGCGCTTTATTGCTATTGCTGCTATGGGTGTTGCTGTCGCCGTCGTTGTAACTTCTTTTCATGTTGAAAGTAAGAAAGAAAAAAGAAAAAAAAAAAAAGAGAGAGAAATGATCACTTGAGACTGTTCAAACAGCCAGAAAAGGGAGCATGAAAAATAGAGCAATTTGATCCAGCTCATTTGATGGCGAACAAGCAGAAAGCTGTGCTTGGCAGAGTCTCTCTATGCTGTTGCTGCAACTGTCAAAAAAAAAAATGCATCCACCCGCGTTTTTTGTGCCTTTGTATTTTGCTTGCTCCAACAAAGAATTTTGGACAATTTCCCAGTAATCTGATCGCTCCATATCGCGTCCAATCTACCAGATTATGCACACGGCCGTATGCTGCTCGTCGCCATGTTAAAGCACTTGCTGAAAAAAAAAAAGTCTACATACGCCGTGCCTTTGAATGTAAGGATATACTCAGAGATGCATATTAATTAGAATGTTATAATTCTAACTGTAAATCACTCGATGAAGAGAAACACTCCACGGATCACAAGGAGAAGCGGAGGATCAAAGGAGAAAGAAGCATAACCCTGGATGACTCAAATCATCAGGTGTGTATGTGCCATCATTGCCTTCATTGTTTTGATGGACGAGTAGCAGAACAATGGGCACACTAGTAGACAGACTGGTTTGTTTGGCAGCATCGACAGCAAACAGGGAAAAAAAACTTTTTGATGTATATTTGTTGATATTCGATTTTTTATTATTATTTGGGATAAACAGAGAGACCCAAACATGGATTATTACAGAATATAGTATAGCAAAATATGTTGAATTGAAAAAAAAAAAAAAAAAAAATAGAGAGAGAGAGAGAGAGAGAGAGAGAGAGAGACGAGAGGGTAATGGACCTTTTTGTTCATATATAATACAGTTACATGTGCCTCTTAAAAGATAGCATCCAAAGCACAACAGAAACATAAGGCAGCCAAACTACAAAATAGAGAATGAGATCTCTATTGTACATTCCTCACCCTTATCACACAGCCCCTTCTCTTCTTTCTCATTTGCTTACCATCCAAGACACATGGAGCTGTCATCCTTGTGTTGTGGTTGTTGTTGAACATAGACAGTTTGTGGTTGTGGTTGTGGTGCGTAATAAGGCTGTTGTTGACCATATTGAGGTTGACCATATTGTTGTTGACCATATTGTTGTTGACCATATTGTTGGCTATAGCCTTGTTGAGGTTGGCCGTAGGATTGTGGAGGAGGAGAGTAATACTGAGGTGGTTGTTGACCATAACCCTTATTTTGCTGATCCATATTTTTTTTTTTTTTTTTTTTTAGTTGAGAAATGAGAAGAAAAAGATTGATTTTTTTCGTGTGAGCAAGCCTGAATCCAGTTTTATCTCTCTCACGCAGCTTTTTCAATTGGACAATGTAAAAATAGAAAAAGTTTAGATTTCTTTTTCCTGCTAGGCATGTGTGTGGTGGTGGTTCTTGGCACCGATTCAAAAGTGGCGCTTTCGTCCACAATATTTTCCGTCTTTTCCATTCTACAACAATGGGTTCTCTCTCTCTCTCTCTCTCTCTTAAATTTGCGGATAATCTTATTTGCCAATTAGATGTTAAAACAATGGCCGATTTGACTCATCAAGATGTGCGGCAATGCTCTTTTTTTTTTTCTCTCTCTCTCTCGCCTCCCTATAAATGTAAATTGCAGCATGTTTCTGATTTGATTCGGTCTGTGTTATCTTGTTGATCAAGTTTTGAAAGCAAAAGGCGCTGTTGCACAATAAACTTTTACATTGTACATAAAAGGAAACGGGTTCATGTGAGTCAGGCGCAGCTAAAACAACAATCAGGCTTGTGTGATGCAGATGTTGGCGGCGTTTGATGCTTGAGCGACCGTTGAGCAGCTCGACATGCGTGCTGTAAATCAGTGACATGTCAAGTTCTATCTCAACAGAAGAAAGGATCTACTAAAACAGAAAATTGCAGTCTTTCAAGTCAGAGTACCAGCCTTGCAAAAGGCACCGTCTGTGCATCGTCTATGAGAAATGCTCTAATGGGAGAAAGACAAGCTTTTTTTTTTTTTTTTTTTTTTTTTTTTATTGATACAGGTGTATCTACGCTTTGGATGACTACTACCTTCGCTTTGGTGAGAACCAACCTACACAGCTGTTGTTGCTCACGCTACCGATTACCCTTGCTCATCCTATCGAAATACTGTTAACCTTTCACTTACACATGAGAACGCTTCATGTTATTTGTGGATCTGCTTCTTATGTGATGTTCCACTTCTGTTGTATACACGTATATGCTTCACGTATCCACAGGCAGTTTACTGGTATTATCCCGTTCTAGTCAAGAGTGTGCCTTCATACAGCAAAATATGGGTGTATTTGAGCTATGGTTTCTCGCGTCAGAAGCCGTTTTAGACTGTCATGATAGCGCCAAACAATAGGTTTCATCCAGCACGAACTTCCTAGCACCTTTGCTCAACTTTTTTTGGGATCGTCGAAAATCGACTTTAACCATGATAGGGTGGCCAAAGTTGATTTTGGTCGTTTCTTTGGTTCAATTAGATACAAGAAAGTATTACCCAAAACCTTAAATATCACCCACCTCTTGGATTGGGCGTTTTGCATAATTTTTTTATTGTAATAAGAGTACGATGACCTTGTAAAAGAAAGACACATGTACTAGGAATAGGCGGGTTGGTGTTAATGTTCGTATGTCGTTCGTCTTGGGCAATACTTATTATAAAACATATGTAAATATTATTGGACAATAGTATTAGGATTAAGTGATGGATTTACTGTAATAAAAGTATAGGAAGAAGTAATGACAGATATTTTCACTACCGTTTAATAGCTGTCAAAAAGAAGACTATATATATATTATACTAATGTTTCAATCCGTATGACTGAAACACATGTAAAATGAATCATTACAATATATAGTCTTCATCACCAACTTGTCAAAACAAAAGAGTGTTGCAATTACATTTTGGCCCATACTTTAGATCTAGATCAAATAGAGTGCATACAGTATAGAAGCCTCGGAATGTCATAACAAGCTTTGTTAAAATAACTAATTTCATTACATTTCGATAGAATAATACTCTCCACATGAAAAAAAAACATAATTTATTCTTTTTCAGAATAAGCTTCTCCTGGCAGAGTGTAATGATTCGCATTACATATGTTTCAATTCGCATGATTGAGACATTACTATAGTATTCTGTATAATTAGCCTTCCTTTTGACAGGTATTAAACGGTAGTGAAAATTCTCTGCTTGTTGTAGCTCATAAAATATATGATTTTCAGCAAATTTATAAAAGGGAACGTACATCTGGTACTTCAAACCCTCACATTATTATGGATATAACGTAGAGCTATTGAATTGTTTTTGATTTATACAAATCCGATAAGTATTTGTCGAGATACAGCCAAAAAAAAAAAAAGGATATCATGCAAAATCATTGATCTTTGAACAAAATCTGCCTGTGTTATAGCAAGGAAAAAATTCGGCGACGATTTTTTGGTCAGGACAAGATTGTCAATATTTCATGATAGAGTTATGCCAGAGCTTCAGGCAAAGGCTCATTCGATAGGAAATTTTTTGGTCTACAATATTTAGTAATGCTTAACATCATGTCTTGATAACAGACACTGATTAATCTTTCGAAAGCAGCGAAAAAATTGCAAAAACTACTCCATAAAATACCAGTTGAACAATTTACATCAGACACTTGATATGTATATCGTTGTATTCTCCTTTAAATCTTTCACAAGTTTCATACAAGTTCAAAGGGACGGTTACTATCAAGAATCAAGTCATTTTGAAGTCGATAGATTTCGGAACCCCATGGATCCTCATTCAGAGCAATAGAAATCGAAGCTCCGTTAACTTTCACACGTGTACACCACGCATGTACGAATTTGACTGAGCATTTTAAAAATCGAAGCGTACGAAAAGGGCCATATTAACCTATTGGTTTCAAGTTATCAATAGATATTTGACATGCTGAGGAATCTTGTTGTCAAGACTAGACAACTGTAGACTGCCTTGTTCAAGGATAATATATTTTTTACACTGCATTTGTTGCAGAGTGCTATTACTGCCTTGTAAACATGTCAATCACGCAGGAAATGGGTTAAAATCAATCTTTCTCGGTTGGCTGGACAAGCAACGCTCAATGGCAGGTGCTTTACTGCCTATGCTTATTCTGAGCTGGATCACTGATAAAAAGCTACACGGCCTGAACTTTATTTTCGTAGAAAATCTTGTGAATGTCTTTGTTAAAGAGGCTTTCATTTGAACATGTAGTGAGTAAAGTAGTATTGTCTCCTATAGATGTTGCTCGGTTTTCCATACTCATATACTCTTCATCTGCAGATATTTTCATCAATTCTGAAAAAAAAAAAAAAAAAATTGAAGCACTGTTAGTAGTCAAAGTGTCGAAATGATGGTCAGCGAAATTACGCCCTCTGTTGCCCATAAATAAACGAACCATTTACTGTCAGTGCGACTCTGTTCAGTCAAACTTCCATGGATACGCAAATAAGTCGATTTCTTCAAGCCTCATTGAGGTAACACATCCATCTCTCCGTCTGTCAACGGAATTATGCAGCTATAGTAATGTTTGATTCTTTTGAAAAGTGCTTTCCTGTAACGGTTTGTGTGGTTGATTGTATAATTGTGTGTTCAAAAAGAGGGGAAAAGGCTTGACACTACTATTATATGTTGGTGCATGTGAGACGCCTGTGATACCCGTTTCTGATAATTATCCATACACGATGTCCATTGCAAGCCATCTTTTATCGAAATCGACAATGATCGTGTTCCAATACCATGAAATAAGCCCATCTCAAGCCTTTGAGCTTTGAGATGTACAATTGCACTTGTCTTTGTGTAGACGTCTCTCCCCTTGATTCTTGGAAATTGGCCGATTTGTGTCACTCTCCATTTGAAACGTTGATCTATGAATATAGCGTATTGGTGCCTGAATTGAATCCCCGGGCATGCTGTTATAAATAGAGCTTTGATTAGCCTTTTATCCCCTTTTTCCTCTTTTCTTCAACTTGTTTGCAGTCCACGTCCTTATCCTGAACGATGCATCAAACCAGACAGTTTACAAAGAGAAGACCTCAGTCTCCCCTGTTGAACCAACAGCAAACTGTAGATGGTCTGAAAATCAACAAGCCTGCTCTGCCTCGTAGCGGATTAGCTATTCAAAGCAATGCGCCAATTCACTCTACTGCCACTTCCATCACTCGTTCCTTTACCCCTACAACCGCCACTGTAGAGCATACTCATCAGGTATGGTAACCTTGGTAGATTAGTAGGCCATTTATTAACATGTGTGTTTCATTAGACACATCAAGAGCCTCACCATCACGACACGTTTGTTGCTGCTACAACAAATCCATATGTTCCTCATGGAGATTACAAACATGTTGTAGAGCTTCATCATGACCATAATCACCATGACCATAATCACCATGACCATGATCATCATGGACACGATCACCATGGACACGACCACCATGGACACGACCACCACGACCACAGCCATAACGACCATCACAACCACAATCATCACGCACATGAACATGGACATGCTCACAACCATAATGACCATCACCACAGCCACGACCACAGCCATAGCCATGATCACAGCCATCATCATGGCCACGACCATGCTCACCATCAACACAGCAACTTTCCTCAAGTGTATACCCAGCCTTTACCTTCGTATGCTTCCATTTTCGCCTCGTTGATCCCCTTCCAAAAGGCATTATTTACTTGTTTCATGGGACATTTCTTTATTGGTATTATATTATGGTGGTTGGGCGTTTCTCGAGAAAGTTTGTCAATTACTGGCTTTTCTTATCTCGTTCTGTTTGATGCATTTGGCACATTGAACAATTTTGTATCGAGTGTGCTACATTTCAACCCTGCTTTTACAGCCATGAGCACCAAACGACCTTTTGGGTAAGTGAGATAAGAATGTGCTGGATAAAGAGGGGGGGGGGGAGAGATAAGGAAACTGACTCTATGGTTATTAGTGTCAAGCGTTTTGAGGTTGTTTTGGCATTGGCAAACACCATTTTTTTGTTGTTTGGAACCATGTACACTACAAAGGAGTCATTAGAACATTTGCTATTGGAGGAACATCATGGCAGCGGTGGAGATCACCATGGAAACAGGTAAGTCATATTGAAGCATTGACGCATGGGTGGTTTGCTGATGATGATTGTGTGTGTGTGTGTGTGTATATATAGTGGGTTTCCATTGGGTTTGTTGGTCATGCTGTTAATTGCTATCGGTGCATCGTTCGCATCCAGTATCAAATTGAAGAATCACAATAATCTGGTCAATTGTAAGGAAAAAAAAACGTTTTTTTTTTTTTTTTTTTTTTTTGTAAAGGTGACATTCGGCTGATGTTTGCTGATATAGTAACGAAAAGATCATCTCAAATTCAACACGAGTATATTCAAAACACGCCTTTGGACACACTTTTCAAAAACATCTACTCGCTCTCTATAGTCAGTGCTGGATTTATTGTATTCGTCTTTCAATTGTTTGGATTATCATCACCCTCTGTAGATAAATTCCTGGCATTTGGAGAAGCATCGCTCATGTTGTATTTGGGCGCACCTACAGCCACGGCTCTTGCAAAAGTACTATTGCAAACCATGCCCGATTCCATGACACACGCCATTGACCATCACCTGCGATCAATTCAACAGATTCCAGCCGTCGTATCAGTAGACAAGGTGCACTTTTGGCAGAATGCATACGGAAAGTGTATAGGTACATTGGAAGTGCATGCAAGACCTGATGCTGATGAGGATGCTGTCATTAATGCAAGCTTTGCTATTTTGGAGCCTTTGGTAAAGGAGAATGAGGGTGAATTAACCATCAGTGTCATCAAAATGAAGTAGAAGGATTCGTTTTGAATAAGAAATAAAAAAAAAAAAGTGTTGATTCCATAATAATGATATATAAGTAGTGAGTTTATTGATATGCCTGTTCCTGGTCATCTACTTCTTCCATGGACACTGCGCCTTGTCTTTCCAACAGCACTGTATCTAAATTCTTGAGCGCCTTTTCCAGTGAATCTGATTTATCGAGCACTGTCATGTCAGGGCATTTATACAGTTCCAAGCGCTACATTAAGATATACATCAGCACGCTGTGACCCAATCCAACCCCATAGAAACTTGCCTCAGGATCTGACGAAGACAGCGTATTGTTCTTGTTATTCACCTTGCACAAATCTGCTATTAAATCAAGCGCTTTCCCTACCGAGTTTTTCTATACAACATCCAAGGTTAGACATCCAAATCACACTTTTGAGATGTACACATACCTTGTCGAAATAGACAGATTGTGAATCCACTTTGGATTCCTTTGGACCTTGCACATAAACATAAATGCGAGATGCCGCTGGGACTGAGGGGCTCCCTTTGGCTTGTGATTTGATCTTCATCAACTCGACCATGCCACCATGCTTGCTTTTCACAGGCACAGATTTGATGACCTTGCGTTTTTTTGCTGGCTGTGGTGCAAATGTCTTGGCTACCTTCTCTTGTGCTGCCAGCCTTCTCTCCATCTTTCGCTGTTCATCCATATCTAATGACTGACAGCTGTGTGAAGCGGGGTGTCTATGTCTTTTCATGTGTGTGTGTGTTAGCCAACGTATGTAGAGCAGCGAGGTCTCAATGTATACACACCCTAGACAAAAATCTTGATTACAACCGTTGCAATGCACAGGTCCAATACGAGGATCAATGCCTTGACATCCTTTGACAGTGCATTGACGGTCTACTTTCTTGATAGTGCTGCTGGGAGGGTACAAGTAGAGCTGGCATTTCGATTTCTTGTGCTGTTCCAACTATACACCACGATCAACCTTGGTACTCAATAAAGACAACTCGTGCTGCTCCCCCCAACTTACCGCTTGCTCTAATCCTAGTTTTACGTCGTTGGGTGCCTGAATCAACTGCTGACAATCATCGCATTGTAGCAGATCCTTTGTCACTTGACTCCACTTTGAGCACTTGTGATTTGAAGGCAATCTGTGATCGCCGCTATGTATTTTGCATTGTTCAGTTGGGTTTCTCTCGGCAGTAATGCTTATATATCATACCAGAATGTTTGATAGCAAAGGGGGCAAGCGACAGGCAAGAAATCTAACCTTGTCAACATCCCATCTCGTGGTGCTAGGCATCAGACGCAAGCTTACCTAATGAGTTACAGCCTTCCAGTTGGCAGTTCTTTCCAATTTGCGGTAATTCCATTTGCTAATGGTCAAGAAGAAGGAGAGAAAATAAACAAACAACTTTATGATGCGTCGTCTCTCTCGCTCGCTCGCTCTCTCTCTCTCTTTTCCACGGCAAAATGTGTCCCAATATCATCGTCACAGTGAACAAAAGGTAAGATCCACATTGTCTCAAATGATTCTAATTGCTACAATAGCCATGTTTTATTATATCTCTTTTAATGTACAACTGGGAAAACGAAAAAGGGTGTGAGTGTGAGTGTCTGTGTGTGTGTGCTGACAGCAGATACGAATGCTGTTGCAAGTATGAAAGGGCGTTGATTGCTGGCAACTGGATCTAAGCAGAAGCGGAAGAGGCAGATGTCACACTGACTTCAGCCTCTGCAGCAGCAGCAGCAGCAGCAGGGACAGCCTTGGCTTGTAGTCTAGCTTTGCGGTTGTTGTGTTTGATGATCTTGGACTTGAGCTCCAAAGCCTTCTCACTAAACAAGTTCTTGTCTCTGGTCTCCAAAAGATATTTGTCTAAACCTCCCTTCTTGTCAATGGTACGTAAAACTGCAGTGGTGACTTTAACTTCGATGAATTGAGAGAGTGATTCTGAATACAAGTTTTTGTTTTGGACGTTAGGCAACCAGTTGCGTCTGGTCTTTTTCTTGGAAAAAGGGTTCTAGTTGTCAAAAAAAGATGTCAACATGTGAGATTTTCATTTCTAGCTTTTCTTGGGGGGGGGGGGTTTCGACATGTACATTGTTACCAAACTGGATGTGCTTTCCGCCAAACAGACCACGTTGAGCACGCTTGAAAGTGGCTCTTGCAAGAGCATAGGCTGGTTGTGCAGATAGCATGTTGTAATGAGATGAAAGAAAAAAAAAAAAAAAAAAGGTTGTCTAGATATTTCCGGGGCAGCCAGAAAGGGGGGTTGCAAAGCCAAATCAAATGGGAAGGGGTGTGTGTCGCCATGATTAGAGTCACTTTCTGTGACCTTTCAATTCTTTCAAATTTGAGAAACCAATGCTCTCTAATAGAAACCTTTCTTGAGAGAGAAACTGTTCTTGCAAACCATGACAGAAGATTTCCCTGAATACATCATCAAAGAAAGAAAAAGCCAGGTAGACAGTACCATAGGCTTAGAGACATTTTTTTTTTGCTACTAATCCAGTTACCAACTGTTTCAGGAAGGCGAAACCATGTATTACGTGAAGTGGATTGGATGCGATCATGAAGGGAATACTTGGGAAGGAGAACAGAAAATGAAGCTGTAAGAGCATTAGATGATTTTTTTTTTTAGGAACAGAAACATACTTATTTCACCATCATACATAGAGAGTGGCCAGACGCAGTGCGAAGATACAAAAGCGACATACAAACCAACACATATGACCAGCCAAAGCCAAAGCTCTTTTCTGAGCAGGAAGTGTTTGATTATACGAATTCGGTGTATGATTGGGAAGAGGCTGTGGACTCAATTGAATATATAGAGAAATCAAAGATACCCGGGCTGCTGATCTATATCAATTGGTAAATGAGGCATTTGCTATGGAGAGATTACAATCATTGACATTTACCATGACTTGTAGGAAAAATGGATACAAATCTGTACATCATTCCACTGAAGTCTATGCCAAATGTCCACAAAAGGTAAATGTAAAACGGTTTTTGGTTTGTATACACTAACTTGTCTACAAGCAGATGATTGAATACTATGAACAGCATTTTAGATTTTGCAAAATCTACGATTACTAGTCATTTTGTCAGTATATTTTATCCGTATCATTGCACAGATCGAGCTGATTTATACATCCAGGCCGTGTATGAATTCTCTATTACCAGTATAACTATCATCCATTCGTCCTTCAGCACGAGCTGGTCCATTTCTTATTTACAATTTACAAGTTGTTAGCCAATGTCTGTACTGATTTTAGTTTTAATAAACTATGCAAAAGCAGATTTCAGATGACCTTTCTCCAAAAGCTATTAATAAGTTTCATTCCCATCCATGAATGAGCGACTTGAAGCGACTGACTTCTTTCGCCGATAGAGTCCGCTCAGCAGATGTGTAAATTGCGCGTGGCTACACAAAGTATCAAGAAAAAATGAAATCTGCAGAATACTCTATGCATGCAGCAAGACCTGCCATGGGTTCTAGTACTTTGATATGCCCAGGCCATCAGAAATTACATCACAGTGGCACAGACAGGCAGGCAGACAGACAGTAGGAGCAATGAATGTACAGGATATCGAGATGGTTATGTACTTTTGACCTACAACAGAGCCTATTACTAATCACTTTTCTGATACTTTATTTAATCGTACATTTGTGATATGCATATGAGGATCATCTCTCAACATGAATTACATGCACCAACGCTCCGTCAACTTGGATCAAGCCAAAGTGCTATATCAAGTCATGTTATTATGTGAAGAAATGTAGCAAATTTTATTTTATTTTTGGGGGAAACAATGAAAAAGATAATATATATAAATTGGTAAAATCAGACTATAGCAACAATACGTCTACTGATTTCTTTCTTTCTTTTTTTTTTTTTTCTTTTTTTCTTTTTTTTTTTTTTTCTTTTCTTTTCAGGTGGTCGGCTGGTTTAAGGTTGGTTGAATTGAATAGGGGAAACAAACGAATAAAGAGGGGAGAGGGGAGGGGGGGGGGGAATAAAGGAGAAAGCTTTTAGTATTATGTGCTTGGTAAACTAATAAGTGATGAATAAGTGCTGTAAGTTTTGTTGCTATTAGTTGCAGTATTATTAGCAGTTGCTGAATGGGTCATGTCCAGCGTCTTGTGATCTGTTGTTATTGTTGTGGTGGATGGTGTGTCATAAGTCACAGCCTCATCGTCTTCCATAAAGAATTGAACATCATCATCTTGTTGTTGGAGCAAATCATTAGGTTGCTGTAATGAAAAGTCGTTGCTGCTTGAACTACTTCCACTGAGATTACCGCCAGGGATATTGATGGCCGCAGTACCCTCTATCAACCTGTCTTCATAATCGATAGATAGACTATTATAATGCAATTGTCGCTGATGTAGTTGTGGTTGAAGTTGCTGTTGTTGCTGCTGCTGCTGCTGCTGTTGCTGTTGCTGCTGTGATTTGGACAGGAATGGCACTCGCCATTGTCTCTGATCAAATGAGGATGCAGAGGTGTCTCTCATGGACCAGCTATCCGTATTTCCATTGGTGGTGGGATACTGCTCTTGCTGTCTCACTCGTCTCACTTGCAATTCACTCGGAGTGAACAAGTCGTTCAAAGATGAAGGGAGCATGGCATCGTTTAGATCATAGTTGTCTTGTCCTCCATTGCCTCCTCCTCCACCCAATCCACCTAGAGATCCAAATGAAGCTGGTTGATAGCGAAGAGGTGGACTCTGCATGAAGCCATTGCTGTTGCTGACAGAAGATGAGAGTCGACTGCTGAATGGCGATGTGCCTAGAAAAGGATCCTGCTGTGTTTCGCGTGGTGAGGAGCGCATGCCCATGAAATCTTGAGGATGATTCAGTGTGTTGTTACTACTATTACTACTACTACTGCGACCTTGATTGCGCCATAGTTGCTGCTGCTGTTCATGGAGATGGAGCAATGAAACGGCGGGAGCTGATGAGGCAAAAGGATCATGGAGAAAGGATCGATGATCCAAGTTGGATGGCGAGAAGCTCATCATTTGATCTGCAGTTTTCCTTCTTGGAAAGGGCAAACTAGGTGGAGTACCTGCCATCATCCTCTTATTGTTGCTGCTGCTGCTGCTGCTGCCACCATTACCATTACCGCCAATGCTAGTGACACTTGTACCATATGGAGACATGGTATGCAATAATGCACACTTTGTGCCAAATTTACAATTACCTTTGACAAAGTACTTGCAGACAGCCGATTCTGAAGAAAGGTCTGAGCTGTGGGAAAAAGTACAATTGGCTCCTGCTGTACAAGTGCCTTGCTTGTAAAACTTGCAAGGAACGTGAGATAAGTTGGACGCTATACATTGAAAATAAAAGTTCAGTTAGAACTCGGCCAAATGCACTTTTCGAGTGTGCTCATCTTACATTTTGAGCTGTTGTTGCCAGAGTTGTTATTGCTCTGATTCCCGTTAGCGTTTGATTTTTGCGATGCATAGAAAGCCTCGGTTGGAATAGGCTGTGTACGCGACCTTTTGAACTGGAAGGGCTCCAGCTGAGATGGGGAGCTTTTGGAGAGTAGATTCAAGGTAAGATCAGGTGAAAATAGCAGATTTTGATCATTCATCTTCAAAAGTGCGGGTGAGATAGAAGAAAAGAAAAGGGAAAAAAAAATGGTATTATCAAGGTTTAATTTATTTTATGTTGGGAAGGGAAAAAAGGGGATTTTATTGCTAATTGGCTACGGATAAAAGTCATGCGTTTGTCTCTTATACAAGAGATGAAATGTAACACTAAATTATAAATAGAAGGAAGCCTTTTTTGATCTGATACACAATGGTTTCTCTCTGTGGTTCCCCACACACACACACACACACACACACAATCTCTTAATTTCCATACAAAATCCGCGCTCTCTACACAGACACTAAGCGGCGATACGAATCACTGCCCTTGGATGGCTGTCACCTGTTGTTCATACATTGTACATGCAGCTTCGTTATGTCGACTCTATATGCATGATAAAACAGCAGAGAGAGAGAGAGAGAGAGAGAGAGAGGCATTGTATAAGTGAGGGACGTACTATTGTGCACGCTCGCGCATTTGGGCTGCTTTTTCTTAATGTCAAGTAATTCGAGATGCCTTTTGCATTCATACAAGGCCATCATGGCGTACAGGCATAATAACTCTTCTCAGCGAGCATTGGTCATACTTTCTTTTAATGAATTGGATTGCGTCCGTCTTTTTATATGTTTTTACCCTTGCAAGTGATCACACCCATTATATAGCCAGCTTTTTTCGCACTCTAGTAGCGCTTCCTTTTGAGCCACATACACTATTTGGTCATGTTATCGTGATGCCTTTAAATTTTCAGGTACCAAGACACTTTTAATGGCAGATGCTGTATACAAATCACCTTGATTAGCACCAATACACAGCACTGCCAGTAAGTTTTTCTGGAGATGCTAGGCAGCATGGACTGCAAATGCATAAATGAAACTAAAGCATGCGAGCTATGATGAAATGAGGTTTGATGCACATGGCGTGAATTGCCTCCACCGCAAATATGGCAATGAATTCAACATAAGTACCAAATCAGATAATATACATTAAATAATCAAGAATCACGAATTCACCTGGATGTACATAGGATAAGATTTTAATAATAAGAAAAGAAGCTTTTTAAAAGACTTGTACGTATAAATGATAAAAAAAAAAAAGTGAGCATTGTGTGTGTTGTTGCTGTTGTTGTTGTTGTTGCTGTTGCTGTTGTCGTGGGGTTGTTAACTATATAAATGTATATATGCTGTATATGCGAGCATGTTGTTCTAAATCTAATCAAACTTGATACTGTGGCTTTCGAAAGAAATTTGACCACCTCTATAGGAGCCTCTCTTTTTCTTGTTCTTTTCAGCACGGAATTTATCACCACGCACCTTGATCAAATCTTGAGATGCTTTCCAGCCATAGGAGGTCATATCAGAACCACCCTTACCATCATAAGTGTTATCCTTTAAGCGTTCATCTAAAAATTCGACTTCTTCGGGCTTGACTCTTTGAAAAGGTGTACCTTGCACTCTTTCACGCTTCACCTTGGGACCACTAGAATAAAGGGAAATAGGAAAGGGGGGAAAAGAAAAGAAATATTAATTTTTATTCTTTTGCAAGCGAAATGGAAAATCAAATGTGGTGTGTGTGTGGTGGGATAAATGGAAATGTCGATGTGTGTATGTAAAATGGGATGTTTTTCTATGTAATTACCTGTTGGACTTTTTGAATGCAGGCTCTTCAATAGATGCTTCCTCAGCCTTGCGCTTGACAGATTCTGCCTCGGCCATCTTGACGTCTTCCTCGGCCTCAGAATCGCTATCAGAACTGGAGTCAGAGCTGCTGCTGCTGCTGCTGCTGCTGCTAGAATCAGAGCTACTGGAGCTATCAGAATCGCTAGAATCATCGTCAGACTCAGATTCGCTGCTTGAAGATTCGGATTCGCTAGAGCTGGATTCACTGGAGCTGGATTCACTGGAGCTGGATTCAGACTCACTTGAGCTTGAACTAGAAGTAGTAGTAGCAGGGGTGGAAACTTCTTCCTTCTTTTCTTCCTCCTCTTCTTCTTCCTCATCAGAAGATGATTCGGAGTCACCGTCAGAGCTAGAATCGCTTGAGCTAGAAGAGTCAGATTCTTCCTTCTTTTCAACAAGAGTGTCTTCAGATGTGGTGGTGCTGGTCTCAGACTTTTTCTCCTCTTCTTCTTCCTCATCAGAAGATGAATCGCTGCTAGAGCTGGAGCTGGAGCTGCTGGATGATGATGAGCTAGATTCAGCCTTCTTTTCTTCGACCTTTTCTTCCTCTTCTTCGTCAGATGATGAATCACTGCTAGAGCTAGAGCTAGAGCTGCTGGATGATGAGGAGCTGGATTCGGCCTTCTTTTCCTCAACCTTTTCCTCTTCCTCTTCGTCAGATGAAGAATCACTGCTACTGCTGCTGCTGCTGGATGATGAAGAGCTGGATTCAGCCTTCTTTTCCTCTTCCTCTTCATCGGATGATGATGATGATGATGAATCGCTGGAGGTATCCTTCTTGGCTTCGGCGGCCTTCTGGTCCTCTTCCTCCTCGTCAGAAGAAGAATCAGATGACGAAGAGTCGGATGAGGAAGAAGATGAAGAAGAGCTGGATGACTCGGCCTTCTTGTCATCAACTTCCATAACTTCCTCAGAGTCACTATCACTGCTGCTGCTGCTGTCACTGTCAGAAGAAGCAGATGCTTCCTTCATTTCAACATCCTTTTCCTCCTCTTCATCAGAAGATGAAGATGATGATGACGAGTCACTGTCAGAGGAGGATGAAGAGGATGAAGAGGATGAAGAGGAGCTATCAGATGAAGAACCAACGCTTAAATGAAAAAAAAAGTTTATCAATATCCACACACTCGCCCAACCAACACCATTGCTAGCTTACCTTGCTTGATACTTTTCAAAGATCTTGGTCAAATTCTTCTTGGTCTTTGACTTTTCAACCTGAAATTGATAACAAAAAGTTGCCATGGCAACAACAGGCAAACGTTAGTTTCAACTGTTTGATAGGCTGTAACGAGATCAAATGAACATGCAATACGTACAGAGGGGTTTTGCTTCTTAAGAGCTTCAGCAGCCTCGGTGTTGCCGTTTTTCAGCAAGTACTTGTAAACAACAGCGTCAAGATCAGACATGGTCAGCGAGTGGTGATTTTCTAATAAGAAAAAAAAAAAAAAAAAAAAAGAGAGGAACTGTCAACGCAACCATCATATATATATTTTTTTTTCGAAAAGCCACCATGTTGGTACGCTGACTGCTTTTAGGGCACAGGCAAGCATTACAGGTGGCATTGGTGAAGAGCAGAGCTATATAATATACAATGAGCGGCGGGAATTGAAATCCCCTGGAATTTTTTTTTCCTGTCCAGGTGTCCAGGGATCGACTTGACTCGACATCCAGAAACTGTTTTGCTCGATTTTATCATATATTAGTCGAATTTGATGATCCCACTTCTAATACAGCTCTATACCATTTTTCAAGACAAATCCAACGGAGCTACTTACTTATCCTTTTTGGAATAAATCCATAGAGCAATCCTTGAAAAAATATGAAAACTGGTTTTTGGCCCAAAAGCCAATTTTTTTTGCTACTGAAAAATCGTGTAAAATTAAACGAGGTGGTGCTTGGAGCTCTAGCGGTTCTTTTGATATTGGGAGCACCTTGATGGAAAATGCCGTTTTTCAAGAGAGAAATGTGATCAAGTGATATTGGACGAATTTGCCTTGGTGCTACTCGTCTGAAATGGTCATGTTTTCATGGCAAAAAAAAAAAGAGATAAAGTAATGGCTAGTAAGTTACTTGTCAAATGCAATTGTTTGGTGCTATTCTGGCGGCTTTAAACTGCCTGTACGACGAGTAATAGACGATCAAAGATGATCAAATTGCAGCGAAATTTGGCGTTTTACCATGGAGCGAGAGGTGCTTATCTAGTAGAATGATGGAATACAGGCTGTCTGCTCTTGGATCAAGATGCTGGGCACTCTATCAGCTGTATCGACTTGCAATTAGTCGCTTTTTTGGCGATTTAACTGACTGTGAATCAGTTGAAATGAGAGTGTAAATGTCTGTCGTAGGCATGTTGGCGTTTGTAGGTTCCTGCTTAAACGAATTTCATGGTGGATTGGCTCTATCCTTTTTCATTTGAGGAGAGAATTGCAACTGTAAATCTCTGTAGAGTCAGTTATCGTCGGTGAACACTAACGCTTTATGGCGTATGGACTCGGCCGTACATGGATTTCCTATTTTCCACTGGACAAAATGAGTGAATATTACACAAACAAAGCCATGAGATCAAGTGCAATGCCATCATAGCACAAGTCTACGCAGTAATACCTCCCACTAGTGAGGATACATTCCTAATGCCAACAAAATTCTAAAGTATACAAATGCATAAATTTTTATTGATCTGATATGTATGGTGTATAAAATATAGCCAAGTGGGGCTTTTAGCAAGATGTGGGATCAGACTAATTTAAATAGAAAAGAAAAGTGTGATTTAGAATATATATATATATATATATATATGTTTAAAGAGATAGAGAGCGATAAAGAACTGAGTGGACAAGAGGGTATGTGATTTTTTAAAAAGAAAATGGGTAACTTGCTTAGTGAATGGTAAGATATTGTCTTCTGAAACCGGTAAGACCAATGATGGTATCCACCATACCAGGATGAGAGGACACAAATTGGAATATAAGCCATATCACCATTACTGTTCAAAACAACAAAGTTAGTATACATGCACAATCGAAATCCATCAATAAACTTACAGCACAACATGGGAACCCAGAATGAGAATAATCGCTTATCTCTTCGCTTCTTTGCCAACACATGCACATGCTGTTGTTGGCTCGTTGAAGACGAAGGGCTTGATTGCTTCTCCTTTTCTAGTTGATGTAATTGCTCTTCCTCTTCAGTCAAGCTTCTTGCGCCCATGGCATAAGCCAGCGCCATATACCAAGCCAATGTCTGCTCAGCGGCTGGTTCCTCTTGTTTGTTATCAGCTTGATCCTGACCAAACAAAGCCGACATGTTGGCTACCATGGTCGCAGGACGAGGAAACTGTAATAAATGATCGGCAATGTTCTTGAGGTTGAGTTCAGCAGGCTTGGCAGGTATGTTGTTTTTGATATTTTGAAGGAAAGAATTGTTGTCGGTCGCAGGTTGTTGTTGAAAGTGGGACAGTGTGCGTTGCATCCAGCTCATCTCTTCTTTGGGTGTAACTAAATCGTCGTCGTCTTCGTAATCGGTGGATTGGTCAATGTCGTGCACAGGTTGAGCATCAAGGATTTCGTCAGCTGAATGAGACGTGCTTTCGCCTTGATTCAGGTACTGAATTGTAGGCGTGGTGGTGTGTTGATACAACTGCACTTGCTGTGTCTGCGCTGTGTTGGGTGCCTGTGTTTGTCTGTTGCGACGGTAGCGAAGACCCTCGTACACGGGTTCAACAGCATCATCATCATTGATAGACGATACCGAGTCTTCAGAGTCAGACAGCCATGACGAGGAAGAGATACGCTGCTGAGGCCATGCTTGGTGGTGATGATGGTCGTTCTCATTGTCAATATCACTAAGCCATACACTGCTGTTTGTATCATCGAAATCAGACTCATCCTCTGCAAATGAAGTATCGACATCAGCACTCATGACAGAAGACGTGTCCTCCTCCATCGAGTCAGAGTAATCGTCTTCTTCGATCAAGGGTACATGGTTCCAAAGAACACTCTTGATAGCGCTGTTGCTGGCCAAGTGCAATGGCTTCTTGTTCCAACGATTAGAGATTTCTGGATCAGCAGAGCCCTTCTCCAACAAGACGCGTACCACTTGCTCATGATGATACCAAGCACTGTAATGCAGCGCAGTATATCCATTCTTATCAGTGACATCTACATCACAACCAAGGTCAATCAAGGTCTCTGTCAGCTTGGAGAACCCCAGCATGGCAGCTAAATGCAGCATGGTGTGGCCCTGTGCGCTTGTCAAAGATACATCGGCAGACTCCACATCACGGAAAGTACGCATCACTTGCAACACTTGAATGATATGGCGTTCCAAGCTCATATGAGAATGTTGTTGTTGTTGTTGTTGTTGTTGTTGTTGTTGCTGATTGTCTAGGTTTCCACCACTGCTGCCACTACCACCACCGGTGCTTCCACCACCACTGCCACCTTGAACAATACGCATAGCAATATCACGAGCGTCTTCCACCTTACCCGTCATTTTGAGGCCAACTACTTGCAGAGCCAATTCCATGAGGGCACGGTCATTTTCATTATAGTAGGTAAACAGAGTGACATCTTGACTGTCCACCACAAGTGGGTGCTCTTTGAAAGAAACCACGACAGTGCCAGCTTCAGCAGCAGGAGGTAAAATACAAACCAGTGTATTAGGAGACCAATAATGTGTACTGGAAGCAGCTACATCGCCAAACATACATGTCAATCCAGCACGGAAGCCACTGCCTAGTAAAGTGACTTCAACACCACCAAACGTAGGGCCTTCGTTTGGAATAAGACGCTGTAATAAGGGTCTATCGGCAACAGCAGTAGATGTAGAAGGAGCGGGAGAAGATGCTTTTTCAGTAGCGTTCGACATGAACGGCGACATATTCGCAGTGACCATAGGCGACTCATGCGGTGTATGTGGACTACGCGCATCGACAGGCACAGAAGGTGGGCGAGGTTGAATATTGTATTGCTGTTGTGTGTTGAACCTCTGCTGCTGCTGCTGTTGTTGTTGTTGTTGTTGTTGTGGTTGTTGTTGTGGTTGTGGTTGCAGTTGCTGATGGTGTAGATGGGGTTGCTGCTGGTAAGCAAGTGGGTTGATGGCACTGTGTCTTGGATCAAAAGGACTAGTAGCAACAGCACTTGCTGCAGCAGTAGGCTTCTCGACATCTGTGCGAAGACGTTTTCTACCCGATTTGATCTTGTTTGACTTGTGATCGTCTGTAATCATGATAGGCGGTGACATGCCTGTAGCAACCTGTTTACCAGCGTGGTCATGCATTTCAAAATAGATACAGAAACCGAGCCTTTCGTTGTGATGTCTGCAGTAGCAGGTGATGCGAGTAGGTAAAATCGTATCACCCGAGGTAAAATCGACTACTTCAGAGCAGTTGAACAAGAGCACTTTTTGCTCCTCCATGGACAGCGATTTCTCGTTATCGTCCGTCGCCATCATGTCTTCATCAGCAGGCTTGTTGATCTTGTTCTCCTTTCTACGTTGAGATCGTTTACGCTCTCTTTGAATGCAACCAAGGCAGGTCACGACTTTTCTAGAAGGGTCACTTGCGCAAATGACACGGGCAGTGAGGTAAAGCATCTTTTCAGGCTTCACATTGGCATCCAATCCAGCAACATTGGCGATTTTGCTTCCATTGGGCGCTGTTGAGAGCAGCACCTGTCGCTTTAATTTGTCTTTGGCTACCATGTGTTCAGGCAGTTTGAGATGAGACCACCACTGCGCCTTGTCGCCATCGTCTGTCACCAATTGGATACATAATTTGATTTGTGTTTCGACACGGGACTTTGCACCTGTTTGAGGCACGCCCAAGACTCTAATTTGCATGCTATACAATAGAGGAAATTCATAAGCAAAACGATTGTCATTGACAAGGTGCATATCAAACAAGTTACCCAGGCAATGTTGTATTGATAACTGTTGGCTGTTGCTGTTCTTGCTTGTATTTGATTTCATTCAATCTATAGAAAGAATCGGGGTTAAAGCGAGTCCATACTCTTTTCAATCATGGACACAAGGCATGAAGAAGCTTAAATGATATTTACTGTGAGTTACTGTATTGCTGTTGAGATGGCTGCTGTTGAGACTGGTCCATGGGATATCCTGCAATGTATTCTGTAAAGTTTTTGGCAAGGTTTGGAATAGCCTAAAATATATATATATTTACATATCAGTCTATTGCACTCTGTCTCATTAACATGCTGCTTTTACATTGTTGAAACCAGACCAAAATGTTGGGTTGTTGTCGTTGGACGTAGATACATTTGGCAGGAGCGGATCCACAAGGCTGTTCAATGTGTGAGATGGCGATGGTAACGAAGGTGGAGGAGATAAGGAAGGAGAGATGGCTTGATGAAGCTGTTGTTGCTGTTGTTGCTGTTGTTGCATTTGCTGCTGCTGCTGCTGCTGCTGCTGCTGTAACTGTTGTTGTTGCAACAGGTTTTGCTGCTGTTGCATAAAATACAAGGGATTATCTGGAGAGAGTTGGTCCAGTTTATAAAAGAAGGATTGATCGATAAATGAAGGTTGCTGTAAATTCATGGCATCATCATGAGGTTCCGAAGTGGATGAACCAGAAGGGGAATCGCATGTCTGAAAATTGCCATCTTCTGTATGATTTGTTGTAGTAGCAGTTGGACCTGAACGACCCATCATTGGACTTGTGGTTGACATGCTGTTAGTATGAACAAAACAAGGAGAGATATTTATATAAAAAAAAAAATATTTTTAGTGAATGAAATATAAAAGAAAGAAAGAGAGAGAGAGAGAGAGAGACACTCACTCAGCAAGTGCGAAGAAACCGTAAAAATGAGATAAACAAACAACCAATCAAGTCGTATCATAATTCAAAATTTGAGTCGAGCTAAAAATTTGTTTTCCTTGTCAATGTGTTACAAACTCAACAAACTTGAAAATGTGGCAGTTGTTGTTTGTGGATTCCAGGAGAGCTTATAGTATTGGTGGATGCCAAGGGAACAGCTGTGATCCAAGCTTGGAACTGCAGTAGAAAAACGGATCCATGCTATCCAATGTCAATGGAAACCAAGCATGAAACCTGTTTGAGAGAAGCATCGAGTTCCCCAGATTCTTCATGGAGCAAAAGAGAGGCAAATACTGCAGTATAAAGGTACGAGATCAATGGAAAAACCTCAATTCACGTGAGTACACAGGCCCTTTTTTTCTTGATTTCTTTATTTTACCCCGGTTTATGGGGACACATTTGCCTATAATTATCCAGTAAACAGAGCCATCGCCAAATTACGTATATTTTACAAGCATTACTTGGCTAAACAGTGTTGAATAACATATGCTGTACACTTTTTCATTCATACATTTAACTTTTAGATTTTGTGTATCGCATTATTTATTATCACTAAAAATAGGTAAAAATGTACAGCGCATCCGAGAAAGATTGGATCATTGTGTGTGTGTGTGTGTGTGTGCCGACTCGATACTGTGTATACAGCGCATCAAGGCATATTAGAGATAAAGTAAACAAATAGGTATAAATTAAGGTTTTGTCGTTCGCCCCTTGCTGCACTCACTTGTCGACGAAATTTGGAGATAGTGGGCCATTTCCATTTAACCTTACCAAAATGTTGCAGAAACATGGTGTTTTTTTTTTTTTTTTTTTTTTTTTTTTTTTTGTAAAACATTGCATACCACTGTATGACTCGACTTTCTCTTGTATCAAGTGTAAGCAGATCTAGGCATTTGTAAAGCATTGAACCTCCCAACAGTACGTCTGTTCTTGTTTCTCCTGAAGCCATGTATAGCTTTTTGAAAAAAAAAAAAGCAAGCATTTAATTATCATTTCTCAGGCACACCATGGCCACGCTCCAGACTGTAAAAACTCACATTAGATGCATGATACTGATACATGGCTCGTTCAAGCCATCGTGTTGAATTGTTGCTTGGTTTGCTATGGTAATTAAAGAAATTTGAATTTGTCTGGTATTCAAGCACCCATCACTGACAAAATGCAATTTGCACGCCCCCTTTCTCAGATTACTACGGTAAATTTAGGATTTTTTTTCCGAGCCATACAGTTCACTAAACATGCACTTGTTTGGCAACTCATCACAAACAACTCGTTGTTGAGATTACCTTAATACGAACTAATCAATATGCTCAACACGAGTTTCATGGTATCGATGTCGGGGTTACAATTGGCCACGATTTCAACTCTTTCCTTCTATGGATGTGCAATACCAAAAGCACATTTCAGCCAAGGATGGAGCAAGAAGGATCAATGATATGAATACAAACATGATGCTTTGTGGTATTTGTCACATGGACATTTGGCCATTTTCTGATTTTTCTCTCTTCCGTTTGTGACGATTTATCCTTAAGAAATGTGTGTGTGTGCGTGCTATCATTCAGGAAACAAGAGATGTACACACATCAAATATATAACTTTTCGTTTGCCTATCTGCCCCTCCTCTCCCTTTTTCATTTTTTTTTTTTTTTTTTAATAGTATACTTTTAGAAAAAAAAAAAAAAAAAAAAAAAAAAACTTCCCCAATGAGTGAAAGAAAAGAAAGAACAAATGGTGGTAACATTAGAAAGGTAAATCCGCCACCTCATTCACAACCACATCATCCTCAGCAACAACAACAACAACAACAACAACAACAACAGCATTTTGTTGCACCCAGCTCGCCTACGTATCCGCCCTATGCTACCTTTGTCGATGTCCCAACGCAAGTCGTCTATGACCCAAATGACCCCAACAACACAACCTACGCATACGTCTATCCACTGAGCCCACAATTTTCAGTCCAGTACTATGCTACGGACAATACCGCACGTTATGGTAGCTATCCAGGATCGCCCGTGCTTCATCCTCATCTTGCAGCCCACTACCACTCACCTCAAATGCATCCTTCCAGCCCGCCCTTTAGTCCTACATTGGCATCACCCCCCACACATGCTACATTTGTGCTGCCCCATCATCAGCAACATTTCCCTCCTTTGCACATCAGCTCACCTGTATTGAACGCCTCTTCTCCTCCACAACATCAGTTTATTCAGCCATTGAATTTTGATTTGAAAAAGAGACAGGAACAATTGGAACAGGAATACGTCCATTTAACTCAGTTTCATCCTCAAAACATTTATGTGCGTGGGTTGTCTGCTACAGAGACAGATGAATCATTTTTGGAATTATGCAGCGTGTAAGTTGTTGTTTGGCGTTATTGGATGGCGCGTCTCATGTGCGTTTGTAAATATATAGATATGGTCCCATCAGCTCATCCAAAGCCATTATTGATCAAAAGACGGGCGAATGTAAGGGATATGGATTTGCCATGTTTGAAGACCAGGATCACTGCCAGTTGGCCATTCAGGGCCTAAATGCTGCAGGTTACCAGGCATCGTTAGCCCGAGTTGGACAGGAATCATTCAGCTCGAGGTTGAGAAGTCTCCAGGACGAAAATTCTACCAACATTTACATTTCGAACTTGCCTGTCAGCATGGATGAAGAAGGACTGGAGGCTCTGTTTAAGCCCTACCAGACAATATCAAACCGTATATTACGTGACCCACAATCAGGTATTAGTAGAGGCGTTGGATTTGCTAGGTAAGCAACAGAGTAGTTGATGACACACAGTGTGTTGACATTATATAGACTTGGTGATCGTCAATCAGCTAGTGCCATTATCGAGAAATACAACGGCCATTCCATCACCGGCTCATCTGCACCCTTGCAAGTGCGTTTTGCTGATTCACCTGCCCAAAAGAAGCTCAAGAGTCAAACATCCTCCACCAAAAAGATAAAGCACCCACGTCAAGACAATAACACCACCATATTCCCCTTTCCTATTAGACCCATGATGCCCATTACACCCGAAACCATGCTCGGTATTGCACCTTCTTCGTCCAACAGTTACCCTCGTTCCATTGTCACTACGGAACCTATCCACCACCACCACCACCATCACCACCACCAAGACTTGTCAGACATTGATTCACTTTCAACTGCTGTCAATCAATTGGATTTAAAAGAGAAGAATAACACAGGTAGCGGCCTTGTGAGACAATAAAATAAACCGCACACGTTTGTTGCTTTTGTATAAAATTAAAATGAGGCTGGTATAATGATGGGCTCTTCCTTGTACGATTCGGATGCCCAGGGAGGTAGCTTTCTGGTAGTGTAACTCCAGCCGTTGCCAGCGTATTTGTATGCATGAAGCCAGAGTGCGAGCTGAGCAGGTGTTGGATCTGTGTCTGTGATGGGAACACGGCATTGCACGCAACGAGGCAGCGTTGTGTTGGTGGGGTCGTCATCCATGTAGTCGTATGGAGCTGTCTCTACCATGGTATTCAGCACACTGGCAAGAAGGCGTGGATCGGTGAATGTGGATGCAGATGGCAGTAATCTATCTGACCATGCGGTCGAGTAACCATAGATCGGATCGTTTGCGATTGGATAGCCGAGGTAACGCAAATGCACTCGAATTTGATGTGTTCTTCCACTCAGTGGTTTGCATAGAACAAGACTGGTGCGGCCATTGTAAGAGAGGCGTTCAAACTGTGTAGCGCAAAGTTTGCCCTCTGGATGAACATAGTTGAGGGACACAGTGTAGCTTAGCGTTTTGATGGGTTCCTGACATATGATGCGGCCACTACTGTCTGTTGAGTGTGTGCTTGGGGGGAGGGGGGTTTTTTTTTTTCAGCAGCACTTTATATATTACCTGGGAAACTCGCCTGACACTCTGCAAATGTATTCCTTTTCAATGTTTCGAGACCTCATTTGATGGCCTAATGCGTCTGCGTCTTTGGATGTCTTGCAAATCAGCATCAGCCCCGAAGTAATTCTATCCAGCCTGTTGGATGCTATGTCATTTGAGTCAATAGAGCAAAGCTTGGTTAGTATAAAACATCTTACGAAATAATCTGTCATAGCCAAGCTCTTTGCGCATGATATGAAGCACTGTGTTATGTCTGTACCGTCCACTTGGATGCACCTGAATGCTGCCAGGTTTGTCTATCACAAACATCGTGTCATCTTGATGGATAATGTCTATGGGCTGATCTGTCACTGGCGGTTCGTGTCGATGCACGAGATGACTGATAAGATCCTGCCGTTTGATGATGGTGTCTGGCGTTGTCCTTTGTTGGTTGACAGTGATCAATCCCTTGTCTATGGCATATCGCTGTTGTGTAGTATGTAAGCCAAAATGCCCAATCTCCTCTTCTCCATCCATGTGCTTACATAATAGTTTTCGGATCGACCTCTATACTCTTTCATGAACAAATCCAACACTGTGGAACCAAACATTCTTTCCTTTGCATATGCACGGAAATGGAAATTGTATGGCTTTACCTTTCGTAAACCTACGTTGAAACGATGGTTGGTACAAGTGGCAAAAGAGGCTTGCTGGCTACTCACCATTTTCAAAGTAGTATTCAGCTGTATGGATGTCATTCTCTTTACGAATACTTTGTGTCCCTCTATTTGCTGTATACAAAAGTCGTTTGCTTACAAAGAATCGAACATGGACGATTGGCATAGCAATGGATCAGTGTAATGCAAGAAACAAAGGGAAAAAGACTTGCCATGCCTGTTATTCGCAGGGTTGCTATTCGTTTGCCTTAGTGACCGCATTATCATCTATTACTACTGACAATGGGTACCTGAGACATGCCTTATCAGATGGGTATATGATAACCCTTTCTTCTTCTTCCTCCTCCTCCTCCTCCTCCTCCTCCTCCTCCTGCCAAGAGAAAAAAAAACATCCGTGCCAAGGCAAGGCTTATTCGATCTGATACATTTGATGGATAAAAGGAATATATATTGGGCCTGGGGTTTCGGTTGGAATAAAGAATAGATTCTACCTTTTATCAGATGCATCTTGATCAAATTACACAGCCAGTGCAAAATACGTTACAAGGCAGCATAGCTTGATTCGAGCTGCGGGTTGCTTCTACAGTGCCCACTAGACATAGACTTGTCTCTTTTTTTTTCAGCTTGCTCATCTATGAATGTCGTATCTGTCAAGTCGGATATGCATTGTCCTGATTAAATTGAATCTAATTTTTACTAGCCTATTAGCCCAATATGTGCTAATTTTACCTCATATGGGTATTTAAATGCCCATGCTGCTCTTTTGGATTGTTGACACCTTCTTTCAGATTACTTATCAAACAATGAATGATAGGATGAATCGATCTATCGACTGCAATGTAGCAAGAGGCATTCAAATCGCACAGGCATCCAAGCTGGTGTCAACGCATTTTGACAGAACCATCATGTTTATAGGGTAAACGTCCCCACTCTTTATATGTAATAAGCATTGACACATTACAGCTTATTGCTGATGTCCTGGGTAATTTCCTGGGAAAAGAACATTACAAACACCATCACATCCACTGTCTCTAGTGTGTTTCAAGCAAACAACATCTCAGGCATCTTGGGCACAGTGCTTAGTATACTACAAACAGCGTTACAACCCATGTACTCTAAACTGTCAGACATTACAGGAAGAGCTACGGCGTATACATTCTCTGTGTGCATGTTTATTGTCTCTTTCATTATCATGGCATGCGCTACCAATTACAACATGCTGATTGTAAGCCCGTGGTTATGGATGTTGTTGTAATGGTGCTGGTGACTAAACCACTCTCATTAGGGTGGACAAGTGATATATTCCTTTGGTTATTCGGGAGTGTACATTCTAGGCCCCATTCTCATTGGAGGTTTGTGTATTTTTCAAACAGCTTATTGTCTGATTCCAATCCGTATCAGATTCAGTAGGTCTAGTTAATCGAACCTTGATTTTGGCCGTTTACAATTTCCCCATCATCATCAACTTGTTTGCTGGTGGCCTTGCTGCTCAGACATTTATCAATTCAGGTCAATGGCGCTGGGGATACGGTGAGCCATTACTATCGGATTAACCATCAACAAGATGTCTGAACGCAAGTGAACTGATAGGACACATTTGCATCGTCATTTTTGTGGCTAGTTTTCCGCTTCTGACAGTACTCTGGAGTCTCCAATGCAGAGCCAAGAAATCAGGTCTATTGAGAAAAGGGTCAACAAAGTCTATCAAAGCAGCTAATCCAGAGAGCAAAGAGAGCTTCTATGACAAGACGGCCTGGCTTATCAGCGAGATTGATCTTGTAGGCAGTTTATTGCTTGTTGCCGGCTTGTTTTTGATTCTTTTACCCCTTATTCTGGCTACATCTTGGGGCGGCTGGAACAGCAGTAAGTCCATTACTATAACATTTGTCAGAGCACGGATGACTGACCATATTGGATTAGGTAGAGTCATTGGGTGCTTGGTCTCGGGAGGCGTCACGTGGTTGCTGTTCGGCTACTGGGAGTGGAAGATTGCCGTTAAACCGATTATTCCATTGACACATTGGGAGTCTAGAAACCCGTTTTGGGGAACACTGACCTTGTTTATGATTTGGACCATCAACAGCATGATGGATCTGCAGTACTTTTTGAGCTATTTACAAGTGACAAAAAGAGTGTCGCCACTGATTGCATCTTATCTGGAACGGGGTGAAAATTGTGCCAATGTCATGTTGCCCATATTCATAGGTTACTTTATTCGTCGCACGCAACGATGGCGCCCTTTTGTTTGGGTTGGTGCTTGTTTAGCTGTGTTGGGCCCTGGACTCATGATACCTGCAAGAAGGATGAGCTCGCCTGAGGTGTTTATTGTCATGGCACAGATCATCTTTGGTGCCTCCTCTGCGTTTCTCAATTATCCTGTTCTCGTTGGTATTCAAGGTTCGGTCCCGCAAAAAGGTAATTTATAATGGGTTGGGGTGTCTCTGTTGCTGATGCACACTGAACGTAGATGTTGCTATCGTCACAGCATTATTTGAAGTAGGTGTCTCTGTTGCTGGCAGCATAGGGTCTACCATTGCTGGCGCTGTGTGGAACTCTGTCTTACCTAGATTGATACAAAAGTATGTGCCTGGAAATTACAATGCCTTGACGATAACAAAAAGCATTCCGAAAATTTTGGCTTTACCTGAAGAGCAATACAAGGGTGTTGCATTAGCGTATGATGAAGCCATGCATATTCTAGGTATCACTGCTGTGTGTATTGGAGCACTGGCATTTTTGTGCTCTACACAGCTCAAGGGATACATCCTGGAGAATGTGGTGCCTGAGGAAGAGATGGAGGCTGAGAATGAGAGTGCAAATACAGGTACATAGAGTGTGCATGAGTATTACTTTTATCCTATTCATTAACTCGGTGTTTATAGGTGATCGCGATGACGAATCGATGATGGAGCAAATCATTGATGATGCTGCTACGTTAAAAGAAAAGCCGTTACAGCAGGCCAAACGGACCACTCCTTTGGAAGATAAGTGCTAAAGTAGCTTTTTTCTTGCTGTTTCACTTGCATCTTAAACTTGTATATATTTTGTACTGCCATTCATAGCATTTGGAACTTCGTTTTTATTTTTGAATAAACAGATATATATATATATATATATAACACTAATAATTTCACTATGGTATATGTCTAAATTACCTGGTTGTTCACTTGTGATTTCATTAGTAATTGCTAATTCTTACGCACTTCTCGCCAATATAGCCATCATGCCGAGCCTCATGATCAGGCACACAGAGGCAATGCCATTATAAGAGAACAACGAACTGATCTCAAGTGTCCGGCCATCTTTAAGTGAAGCTACAAACACCAACTACAAGAAGGCGACTAAACCATTAAAAAAAAAGCAAAACTCATAACGATCAATTACCCTCCCCCCCCCCCCCCTTTTTTTTTGTTACTCTGTCAAAATATCAGACAAATCTCATTTTATAAACATAAAACTGATATTAATTAACAACACCGGTACTATACCAGTCTATTAATGCATGTTTGGAGATATTACTGCTCAAATTATCATACATGCAAGCATCATTCTGAAAAAAGCACATGAAAAAATAATTTAATGACAGTAAACAATAACGCTTTGAGCATTGTTCTTTGTCGCTCCTCATAGACATTTTCTTCAGTAGGGCCAAATCATGCACGCCATAGTAGCTGCCAGCTATTCCTTTATTTTGTATATTATTGTTGGTAGGTTATTTAGTGGTTGATGGACCAGAACAGTGTTTCAACACATGGTTTGCGAATCATGCGTAAAGAATAATAGCTCTTTGTTGCTGAGCATGTAGTGTCTTTTTCAGGTGATAACTTATGTTACAACACGTTGACATTTACTTTAGTATCTGTCATCATCTCTTATTTTTTAGAGGAGTATTTTTTTTTTTTTTTTACTCTTGCTATCATCATGCTAATACTATTATAGACAAATGTTGTTTATGCTTCGGATGGCTCTTTACCTTTGCTTCGCTTCGGTAAAAACCAACTTGCACAGTGACAGCTCGCGCTACTGATTGCTCTTGCGTATCTTATCAAAATACTGCTACTTTCATTTTTGACCTTTCACTTACACATAAAAACCCTTCATACTCTCCGTGGATCTGATGCTCTACATTCATATACACGTAGCTTTTTTTTAAGGAAGATTATTGTTTTATTAACAGATAGAGATTAGGTCAGCCCAAATGGGCCGAGGAGTAATAAATATTTTTATGCTTGTTCATGTATATTTTCCATGCTTCTATATGATATTCATAAACTATAAGAGCCAAGCAGTTATTTTATACCTTTTTTGAGATTATTTTTTTTAAGCAATACCATTGTTTACGTTCAATTCAATATTAACAAAATTTTAAATTTCAAATTATATATTATGCCTCCAGCCAACACCAATCTCGATGTTAACGTACTTGTTTCTGTCAACAAACGTTTTATCAACAGGGCAGACGTAAAAACTATTTTGCAAGCAAAGCATGACTGGAACACACCTGGATTGTGCTTTAAGGGAAAACCGTTGGCCGTTCAACAGTCAATGAAAAGGTCAAGTACCATGTTATTTTGGATGAAGCACCTGGTATCACATTGTCCCTTTCCTGCGGTTGCCTCAAATACATTCGACGACTGGAGTCTAGCACTTCCAGCAGCGCCAGCACTCAAAGCATCCCTGATATGGCAACAACCGAAAATATGCTAGAAGATGCTATCGAAGGGGACAACGAAGAGGAAGAAGAAATTGATTTGACTTCTGGCGGGTGGACCGAAGGTCAAGTATTTGTCCACAGTTGTTTACGACAATCTGGCTCAGACCTTTGCTCCAAGTCCACATTAAGCATGAACTATGCATCAGTTTCTTCCCCTTTGGACTATTTCTTGTTCTTCTTGCCTTTAGATCACTTTCATTTGATCATAGGAAACACTAATGTTCATGCAAGAAATACGCTTGATTCTTGGACCAATATCACTTTTGCCGAGTACTTGATGTGGATTGCTCTGTTGACCGTTATGACAGTGGTCAAGCATGATGACCGCAAAGCTTACTGGAAGCAAGGATCTAGCCGCTTTACGATGACAATAGATTTCAGCGAATATATGACTTTCAAAAGATTCAACGATATCATGAGAATGCATGTTTTTGAAGTTCCCAGCAAAGAAAAACAGCTAACCGACCCACTATATCAAATCCGATCTACGATTAGCGCCTTCATTTGCCATATGCCCATGTGCATCTCGCCAGGAAAATATTTGGTGATAGATGAATCAATGAATCAATGGCTTGGTATAGGGATGCCAAATTTAAAGAAGGCCCCTCGTAAGCCTCATCCTATCTGCCAAGAGTTTAAAACACTAGCTAATTGCCATACGAGTTGCATCCTCAGAATGGACACAGTCAGCGACCCAGTGTCCAAGGAGTTTGGCGACGAGCCTGGCATGAAGAAATTGACTGCGACCGTTAAGCGTTTGGTACAGCCCTGGTTTGGTAGTAGAAGAACAGTAATTGCTGACTCTTGGTTTGGATCTCCCGATATGGTCATAATGCTTTTCAACCTTGGCTTATTCTCCATCATGCAAGTGTGTAAGCGCCATTACTGGCCTCGTGGAATGCCTCAGACTGATATTGTGGAAAAGGTGGAAGAAGCCTATGGTAGCTGCTATACCATGAACAAATGCGTGGGTAATGTCAGTAGTCTATTCACTTGTGCCTATCGCGATCAAAAAATCAAAGCGTTTATTTCATCATGTAGCACGACAATCCCTACAGGTGAGAAGGTGTTCGAAGGACCTCGCGGTAGAAGAATTACTATTCAAAGGCCCGAGGTTGCAGAGGAATACGAGACACACAAAAGTAAGTAGATAGTAGCAGTATATAGAGGCATGCAAATCTACATTTTAATTTTAGGCTCTGTCGATGCTGCAAATAATTTGAGAGATAAAATGGCCTCGTATCACGATATCATCGCAACTGAGAGGTGGGAAATGCGCTTTTTTTGGCTTTTTCTTGGGAATATGCGAAGCAAATGCCTTTAGCTCATTTCGGATCTTTGCCAATGATGGAAAAAAAAGGGCATATCACATGCTTCTTTCAAGGATATATTGGCATGGAATATGCTGAAGCACTGTCAAAAACTGGCTAATATCGGCGTCGAAGCAGCAGAAGAAAGCTGAAGACCACTCAGAAGACGCATGGCTCATACGCTTGTGTCAATGAGTCGACACAATGGGAACAAGCGTGTTCGATTAGCGTGCAAGACTTGCCACAAGTCAGGGTAACAATGGCACCAGAGTTGAGAAATCGTGCAGCTGTAACCCTGACGCACCAATGTGTGAGGCTTGCCATAAGCAACATTTGTATGATATTTGGAAGCTCGAAGCACAACTAAATAATTCTTTATAGTTGCTGAAATGCTTCTCTAACTTTTTTTTAATAAAGTTGCTTAAAGCTGTACACAAGTTATTGTGGGTGAAAGAATTGGCCCAAATGGGCCGATTAATTTTTGCCCGAAACCGCTTTTAGTAAAATGACAACCATAGAGTCAGTTTTTGACTTTTTTCAAAAAAAAAAAAAAAAAAAAAAAAAAAAAAAAAAAAACAAAGCGTATTATATGCAGAAAGGCTTAGAGTAGATTTAGTTAAATTTAATTTTCATTGAGAACAATATTCATAGATGAAGCAATTTTTAACGAATTGGCCCATTTGGACCGATTAGGGCAATCTCTACTTGTTAATAAAAATTTTTGTTTAAAGTCCTACTAACGTACCCGAATTGGGGAAGAGGATAGTAGGACTGGATATAAAGTGCTTTGCTACAGAAGTGAGTGAACGTTGTCTTGGGAAACTAAATTATATAGCGCCCTGTCTATTCAGAGCATGATTTGAAGGGGTTCAAAATGAAAGGAGTCGAAGATAGATCTGTAGTGACAACTCCAAAGTGCTTGAAGAATGCAAGAAAATACTTGGTACGTGATGAGTGTGGGGTAGAGTGACGATGTTGAGACTGTAATGGAGGAGCGAAGGTGGAGAAGTTCATCGAAATTGCTCATAAGTGGGAGATTGCAGACCTGGGTCTATGTATGTGGAGAGTGCTTGGGACCAGACAGTGTATTTGATGAAACAGGAAAAGAGAAAGTGCGCCGTCGTTTCGATGCTGGTAGTTGTAGAAGGGCAGATCGTGCAATGAGGAGGAGCGAATTTGTCTGAAACTGTACGAAGGTATAGGAGTTCTTTGGCGGTTATTTTGTTGAGGAGGAGGATTTGGTACCAAGTATTACGTGCATTCAGAGCTATTTCGAGCTTCCAAAACTGACGCCATGGAGTAGAAGAAAGGAGAGAACTAGGGGTAGGGGGGAGAGGAAGATGTTAGGAGGCATTTGAAGTATTTGGTAGAAGTAGCTTTAGTAGTTGCACGAATATTGTTGGGTTCTGGAGGTATAAGAAGAGTGGTGACAAAGGAATGGAGAGCTGCACTACGGCCCAACTGATGTTCTCACAGAACATCGATGCGCTCTTTTGGGAACATCGATGTTCTCATGAGCACATTGATGTTCTCATTTGAGAAGGTGTAGTTTTCCACATGAATAAAATGGTTTTAACAGCTAAACTATAATATTGTAGGCAACAGAGAGACTTTTATTATCTGTAAGATTCATAAAATTCCTAAACGTATTATAAATTGCACGAGAAAATGGCAATTTAAAACTACCTGATAACTACTTATTAAAGTAAAAGAATATATCTCAATAAGATACTCGAGTAGTTTAGTGAGAAAAACGTCAGATCCACAACCGATAGGTTGTGGGTTCGACCCCGGTAGGAGCATTCTTTTTTTCAAATATCTGAAAACTGATGTGCTCATATAAGAATATGGATGTGCTCACATGGGAGCATTTCGGATGTTCTCATAAGAACATCGGCCGACTTATAATAGATCTTTAGGAACGCCTATGTTCCCATATGAGAGCATTTTTCACCTTTTGGGAACATCAGTTGGGTCGTAGTGCGAGAACAATGTGAGATCTTTTGAAAAATCACAAATTCGGCGATAACTGAAACCCACAATGTGAAATAACCTCGAGAGCGTCGTATAAGAAAGCCTCATGTAATGCAAGTAGTCTCTGTTATCCAATTCGGAGTTCTAAATATCAGGTAGGTCGATTACCAAGCCATGAAAGCCATTGCTGTCTTCAAGGTTAGTTCTGCAATCACAATGCTTCGAAGCGGTATTTCAATTCGGGATATTGTTGAAAAACTGTCTTTGGGTAAGTCTACTACTGGCCAAATCAGAATGGAGCATTGTCCGGGTCTGGGAACCTCGAAAGGTGGTCGTCCTAGGGTGTTGTCTGAAGCCGACAAGCGCTATTGTGTTCGAAAGGTAACCAAGGAACGGGTTTCAAGCGCCGTCAAGGTCACAAAAATGTTGGAGAAGAATTTCCTGATGAAGTTTCACCTGGAAACCGTTCGTAGAGCACTCCGTACTGCGGGCTTGGGGGCTATCGAGAAGGAAAAGAAGCCTTTGCTTAGTGACGCTAATGTCAAGAAGAGACTTGCGTGGTGCAAACAGCACAAGGACTGGACTGTTGACGACTGGAAACGTGTTATTTGGACAGACGAGACCAAAATTAACCGTTTCAACTCAGATGGGCGACAGTGGGCCTGGATTCGATCTGGTGAACAGCTTCAAAACCACCATGTCAAGCTTACGGTAAAACACGGTAATGGCAGTATCATGCTTTGGAGTGCCATTACGTATGCTGGTGTTGGCTAGATGTGCAAGGTAAATGGTAATATGGATAAGGCACTCTACAAGGAACTTCTGCAAGACGAATTGGAGCAGACTATCACTTTTTCCATGGAGAAATTGGGAATTCGCCGTGAACAATAAGTGATATTCCAGCAAGACAATGATCCCAAACACGCGTCAAATTTGGTCGAGGATTACCTTCAGGAACAATAATACCAGGTCATGCAGTGGCCCCAACAATCTCCAGACTTGAATTTCATTGAAAGCATGTGGGCTTTGTAGAAAAGGCGTCTTAATGAATATGAAACCGCAACCAAGGGTATGAATGAACTCTATGAGCAAGTAACTGAGATTTGGTATGACCAAATGAAGCCGGGGGAGTGCCAAAAGGTTATCGAAAGCATGCCTCTACCTATTGAGGCCGTTATCAAGGCTAAAGGAAAATCGACAAAGTATTAAGATCCTATAAAATAATAAAACTTGATTTTTCAAAAGATCTCACAATACTGTCCCAATATACCTAATGACTTTGGCCAATCACAGCTTGTGCCCCTACAGCTATATGCTTGTACAAATTAAACAATATAAAAAAAGAAACAGTTTCAGCTCTCAGAAAATACTAAATTCATTATTATCGGATAACTTCTCGTCCGGCGGTAAGGTCTGAAAGTTAAAATTGCTAAACATTGGGACAGTTTTGTGGGTCGCGGTACCTGCAAATGCGTCATGTAATCGTTAATCTGGTCAACAGCGTCTTCAAGATCTTGAAAGCGGTTCTGAATGTTGGACTGGACTGTTTGAATCTCAAAAGAGATTAGATCGAATTTTGGTAAGAATAGCTCTTTGAGAGCTTGCATGAGGTGCTCATTGGAATTAGGTTCTTTGGTTGCAAGAGAGGTCTCTTGCTTGCCTGGTGGCGAGGGGAGAGGGCTTGATTGATTCGACAGCTTTCTTAACTGGTTTGGCTTTCTCGGGCGCCGTAGTGGAGGTGAGAGGACGGCGGAGGCAAAATGTGGTGTAAGGATCTTCTGATGGGATTACAGGAGGAGTAACGGCCTGTAGTGAGAGATCGCGTTGGGTAATCGGACACAGGTTGATAGAGATAGGGCTCTATCGAACAGTGGAGTTGGTTGATGAGTTGTTGGTGTTAATTTGGCGGGTTATATGTGATGGTGGTTTTTCAAGCTATGGTTTAGATCATTAGCGGAGAAACCTGACATGTAGCTACTTCATATACAGGCAAGTATCATACAGATATTATCCCTTTTTAGTCCTTAGTGTCCCTGATGCAGCAAAATTTGTGTGCATTTGAGCTGTGTGTTCTCGCGTTCCAGGTAGTTTTAGATCGTCAGAATAGCGCCAAACAATTGCTCTCATCTAGGCGTTACTTCCTGACACCTTTGCTCAACTTTTTGGGGATCAAAAGAAATGGACAAAATTCGACCAAAAAGTATGAGGCGCCCCTGGGGTGGCTAACGTACCAACAAAAAACTTCCTTTTTTTTCTTAACGTACCAACAAAAGATGATTTTCTATAGACACACTTTGGTCCGGCAGCGCTTGTTTTGCCTTTCTCTTTTTTTTTGGATAACATACCAACAAAATATTATTTCCCACAGACACACTCTGGCTAACGTATCAACAAAATAGCATTTCCTATACACTTTTGGTTAAAGTACCAACAAATCGCCTCTACATATTACTCAATAGACTTGTTGTAGACTTGCTACAGACTACTTCTTGTACTGTACGTAATATAAATACAAGACGAACGATAATAATACACGTTTCCGGCTCTTAGTAGGCATGAATTTATTCAATATAGGCTTTTACTGTAGGGGGGAAAAACTGTCCCGTTCGTTCAAATAATCTTGACTTTTACCCAGTATATTGCCAAACGTCAGAAAACAAAGCTACCCCATACTGCGTTCGATAGAACAGCCTATAGGAATTACAGCAACATAAAAACCTTATGGCTGGACTATATTTTAATCCCAGTATAACCAGCTAAAGTGAGACGTGGCAAAAATGTTAGGTGGGTAATTCTGGATGATATAAAATGGTTGATATCTTTACTTCCAATAGACGTATTGAAGAAATCTAAAAAACTACCCGCGGTATGCTCAGGATATTTAATATCCCAGGAGCACTCTAAAAGTATAAAAGAAGCTAGTTTCTTCATGTTTTTTCTTTATTTCTTTGCTTTCTTATTTTTTTTCAAAACTTTCATTTTGCCTGCTCGTTTCACACAAGATTTGCGCAACATTCTCCAATCTTTGCTCCAACGTGGTCTTTCGCTCTCAAAGATAAAGAATTTGTATCCAGGAGTGGGTAACTCTACTCTTACAAGGCTCAGAAAACTATATTGCCCTGACCCAGCTAGACCTCTTGGCGGAAGACCGAAAAAACTTGGTGCTAAAACTATGTCCCTAGTGTCAAGAGGACTTCGATCAGGTGCTTTAGATAATCCCCGAGCAGCACAAGAGATTTTAAGATCGATGGGCCATGATATGTCAATTAATGGCATCCGCAAGTCATTGAGACGAAATGGACTTAAATCTCGTAGAAAAGTAAAGACCAATTTTGTTAGCAAGACAAACAAGCGGCTTCGATTGGCGTGGGCTAAAAAGCATAGGCATCTTACTATTGCTGATTGGCGTCGTTGGGTGTTTTCGGATGAAACAAGAATAAACCTTTGAGGCTCAGATGGTAATTCTTTTTACTGAACGAATGGTGGCCGAATCATGCAGTCGTATCAAGTCAAGTCTCAGTTGCAGGGAAATGACGGTGGGGTCATCTTCTGGAGTTGTATAACAGCGGAGGGGCCTGGTTATGGTACTACCATTATTGAAGACGCAATAAACTCGGGCTTGTATGTCGATATTTCGAAAACATCATTGAACGACACTCTTGAGCACTTTGGGAAGACACCATCTGATGTGCGATTTCCACAAGACAGAGCAACACCGCATACATCGGGCATTACTAAACAATGGTTCGCCGACAATGGGTTTAACCTAGACGAAATCATGGATTGGCCACCCCAAAGTCCCGATCTTAATCCCATTGAACATGTCTGGCATCTCCTAAAGCTTCGTCTTAATAAGTATCCCACTAGGCCCTCTACAAAAGAAGAATTAGAGCGGCGTATTAACATTCAGTGGTACAAAATAGCAGAAAAAGAGTGCCAGAAATATATTGATAGTATGCCTGCCTGAATCAAGGCTGCCATCAAGAGCAAAGGTGGTTCAACTCACTATTAATAATTTTATAATAAAATGTACATTTTTATATATTTATTTTTTAACCAATAAAATCATTGGTTTTTAGTTTTTGAAAAAGTTATAATTATGTATAGATAGCACTAATTTATCACATTCAAACGATATATATTTCGACTTTGTATACAAAGAAATGACCAAAAACTTGTGCAAAAAGACAGAATTTTAAACGAACGGGACAGTTTTTCCCCTTACAGTATTTATTAAAACGACAACATCAGTTAATCTTCGGTAGTATAGTTGAAATGTTTATTGAAGAGATATAATATTGGAGCTGCGTCCCTGTAGGGCAAAGTGCTCATTATAGTGCGGATCAAAATGATGACAGCTGGAAATAAATTCGGAAAGAGAATATAAAAAAATAAAAAAAAATTTAAAGATTAAATCCTTGGTTCAAAAAAAGGCAAACGAAAACAGTTGGAAAAGGACAGCAGAGAAACAGCATCTTAGTGAGACAAAAGATGTGGAATAGCGACAGTAACGCCAGCACTATCTGAGGAAGAGATAGGAGTCGTACCCGAAACAGAGGTAGTTGAGGAAACCGGGGTCAGCCAGTCGAGAAAGGCAGAACCAGACGAGTCCAGAGCTTTACCAGTAAATTCAGCATCAGGATGACAGATCATGTCAATATCCAAAAAGATTTGGAGCATGACAGGCCAGCGAACAGACCAAAAGGAGCGAGACGACACGAGTTTAGAGGCAGAAGGTTGCATACGAGGTAATCGATTGAGCCAAAAGTCCAGAGGATTGGGCAAATAATCAGCACCAAGAGGATCATCAGTAAACAAAAGCTTTGAAGCAACACCAAGACACGCTAGCAGATGGTTGCGGCTAGCGTGAGGAGCACCACAGCGACATGGAACTGGCCTAGCAGGTAGCCATCCCATGCGCCAACGGAGAGTACGACTACGGTCAAACACAGACATTGGAAGATACAGGATGGGATCAACCATGAGTGAAGGACGACAAGCAGAGAGGAGAACAGGAGGAGAAACAGGAGGAGCAGGATGTAACCGACATTGGAGGGAATCAAGACGATACACCTTGATCTTGTCAGCAAGACCACGACGATCCAAAGCAAGAGAATTATCAGCACCACCACCAGCAAAAGTAGGATCCCAGATTGGATTTTTGACGGCCAACTTGTTCAAACGATGCTTGAAGGACACAAGAGAGGGAGCCAAAACCATAAGAAGAGTATCACCAGGCAATTGCGTATGCACCCGCCAGAGCATTTTACTAGTCAGAATATCAACACGTTCCTCCATAGTTGGAAGATTGGTTAAATGTCGAAAAACCACGACGGAAGAGGTACGATGGCCACCAAAGGCCAGACGAAGACACTGATTTTGAGCTTTTTCCAAAAGCTTTAAATGACGTTTCAAGAACCAGGAAATAGACATACCAAACTCAAGTTTGGGCCGAATAAAGGCCGCATACAGTTTAGCAGATAGGAGCTTGGAGAAACTAGCAGAATGAAGGCCAAGAGATTGCAAACCACGCATAGCACCTAACGCTGATTGACTATTTCTAGTCAATAAGAGATCGGTGTCCAAGCTACCCTTCACATTGAACGGCAAACCAAGGTAGGTAAAAGAGTGAGCAGTAGGTATAGCTTGACCATAGAGAGACAGAGAAACACCAGCACCAAGACCAGGAGAGACACCAGTAGCACCACCACCAACACCAGCATTGAGGACGACAGATTTTAGAGGGTTCCACCGATAACCCAGAGACACAGAATGAGCTTCCACACGAGCAAGTAACAAAGGCATAGACTCGGCAGTTCCAATTAGCACCACATCATCAGCATACATCAAACTATTGATCCAAAGACCGTTATACAAACGAGGAGGACGCTCCACCACCCGAGGGCTAAATGGAGCACGCAACACCGCAGGCAGAGAGTTGATGTACACGGAGTAAAGAAAAGGACTCAAAATGGAGCCCTGCAACACACCAGTACCAGGCCAAAAACCATCAGAAACAGCACCAGACACCAAGACCTGAACAGACACTTCATCAAACAAATGCTGAAGGAGACCAAGCATCGCATCTGATACATACGTTTCGAGAGCACGCCAAATGACAGCTCTGTCAACCGTATCGTATGCAGATTTGATATCCAGAAAAGCCAAAACAGGAGGAGAACCATAATCAAGAGTATGGTGAAGGCAGAGTTCATGTAGACAGAGCGCCTGATCAGGAGCACCACGACGCTCACGAAAACCACCTTGCACCACATCCAACGCAGGAGCAGAAGACACCAAAGGATCATAAAGGCATCGTTCCAACAACTTTCGAAACACAGAAGTCAAAGAGATGGGTCTATGATTACCAGGATCAAGAGGATCACCCTTCTTGTAAATTGGCACCACCTGTGCTAATCGCCAAGAAGCAGGAGTACGAGACCAACGCCAGCACAGCTGAAACAACAGGTAAAGTACAGGCACCAGAGATTCACGGATGGGAAGGAGCATTTCCGCACGGATATGGTCCCCACCAGGAGCACGCCGCCTGGCCAAACGCTTTCTTAAGTAGTAGTCAACATCATCGGCATCAAACGGACATTCATCCACAGAATGAGGCACAAGAGGAGTAGGAGGAGCATTAGGCCGGTTTGGAAGCAGGGAATCACCAGCATAGATACCACGAAGGTGTTGGGCCATAGTAGAAGCAGCAGCAACAGGACCTTCAGGATGGGAAAAAGGAGCACTGAGACTACGACCACGGATGATCCGCTTGAGCGTACCAGTAGTATCACCTAAAGGCTGTGTAGCCATCTTGGTACAAAACTGTTTCCAGCTTTGACGACGCCGACGACGAATAGCCTTTTGAAATGCCTTCTTAGCAGCAAGATATTCACCCCAGCGTTTACATTGTTCGAAGGGGTTAGGAGAACGAAGCCAGCGGGTATGGAGATGCTCACGAAGGTCAAAGGCAGCTTGCAAATCAGAGGTCCAAAACCAAGCATTACCAGGAGGCTTTGGTAAGCGACGACCCACAGACTCTGTCAAGGACGAATGAATACAATCAGTGAGAGTATTACCTAATGCATCAAAGTCAGGACAGGCAGTAGAGGGCAACAGAGACACCAGGTCATCGTGAAAGGGAGCAATACGATTTGCAAACAGAGGAGCATAGGAGCAACTTGGGTCCTCCAACTTTGATAGATTCCACATCCACCGCGGGTGATCCACACGAACAGGAGGGGGAGAATCAAAGGCAAAGGACAGCGACACAGGATGATGATCAGAGTTGATACTCATATTAGAGTGTACGATCAAGGAAGGATGCAAGAGGCCATGGGTACCAATGAACAAGTCAATGATACTACCAGCAGCGTAGGAGATGTATGACATTGGATCATTCACAGGTTCACCATCATCCGTACAGTCACTATCATCACTAGAATCAGAGAGCAGATCAGAATTATCAGCCGTAACACCAGACACAGCACCACCATCGAGGGAGACACCAATACCAGGACCACGACCAGAGACACCAGAAGCACCAAGAACACCACTACCACCAGAGTCATCAAAAGAGCCACCACCAGAGACAACACCAGAGACGACACCAGCACCAGCAGCAGCACCATCAGGGACACCAACAGGAGCACCAACAACACCAGAAGCACTAGCACTTGACGACACATTCGCATCATCGTGATGGACAATACGACGACGACGTTGTTTGACAAGTGTAGGCTCACCAAAAGCAAAAGAAGCATTCCAACAATAGAGACCAGTATCAAGCAGCCACTCATATAGAAGAGTGTGGAATTTGAGGCTTGATAGACTAAAATTCACGGAAAAAAAAGAATAAAAAAACAGTAATGTCAACTTGATAAAGGTATATTTTATTATCAAACTGACAGGTGTAAAGTAAACTGAAGTCTCTCTACTGGCCAGGTAGATGATCCTTCTTATATACTATAACAATGGATAAAAGTTCTATTAATTAGATTGACAAATAAGTCAACTCAGATCAACTAATGTCTAATCATGCTAAAAGACAACTCCAGCAAGCTAATCATGATTTAGCTCTGTCTGGATGAATAATTAGACTCTCATCCGAAGTACCCTGATCTATCCTTTCTATAAGGATAATTAATATCGATCTAGTAGCATGTATCCGATAGGTACAGTCTTCTTAGTCTATATTAATAGTACATATCTGAGTGTATATCGCTAAGCATACATCTTTAGCATGTATCTGGATATATGGCATGTCTATAGCATATCGTATGCATGTCTATAGCATGTCTCATATATAGTACAAGTCTGTAGTACATAAAGTATCTGTAGCTAGTATCACGGATATAAGCATGTGTCTTATAGCGTGGATCATGAAGTGCACATCTGAAGCAACAAGCTCATATTGCATTAATCTTGGTGCCTATCCAGATATGGTAAACATCCGTAGTCAATGTCGGAATACAAGTATAAGTCTATAGTGCCATCCATGTCCGTGGTGCCATCTATAGCCTATATCTTATATAGTATGAATCTTATAGTACTAGCGTATCTGAAGTCCATATCTTCTTATAGTATAAATTGGTATCGTACATCTAATCCAGTGTACATACAGTTTATATCTAGATCTGGTAACTGGATGAACTGTCGGAATGCAGATCATAGTGGATGTATTCCACAAAGAGTACCTCTAGTAGTAGTCTTAGTATCACCCAATAAACGAGCATGGCGAGCATTGAGATCACCACATATGATTGTGTTTGTTTGGGAGGGACTAGGATGGAGAGGCAGATCACGGAGTACAGCTAGTGCATCAGAGTCAGAAAAAGAAGCAGTAGGAGGCAAATAGACACAGTGAATCAAAGTGGATGCAACCTGACAGGATAATACATAAGGAGAGACAGAAGGAATATGCGTAACAGGGTAAGGAAAATCAGGATTGACCAGCAACGAGATTCCCATTTGACCACGGCGCATGTTGGGGACAGGCAAACCATAGGTATGGAATTGCTGCCACGAAGTAGGGAGATGGAGAGGAGGAAGAAGCCATGTTTCGGTTATAAAGATGAGAGAGGACAAAGGAAGGGATTGGGTAACAGTATTAATTGTCATGCGATCAAGACAATTAGCATTCCAGATGGTTATAGTGATATCGCGAGAGTCACTCATTACTGAGGTGCCTCTGGTTTATCACCACCAGGAAGGGAAGCAGAAACAGTTGAACCAGTATCATTAGCAGCATCAGTCATGGTAACATTCTCATTATCCGTCTCAAAGACACCACCAGCACCAGAGTCACCACCAGAACCAGAGCCATCAGAACCAGAGCCAGAATCACCAGAAACAGAATCACCAGACACCACACCATTAATCGTAAAAGAACCATTAGACTTGAACTCACGCAATTGATCATTAGAGATCCATTTCTTGTGGAAAAAGTCAGTAGCAACAGCAATCGAAATAGGACGACGACCAGCATGCTGGTACAAGTATTGAAGACCACGCAGAAGACGACCCTGATGAACCTGGATAGCCCTCTCCACACGCTCAGCTTCAGTAAGGGAAACAAGACGAGGATCCTCCAGAATTGTTGGATCACGAGGATCAAAAGCATCAATGGGGAGAACCTTAGCCTTGGCAAGAGTATCAAGTAGCTCCTTGGCATATTCATGATGAACCAAAAGGGCAACAGCCTTGGGAGCAGGGTAGTGGATATCCAAAACACGCCAGTTTTGGACTTTCAAGGTAGGCAATTGTTCACGAACAGCCTTGTAAGACTTACGATGACGACTACGAAAGTAGATGTATCGATAGCCTTGCTCATATTGCTCAGGATAATCAGAAAAGAAGCGGGCGGCAGCCTCAACCTTTTGAGGGGAAGGCTTTGACTTGGATTTTTGCTTGCTATTCTTACCTTTTTTAGCAGCTGCCAAAAAGTTATAGGTAGGAGTAGGAGTAGTGGAGGCAACACGAGTGGAAGAAGCAGCTGCTGTAGCAGGAAGAGAAGCATACTTGGAAACAGAAGAGTTACCAGCAAAGAATGAACCCGAAGAGACACCAAATGCAGCACCAGAGACACCAGAGACACCAGAGACACCAGGGACACCAGGGACACCAGAGACACCAGAGACACCAGAAGCACCAGAGTTATTAGAGGCAGCAGCACCGGCAGCACCATCAGATACACCAGAGTCATTAGAGTCACCAGAATCACCAGAAATACCAGAGGCAGAGACACCAGACACACCGGCAAGAGCAGCACCAGACACATCAGACATAACGGCATCTACAGAGACGTTGTTAAGTCGCTTCACCTCCTCCTGAAGTGTTGCGATCAACTGATGTGCGTCAGACAGAGCAAATTTCAGCTGAGCATTCTCAGCCGTAAGACGTTCAACTTCATTCAACCGATTTTCATAAGCAGCAAATCGAGTATTCATAGCTCGCAATTGAACCTGAAAATCGATTGCCCAGTCAGCAAGAGAAGTAGTTGAAGAAGCAACGGTAGAAGTATCAGAAGGAAGATCAATAATAGTAGTAGTAGCAGTGTTAGAAGAGACAGCAGTAGTATTGATCAACGGATCAGTAGTGGTATTAGTAGCAGGAATAGCAGCATTTGGTTGTGGCAAAGCTTTTTCGGCATTAATGGGAACCTTAGAACCCTTGGGAATCGGAATTCGAGTGATACGAGAAGCAGGGATCACCTCAGGGGGAGCATTGACATTGGCATTGACAACCGTGGGAGAAGAGATCACGCCCTTTTTAGTCAAAATCCGTTTTTGGGGCATTTCACCGAAAGAGGAAGTTGGGGAAGGCACAAATGGACGTTTCGATTGCGAAACAGTGGGGGTAGGACCAGGAGTAACAGAAGTGAGGTTAGAACTGATAACGTTGGGCAAAGCAGTGGCACTTGGACACGAAGTAGTGGAACCAGAGGACAAAGTAGTGTTACTGTGCACAGAATTAATGAAAATTAATTGCTTAGCAGGTGTAACTGTAGTACGGGAAGCAATAGAAGGTTCAGAAGCCTTGGTACTGACACGAGATTTCTGTTTTGGGGGAATCTTGATGAGTAATTAAAGAGTTGATGGGAAAAACTGATTTTGCGAAAAAGTATAAAAAGGAACAATGAATATCGCGCGCTGTTCGACTATGATACTCTGCGGTGCTGGTTTTGTGAAATGTGTAGCGAAATGTGTGGAAGATCTTGCAGTAATAGTTGATCCCGAGACAAAACCAAGTAATTAAAGCTGTTTAAGTTGCTGATGTGTTGCAATAACCTTGATGTAGACAGTATCTCAGCGATTAAATGTATATATAAAGTTATGTACCCAAAAGATTTAAACGTAAGAAAGTTCGATTTATTTCCAATGTGTTGTATAGATTCAAGTGTATATGTCAAAATAAAAAAATGTAAGAATAATCGATTTGAACACTAGTTCAGGAACAGCACTCTAATAGGCTCAGAGTTCAGATACCGCTTCTTGAAATCAGCACCACCACAAAATCCTTTTACCATCGTAACAACTAACGTCTCTCTTCGGTAGTATAGTTGAAATGTTTATTGAAAAGATATAATATTGGAGCTGCGTCCCTGTAGGGCAAAGTGCTCATTATAGTGCGGATCAAAATGATGACAGCTGGAAATAAATTCGGAAAGAGAATATAAAAAATAACAAAAAATTTAAAGATTAAATCCTTGGTTCAAAAAAAAGGCAAACGAAAACAGTTGGAAAAGGACAGCAGAGAAACAGCATCTTAGTGAGACAAAAGATGTGGAATAGCGACAGTAATACCAGCACTATCTGAGGAAGAGATAGAAGGCGTACCCGAAACAGAGGTAGCTGAGGAAACCGGGGTCAACCAGTCGAGAAAGGCAGAACCAGACAAGTCCAGAGCTTTACCAGTAAATTCAGCATCAGGATGACAGATCATGTCAATATCCAAAAAGATTTGGAGCATGACAGGCCAGCGAACAGACCAAAAGGAGCGAGACGACACAAGTTTAGAGGCAGAAGGTTGCATACGAGGTAGTCGGTTGAGCCAAAAGTCCAGAGGATTGGGCAAATAACCAGCACCAAGAGGATCATCAGTAAACAAAAGCTTTGAAACAACACCAAGACACTCTAGCAGATGGTTGCGGCTAGCGTGAGGAGCACCACAACGACATGGAACTGGCCTAGCAGGTAGCCATCCCATGCGCCAACGGAGAATACGACTACGGTCAAACACAGACATTGGAAGATACAGGATGGGATCAACCATGAGTGAAGGACGACAAGCAGAGAGGAGAACAGGAGGAGAAACAGGAGGAGCAGGATGTAACCGACATTGGAGGGAATCAAGACGATACACCTTGATCTTGTCAGCAAGACCACGACGATCCAAAGCAAGAGAATTATCAGCACCACCACCAGCAAAAGTAGGATCCCAGATTGGATTTTTGACGGCCAACTTGTTCAAACGATGCTTGAAGGACACAAGTGAGGGAGCCAAAACCATAAGAAGAGTATCACCAGGCAGTTGCGTATGCACCCGCCAGAGCATTTTACTAGTCAGAATATCAACACGTTCCTCCATAGTGGGAAGATTGGTTAAATGTCGAAAAACCACGACGGAAGAGGTACGATGGCCACCAAAAGCCAGACGGAGACACTGATTTTGAGCTTTTTCCAAAAGCTTTAAATGACGTTTCAAGAACCAGGAAATAGACAGACCAAACTCAAGTTTGGGCCGAATAAAGGCCGCATACAGTTTAGCAGATAGGAGCTTGGAGAAACCAGCAGAATGAAGGCCAAGAGATTGCAAACCACGCATAGCACCTAACGCTGATTGACTATTTCTAGTCAATAAGAGATCGGTGTCCAAGCTACCCTTCACATTGAACGGCAAACCAAGGTAGGTAAAAGAGTGAGCAGTAGGTATAGCTTGACCATAGAGAGACAGAGAAACACCAGCACCAAGACCAGGAGAGACACCAGTAGCACCACCACCAACACCAGCATTGAGGACGACAGATTTCAGAGGGTTCCACCGATAACCCAGAGACACAGAATGAGCTTCCACACGAGCAAGTAACAAAGGCATAGACTCGGCAGTTCCAATTAGCACCACATCATCAGCATACATCAAACTATTGATCCAAAGACCGTTATACAAACGAGGAGGACGCTCCACCACCCGAGGGTTAAATGGAGCACGCAACACCGCAGGCAGAGAGTTGATGTACACGGAGTAAAGAAAAGGACTCAAAATGGAGCCTTGCAACACACCAGTACCAGGCCGAAAACCATCAAAAACAGCACCAGACACCAAGACCTGAACAGACACTTCATCAAACAAATGCTGAAGGAGACCAAGCATCGCATCTGATACATACGTTTCGAGAGCACGCCAAATGACAGCTCTGTCAACCGTATCGTATGCAGATTTGATATCCAGAAAAGCCAAAACAGGAGGAGAACCATAATCAAGAGTATGGTGAAGACAGAGTTCATGTAGACAGAGCGCCTGATCAGGAGCACCACGACGCTCACGAAAACCACCTTGCACCACATCCAACGCAGGAGCAGAAGACACCAAAGGATCATAAAGGCATCGTTCCAACAACTTTCGAAACACAGAAGTCAAAGAGATGGGTCTATGATTACCAGGATCAAGAGGATCACCCTTCTTGTAAATTGGCACCACCTGTGCTAATCGCCAAGAAGCAGGAGTACGAGACCAACGCCAGCACAGCTGAAACAACAGATAAAGTACAGGCACCAGAGATTCACGGATAGGAAGGAGCATTTCCGCACGGATATGGTCCCCACCAGGAGCACGCCGCCTGGCCAAACGCTTTCTTAAGTAGTAGTCAACATCATCGGCATCAAACGGACATTCATCCACAGAATGAGGCACAAGAGGAGTAGGAGGAGCATTAGGCCGGTTTGGAAGCAGGGAATCACCAGCATAGATACCACGAAGGTGTTGGGCCATAGTAGAAGCAGCAGCAACAGGACCTTCAGGGTGGGAGAAAGGAGCACTGAGACTACGACCACGGATAATCCGCTTGAGCGTACCAGTAGTATCACCTAAAGGCTGTGTAGCCATCTTGGTACAAAACTGTTTCCAGCTTTGACGACGCCGACGACGAATAGCCTTTTGGAATGCCTTCTTAGCAGCAAGATATTCACCCCAGCGTTTACATTGTTCGAAGGGGTTAGGAGAACGAAGCCAGCGGGTATGGAGATGCTCACGAAGGTCAAAGGCAGCTTGCAAATCAGAGGTCCAAAACCAGGCATTACCAGGAGGCTTTGGTAAGCGACGACCCACAGACTCTGTCAAGGACGAATGAATACAATCGGTGAGAGTATTACCTAATGCATCAAAGTCAGGACAGGCAGTAGAGGGCAACAGAGACACCAGGTCATCGTGAAAGGGAGCAATACGATTTGCAAACAGAGGAGCATAGGAGCAACTTGGGTCCTCCAACTTTGATAGATTCCACATCCACCGCGGGTGATCCACACGAACAGGAGGGGGAGAATCAAAGGCAAAGGACAGCGACACAGGATGATGATCAGAGTTGATACTCATATTAGAGTGTACGATCAAGGAAGGATGCAAGAGGCCATGGGTACCAATGAACAAGTCAATGATACTACCAGCAGCGTAGGAGATGTATGACATTGGATCATTCACAGGTTCACCATCATCCGTACAGTCACTATCATCACTAGAATCAGAGAGCAGATCAGAATTATCAGCCGTAACACCAGACACAGCACCACCATCGAGGGAGACACCAATACCAGGACCACGACCAGAGACACCAGAAGCACCAAGAACACCACTACCACCAGAGACAACACCAGAGACGACACCAGAACCAGCAGCAGCACCATCAGGGACACCAACAGGAGCACCAACAACACCAGAAGCACTAGCACTTGACGACACATTCGCATCATCGTGATGGACAATACGACGACGACGTTGTTTGACAAGTGTAGGCTCACCAAAAGCAAAAGAAGCATTCCAACAATAGAGACCAGTATCAAGCAGCCACTCATATAGAAGAGTACCTCTAGTAGTAGTCTTAGTATCACCCAATAAACGAGCATGGCGAGCATTGAGATCACCACATATGATTGTGTTTGTTTGGGAGGGACTAGGATGGAGAGGCAGATCACGGAGTACAGCTAGTGCATCAGAGTCAGAAAAAGAAGCAGTAGGAGGCAAATAGACACAGTGAATCAAAGTGGATGCAACCTGACAGGATAATACATAAGGAGAGACAGAAGGAATATGCGTAACAGGGTAAGGAAAATCAGGATTGACCAGCAACGAGATTCCCATTTGACCACGACGCATGTTGGGGACAGGCAAACCATAGGTATGGAATTGCTGCCACGAAGTAGGGAGATGGAGAGGAGGAAGAAGCCATGTTTCGGTTATAAAGATGAGAGAGGACAAAGGAAGGGATTGGGTAACAGTATTAATTGTCATGCGATCAAGACAATTAGCATTCCAGATGGTTATAGTGATATCGCGAGAGTCACTCATTACTGAGGTGCCTCTGGTTTATCACCACCAGGAAGGGAAGCAGAAACAGTTGAACCAGTATCATTAGCAGCATCAGTCATGGTAACATTCTCATTATCCGTCTCAAAGACACCACCAGCACCAGAGTCACCACCAGCACCAGAGTCACCACCAGAACCAGAGCCATCAGAACCAGAGCCAGAATCACCAGAAACAGAATCACCAGACACCACACCATTAATCGTAAAAGAACCATTAGACTTGAACTCACGCAATTGATCATTAGAGATCCATTTCTTGTGGAAAAAGTCAGTAGCAACAGCAATCGAAATAGGACGACGACCAGCATGCTGGTACAAGTATTGAAGACCACGCAGAATACGACCCTGATGAACCTGGATAGCCTTCTCCACACGCTCAGCTTCAGTAAGGGAAACAAGACGAGGATCCTCCAGAATTGTTGGATCACGAGGATCAAAAGCATCAATGGGGAGGACCTTAGCTTTGGCAAGAGTATCAAGTAGCTCCTTGGCATATTCATGATGGACCAAAAGGGCAACAGCCTTGGGAGCAGGGTAGTGGATATCCAAAACACGCCAGTTTTGGACTTTCAACGTATGCAATTGTTCACGAACAGCCTTGTAAGACTTACGATGACGACTACGAAAGTAGATGTATCGATAGCCTTGCTCATATTGCTCAGGATAGTCAGAAAAGAAGCGGGCGGCAGCCTCAACCTTTTGAGGGGAAGGCTTTGACTTGGATTTTTGCTTGCTATTCTTACCTTTTTTAGCAGCTGCCAAAAAGTTATAGGTAGGAGTAGGAGTAGTGGAGGCAACACGAGTGGAAGAAGCAGCTGCTGTAGCAGGAAGAGAAGCATACTTGGAAACAGAAGAGTTACCAGCAAAGAATGAACCAGAAGAGACACCAAATGCAGCACCAGAGACACCAGAGACACCAGAGTTACCAGAGACACCAGGGACACCAGAGACACCAGGGACACCAGAGACACCAGAGACACCAGAAGCACCAGAGTTACCAGAGGCAGCAGCACCAGCAGCACCATCAGATACACCAGAGTCATTAGAGTCACCAGAATCACCAGAAATACCAGAGGCAGAGACACCAGACACATCAGACATAACGGCATCTACAGAGACGTTGTTAAGTCGCTTCACCTCCTCCTGAAGTGTTGCGATCAACTGATGTGCGTCAGACAGAGCAAATTTCAGCTGAGCATTCTCAGCCGTAAGACGTTCAACTTCATTCAACCGATTTTCATAAGCAGCAAATCGAGTATTCATAGCTCGCAATTGAACCTGAAAATCGATTGCCCAGTCAGCAAGAGAAGTAGTTGAAGAAGCAACGGTAGAAGTATCAGAAGGAAGATCAATAATAGTAGTAGTAGCAGTGTTAGAAGAGACAGCAGTAGTATTGATCAACGGATCAGTAGTGGTATTAGTAGCAGGAATAGCAGCATTTGGTTGTGGCAAAGCTTTTTCGGCATTAATGGGAACCTTAGAACCCTTGGGAATCGGAATTCGAGTGATACGAGAAGCAGGGATCACCTCAGGGGGAGCATTGACATTGGCATTGACAACCGTGGGAGAAGAGATCACGCCCTTTTTAGTCAAAATCCGTTTTTGGGGCATTTCACCGAAAGAGGAAGTTGGGGAAGGCACAAATGGACGTTTCGATTGCGAAACCGTGGGGGTAGGACCAGGAGTAACAGAAGTGAGGTTAGAACTAGTAACGTTAGGCAAAGCAGTGGCACTTGGACACGAAGTAGTGGAACCAGAGGACAAAGTAGTGTTACTGTGCACAGAATTAATGAAAATTAATTGCTTAGCAGGTGTAACTGTAGTACGGGAAGCAATAGAAGGTTCAGAAGCCTTGGCACTGACACGAGATTTCTGTTTTGGGGGAATCTTGATGAGTAATTAAAGAGTTGATGGGAAAAACTGATTTTGCGAAAAAGTATAAAAAGGAACGATTAATATCGCGCGCTGTTCGACTAACGTCTCTCTTCGGTAGTATAGTGGTGAGTATCCCCGCCTGTCACGCGGGAGACCGGGGTTCAATTCCCCGCCGGAGAGTTTTTGGCAAAATTTCGTTTAGTGGTGTATGTAGCGTTAAATATTTTCTTTTTGAGCTTAAAGTTTTTTTTTTTTTTTTTTTTTTTTTTTTTTTTAGATGTTGGGTATAATGCTCAAATTGAGACTAAGTAGCATCCAAATGCAGCGGTATCAACTGATTTTACAGCTTCTCTCTTAAAAAAAGACATTCTTCATCAATGTAATGTTATCGAAAACTACTGAGATGTATTGCTTAACTAATTTAAGTGTCGCACTCCTCCTTTGAAGGTTTCATGATCTGTCTATGGTAGCTCTTGACAGCTCAAATCAGTTGTTTGTCAATGAAAGGCCTTTTCAGCTCAATGTGGACCTTCATCTGTAACATTTGAACGTCCGTCAGAGTGATGAGGCGGATAAAAAGTCAAACAAGGAGCTGTGCAATAGAGACGCAGTGCAATTTGTTTTCCACCAGTTGCTGATCCTTAAACATTTTATAAAACTAATGGCAGCAATCCTCAAAGCAGTTGCTGTATAAGCCTCCAAGATGTGAAAATGTCTTCAAAAATGAAGAATATGCTCTTTCTAATCGTGTTTTCAAAGTTACAACAAGATAGCATTTGATTAAAAATTGTCTATGCGAATCGCGCTACACCTCTTTTGTCGAAATTGCTGTCAATCTTTGAAAGATTTTTTTCTGATCTGACTTGCAGTGCTACAGACGTCAATTTGCACCTGAAAAAGTACTGCCTTTTTTGCATTACTGTGACCGTAGTGCGTTACTTTCATCATCAAATTTTTTTTCTCCAGTCAAAAAATCGAGTATAATTTGACAAGAAAAAAAGTCTAATTTTTTTTTTTTCATACTTTAGTTTACCTTTACCATATCTCATCTTTACAGAGGGATCAACCAGCCGCTGTGTGTCCTTTTAATAACGGATCGTTTACAAAATACATTACACTCTGCAATAGTGCTGCTTGTCATTAACAAACTCTTAAAGTTGAGATTCCCCTGTCATTTTGTTTTTTTTTTTTGAATCACATCGAGAAAGCTTTGTTCATTCATTTTTGAATACATCTTAGAAATACCCACACTCAAACACATACACACTTTTGCAATTATACATACGCGCTCCCTATTTTTATTCACTCATATACTTCATACTTGATCATTATAATGGGAGGGTAAGTTTGCTCACATGCAAATGTCGAAATGTTGCGTCTAATTTGTTTCCATGATCACAGAGTTACAATCGCACATCAGCCCAACAATGAAGTCGTAACTGACGACAGCTACTCTCCTAACTTTCCCGTCGATGTCAAGATCGACGCCAATAACGAATCTCTGAACGATGAACAATTCAATCAGTTATTCGCTACATCTGCTGAATGGTCAAATAGCCTTCCTGTGGAGGATCTGACTGGCGAGGTTCAAGAACTCATGATGAGGTACAAAATCATAAAAAAAAAACTTTTTGCGTGTCCGCTCTAATGGCTAAATTATCTTACAACAGAGAATCCATAAACTCATGGTTGCAACCTTGGGGTGGGGAAAATGCTGCTTGCCTCTCAGATTTCGATACACAAATGTATGCTCAGTCTATCCAACTCGAGAATCTTTTCGGCCAAAATCAAATCGACTTTACCCAGGACATGAATCAAACCGCATTTTACGATGAATTAGCTTTTGGTAAGCCATTTGAACCTTCACTCGGATGATACTGGGAAAACTTACTCTTCCTTGCAAAAGTACCCGACGATCAATCGCTCAATCTCAGCGCTTCCACCTCATCAGCTTCATCTCCATCTGATAGCTCTACTCAAATCAGTCCTATTGTTCAGTCTGTTCCTGATGTTCATATTGAGCAACTTGAACAACAAGATATCATTGTTGAGAAATTGCAAGTATTGGAGAAAGATGATGTCCAAGTCAACGTTGAAGATGAAGAGAATGACAGCAATGAGCTTGTAACTGAGGAGGAGGAGGAGGAGGAAGAGCAAGTCATCTCGAGCAACAACATGCTGAAACGCAGAAGAAGTTCATCCAGCAGTAGCGATAGCTCTGACGATTCAAGTTCTGGCTCTTCATCCGAAGAAGAATCTGATTCCGAAGACGAAAATGTGATTCCAACTACAGTTGCCAACATGAGTAGTCGTGGTCGTTATGCCTCATCCTCTGATTCTGAATCCGAATCTGAAGCCACACCTGGCCGTCGTTCTCGTGCTGTCTCTCCCATTGCCAATGCCTATGTCTACATGCACAAACGCCAAATCGAAGAAACTTTACTGGATCGTATTACCAATAGCCTTGATCCCGAGAAGTTGCCTGGCATTCTGCCCATCTTGTCACCCGAGTCAAATCAGCAAGAAGATGAGGTGGAAATTGATCTGTCTTGTTTAGCTCGTGAGCAGTTGGTCCAAGTGTTATCCTATGTCGATGCTTGTATCATGGAACAAAATGGTGGACCTGCTGTGAATGTAGAACGTTATATTAACAAGAAACCCAAAGGCCCTCGCACTCGACCTGCCCTTGTAGATAAAAAGGTTCAGCGTAGACGCAAGCCCAGCAAGCCCAAGACAAAATCTCGTGCAGAGTTGACTGAGGATATTGATGCTGGTTCATCATCTGACGACGAAGACGACCAAGAGCACATGAATTATGCCATATCAAAACCCAAACAAATTCCTGAAGGCCCCATTTCTATGGCTTCTTTATCGAAAAAGAACAACACAGTCAAGAACAACCGTAGAAAGCCAGTGGCCAAAAAGAGCAAAAATCGTCGCCATGACGATGATGCGCTTGTTTCCTCGTCTATTCATGTCATCCAAGATCCCGACAGCATTGCAATCTCAAGACCCAAGAGAAGAGCAGCTGTTCACAAGCGCCGTTTATTGGAGGAGATGCTTGCACCCTCAGATGATGAAGATAACGAAGTTGAAGAAGACAGTAGTCCATTAGTAGTGTTTGGTGAGGAAAAGATGGATCTTGGTGTGATAGATAATTGTACAATTATGCATCAAGTACCAGTGATAGAAGCCGAACAAATTGTAACATTATCGTCCGTCGTTGAAGATGACAACGAAGATACCGATGAAGAAATTGACATTATGTGTTAATCTCTTCTTACAACTCCCCCTTTATATATATACTAATCACATTCACATATTTACAATCTCTCCCCCACTAAAAAAAGTCATTTAATTATCCATCATCTACTATATTCCACCTCACTTAAAAGCAGCTTTGTTTTCCTTTATTTCTTTACATATACAATCCAATGTACAATTTGATTAAAATCAACATTTAAAAACACACATTTCTGAGTTTTGGCCTAGTGCGACCATCTACAAATTTATGGGAAATTTAGGTATAAATGACCCTTCCCCACAATAATGCCACCTTTTCTCTTCTTCCTTGAATTCTATCATCGCATTGAATTTACTACACAAAATGACAGCTGCTTCATTGCCCTTTATATCTCGTCGCTCTACTGTTTATGGCACTCATGCCATTGTATCCAGCTCGTAAGTGGTTTATTTACAATCAAGCTTCTGATCCAAAGATTGACGTTGCCAATTTAGCCAACCTTTAGCAACCCAAGCTGGTATTGACATTTTAAAGAAAGGCGGAAATGCTGCTGTAAGCTATTTGGTCCTGATAGCAAGCATTACACTAACCATCTCTATAAAACATAGGACGCTGCTGTTGCTGTTGGTAAGACACGTTCACAAATTTAACATTTACCCGATATATATAATATGGACTAACTTGAGTCATTTTGTGTAGCTGCTGCTTTGAATGTTACTGGTAAGTAGATACATGACAACAGATGAGTATATCTTATTGATGCCTTTTTTTTTTCGAATAGAGCCGGGGTCGACTGGAATTGGTGGTGATGCCTTTTGTCTCTTTTATGACGCAAAATCCAAGACTGTAAAGGGGCTCAATGGATCAGGAAGGTAGGTTAATGTTGAGTTGATAAGATCCATGGCTAGATCAAGTCATATTCCTAGAACTCCTACTGCCCTGACCTTGGAACATCTCCGTAACGAAGGTATCAGCGGTGCCTCATTACCCACTACTACTCCTCACGCAGTAACGGTGCCAGGTGCGGCTGCTGCTTGGGTTGACACTGTCAAGAATTTTGGTTCCGGTAAAGTTGATCTTGCTACTATTCTTACTCCCGCCATTGATCTGGCTGAAAATGGGTAAGGGAACAACTACAGGCATGATGATTCTGCATTTTGTTACTCAACTCTAATATTATTCACAGTTTTCCTGTATCGAACATTTCTGCAACTCATGTAAGCATAGAAACCGTGTAGATCAGGACAAAATCTTAATTCCTCGAGTTCTAGTGGAATGAAGAGGTCAAATTGTTGATCGAAACAAACCCTGGCCAGGTTGATTGGCTCATTGATAACAAGAGAGCACCTACAGAAGGCGAAATTATGTCTGTTCCCGCCCTTGCTCAGTAAGACGAAAATGTTCTGTATCCTTGTATGACACAAATACTAAAAGTTATACCACAGGACCTTCCGAACCCTCGGTGCTGAAGGTAAAGAAGGATTCTATGGAGGACGCATTGGTCAGGCTATTGTAGATGCCCTGAGATCACGCGGTGGTGTCATGACATTAGAAGATCTCGCTCAACACAATTCTGAGCTTATCGAGCCCATTTCACTTGATTACCATGACTGGACTGTATGGGAAATTCCTCCTAACGGTCAAGGCATCACTACGCTGATCGCATTGGGTATCATTGAAGCACTTGAGGAATCAGGACGTATCAATTTCAACGAAATTAAACATAATTCTGCCGAATATGTTCACATTGTCACAGAGGCTCTTCGCCTTGCTTTTGCTGATACGAGACATTATGTAGCTGATCCGCAAGTAGAACATGTCCCAACTGAGGCTCTCTTGAGTAAGGAGTATTTGAGAGAGCGTGCAAAGTTGGTTGATTTGGAGCATAGAAACGACCGTATCAGCAAAGGGTATCCCGAGAAGACTGGAAACACAGTTTACTTCTCTGTAGTAGATGAAGAAGGCAATGCTTGCAGTTTCATTGTAAGTGATCAGAGTTTTGTGATTGCGTGTTCATGAGCTAATGATCTTCCTTGTAGAACTCTACCTTCATGCACTTTGGGGTAAGCTTATTCCTTTGCCCAGTTTTGTTTCATGCTAACAATAATTACGTCTCTAGTCTCACATTATAGCTGACAATACTGGTATCGTCTTGCACAATCGTGGGTGCAATTTCGTGTTGATTGAGGATCATCCCAACTGCCTCGGCCCTAGCAAAAGACCTTACCATACCATCATTCCTTCCATGATCACTCATAAGACTGATAATGGCCACGAGCTAGAGGCTTGTTTTGGTGGTAATGTATTCCATAATGATAGGTAGATACTGAACTGTCACTAAACGTAAACTACAGTTATGGGTGCTTTCATGCAGCCTCAAGGGCAAGTACAAGTCATCTTGAATATGAAGCATTATCAATCTAATCCTCAACATGCCTTGGATCTTCCTCGTCTTTGTGTCGCTCCGCCAAAAGGAAATCCTTTGCTCTCTGGTGGTGCCTATGTATTCACTGAGGTCACTCAATCTGTCATTTACTTGGAAGATGGTTTACAAGACACTATTAAAGAGTTGGAAGCCAAGGGTCACACCTGCTATGTATTGCACGACCATGCTCGCGCCATGTTTGGCCGCGGTCAAATCATTCGTTCTGTAACAGACAAAAGAACAGGCAAACGAGTTCTTGCGGCTGGAAGCGATCCCAGAGGTGATGGTTGTGCCACTGGTTGGTAAACATCCACAACATATCCAATTACACCATCTTTGATACTCTCCCTCCTCACAATAAATGATCACAGCAACACATTTGTCATAACAAAAAAGAGCAAAACTTTACGGTAATTCCTTTTTTATATACTTATATATATATAAAACGCATCTTCAGTCTTTTTTATTTGTTTCTTTGGATACGTTTACAATGAAGTTGGCTTGAACAATTTATTTCTTCTATAAGATTGAAAAAAAAAGAGAATCATGTTAGCACAATCAAAGACTTTCTGTTGCCAAATGTCAAATTTACCTTGTTGGCCTCCTCCTCAGCCTTATCACGGGCACGCTTCTCACGGGCACCGAGAGTACGGGCAGCAGAGCGAGCATAACGGAGCTTCATGTAAGCATTGGTAGACTTCTCCTCAGCAGTGATGGCACGAGCTTCGGGGGCAGCAGCAACTTGCTCAACAGGGAAGAGAGGACCACGGAGTTGAACAGCGGAGGCGACCTCAGCAGCTTCGGAATCACCCTTCTTGGCCTTACCAGCCTTACGGGGGAAAACGATGAGCTTAGCCTTGTAAGCCTTCAAGCGTTGAACGTTGAGCTCGAGAGACTCGTTGGACTTGTTGCGACGACGGAAATCGACGGCAATACCAATGGAGCGGGCTTCCTTGCGACGGACACCAGCTTCCTACAATTCACATTTGATACGTCAACATCCAAGCCGTCAAATTCCACAAAAAGACTGTCTACAAATCCTTACCTTGAGTTCTTCAAGAGTGAAACCACGACCAGATCTCAACTTCATGTTGTAACGGACGGTGGGGCAACGAACAGCAGGACGGAGGAGACCATCAATGGGTCTAGGAGCAATACGACCGGCCTTTTGGACACGTGCGATTCTTCTAGACTTCTTGCGACCAGCTTGGTCGAACCAAGTCTTGACACGGAGGTCCCATTGCTTGCGGAAATGCTGGTTAGGCAATTGGTTGTTGTGCTTCAAAACCATGGTCTATTGATGTTATGAAAAAATTAGACTTCAGCTCTATATCATACTATCGTTTCATCTGATGATCCAACTGTAAGAATCCATCTGTAATCAATTCATCCATTTCTCAACTTGCTCTCCTCCTGATGATACTGATGGATTCCTAGCAGGATATCTAGATGCTGCTCTGTGTCTATACGTACGTAAGGATTACCAGTGAGGGGGAAAGAGAAAGACTACACTGGTTACATGATGTTGGAAGCACCAAAACGTTGATTTTAGAGTTCCGAATGGTTCACCGGACAGCATCTTGTATTCAAAGCCTTCAGTGACTTGAATGTATCGGGCCGATAAACTGTATGCGCAACCCTTCTGGAGCGAAACCAAAGACCATCCTACCAGCCAGGTGAGAGACATTTCAAAGCTCACTTATTCTACATCGAGTATGCAAACAGCAAGATAGTATAGCATACTGACATTGCTGGTATTGAGCCAAACGTACTATGGCTGCTTTTTGAAGCTCTAATATTGCAAAGTTCTATAGAACGATCTATAGATCCACGGATATTCCAAATTGAATATGTAAAAAGGTTAAGGAATTAGCGCCTTCTTATATTGCCAAAAAATGGTATAAAGTTATATATTTCGAATAGGTTATGAATAGGCAGAGTTTCTAACAATTAGTAGCGCAATCAGAAAAATTACAAAAACGATATATAGAGCTCTCCTTACCAGTTATTTTCAACGTTTAAAACTTGGACGATCATGGCCATTTTTATACCATGGCAACCAGATGAACCCCTGAGCGGAGTAGAAACGTCAAACTATTTCCAAATTTGGGTCCAAGCAGACATGCAGAAAGAACATTTCGTTTATTCATAGTCATTATTGGGTTATTAGTTGACTTGAGGCTTTGTAGGGACAACGATAAATCCAGTAACAGGGAAATGAATAATACTGGTAGTGTTATGCTCGGCGTTTTTGTGAGAAATAACGGTTTCGTCAATAGTACTTCTTATCAGTCTGCCAAAAGCAGGGATTTTACCTGTGTCCAAGGGAGTAACAGACACTAATTGGCCTAGTTCGATTGGAAGGGTACTATCATTGACCTCGAAATCTCTTGGAAGAGTATCAGATTCATGGCGTTTCAATATTTCAAGAGCTTCCATTTCGGTGATCTGGGGACGAGCCTCCTGCATAGTATCCGTGAAAACACTCATTATACGATTCATATGCTCATATAGCCTCTTCAGCTTGCTTTGGATCCAATCTTCACCAGCCACATTTTTACAAAAGAAGGTCATCATGGCAAGACTAAAATCGACAAGTGATGGGGTGTCAGTGTCCAGAACCCACGTTTTTTCAGCAAGAATACTCTCAGCTATACGGAATTCAGATAGGATAGTGGCTTTCATAAAAGGAGCAGCAGCGATCATAGCCTTTGCATCTAGCTGATAGCCAACCAACTCACTTCTATCCTTGAGCACATCTGTAGTAAACGTCTGGATGGGTATTTGAGAAAAAATTGCTGTAAATAGATGACTATCCAACCAAACAGTTAATCCTCTAGCCAACGCTTCAGAAGAAACATCGGGGTTAGTGGTAAGCTTGGGACATAAACTGGGCTCAGGGAATCTAAGGCAATTGATAACAGTTGGTAGTCATGTGACAAACACGAGAAGGAGCTTATCTACCCACTGGTTTTCAAGAGCAGGTATAATACTTTTAGTATCGCAGTAAATGTGGTTACCAATTTGCAATATGGGCGTCTTTCTGTAGCCGCCATCAAGGGGCCTACGCAGAGGGCGAGGTTCTAATCTATTGATCTGCACAGTCATGTAATCGACCTTCTTGTAGTTTAATATCCAAATTATCTTTTGACAATACGGAGATCCTGGAAACCAGTGCTAGTGGACGGTGCGATTTAGTATGAAAAAGCAATAGTTCCGTCATGCGTCTTACCAGAACAACGTCTTGAGCAGAGGATGACATCTTTGATAAAGTGCGTGAGAGAGGAAAGCTAAGCAAAGAAAGAGGTTGCAATCCAGAAAAAAAAAATCAACCAAAGATAAAAATCAGATTCTTCCCGTCCAGAGTGGTAAATATCGCCAAATTTGGCAAAGATAGATTGTTGACAAACCCGATGATACTTCCGAGACGTTGAAAAGTAACAAAGGTACAGCCACGCATGCATTTGATCTTTTAAAATTTGCCTGGAGCATTTGCATTTATAAACGTGTCCGCACTGACTCATCCCGTCAATGTAGATTTAGAAAAGAAGATGGCACTCAAGCTATAGACAAGAAACATCGAAATCGCATTAGAATAACCAAATAGCTAGTTCAATTATCAAAAACTCTTAGTGGAGTAGATTGCGTACATGCATTGCTTCTTACTATTTCAAAATGTGCAAATTACAGCGAAATACGGATGCATTTGATCCGTAATTTCTCGCGCTGAACCCCGTGTTAGACTTTCGGAATAGTACCAAGCAAGTGCTCTCATCTAGCAGCAGCTCCTTTTTGACACCTTTGCTAAACTTTTTTTGGGATTGTCTAACATCAACCTTAAACCACGAGGGATACCTCATGGTTTTCATCGAAAATCAAACGACCGCGTTTTTGACCTCAGAATTAAAGACTTTTACTATGGCATACGAGTGTTTATGCTTCGGATGGCTCTCTACCTTCGCTTCGCTTCGGTGAGAACCAACATGCGCAGCGGTAGCTGGCGCTACCGGTTACCCTTACGTATTTTATCAAGATACTGCTACTTTTGTGTTGGCCGTCCACTTACACATAAAAAAACCTTCATATTATTCTTATGTAATGCTCTACATCCATATACACGTAGATATTTCATATACAGGCAAGTATCATACAGATATTATCCCTTTTTAGTCCTTAGTGTCCCTGATACAACAAAATCTGAGTGCATTTGAGCTGCGTTTTCTTGCGTTCAAGGCCGCTTTAGATGGCCAGAATAGCACCAAACAACTGTTCTCATCTGGCAGTTACTTTCTGACACCTTTGCTCAACTTTTTGGGGATCAAAAAAACATGGCCAAAAATCAATCAAAAAACATGAGGTACCCCTCATAGTTTTCATCGAAAATCAAACGATCACATTTTTGACCTTGAAAATGAAGATTTTTACTATGGTATGTATTAAACCAAAATTTTTTTTTTTTTTGTATTTAAATGTGTTTTTTATTTATATTATAGACAGTAAGGTGCCATAAGGGTCTTACATGTCTAAGAAAGAAGAAATTAACTTGGAATGATCTTCCAGAAAAGAGGAGAAAACAGCCCGAGTGATCCAAGATTTACCATCAATTGTGCAGCCCCAATGATGTTGCCAGATAGATGAGAAGGCAGCGCCGAGAAGTTCCAAGATGGAAATGTCCAGAGGATTGTTGTCCTGGCCGTGAAGGGTGGTCAACCCAATCCAGATGGCCTCGTCCGTAGGGAACAGATCAGCAAGACCAAGGTGAGAGACAAACTCATACCAGAAGAGGGACTTCATACTGCAGCCAATGACCATATGGTATTCATCTTCAGTTGCTTCATGACACATCTTACACAGTGGGGAAGGATACTTCACACGGTTCATGGAGTGCAGGCGAACCTGCACCGAGAGATGTCCATGCAGCAAACGCCACCACGGTGTAAATGCCTTGGGCGGGAGACAGAGAGACCAGAAATCACGCCAGAGGTGAGGAGGAAGCAGGAGATGTGGTGGGCGATAGCCAGGAGGATGGGCTGGGCGACGCAACATGTCAAATGACGGATGCCAGGAACGGCGTAACGCCCCGAGAGTGATCTTGTCCACTGTAGCTTTTGAGCGAGGGCCAGTGGTGATGAACCAATGCGAAAAGCTAGCCGTGGGTGGAGAGGGGGTAGTGGAACTCTCCAGCAGTGCGGTTCGCTCTGGAGCGGTGAAGGCCATGACGGACCTGAGAGGAGCAGGGACAGCCCAAACAGGAGGACCCTCGATGGGGCACAAGGCATTGAACAGATGTTGCAATGCAGCAGTATCACGGGGACGCACGCAAACCAAGATGTGGGAGTTGGGGAGCACGCTCAAGAGGCTGGCAATCAAGGCATGAGGTGGCAGTTTGTCACTGTTCCTAGTCAAAGGCAAAGTCGCTGTGGGAGACAGGGAGCATACTTGTAACCAGGGCAGATCTAGGAGCCACCAAGACGGCCACTCAGGAGTGAGAGTCAAGGGAGGCAAACGAGTGAGTAGACGAGCCAGATGCTCCAAGTGAGGGCATTTCCGCACACGCGGCCAGCAGGTACGTGGGTATAGCAGCAAAGGCAGCACCGTAGCATGACCTGAGTATACATGGAATGTATACATCAGCCAGGGAGTGAGGAAATCCGCTGGGGATCTGGGACGAAGCAGACGCTTGACATATATGAGATGCAAGGCGAGATGTTGCTTCTTGATGTCAACCAGACCAATACCTCCATGCTTCCTAGGAAGGCAGAGAGAATCCCAAGCCACAGTAGGCCAAAACGAGACGATGTACTGGCGTACCACGCGCTGTATCTCCTCCAGCCACTTGTCAGGAACCACAACCACACGCAGGAGATGCCACAAGCGAGACAGCAGAAGGGAATTCGCCACTAAACCCTTTCCACGAATGGATAGCTGCCGCTTGGTGAGCAGATTGCAATGACGTTGAATCTTCACGGTAATGGAATTCAGGAAATGCTGCAACTGCTCCTCTGTATGATACAGAGGGTAACCTAGATACCTCACAGAGCCAACTGACGAGCTGTCGTACCACTCAATGTTAGATGTTTCCGTCACTCGCTTCCAATCAGCATGAGCCTCGCCTGACAGCGACAACAGCACGGTTTTCTCCAAATTGACCTTGGCGTTGGACGCTTTGCCATAGAGCGACAAAAGAGACAGCAGCACAGGCCATTCCGCCGTAGAAGTCAGGAAGACTTCCAGATCATCGGCATAGCTCAACAGCTTCACCCGTGGAGGGGTCGCCGGAGCGCGTAGGAGATCATGGTCGCCTTGGACCGGCACGAGAGAGGAGGCACGAGAGATACGCCCTGCGAGAGGAGCACGGACAGCGGTAGACATTGAGACGCCTTGAAGAGAAGGGCAGGCCAAGATGGTTCTAAGGAACGGCTCGAAAGCCAGGTTGAACAGCAAAGGGGACAACGGATCACCCTGTCGTAAACCACGTTGTTGATCGATGGGGGCGCCCAACCACCCATTGATTGACAAGGAGATACGAGTACCAAAGAACAGACTTGACACACTGGATACCAACGATGCCGGGAAGCCAAACTGACGAAGAACCATCGCCAGATATGTCGGATTGACCCGATCATAGGCTTTCTCTTGATCCAAGAGTACGGCGACATTGGGATCCTGAGGAGCTGCATCACGGAGGTTGGTCATCAGCGTCTGGTTCAACCACGCATTGTCCGAGATGAGCCGGTGAGGCATAAAGCCTGTTTGGTACGGCGTAATCAATCGGGAGAGGACACGTTTGAACCGGTTGGCTAACATCTTGGTGAACAGCTTAGCATCGCTATTGATCATCGAGAGAGGTCGCCAGTTCTTGAGGAGCTCTGGATCGCCCTTCTTGAACAGCAGTACCATCCTCGTTTCTTTCCAAGAGTCAGGGAAGACACCACGCAGCGCATCAGTCAGCACTTGCTGCAAGAGAAGCAGAACAGCAGGGAACTTCGCCGCCAAATAGCGATACACCTCAAACGGAAGGCCATCCAAACCAGGAGACTTGTTCTTGGGTGCATGGTCCAGTAACAGCAAGACAGAGTCTGTGGAGGGTGGTTCAATCAGCCGGTCTGCCTCAGCTTCTTGTAGCTTCGCATCAGCAGGGATATTGTCAAAGAGAGAGTTGACGGCAGCCAAATCAATGTCTTCAGGTGTGTAGAGATCCTGATAGAAAGTACGAGCTTCTTGGAGAATGTCGCCCATGTCTGTCAGCTTCTCTCCAGTGCCAGCCTTTTTCAGGGACTGGATGGTTTGTTGCGCCTCACGATCCTTGATCACATTGAAAAAGTATTTGTTGTTCTGCTCTCCCATTTCCAGCCAACGAGTAGCCGAACGCAGCATAGCTTGACGAGTGTCATCTTGAATCCGTTGCTCAATCAGTTGCTCCAGTCTTTTGATCCTTGCCGACTCCTCCGGGGTCCCAAGTAGCTGTTCCCGTTCACGTTGGAGGTGGGAGACTCGAGCTTTGAAGCGAGCCTTCTGGCCTTTGGTGAACTGTTTGGCACAGTACTTGATGATCGACTTGAGAGATTCCCACTTCTCCTGAGCAGAGACACCCATATCAGCCACATCTGTCGTATAATAGTCAGACGCCAAAAACATATCCACGGTTTTATCCAAAAGGGCTTGGAATTCACGGTTCTCAAGCAAGTACGGATTCAAACGCCAGCTGCCAGGACCCAACTGGACGCCAGAGGTGACCAGATCGATTGTGAGGAGGCTGTGATCGGTCCACTCAGGTGGAATGTGGTGAGTCTGAGTGTTGATGATACGAGTCGCCATAGGAGGAGGAGCAAAGACATAGTCAATGGTGGTGCCAGCTTTAGGGAGAGTCATTGTGCCTTTTGGAAAACAGTTGAAAAAATGAGTGTTCAGCCATTCAACAAAAGGTTGGACTCTAGGGAGACGAGCTTCGACCGCATCATGCAAATGGATATTGAAATCCCCAAGCAAGATCCACTGGGAGTCAAGCATATCAGACCAGAAGGGCATGGACATCAGCTCCTCCAGGAAAGCATAGCGATGGGCTCTGTGCACGGGCATGTACACATTAGCTATCTGGCATATGGTGTGATTAGCGTCCTTAATAGTGGCGGTGATGCAGCGTTCGTCACGAGAGATGGTGGCATCCGCGAGCTCCAAGCCTTGCTTCAGACACACTATTGCACAATGCTTCGAGACGACAAAGGAAGACCGAGGAAACATAAAAGAGAAAGCACGCACATTATCATCAGTGAGGTGGGCCTGCTGACGGTAATGAGAGACCTCCTGCAGACAGAGAATATCTAGCTGGAGGGTTTTGGAGCGCAGAAAGGAAGTGAATTCCTTCTGTATAGATTTTGAGGAACCCTTAAAGATGCTCCGGGCATTAAGGGTACCTATGCGCAATGATTGTTGTATCATTATGCCCTATGGGCGACATGATACACTTGAGGCTGCGACATAGACGTCGAGCTCATAGAATGACGGCGGAGAGAGGGCACATCAGTCTGGAAATCATTGGGAGAGGAGACATTGTCAGCAGATAACTTGGGATCCAAATGCATATGGAAGGACGAAGCTAACGGAGCATGCTTAGAAGCATCGCTACCGTTGGGAGAACGCTGGAGGGTCTGGGGATCTACCTCCATCACATCCGGAGACTGGTCCCAGGTTTGGCTGTCATTTGCGGAAAACAAGGTACTGATCTGGCTACTTGTGAGCTCGGTCGTTTTGCCGGCTAGCTTGTCTGTGGTGGTGGGCTGAGATGGCAGTTGCTGCGCGAGAATATCATTGATCGCAGGGGATGCTCTGTGGCCCTTCTCTTTTTCGTTAACTTTATCAATTGGAGTGACTGAGTAGGAATCAGTGTGATCCCTTTGGCTCGACTCATATTCAGCGATTGCTTCGTCAAAAGGCTTCTCTTCCTCTCGACAGAACTTAACAGTGTGTCCCAACTTGTGACATTTGAAACATTTGCGTTTAGCTAGGATAGGACAAGCAGCGCGAATGTGTCCACTCTGACGGCAGAAATGGCAAACTGGTGGTGCTCCTCTGTATGTCGCTGGCACATAGACATCCCAGGCGGAAAGGTAAAGCATGCGACTCAAAGGCTGTACGTCGTAGGAGTGACCTTCCGCGTCAGTGTACTTGACCGAAGTGTCGATCAGGAAGCTGACATGACCCTCAAAGAAGCCATCAACAGTGTACTTCTTGATTTGGTATAGCTTACCATAGTATTTCAGCGAGCGTTGCAAGTCCTCCAGAAAAGTGGTCATGTTTGGCATGCGGACAATAGTCATCTGCACATGGGTGAGTTTGCCCTCGCTGTTGTCCTTGACAGCAGTAGCTTTGTATACCACATCGCCATGAGTGATGCCGTTGTTGATGGCTCGTTTGGCATCCTCAGGGGAGTCAAATTTAGCTTCCACCAAGAGATCTCCAGTTGACTTCTGGTGATACAGACTAAGGGGGCGAAACTGGACATTAGCAGCTATTTGTTCCTGAATGAGGCGATACGCTGTTGTACGATGCACAAAAAGTTTGTTTGGAAAGGTAAACAAAACCGATCCCGGTGTCAAAGCTTGCTGCAGGATGGCAGTAGCTTTACGAGTGAGCACCTCGGCCTTCAGATCTTCGTGTTCGAACATAACTTCAGGAATTAGTTTAAAATGGTCATCTTTAGCTCGCTGTTGTGGAGCATTGATGACCTTCTTGGAGAGGCCTCGAGAGAGGACCGTGACCCAAGAGAGGTCAGTGGTGGTAGCCATGAGGATGGGTAGTGGAACGCTGGTGGTTATAAGGTTGTAGATGTGATTTAAGCAGTGGCGTAATTTTCACCTTAGGGGTAGTGATGGTTACGCGAAAGAGCCTTTTTTGTATTAAACCAAAATGTTTTCCTCGATCCAAAGCAACCCCTGAACACACTTTTGAGAGACATTCGTATGTGAAATCTCGACATTTTGGCCATAAGCATCATTTCCTATTTTCTAAATTTACGCGGTATTCTCATTCAAAACACCTCTTGGAAATAGCACCATTGGATTCGCCTCAAAAATTACTCCTAGAATGTATTAGGAGCCATGGTATGACAATTAAAATTCGTATAGTCGAATTGAACAGAATATTTTTTTTTGTAGGGCAATTGTATTGCTTTATTTAAAGTCCTTTTACGTACGCCTATTAGATGGGAGAGGAAAAAAGACTGGATATATATTGGGGGGACTAATTATGGAGACTGATCTAAGGTTTCTTGGAAATGTAAGGTATCTAATGAGCTACGAAGTGATGAGAGTAAAATTGATGGTAGGAAAGGTTTGTCCTGGAATGTAAACTGGTAGTGGTGATACCATATAGTTTGTAGCATGCAGGCGAAAACCTGGTAAGCAGAGAGATTCGGATAGATTGAATGATCTTGACGAGAAGGGTTGTGTTCGAAAAGAAGGAATTTCTGGAAGTTTTGGTAACTGTTTTGGGAGATGAGAGGGGGCATGTAAATGGAGAGGGCGGAAGACCAAAAGGATCGTTTGTGGGGACAGGCAAAGAGGAAGTGTTCCAATGTTTCGGTGGATGAGTGGCAGATCCTACAAAAGGGATGGTGGATATGAGGTTGCCGTTCATGAAGAATGTCTCTTGTGGCGACTTTATTATGAAGGATGCGGAACCAGGTGTTACGTGCATTCAATGGGATACGTAAGGACCAGAGACGTTTCCATTTGGCAGAGGATAAGACAGATGGAGGTTTGGGAGGAACATGGTAGGAAGGTAAGGATTTATAACCAGTGGTAGTCGCAGGGACTGGATGGAATTGTTGGAAATCTAGATCAAAGTGTGAGGAGATCATGGAGAGAAGAAGGGAGTGGAGAGAGTCAAGGGTGAGTATGGAGGAGGTGGATAATTGATCAGTAGTGGGGAGGGGACGAGGGATATTTGTGAGCATGGTGTTTAGGGTGAACGTATTGAGGAAGAGGTATTGATCATATATGAAATTGATGGCACGGCGACTGCAGTGAGGATGGGGGAGGTGCTCAAAAGATTCTTTGAAAACAATGGTGTTGGAAGTAGAGTTGTAATCAAAGATATCAGATCCAAAGAGATCCTGACGTAGGGTGAGATGGTCAGCTAGGATGACGGAGGGTGGGGAAAAGGTGGAGGCGAAAGGATGGGAAGGGGGTAGCGCATGTTGAAGGAGAGAAGTGAAAGGGAGGCGGAGGATGACAGGAATGGGGACGGAGAATTGAACAGAATAGATCAAACAAGTCGAAAGTAGATCAAAAATTCCCGTTTCGAGAAAAAAAAGAAAGCGCCGGAGCTTTAACCAGGTTTTGGCTGGCAAAATGGATGATGCCCTCTACACTTGGGATAAAGAAAGGTGTCTCTCAAAGCATTGGAGAGTGCAGGCTGCTGGTTCACTAGAGATGCCCGTTTGCACAGTTTTCTTGTAAAATTTACGTAATTCTGATGGAAAACTCCATTTTTACCCAGGGTTCCCATCAGCATTGACAGAGACACGTTCAAACAAGTAATGCCACAATCCGACGCTTTCAATTGCCCATAGTTGAGTACATCACCCTCTCAGGTAGTGATTATTTGCATTGCCATGCCAAATATGTTAAGGTCCAACGTTTGTAATTTCCTGTCTTTCCGATAATATCCTCTTGTAACTTTTACATTAAGGATTAAAACCAATGAATTTGTACAAAGGATGATCCAAACTGTCAAGATGGAAAAAAAGCCACTAGTTATGCAGCTTTTGTTTCGCTCAGGACATTTGGTGTAATCGGAGAAGAGAGTCTAGCGAAGGTGTATTATAATAAATGTACTCAGTTAATAAATTGTTAGATCAAGCATATCTTGAAAGATGAGCCGACGTGGAGTAAGCAAGTATAAACGTTTTTAAAAATACATTGCGAATATTATGCCCATGGTCGTCACTGTTTGTCATGATTGATCAAGGAGAGATTTCCAAGAAGAAACAAATACGTCTTCTTTAGTTCATTGATAAACAAACGAATCTCACAATGTGCCCACTATCAATGACAAAGGTGCCTTTCGCATCATTGTCAAAGAAATACATCTTGGGCAATGTCGCCGAATAAAGATTCCAAACGTTGATTGTTACAAATAATAATATTACGCTTTTGGTTTTGATTTCTTAAATTACATGGTTAAAATATGCCCACCCCTAAAAGACGTACGATATGAAATTGTCCCTATTTTCCATTACGAATCATCACATTGATACAGTCTTTTTTATTCGGCGTTTACAACTGAGGGAATTAAGGTTGAATTACTTAAGCAAACGGTTAGTTTTTGGGCTATAAAGAAAATGAGCTATTTGTCATTGCTTTTTAAATGCGTGAAACGAAACAAGCACATTTTTGTATTTCAACGGTTTTTGTAGCATTGGTTACATTCAATGCATCGATATTTCTCTCATTGAATAAATATTAGCATGCCAATGTTGAAGTGACAGAAAGAGAGTGCAGTAAACCGTTAGAATCAAGCAGAGTTTTGATTGTCTGCATTATATACACATCGAAACTCAAAACTTAAACATACTTGCAATCTCTATCAAGATAGAGAGACACTTCTGGGCATGAACAATCGATTCATCTTTCAATGCAGGACCGAAATGACTGAAACAAATCTACTAATAAGGCAGCCGTGGGGAAGGTTATTAAGAGAAGATGAAATTATCACCTCATTTTCACAGCGATTCTATACACAATGCCTTCTCTCTCTCTCTCATGCATTCTCATGTGGAACCACCATTTCCAAAACGTCAGAAGAGCAGGAAATGTTGCTACTCTTGACATCATCCTTTTAAGCACAAGAAAATCTGTCTTTTATCAAATTTCATATTGAGAAAGAGGAATATGAGGAGCCTGTTTATGAGAGATCAGTCGATATTTGCTAATTTTTTTTTTTTGTTACATGATACATTAGAAACATAGATCAGGTTTTTCACGACATATGTCATGCTTGATAGCGTATTAAGGTTTAAAGCAAATTATTACACAGAAGAGAATAGTAGCTAACGAAAGGAAGCCATTACAAAGTCTGGGGATGTCTTTATTTGCACATGATGCTTTGTATTCAATGAATGGTAAGCGACATTTACATATCAAAGGTGGAGACGATGATTCCAGCAGTTTTAAAAAAGCACAGTTTTGTTCAAGGACCCTGTCAATCAATCCCAGGGCAGGGCCTAAATACACCAAAACTCAAGAGAAAGACTATAAAGAAAATTATGAATCGATTCAGATTTTGCTCTGATTATCGCCGTCTAAACCCGGCCTGTTTGTTTCATTTCCACATCATTTCCTATTTTAACACCCAATGCTATTTGTAACTATCAAACACAAGACTAATGCAAACCGATATATTTATTAAATGAAATGCTCCCTTTGTGTACACAACCGATCCAACAGAAAAAATATAGGCAATTTTCCAAAATTAAAACTGTACAAATGAGCAGCCATTTCTTCTGTTTTCCTCGACGGGTTAATACGGAAATCTAATTGACAAATGTCCGTTTATAGCAAGTTTCCTCCAATACATTCGGCTGTTAGGGAACGAATCAATACATAGCGGAATCGAGTGAGTGGGTTGTCGATGTGGGATAGGTTGTGAGTGCGGGGCAATCAGTGCCATTGGGCATGTCCCAGTAAAAAAAAAAAGTGCTAGTTGTACACAGCTGAGTGAAAGAGAATCCCGTGTGATCCCACTTTTACGGTTTCACTCCATCTTGAAGCTATAGTTCCCTTTATAAAAGGACGGGAATTTCTTGAAAGATCATATTTCGACCTTTTTATTCTATTCTACATTTTCCCTCCAAGTAAATTCTTTCAAAATGAACGATTTCAGCTTTCCTTCAATGTCAAAGGACATGTCAAAGGTTGGCGGAATTCTCTATCCCACAGAAACACCAACATTTACTCGTCCTAATCCCATCAACAAAGCCAATTCATTCTCGCAACCTCAAGAATATGACCAATGGAGAAGCAATTCATTGCCATCATCGGTTCCCATGTCATTACCCAACACAACTACCATGAATAACACAAACAACAATACCGGCATGAACAGCAATAACAATAGCAGCAATCCTGCCATCAACCCTGTTTCTTGTGATCTTCAAGATGTCATCATCTATTACCAATCTCAACCTGAGCTGTTGCGCTTGATTTTACTAAGCAAAGTGGAAGAAGACAAGAGAAGAGCTGAAGAAGCCAAGCTGAGAGCCAAGGAGCTCGACTTGTTCTTGCTTCAACAACAACAACAAATGAACGGCACACCCCAGACCCCTGATGCTTCATTTACCACCACCTCTTCCACCCCACCTGCTCTCATGTCAAGCAGCTCGAATATGATGAACAGTTCCTCAACGACCACTGCCACTACTACTGCAGCTAGCACACCTACTATTACTACTACTGCAACCCACAATCTACTTAACACTAATCAATTTGGCCAAATCCCAAGAAGACCGAGTGCATTAGAGATGCTGATGGATGATTCTGATTGCAATCGTCGTGATTCAGCTCTCGGATCTTCTTTTGATGGCAGCGCCAATTCTGAGGAAATCGATGATCGTACATTCAGCCCTCATGCCACATCAACAGCAGCAGCATCGATGCTTTCCATGAGGTAATTCGTCTATTGATATTATCCTTAGAGTGTATAAATCTAACTCGTTCCCTATTAGCTTCACTGCTCAACCAATGGTGTCTGCAAGAAACTCGCTCCATCCTCTTTCTCCACCTTATACGCTCAATACCACGAACCAACCATTGGAAGATACGTTCTCCACTCAAATCAAAACAAACGCATCATCCGCTGAGCCTCCTCGCCGCTACGATTCCTATTTCCCTCAACGTCCTCGTCGCAGACGTGAAATGCAGGCCATTTCAAAGATTGTTGAAACAAGAGATTATCCCTACGTCGATGGCTTCTTCTGGAAAAACAATGGCAATACCATCCAAAAGAAGACTGGAAACAAGAGCGTCTACTACAAGTGTTCCAACAGCAGTAAGGGCTGTCCTGTAAACAAGACTGTTACATGGAAAGAAAATGGTGAATATCTCATCAAATATAGAGGCGAACATCTCGCTGAATGTGGCAAAGTGCAGCGTATTGTTGACATGTAATCCACGTTTTCTATTATGTAATTCCTAATTGTACAGTATATATATCTATAACCACTTCATCTCCCCTTCCTCTCTCATCTACTTGAGAAACAAAACAAGTACCACCCACCTCTCTTTTTCACACATTTGTAACAACAGTTTTTTTTTCTTTATTCATTGCTTTTCTTAATCAGCATTTCATGTAGTATCACAATAAATAACTAATAAAAGTAATATGCGTAGAGCAGGTTCTCTTCGTTAGACTTTAAGCAGCATCTATCCACAACCAAGAAGAGGCGAATATCTTTAATGATGACAGTAGTATGGCTCCGCAAAATAGAAAAAATTCTCTGGTATCGTTAATGGCAAAATATATTAATTTACATCTAGTACGGAATGCCTTTCATGGCCCACCCCTTTTCTGTGGTATTTTCTGTTTTTATCATTTGTTTGTCAACATAAACCATAATCACACTAGTAGGTAACTCGATCCTCCCAGCTGCTGGTCAAACGCGGGAGATCAAAAAAAAAATGGGTTTGGTGCACAATGGTACCTCATTCGTTACTTTTTGTTTACATTTGAAAGGGGGATGTCCAACCCTGTTGTTATTCTTTCCCATTTATGTAGCGAGTAGTAAGCCGTATTTGTACAAATCATTAAATTTAGGCTTTTTCTCATAAGCCAGGGTTTTGCTTATATAAGTTCAAAGGGAATTATAGATGACTAGCTTGGTGATACGATTAGGCAAATTATAGCTTGATTGCGATAGTAACACATGCTCGCCTGAATAAGCAGCATTGAAATGGATGAAGAGATGATGGAACGGCAAGGACAAAAAGTAAATGTACCGTCATGAGGCTTTATTTCATTTTCACTTGAATATCGAGTGGATCTGATCTCTATAAATTCAGAAAACAATGCTGTTGTTGCACTCTATAGCTTACGTTATTGCTTACGGTAGGCCAAGCCGATAGTTTCTTTCCTTGTGAGACCTTGTTCATTTTAGTGCTTCCATCTATTGTATATATCACAGCCCTCTTATGAACAAATCAATCAACATTGGGATTTTGGTACCTGGTTACCATGACAACAAAATACATCTGGGAACCAATTGCATTGTTCTTGTCAAAGCAACCTTCATCTTTCCTGATTCATCTAGATGCCTCGCTGGGGATGTAAAGCAAAAAATGCCATGGAATGAGAGATATTGTGGCCTGTTTACCCAAATGAACGGATATTGAAAGCAAGCATATAGCAGCCCCAAGCGAAGAGTCAAATCTAAATTGAGACTTTTGAAACTATTTAATTTTGATGGTCTCATCCAATAGGTTTTTGAATGGGGCAAACTTATCTCTCTGGTCACACATCTATTCTAATTTTGTAAAGTTGAATGAATAAAAAAGTTTGCCCACACACATACCCACTATCAAGCCTGTGTGCGCGCTAAATATCCACCTTTCAACTCTTAAATTTGGACTCTCTCTCTCTCACTCTTTTCGGCCTCTGGTGCATGCTTTATCGAAACTACGAAAGAAAGACCCCAATATTGTAAATTTCCCCTCTATTTTCTATTTCTGTTCATTGTTGTCTTTTCGCTCTTTCTCGAACGACAACATTTATATTTTCTTTATCTTCTACTACTTCTCTTCCCATTTCTCTCTTTCTTATTTTCCCCTTGGCGTTTTAACCAAAAAGATGTTTGCTACGCTTGAATTACCACTCAGAGGTTTGTTTGGAATGATTAACATTGGGAATAGTAGTAGAGATGTTAATTGCTAGTTACTAGATGATAGTAGACATAAGAGATTAAAAGTAGGAAGAGCATGCCATCCATGTAGGATGAAGAAGATAAAGGTAAAACATCATCCGCTATAAAAAAAAAAAAGTAATTAGCTCACATGAAAAACGTAAATGCCGTAGTGTGATGGAAAACAACCATGTATGCAGGTACTGCTTAATGTTTTCTTTTGTAATTTAAATGTATATTAACTCGACTTCATTCTTAGTGCAAAGGTGAATATAACGGTATATTGGGATGATGGGTGTGCATGGCTCTCATCCGTTTTATGGTTATAGCGAGAAGACGAAAATGTATGTATTTAAAGAACCCAGATGAAACATACATTCGATTGGATCCAGTCAATGAGTCAACATCTCCATCGTCATCATCTTCAACCCATTTGAACAGCATTAGTACACAAGCTATTTCGGAATCCTATTTTCAGGATATAGGAGAACAAGTTCAATTGAAGCAGCAGCAGCAGCAACAACAGCAACAGCATCAACACACTGTTTCCAATGCTTCTTCATCCGCACCTCGTGATGACAACAACAAGATATTTGCTCAGGATCGACCTGACAACCTGTTTGCTAGCAATACACAAACCAATGGTCAATCCATATCAACACAGCCTACATCACAACCAGCTACTAGACCCGACAAAATGATTGAACAGCTCACAGATGGCCTCGTTCGTTTAACGTTACATCACGATGCTTCAAAGTTGGGAAACGAGAACGTCACGCCATGGAGAAGCTATGGAGAGTTTGTTCGATGGACGCCTGAACCACACCTGCCCACCTACTACACAGCACCGATTGACATGCCATCTCGACCCACACAGGAGCATTTGATCGGGGTCTTTTTTGATGAATGCCATCACATCTTGCCTACACTGTCCAGATCTATGTTTTACGATCAACTCAAGATTAAGGGCCCCCTCGTGACACCACTCCTACTCAATTGCATCTATGCGCATGCGGCAAAACGCATCAACAATCCTGCTTTCCGTTCCGAACAGAACAATCCCTCAACACAGGGCGACTTGTTCTACAATCGTGCGAGACGACTCGTGGATGATTTTTTGGACGTACCTCGCATCAGTACAGTCATTGCTTTACTGTACATGGCATTGTATGATTGCGATCATATCCCTCAAAACGGTACTCGCACTCGATCCAGTCGTGCTTGGATGTACAGTGGCATGGCGATTCGTATGTGCTTCGAACTGGGTTTACATACAGCAAATTACAGTAGTCAAATGTCTCAGTGTGATATCGAGTTGCGTAAGCGAGTGCTGTGGACTTGTTTTGTGATGGACAAACTGGAGAGTTGTACTATGGAAAGACCTTGGATGTTGAAATCAAAGGACATTGCGTTGGATTTCCCAACGCCCTTACCCGAGGATTCCTTGCAGGAGAGGCTAGTGCTGGAAGGATTCAACCAACTGTGTCGACTCATGATTTTAATGGAGAAGGTGATTCACTTTTTTACGTACGACATGAAGAACTTGAGCCTGTGGACCATTAGTGAAGAGAACCAGATTTTGCAGTATTTGGATGCCATTCATCAATGGAGAGACATGTTGCCCAACGAGCTTCAATGGACTACACCTGCCAACAACCCCAGCATGCAGCGATTCATGCCAGCTGTACCCTCCTCGGCTGTCGTTGCCAATCTCCATCTGATTTGCTACGATCTGGAACTGTCGCTCATCATGTGCTGTCGTTATCAGGACGAAGATTTGCACCGTGAAAGACGAAGAACACTAGCCAACACCATCACTCAAATTGTGTCACTCACCGTACAGCATCAGCACCTCATGTACACCTTTGCCGTGTCCACCTTCTCTGGTATTTTTGCTGCTTTGACACATGCTGTTGATTTTGACAATCCACGTTTGGACGTATCGGAAGGCGCCAAATTGCAATTCAGAAAGAGCTTGGAGGATGTCAGATTGATTGTGGAACACATTCCTATGCGTGATTTGCGTAATTTCGCTCGTTTGGTGGATTTGACATTGCAGCCCAATACACAAATGATGGGATCTTCCATGGGTGTGCCGCCACAGACATCATATGCGTCTGCGTTCTCTGCGATCAGTGACCTGGTTCAAAAGGATAGCAGTAACAGTATGGAGCCCAATGGCAACATGTATACACCACATCAAGAAGTGTTGGAAAATGGATCAGGTTATGGCTCAGTATCACCTGAAAGACGTAGATCGCCTTTCCCCAACAACCCCATGATTTCTGGTCAATTCGCGTTTGACGCTTGTTATCAACAGCAAGCCAGTAGCACATCGTCACCTTCTGGTAGTGTGTCTGCCGCCGCTGTAGCAGCAGCAGCAGCGGCGGTCGGTGCCGTAGGAACACCCAGCGCAGCTTCAGGACCTACCAACAAGAGTATTGAGCCAGCAGACTATACATTCGAGCTAATTTCAGTAGCGGATGAATGGGCAAGATCCCTGATATACTAGCATATTCTCTTTTTTAATTTTTGTTTTAAGTTTGCTTTCTCACTTGTATATTAGATTCTCTCTTAGTTTATTGTATCTCTCACACTCACTCTCTCCTTGTCTACCCCTATTTTTTTCTTGTCTCATGCTTTTTTTTTTTTTTTTCAGCTCTAATATTCCATTATTCACTCATGTATTTATATATATTAACAATAGTACTATTAATCGCATCAAAAAACTAATACACAAAACCACATAAATCTACATTTTATAAACAATAACAAGTGATACCATGTGAGAAGCAGAGCATAAAATAGGAGATGAAAGCAATCAAGTGTTTACAAAATGTTATGCATCCAAATATGCTTTGCATTCAACCTCAACATAATGCGTGTGTAATTGTCAGCATGCATAGAACCCAAGTAAACACTAGCACATCCTTCGTATTCTTGTTCCCGCCAATGTTGCTGCTGCCCTGACAATCTCCTAACTCTATATACATGACACATTGAATTGAATAATGTGACAATTTCATATAAATAGAGAGCATCGATCTGGTTTGCACTGTTTCCCTCTTGCTTCTCAATACCACAACCATGCTTTTGAAACACACATTGAGACTATCACTCGTTGCTACTGCTGTCTCCTCTCTTGTCAGTGCTGCTGTCATCATTCCCAATGCTCGTAAGCGCAGTGGAGGTGTATCTGGCAAATTTGTACACATCACAGGTAGAAGCTTGCTCCCGAGTAGATGTAATACACTATCTTGACACACCAATTAGATTTCCATTTAGATCCCTACTATGTGGAGGGCGCCTCCGTCTCCAGTCTCTGCCATCGTAAAGACGGCGACACTGGCAAAGGTATTGCTGGTAAATTTGGCGCTTTAGGAAGTGATTGTGATTCCCCAAAGGCCTTGGTAAATGACAAGTAGTTTGATACAATCAAGCGCATACTGAGCCCTTCTACCTGAACAGATTGATGCCACATTCGAATTCTTGAAGCAACAGGCATCCGATGCAGACTTTGTCATATACACGGGTGATTCCGTTCGTCATGTAAGCAGCTTCTCTCATACAAACATCTCTGGATACGCCTCACTCACTCTAACCCCTCCCAGGATCGTGATTACCAGGACATGCGAGGCGACGACGAGGTCAGATCCACTCAGCAACGAGTAGTGCACTATTTCAAAGAGACATTCTCCTCCAAAGTCATCCCTGTGCTTGGCAACAATGATGTAGACACACACAACAATGTCATGGCCTACGATGATTCCTACACAGATTTTGTGTCTACCTGGGCTCCATTCGACCTGGCATTGGGCCAAGATTTCATTCAAGGCGGCTACTATGTCCAGGAGATTACCTCCAATCTACGTACCATCAATACAAACACTATGGCCTTTTTCAAAAAGAATGGGCTCTTGTACACAGACTGCGATGTACCTGGACCTGGAAGAACTCAATTAGACTGGCTGAAAAAGTCATTGGAAGAAACGCGAGCTCAAAACTCCAAGGCTTATATTCTGTAATGTGTCTGTTTTTGTTTTCCTGGATTTCTAAATCACTAACCTATGTATAAACAGTGCGCATGTGCCACCAAATAGTAAATTAGACGAGCATTTCTACAAGGATAGATGCTACGATGAGTACTACAGTCTTTTGGGCTCTTACTCGGACGTTATTTTAGCCCACTTCTCTGGCCATTTCAACTGTAGGATCCATCCCTTAAAGTCAAATCGATCATTGTATAAAAAAAAATACTAACGGCATTCTTGATAGATGATCAATTGACAGCTGTACTGCAGAACAAACAAGACGGCACCTATACTCGAGTTGCAGCCCTGGGAGAGGAGGAAGTTCCCATGACAGCTGCAGAACTAGAGACATACAAGGTGGTTGGTGTCCTTTTCAATGCGCCTTCGATAGTGCCTCAACAGAATCCTGCAGTTCGAATCTATACATATGATACAGAAGGCACACAGTAAGAGGTTGACCGTTTGCGATTCATACAACAGACACCCTAACCCTACTTCCCCCCCCCCCCTCTCCTTCTCAGATACCCTTATGGCACTATTCTTGATTGGGATCAATACTATGCCAACTTGGAAGAGGCAAATCAGAGCGGTGTGTTGCGATACAAGTTGGAATACACTGCGTCAAAATTATACAATGTAGATCACTTTGATGCCAGCGGTTTGCAGAGCGTCTTTGAAGCTATTTCATTAGATGAAACAGTTCGCCAACAATACACTGCTTTCCGTGCTGTCAATGGTGAAAAGACAGCCGATATCTAATTTCATTAATATATAAATTTTATTTTACAAAAAGAAATGTTGTGTGTGTGTGTGTGTGTGTGTGTGTGTGTGTGCGTGTGTGCGAGCTTGTGCGAGTGTTAATGTAGTGTATTGTATTGGTGTGTGGGGTTGCGCATGGTGGATGTTTACAAAAGGGTTATCTATAATAGTGTTTACTCATCATCGCTGTCTACTTTTTGCTTTTTTGATGACTCGTCGTCTTCCTTTTCATTAGCACCTCTCTTCAAACCCTTCATCTTTCTGGTTTGGATCTTATCAAGCTCTTGTTTGCCAAGATGGATACGACCATATTTATCACCCATTTCATCCACTTCAATGTTCTTTGCCTTCTTGGGCTTGACTTCCTTGGACACTTTAACAGCGGAATTCCAGATCTCTTGCTTGGGAACAGACGTACGCTTGATCTTGAGATCGTAACTAGGGCCCATTTCTTCCAATTCAACACGAGGTGTCTTGAGTCCACTCTTCTTCATTTGGATAGCATAGGTACGGAAAAGAATACGATCATCAGGTGTAGCTGTTAAACTGATCACATGCTCAAGACCTGCCAAGTTGATGGCATCCGTCTCCTCACCATTAAAGAAATCCAAAAAGTAGTTTTTGATGTACTTGCACTTTTCATCCGATTCAAAACGTTCGCCGTTAAAGACCATCAATGGCTTCAAACCCAATGAACACTTGGGTCCAGGAATAGAGCCCATGGATTTGGGGTTCTCGATACCGAATTCGTACATGTCCAACATTTGATGATTGTACATGCGGACAAAGGTCAAGTTGTGAGGTCTCTTTTTGGAGTGAGTGCCAATGACTAAATGTGCAGAGTCGTTCTTTTGAGAAAAGAATTCGAGCTTTTCTTCATCCTCAAATGGCTTGATTTCGTTCTTCTTGCTAAAGTAAATGGCATTGGGACGCTTCAATGCATACTAAAAAAAAAAAAAAAAAAAAAACATGTCGTGTTAGTCGATACTCATGCTTTTACCCTATTTCAACAGTTCAACTCACCAAATCCTTCAATGCATCACTGACAACTTGACTAGTAGAGGAACCCCGCACAACTAATGTGTTCTTGGGGTTTTCATGGACCTTGGCTTCACGGTTCTTCAAGAAACGCTTGGCACGAGCATTTTTGGCTTTACTAAACAGACAGGGTGTGTAAGGAGATGGTATGTTTATCTGATCTGGTCCACTACTTACACTGTACGCAACATGGTTTGATATTTGGATTCAGGTGAAGAAAGAAAAATTAGCAAAAAAAAATCAGAATGTGATTTCCTTTGTTCCAACATTTTGGGCAGGGCGGATTAGCAGTCTTGGTGGCTTGATCCAAGTTGACATGATTCGTTTGACCCAGGCTTTGAGGGAATTTTTTTAGGTATGTAAAATGCAATTCATGAGATGTTTTTAAGCTACCACCATGTTTTGGAGTAGGACGACCTGCATTTCCATCCTTATGTTGATTCTATCTGTGATATCAGGCATGTTCTTGCTTGCATTTGAGTGCGATGTGCAAGTCAACATTTGAAGTAGCGCCAAGCAACTAGCGCTTTGCGTCTCCTGGATTACTCCAGTGACAGCAGACGATAATACAAAGAACAGGCACTGTAAAAAACCTGCTTTTTCCATCACGAAAGCCAAGGGTAGGCTCCAATGTTGTCAAGCCAATGCTTTGGCGGCTTTATTTGAGAGATTTCGCTGCATTTAGTCATTGGAAAGATTACCGAATGAATCCCAAATAGTTCCGTACTCGACACTTGCTCGATATTTGCCTTAAAAATAAGAACAGCCTTGAAAACCGTCTGGTTTGTCTATCAGTACTATTCAGCGATTGAGCTGTGATATCTTGTTATACTGTTCACACCACAACGATTGTAGTTTGCAACGAAAGCAGAAGAACTGATTATCAAGCTAAGCTGTCTTTTGTAAAATCAAATAAAATTGTCAGTTTAAATATGCTGTTTATTCAAATGATTAATGGTGTATTGGATATCTTCTAATGTACATGGTATATAAATGTGTATATTCATTGCTTGCTACTTATTTCTTTTCATTGTAAAAGGTGTAATCAGTATAACCCTCAGCACCATGGCTATAGAAGGTATCTCTGTTGTAAGGGTTCAGTTCCCAGCCGTTGCGAAGACGCTCAGGGAGATCAGGGTTAGCAATGAAAGCGCGACCATAAGCAACTAAATCGCCAGTCTTTTCAGCAATTTCGTTACCGAATTCAAGAGAAGTAGAGAAACCACCAGCAGTAATGAAGGGCCCTTTCCAAATCTTCCTATAGCTCTCTAAAGTGTCGGTAGTGTTCTTGTGATCAGGCGTTTGCAAGTCGGCGCGAGACTCGATCAGATGTAAATAGGCTAGTTTAGGATGGTTCTTTTGCAATTCGGAGACCAAGTAACCCCACGTTGCCTCAACATCATCCGTGGCCATGCCTTGGAAAGCACCTCCAGGAGAGAAGCGAATAGCGGTGCGTTCCTCACCAACAGCTGCAGCAACAGCATCGACCACTTCCAACGCAAATCGACCACGGTTCTCCACAGATCCGCCATAAATGTCAGTGCGGTTGTTGCTAGAGTTGTTGATGAACTGATCCACAAGATAGCCATTGGCACCGTGAATCTCTACACCATCGAAACCAGCCTCAATAGCATTCTTGGCGGCTTGAGCATACTCATCCACAATGGATTTGATTTCATCAATAGTAAGAGCACGAGGAACTTCATGATCAGCGCCTGTCAGAGCCTTACCGGGACAAGGGATATCAGAAGCACTTACAACTTGTTCTTGATTGGGGTTGAGGCACTTTGATCCCACACGGCCAATGTGCCACAGTTGCAAAAAGAAGACGCCGCCTTTGGCATGGACAGCAGATGTTACCTTCTTCCAGCCTTCAATTTGTTCCTTGTTGAAGATACCAGGTGCTTGAGGGTAGGCACCAGCAAGTCGAGAGATGAAGGTAGCTTCAGTGATCAAGAGACCGCCGTCAGAAGCACGCTGCTCGTAATATTTGGCCTGGAGATCAGTAGGTACGGCTTCAGGAGTAGCACGGAAACGAGTTAACGGAGCAAGGACAACACGGTGCTTGAGAGTGTTGGTACCGACTTTGATGGGGGAGAATAATGCTTTAGAGCTCATTGTTGGCTTTTGTAAAAGTTAATTAATTAGATTGAATTTGATGAAATTTGGATCTGTTGACAATCATCAGGGTTTATATACTATTTTTCGCTCTGCTGAATAATCGAAATGCATTACTTGATTAGGAAATACTCCTCATCATCATTTGCATTTGTAAGCGGGGTAGATTTTTACTAATCCAAACTGAACTATGGCGTATGATCTGCATAAAGTGACATTACATTGTAGATAAGCTTATAAATCACCTCTATCATGATCAGGAGTAGCAACACCAACGCATTTATCTTTTGGTGTGTACAAAAACATGGTGGGATATCATAGCTTCCTTTGATATTACCTTCCAATCTCCAGACGAAATTCATTTGCCATTTTAAATAGGCTGAGAATATTGCATTTCGCATTTGAATGAGCAAACTGACCCGATAAAGTCTATCATATATAAAGTCGTGCATCAGAATCAAAAGAGAGGTATTGTACTAACTTATGATACTCTTAAATTCAAAACGCCTCTTCATATTAGTTTTTAAAAAACATAGATTACCCTCATAATGAAAGGCATGATCATTCTGGCCAGCAGCCAAAATAAGTTGAATCTCTGCACTTTTTTTTTTTTTTTTTTTTTTTTTTTTTTTTCGGATCTAGATTGGACAAATCCCGTATTATTTCGACTTGGTTGAACTATTTTGCAGGATTCGACTATATAAACTGCGAAGATCATCTATTGCTCCCTATTACATTCTTGGAGTATTTCTCAAGGCGCTTCTAATGGTGCTAATTGTAACAAGTGTTTTGAACAAGCTTGTTGAGCAATGTTTGAAAATCTGAAATGAGGATTTGGGCAAAAAAAATATTGAGATTTCGCATATAAAGGTACAACAAACGAGGTTTCAGGGGTTGCACTGGATCAAGAGGAACATTTTGATTTAATACAGGCCATAGTAAAAGTCTTCATTTTCGAGGTGAAAAATGCGATCGTTTGATATTTGATGTTTTTTTTTATGAGGGGTACCTCATGGTTTTCGGTCAATTTCTGGCCATGATTTTTTGGTCCCTGAAAAGTTGAGCAAAGGTATCAGAAAGTAAATACCAGATCAGAGCAACTGTTTGGTACTATTTTGGATATCTAAAGCGGCTTTCAACGAGGGAAAACACTGTTCGAATGCACCCAAGTTTCGCTGTAACTTGCATACTTTTGGGTAGCAAGAGGTAATGTTAATATGCTCTTTGCTTGCATATGAACTATTATTTTTTGATACAGACGTGGAGCATTGTAAATGAGCCAGATCTACAGTTATGGAGGTTTCTCACGTAATAGTGGTAGGTCTAAAAGTGAAACGTTAGTGTGCAATAGGAATATACATTGTAATGACTTGTCTAGTTTCTGACAGAATCGAATCTTTCAAGGGAAAAATAAGAGTTTCTGCTAAACCACTTTGATTCGAAAGGTTTCCGAAAATGGCAATTCTGATCAAGTAGAGCTCGCTGATCAGGTCAAGTATGGACATTGTCATATACTCTGTCTCTGCTTGCTATCAATTGATTGCGACCTTCATATTAACAAGCATACATTGAAATTTGTATGTGCTATTTGGATGTAACTCATTGTCCTACAAACAAGTGTCTAAGCCTATAAATCATGCAGTTTCTATTCCGTTACTCTGCACACCATAGGGATGCTCCAAAAATGACACCATCCGATTTTGTTTACTTGATCCGCTCAGCCCAAATGTGCCGTTCCTGAGCCATATGCTTTGTGCGAAATACAGCTCGAGAATCCCCTTTCTTTCATTCTGTTACAATGGACGACTTGCTCACCTACAGCAAGTACGAGCAAGTAATTTGTATAGGTAGCCTCAACAATAGATAGCATCACATACTCTTTCTTATTAGTTTGTTATATCGTAACACTGGTATAATTAGTTTTTGACGAGAATGAGCAGTTGATTATCCATAGAGGCACCAACAGAGCAGTTGAAACGGAAGAAGTGGCAGTTGTAAGGAATATATATTCAGGTGCTATTTCATTGAGTTTTGACTGCAAACTGTAGTTCGCGAGTGATACTCTGCAAGACACATCCTTACAGTCGCTTTTGAAAAATTACCTTGAAGCTTCAACAAAGGAGCAGTATCAACAGACTGACGAGGAAAAACACTCAATTTTGAAGATGCGCCGGTATGCAGAACAGTTAAGACGGGATCTACTTCTCGACGAGATGACCATGTTTGATGGGTGCCAGTTTCTCTTTTGCTTACCGCTTGGATGGGCTTGCAGCAAATATATGGATGGACTACGTACCTTGTTTATAGAGGCAAAATGGATCACCCAAGATGATCCCAAAAATCGGTTGATCTTCTCTTCTTTTATAGAGAGCCTCTTTCAATATCTTGCTGCTTACGAGGATATGAAATTCGAAAGGGAAAAGAAGTACTTGCTTTTGAGCATAGACAAAGTTGCCATTCATTTATCAAGCGCCCAAATGCAAAGCGCAAAAGAACTGATTGCAGTCTCGAAAAAGCTAGCGGCAAGCGATTTCTTACTTGTCCCCACAGATTTAGGCGATGCTGTATCGATGGACCTCACGGCGTTGGATAAATCGGTATATAATAGCGTGAAGGAGATCATTATCAAGCACATTTTGAGTATTATACGAGGGAAACGCTATTACAAGAGGAGCATCTTCAGGTTCAAGAATGGCAACAAGAAAACAACTCAGAAAGAGCGACACAATATCAATGCAACAACTCAACCACTGTTTTCTGTAATCAGTTTGCACCAAATCATTGAAGAAATTATCGATACGCTTTACCATGCATTTATTGCAGTAAGTATCTTGAATGCTTTCAATAGCGCTAATTATATATCAACAAAATGCCGTATGATTAGGACAGGAGCGAACCTTTACATACAGCATTGTATGGCTTGGAAGGATCCAAAGAAATTCTCAGAGGATTGACATTTGGGACTTTCATGGATGGTTTACTGACTGATGCGAGCGTCAAGGAGTTTATCGATCAACTGGTTTGTGAAGTAAAAGGCATACATAACAAATACAGCAACGTTCAAAGCTCTCCTGACGGAATCCAAGATGTTATTTTGCATTGTCACTCTAAAGCCAATGGCTTTTACAGGGAGGTATTTCGGGTTGCTCTGCTCGGTGCAAACTTTGTGGATGCTCAAGCTGATTTTATCAGTAACACTGAAGAGAGTCGAGATATCAGCTTTGGTGCCATGCAAAAACCAATCAAAATGATCCAGATTGCCAATGCACTGTTGCCGCCCACTGTTTGGAACGGAGAAAGCTACGAACAAGTTGAATTGGTGAGCTACAGCAGCGGCGAAGACGACTTGCTGCCACCAAACTCGTTTTATGCCCAAGCCTCTATCAATAACAATCATATTCGTTTCATTCTGAATAAGGTTATTGCCGTTTCTTCTGCCAATGACACTATACAAAAGTCGACCTTTACCGTAAAAGAGATGTCTGTGAAGCTAGAAGGCATCTTTGGCTCAGTCTGCGACAATATGTGGAACCATCTAATGATGCCTGAATGCCAGGGAGAGATTACTCGACATGCTCGCTGCGACACACATTCGGCAGGGGAGTATTCTGCAGCAAACTATCGTTTCTTCAAGTGTTCGATACAGAAGATGACTGATGAGCTGGTATGTTTTTTCTATCAAACACCATTATCAAGCTAATATGGAAATCACTGCAGCTACAGAAAAGACAGGCTAAATATACTAGAGAATTCGACGTCTATCACGCCATCCCTACTAGCAAGGAATGTGCTTGTTCTTTCCAGATATCCTTCCGCGCTCTAATGAACATAGGGCTACAACCAGCCATTAGCCACATTGCCACCATCATTGCATCATCGCTCGCATCAAACAGCTTTTTTGGCCTTTACACTCTGTCTGCGTTGATCATCATGGATGAATCTAGAGAAATGATTATCCAAGATCACAATGATACCTTTAAAAAGACAATGCAGAGCTGTTTGAAAGCACATAACAGAAGAGCCGCTGTGTTCTATGGCAAAGAAGCAGTGTTGGCTTGTGGATCACTGGGGAACTGGTGTACTGGTTTGCAACAAATCTTTGGGAAGGGGTCTTATTCACAAGTATCGAGTTCAGGCTATCTACTAAGGTTTTCCAGCTTACGAGTGGATGGCGCCGACGGGGGACTTAGAGTGTATAATTATCACTCCAATTCACTCAAGCAAGGTGACTTTGAGGAGAGACCAAACGAGTTTGTTATCCTGGAAAAGGGCCATACTTTAGATCCGAATGGTTCCGTTTACGCTTTCTATCAGAGAGACTGTAATGTACAAACTTTGCAATTGAGTAAGATCGCGGACCTAAACAAGCTATTGCATAGAAACTAATTGAACCATTAGGCATTTATAGCCTGAATAGACACAATGACAAAGTATGCTATCACTGCATAAGGGGCCGTGGCTATGTGTCTATCAGCGTGCTTCTCCCTTTTACCATCAGAGTTACTCCTCAACATTATTCATCGTCGATAGAATTTGAACTATCGTATGTCATGGATGATGGCGTTGTCTACCTTGACTCTGAATCATTCAGCCTCCATGAAAAATTAGTTTTAAGATAGCAATGTTGGGATTTTAATGATGAGGTTGTACCTATGGTTGTTCCATTGGTAGAGAATACACGGTTTATTCTTTGAAAATGTATATATATATATATATATATCAAGTAAGCTACTATTCATTGTTGTTGATCGCTAGTCTTTGAATGATACTGTATATTTGTACATATCCCAAATAATCATGCGCTGGTTAATTTATCACACTCCAGTCCGTTTCTCATCTTTCTGTATCCCCCCCCCTTTACAGACTACCACCAATGTTTATTGAGCCACCGAACTGGAAGATCAACAGTCTGTGCTCAAGTGACCCATTAAAGTCTAAATACATGTGATTGCTACAAAATGCTGTATCCTCCTTTTCATCTCTCTCTCTCTCTCTCTCTCTACTCTATAACATGGGCAACAGCAGTAGTTCCTCCTTTGATACAGAAACAGCCAATGGCCTCTATTTCAAAGAGTCTGCCAAGCGAGGCTTACAAGTAGCCAAGGCAGCTGGCACATCCATCCTTCTCTCGCCTGTGATCATCCTAGCGCTTCCCTTTGTAGGTGCCTATGAATTCAGTACTGCGCTGGAAGAAGAAATGATAACCGGCTACAAAGTAGTGGATGGCATGATTGGTGGTTTGTTTGGTGTCATTGCATCTCCCATTGCACCTCTGTATTGCTTTCTAACATCCATGCAAGAGATCTTTAACACCACGAGCACAGCACAACAACATCGACGACATATCAATCAATCGTATCTGAGGAAAGCGTACGGCATGCTGCGATTGGATTCCAATGTGTATAATGTGGTGGTTACCGGGTGTCCAGGTACAGGCAAGGTATCCATGGGACCTCTTGGCACATCTTGAGCACTCGTACTCATCCATTGTACTAGTCCTCCTTATTGAATGCGCTTTTAGGGTACCGAAGCAATCATCCCAAAGCTGCTGCGATAGGCGAGATAGAAACCACCATAGAGCCTAAGCGATATCAGCATCCAGCGTTACCTAAATTGCATCTGTGGGATATGCCTGGCATTGGTACACCGAGACATCCTACCAACAGATTTTTTGACACGTATTTTCTCGGCGCATTTGATGCCATATTGGTTGTCTTTGATGACAGACTGATGGCCAGCGATGTAGAGATTGCCAGAAAAGCCAAACTATACAATGTGCCTGTATTCTTTATCAAGAACAAGGCTGATCTAGTAAGTTTTGTGTTTCAGATGAGTTGCAAATGTTGAACCAAACTATATGCATGTAGGCGATTGAGACGAAAATGCAGCGCATGAGAAAAACAACTATCCAGGCGTGGGCCATTGCTGTGTCAGAGCTGACAACTGAGGTAGTTACAGGCTTATAGATATAGACTGCCGCAAGTCTTACACACTGCGTTACAACAGATCAAAGGCTCCATTTACAAAAGCATGCAGCAATTTGGCCTCAATACAAACCAATTGTACATTGTCTCGTCCAACAATTTGCTTGATTTTGTGATACGTCTTCAAAGTCAACGATTTACAAACAATGAGAAACTCATACATGAAAAGCTCTTGATCACCAACTTACTCGACACTATTGCCAATCAAAGAGACGGTAGGATCATCCATAGCGATAGCGATACTTCATCCATCATCTATCTGTAGAGCATGTGGAGCAATAAAATGTGATTGGATGGTTGCCAATAAATTTAAGCTGTCCTGATAATGCAAAACCAAAAGCGAGAGGGGACGAAAATTTTGACAAAAAGACCAGGTTGCTTGACCCTGCTCTTCTTATTTTTTCTTTTCCCATCATACTTTTTCTTTTCTTTTTTGCATCATGTTGAGGAAGACAACGGTTTCATTATGGCCCACTATTACAAGATCTATACAACATGTCAAGCCAGCGAGACATGGCATTCACATTACTCGTCACAGGCCATATGGCTTCTTTTATTCAACAGAATCAGCAGCAGCAGCAACAGCAGCAGCACAGGCAACCACCTCAGAAGCAGCAGCAGCAGCAGAATCCGCATCCAAGAGACTACCTTGGGAACGGTACCGTGAACTCGTTGCAGCCAACCACAATGAACAAATCACAGCAGCCGATTTACAGCAGTTATCCAAATTCACCGTAGTTGCCAAAACCATCAAACCCAGTGAAGCCATCACCCGTCTACAAGACATTTTAAAATACATGAGCACTCGCAAAGACACCGAGCCCGACTTTAAAGCAGCGTTTCCCCTGTGCTGCAATTTCTTGATTCGAGCCTACATCCGTCATGGAGATTTGAAAACAGCCCGATTGGTGTTTGATAAGATGGCCATGGTAGGCGATGTCAATGAAGGCACGCTCAGTGAAATGCTATCTGGCATTCGACAATTGGGCACCCGTGCGGAAATCTATGAATTTCAAAAGACCATGGAGCGTCAAGGACTCTGGGTCAACAGCAGTGTGGTGTACACCAACCTCATTTATGCGCTCAGAGATTTTAATGATACACTGGGATGTCGACATTACTTTCAAGAGATGAAGAGCAAGGGTTTGGCAGACACAGAGCATGCTTACAAGGCCGTCATGTCAGTCTATCGCAAGGCCAATTCACCGCATGTCGTGCTCAAGTATTTCAATGAAATGAAGGAAGCAGGCATTCAACCCAGTATCGCTGTCTATGGCCTCTTGTTTCAATCTTTCAGCCACGACGATCCACAGCAGCACAAGGCCATACTACAGTCCATCTTTCAGGAAATGAAAACCAGAAATTTCCCTATTGATTTAGCATTTTACCTACCCCTGGGGTGGGAGCCTCTGGACGCATTACAGCAAATGATTAATCACAAGCACCCTGTCAAAGTGCGAGATTGCAATGTGGGCCTATCATACTATATCAAAAACAACCAATTTTCAGACGCCTTGAATGTGATGAAGTGGATGAATGAACACAAGGTCAAGATGGATTCCTACAGCTACGGCATCATGATTGACGCACTCGCCAAGGACCCTGATACATCGCCTCAGCTTGTGTTTGACTTGTACGAGGACATGAAGCGACACAAATTGCTTCCTGATACAGTCGTGTTTACATCGCTCATCTCCAACTGTTGCAAGAACCAAGATTTGGATAAAGCTCTGTCTCTGTTGCAAGAGATGCAAAGCTATGAAATCAAGCCCAACACATATACATTCAATTCCATACTCAATGTCGTGACCAGCATGACGGATACATCCTCGATTGACGTAGAGCGAGCCAGTGTGATTTGGTCACACATGACAGAACTTGGTGTTCAACCAGATACCCGTACCTGCAATATTTATCTGTCGCTGATTGCTCGATTGATCAAAGCGGCACCCATACACCATGAGCCAGCAAGACCAGCAGCAACACCCTTGGCAGACGAACGTTACATACAAAAGACGGCATTGTGGGAGGAAATAGAAGATACCAACCGCCGAGTACCTCAAACGGTGAAAGAGATGCAGAGAATGTACCGCTACATGAGACGACACAAGCTGGAAAGCATGCAGCCTGATTTTGTCACCTATGCCATTGTCATCAGTGCCATGTCTACGGCGGGTGAAGTGCGATCTGCCATGCAAGTGTATGACGATGCCAAAATCAATCGAGTGACACTCCCAATACCCGCTTACAACAACATGATGATGGCCTTACAGCGTTGTGGACGAGTATCTGAATCCATGGGCATCTGGCATGACATGAAGCTTCAGGGCGTGCTACCCAACAGTACTACTTACAGCATCGTGTTGGAGAATTGCGAGCAATTGGGCTTAGTGGATTCCATTGAAAACATTCGTAGACAGAGAAAATTAGATTTTGATAGATTGCAGGAATTAGAAAGAAAAAGGGAGATGCGTAAATTAGAGAAATCTCTCTCAAAAAGGCCACAATAAAAAAGCCTTTTTCCATTGTGTATATAGTATGTCTAGTAGTAGTGGTAGAGAGATGCTGCAATTGTGATACGCTCTCTTCTCCTTGATCCATGAGATCAGCATTCTATTCGAATGGTGGCACCCAGTGACCACTAAATAGAAATGAAGTGTGTACAGATGCAGCAGCATATATATACACACACACACACACACACACACACACTTTGGCTCATTCTCCCTTTTTTTTTTCTCACTTGGATTCATAATACATCAACATGCCAGGAGGTTTAGAACGACAGAATGCCTTTAGTGAGTATTACGGATCAAAGACATTTACAGAGGTGCGTGTGTATTTGTGTGCATCCACTCTAGACATGTTCTTATATCATGATTCTTTATTTATCCATTCCAGTTACACTGTCATATCTGCAAGCAATATGAATCCGATGGAGATTGGATCAAGATACAGTGTAAATGCAATGCTACGACAGCTTTGTATGTATCCACAAGAACGCATGTGCTTATACCAAGTGAATACTCATCACATTCCATACAGTACAGAGTACGTTTACACACATCGACATTGCCTAAAAATGTCAGGCAAATGCAAACAATGCAGTCAACTTTATATCCAACAAACTACATCTAAACCTGCTACTGCTGCGACGGCAGTGTTTGCTGCATTGGAAAGATCTCACTATACACGCATCATGCTAGGTAGGCCGGTGCATACTCGACATTGTCTCTTCTCTCTAATGGCTCAAATGGCACACCAGAATTCATGCGAAAATACAGGGCACAATTGGCATTGCTCATTTGCTGCATTATCGGCCTGTCAATATTCTACGAAGCCCTTGATTGTATCACGATAGACTTGTTGGTGGGAGACGAGTTACAAGGCTTGACAGACGCAGATTTCTTATATTTACCGGTATGGGAATGGAGTATTGCATTCTCTCAAGATACGTAAACACTAACACAGTCTGAAATCATTAGCGATTTCATCGAAGCTGCTTTAAATCCAAATCATTATCCATTCGCATCAAATTTTTTATTTGCTGTACATGCATGATATATTTATTTCTTGATCGTTCTTCTCTTGGTAGTGGTCGTCGTCGTCGTCGTCTTGGACGCAGCAGTGGCGGTGTTCGCAATAGTAGTAGTAGCAGCAGCAGCAGCAGCAGTGGCAGAGGTGGCAACAGGCTTCTTCTTGTTGGGTGATCTCGTTTGCTTCAGTTTGGGACAACCCTCGCCTGTCATTAAATGCAATTTCCATCCTTCATCCGTTGCTGGTTCAATCGCTATCAAACATAATGGGCATTGTACTTGATCTAGATCACAACTACCGATCAGCTACAATAAATATAAACATCTATAAACTACTTACCACTGCAAGTTTGTTTGAGTGTATGTTGGAGCCATTGCTCAACTGGAATCGCTTGAGAACAACGACTGCATTTCTTGATCAAGTGTCTTCTTTCGCAATCTTCAAGCATGTGTTCATTTAATGTGGGTATTTCCGTAATCTATCGTTGTAAACATGTGAGTCTCCTTTCTGACACATGTAGATATATATATATATATATATAAAAACTTACAATTTGACACATGGGGCAGTTGGTAAGTACAGGGCATGTGTTGTAATAGTGCTTGATCAATGTATCTTCATTGAATTCAGGATTGACTTCGTCACAAAAGATGCAAACACTATTTTCATTTAGTTCTTCTTGGAGCTGTTGTTGCTGAGGCTCATGTGGCTGTTGTTTGGGTTTTTGTTGTGCCACTGCAGGTGATGATACAGACTTTTCCTTTTGCTTCTCTCTTGGTGTAGTCGCTGTCGTGGTTGATTTGGCTGAGGGTCTTGTAGTCGCGGCTTGTTGCTTCTTGACAGCCTTGTTACTACTGTTTATGTTTGAAGGTGTTGATCTCTTGCTCGCACTGCTGGTAGACGAAATGGCTGATTTTTTAACACGAGTGATTGTCTTTTTTTCAGGTTGCTGAGAAGGAGCTACAGTCAACGCTCTCAATTCAGTCAATGTATCCTTGGTCACAGACCCCTTCTTGAAATTGGAAGGCTCTTTGTCCACCAGCTTCTTTACAGAATCCGCCAACGACGCCCCGAGCGATTCGTCAATGTACGCGCTTACACGATGAAATCCAAACTGATCTGCGATAGCTACCAACAACTTGACTGCTGCCTGTCTCACATCTTCATGTACATGCTTGAGGTACGCCACGACAAAGGACATGGCATCTTGCAAAGACACCTGCAATTTGGAGACGGTGGTTTCCACCAACTGCACACGTGCTTTGGCTTCTTTATGGTTATGAATGATACGTTCTGGTTTACAGACATACAGCTGCAACAAGGAAGGATAATCTTGCACCAACACCAATACCAATTCAGTGGCTGTTTGTCGAATATTGACATTGTTGTCCGACGTGCGCTTCAGGAGTCCACCAAAGGCGCGTTCCATGTAGCTGATGTCTGCCAATTCACCCATGTGATGTGTTTGATGCCAGACGTCCATGGCTTGACATACAATAGCTTCTCTTGAATCCATCACAGCTTCTTGCATCATCAATAAGGTGGCATGCACCACGTCTTGGCTGGCTGTTTGTTGAATCATGTGTTGCTCGATTTGTGTCAAGCCTCGCTTTCGGCATATAGCCTTGATACTGAGAATACAGGCAACGGTATCTTCACCGAATATCTCGATGGGAAGGGTATATGGAATGCGTTCTTCGTCCATGATGGGTTCGGGTATACTTTCTGGATCCATCATGGCCGTGTTGCTGGTGGTATGTGCAGGGGGTATATAATGGTTGCTTGAGTTTGCCTCTTCAGCAATCACTGTATCTTCGGTAGCATTGGGATGCGATACCTGGTCAAATTCAAAAGGCTGTGCTAAAGCCGATGGTGGCTCAAGCATCACCTTTTGGTCGTCTTGGTCGCCCATGGCATCTGCCACCTCCGCCTCCAATGGCACAACACGACCGTCCTCGATATAAATGTGCGCATGCTTCAACATGGTGTCTGCTGCCTGTTTAATCTCCTTGATATCGTCCTTGATCTTTTCGGCTTCATCGTAGTCTTTGGTCTCCACGGCATGTCGTTTGCCGATCTCTAGATCTGATAATATTTTGGCGAATCGCTCCAGCTTATCGCCAAGGTATTTGTATGTCTTTGCGACTTGATACGATTCGCCTAGGCAATGCCATTAGCTTACAACAGCACTGCTTGTCAAATGGCAATGACATACCTCTGACAGCTTCTTCTTCGGCATGGAGCAATGCAACCGTCCATTGCTGCAATTCCATTTCGGCCACGCTGGATGTGGGTAATCGATTGACTTGGCTTTGGGTACTGGATACACTGGTACGTCGAGTGGATGAACTCAGAATGCTGTTGTCATCAAAGGGGCTCTGCTGAGGCATGCTACTGTTGTTGTTGCTGTTGCTGTTGCAAGATGCCATGATATCATTTTTATCGATTAAATGTGATGGTTGCCCTAATATGTTTAGAGCAAGAATGCCAACCTAATGTTTAACATGTGTGTGTGTGTGTCAGCCTTGTCCTTGCCAAAAAGCTATTGGGTGGGCTGCTAAAACAAGCACGCACACACATACCTGGTTATAGGTGTTTAAGCGATTGCGATGACAGTTCCTGATCACCAATCTCACATATTCTCCGTCTGCGTTGATCTTGATAGATTTGAGTTCCCGAGCTCGAAATTGAGCGCGTGCGTTATTATCAAAACAAACATAACTAAACATGTCTTTCTGATCAGTCAACAATGATGGCGTAGCAGCTCATGGATTAGTGAAAAGACTCACCCTAATCTTGTAAACTCAATCAGCATGTTATCTTCATCTTGGCTGGGCGGTGTATCAGGTGCAATGTCCTCCAGTACATCTTGAGGGTCTTTCAAGATGCCAATATACACATCAATTCGAGTCGCAATTTTAAAGTGATGTGATAGTATCTGCACTTTGGATATACGGCTTGCTCCACTCAGCAAATGAATGATCAAGTCTTGAGGGTACTCAGGGCATCTACCATCTGATGATCAGTACGGTTCGTAAGCTTGAGAGAAGAAACTCACTTGGGTGTCTGCCATCCTTTGCATTTTATCTGTTGTGCTTCCACTTGTTGATTTCCAGGACTACTTTTGACCAGCTGTTCAGGATTGTAATCATCATCCCATGAGGAGCAATGAACCACTTCATATGGCAGCGAGTTGTTTCCCATTTTGTTCCCTTTTACAGTGTAGAAATATGAAAAGAAAGTAAACAAAAAGAGAGAAAGAGAGATGGTCACCCTCATTCTCTACACTTTTTTTTTAAAAATAGGATGTTGTACTCGTGGCTCTGCATGAAATAGTATATTACCATAGTTTGAGCTCTGTTTCCCCTTAGTTATTTCCCCCTTGAAAATAGGTTTCACACACTGATTCAATTTATACAATCAACACGTTCATGTCAAATAAATGATGCTGCTATTCAAATAAAAAAAGGAGACAGAAGAGAGAAGCGAAAAAGAAGGTAGCCCTTCTTTTTCATTTGCTTGGTATCACTTTTTGCTAGTGCTGTGTTACTAGAGTTGCAATATATAAAAATCTTTTAGCTCTTCTCCCCTTCTTTATCTTCTTTATTCATTCGGCCTACTGCTCATTTCACCAATGAATCACAACACAACACCACCATCCAACATGAAGAGATCCAAGAAACCAATGCCGCTATTTGGTTTATTCCGTAAAAACAAACCTGATCCAATTGTTCCTCATCAGCAGCAGCAACAATCTCCTTTGGGATCTGGTATCTCATCTGTGCCTTTTAATTCCATGCTATCGCCTACCTACTACCATCAGCAGCAAGCAGATCCTTACTCTCCACCTAGAATACCAAAGCCATCTGTATCGGATTCTCGCAAACCTACTAGACAGCAACCACCACAGCCGCCTCAACAGCAGCCACAGCAACCACAGCAACAAAGACAACGAACAAGACAAAGATCCAAATCTGTGGGCAGAGATCCATCCACCATGGTGCTGGAAGGAAGAGAATTAGCACTGAATAAACTATGTAAAAGGGAACCATCATCATCGCTGGCCGATTCACTTCCTCTTTTATCACCCACTTACAAGACAACTGCACCACCCGTACCTCCTATCCCATTAAAACATCAGCCCAGCAGCCATAGTATGCGTAAATTCAGCTCTGCCCATGACTTGAGAAAAGCAGCTAAATTACAACAAGAATCAATGAACCAACAGGTTCCATTACCCATCAAGCATGAACAACTCTCTCGTTCTAGATCTCTCTCTGCATCGCCACGTAAATTACATACGAGCAAATCGCATCAAAATTTGGTCAAATCACCTACTACACCCACTTGGACAAGAAGCTATAAAAAATCATTCAAACCACCTGCTGCGTTGGATTCAGGTGATGATGACGACGACAATGTGCCCTTGGGCTATTTGCAATCACCTACAAGCAAACCATCCAGTTTGCTCAGCGATCAAGAAGAAGACGATGATAAAGATCTGGTTCCCATTGCCGTATTGGATATAAAACCAACCGAAGAATTTCAAACAGCAGCAGACAAATACAAGTTAAAGGTCAAAGAAAGATTGCAGTTTGATGACCACTCAAGTGGCCAAGAAGAAGAAGAAGACGACGATGATGATATCCCCATTTCTTTAGCTTTAATGTCTCCAAAATGGAAAAAGAAGGAAATAAAGCGATTTTAAGTCATCTGTAAATATGGAGACAATGAACCGGGATTCTGGAACCTCTTTTTTTTTTTTTTTTTTTTTTTTTTTTTTTTTTTTTTTTTTTTTTTACTCTTATTGCCAATACATGCTCCGTTTTATTTAAAAGTGTGGTTCTCTTGGCTTGTTTCGTTCTATAATATGCTCATCATTTGCCTGCGTCGACTTGGAGGGATTGCTTTCTATTGCAATGCCAAACCACAAAACATGAGAGATTTATAAATAAATGTCAAAAAGAATATCAAGAAAAAAAAATAATGAATCCCCAATAAACGCTCGTTGCCATGTACATGCAGGCACACACACACACACACATCTTTTTTTTTTTGACATATCCGTTCTCTTCCAAGACGGTCCCGATTTTGGCTTTGTGAGACATTAATTTCATATCATTTAATAAATTTGTGTAGGATGGTGATCCTTTCAACATTGAACCCAGTACCTCTTCATTATCGGCCCAATGGGTGATGATTGCATGATTTGGGTTCGACTACCTGCCACATCTTATGCTTATAGCATTGATCGTAGCACTTGAGATTCGTCCAATGCTGTATAATTGAGACTATATGCTGCTTTGGTGTACTCTTTGATTTCCCTTGGTCTGTCTTATGGAGGTAATTACGTTTGTATTATTGCTGATTTATTCTTTGCTTCAGCATCTTGGTATGATGGTTGGGCCCATGTTGGATCTCGCCTATACTTTATGAGGACAATCCTCGACGTAGAGCCAACGTCTATTTCGGAGCTATAGATGCGCTAGGAAGCATTTGATGAAGCTTTTGGGAGTATCATTATAACCTCCAGTATGATTTAGCAAACGTCATTTTTAATCAACATGAAAGTAACTTGATTCGTGGCTCGGGGCTATCTTCAAAGAAGTTGCTAAGGTGCGAAAATCTCCAGATTCAAAATGAATGAGTGATTCTGAGGAGCAATGACAAAAGGAACATGGTCCTAGTCACCGTCGAGTCTAAATGTTCAAAGATAAGCAGGATACTAGTTATGAATATGCTTGATACCGTAAGGTTTATTGCTATTGAGATTTAGCAAGTATCGCAGCACATTGAAAAGTAAATGAAATACCAACATTGCTACTTCACAGCTAGTTTTTCCTGGATACTAAATGAATCATAAACAGGGCAAATAACTCCATAACTTTTGACATGCGATATTTCAAATTCTATTGTCGATGAATGATGCTGAGGAGTAACTCTGATGGTGAATGGGTGAAGCATTTCGGCAAACATAAAGCCACAGGTCCAAATGCGGTGATGATACGCTTGGTCTTTATGTCTAGTTATAATACAAAGTTCTGATTGTTCAATTAGTTTCTATTCAATAGCTTGTTTAGATCCGCGATCTTACCCAACCGCAAAGTTTGCACATTAAAGTCTCTCTGATAGAAAGCGTAAGCGGAACCATTCGGATCTAAAGTATGGCCCTTTTCCAGGATAACAAACTCGTTTGGTCTCCCCTCAAAGTCGCCTTGCTTGAGTGAATTGGAGTGATAATTATACAAACCAAATCTTTCGTCAACGCCACCCATCCGCAAGCTGGAAAACCTTAGTAGATAGCCTGAACTCGATACTTGTGAATAAGACCCCTTCCCAAAGATTTGTTGCAAACCAGTACACCAGTTCCCCAGTGATCCACAAGCCAACACTGCTTCTTTGCCATAGAACACAGCGGCTCTTCTGCTATGTGCTTTCAAACAGCTCTGCATTGTCTTTTTAAAGGTATCATTGTGATCTTGGATAATCATTTCTCTAGATTCATCCATGATGATCAACGCAGACAGAGTGTAAAGGCCAAAAAAGCTGTTTGATGCGAGCGACGATGCAATGATGGTGGCAATGTGGCTAATGGCTGGTTGTAGCCCTATGTTCATTAGAGCGCGGAAGGATATCTGGAAAGAACAAGCACATTCCTTGCTAGTAGGGATGGCGTGATAGACGTCGAATTCTCTAGTATATTTAGCCTGTCTTTTCTGTAGCTGCAGTGATTTCCATATTAGCTTGATAATGGTGTTTGATAGAAAAAACATACCAGCTCATCAGTCATCTTCTGTATCGAACACTTGAAGAAACGATAGTTTGCTGCAGAATACTCCCCTGCCGAATGTGTGTCGCAGCGATCATGTCGAGTAATCTCTCCCTGGCATTCAGGCATCATTAGATGGTTCCACATATTGTCACAGACTGAGCCAAAGATGCCTTCTAGCTTCACAGACATCTCTTTTACGGTAAAGGTCGACTTTTGTATAGTGTCATTGGCAGAAGAAACGGCAATAACCTTATTCAGAATGAAACGAATATGATTGTTATTGATAGAGGCTTGGGCATAAAACGAGTTTGGTGGCAGCAAGTCGTCTTCGCCGCTGCTGTAGCTCACCAATTCGACTTGTTCGCAGCTTTCTCCGTTCCAAACAGTGGGCGGCAACAGTGCATTGGCAATCTGGATCATTTTGATTGGTTTTTGCATGGCACTAAAGCAGGTATCTTGCCCTTGAGTGCCACCGATGAAATCAGCTTGAGCATCCACAAAGTTTGCATCAAGCAGAGCAATTTGAAATATCTCCCTGTAAAAGATACTGGTTTCAAGATGACAATGTAGAATGACATCTTGGATTCCGTCAGGAGAGCTTTGAAAATTGCTGTATTTGTTATGTATGCCTTTTACTTCACAAACCAGTTGATCGATAAACTCCTTGACGCTCGCATCAGTCAGTAAACCATTCATGAAGGTCCCACAAGTTAATCCCCTGAGAATTTCTTTGGATCCTTCCAAGCCATACAATGATGTATGTAAAGGTTTGCTCCTGTCCTAATCACACGACGTAATATATAATTGGAGCTACTCAGAGCAATCAAATACTTACTGCACTAAATATTTCGTAAAGTCTATTGACAATTTCTTCAATGATTTGGCGCAAACTGATTACAGAAAACAGTGGTTGAGTTGTTGCATTCATATTGTGTCGCTCTTTCTGCGTTGTTTTCTTGTTGCCATTCTTGAACCTGAAGATGCTCCTCTTGTAATAGCGTTTCCCTCGTATAATACTCAAAATGTGCTTGATAATGATCTCCTTCACGCTATTATATACCGATTTATCCAACGCCGTGAGGTCCATCGATACAGCATCGCCTAAATCTGTGGGGACAAGTAAGAAATCGCTTGCCGCTAGCTTTTTCGAGACTGCAATCAGTTCTTTTGCGCTTTGCATTTGGGCGCTTGATAAATGAATGGCAACTTTGTCTATGCTCAAAAGCAAGTACTTCTTTTCTCTTCCTAAATTCATATCCTTGTGCGCAACAAGATATTGAAAGAGGCTCTCTATAAAAGAAGAGAAGATCAACCGATTTTTGGGATCATCTTGGGTGATCCATTTTGCCTCTATAAACAAGGTACGTAGTCCATCCATATATTTGCTGCAAGCCCATCCAAGCGGTAAGCAAAAGAGAAACTGGCACCCATCAAACATGGTCATCTCGTCGAGAAGTAGATCCCGTCTGAACTGTTCTGCACACCGCCGTATTATCAAAATTGAATGTTTTTCCTCGTCAGTCTGTTGATACTGCTCCTTTGTTGAAGCTTCAAGGTACTCTTTTAACAGTGATTGTAAGGATCTGCCTTGCACAGTTCCACCCGATATCTACAGTCTACAATCAAAACTTGATGAAATGCCACCTAAATATATATTCCTTACAACTGCCAGTGGTTCCATATCAACTGCTCGGTTGGAACTTTTTTGAATGACTAGCTGTTCATTTTCGTCAAAAGCTTGTAATCAAGATTACGATATAACAAACAGATGAGAAAGAGTATGTGATGCTATCTATTGCTTAGCTTACCTATACAAACCACTTGCTCGTACTTGCTGTAGGTAAGCAAGTCGTCCATTATAACAGAATGAGAGAAAAGAAACTCTCGAGTTGTATTTCACACAAAGTATATGGCTCAGGAACGGCACATTTGGGCTGAGCGGATCAAGTAAACAAAATCGGATGGTGTCATTTTTGGAGCATCCCTATGGTGTGCAGAGTAACGGAATAGAAACTGCATGATTTATAGGCTTAGACACTTGTTTGTAAGACGTTGAGTTACATCCAAATAGCACATACAAATTTTAATGTATGCTTGTTGATATGAAGATCGCAATAATTGGTAGCAAACAGAGACAGAGTATATGACAATGTCCATACTTGACCTGATCAATTTTTTTTATTATAGGGCATATACTTGCTTTATTTAAAGTCCTCTAACGTGCACCTATCTAGAGAGAGAGGATAAAAAAAAACTGAGAAATATTTACAGGCAAGCGAATTAAGGGAGTTGATCCAAGTTTTCTTGGGAATGTAAAGTGTCTGAAGAGTTATGCAACGAAGGTAGTAGAAGAGAAGGTAGGAAAGGTTTGGCTTGGAATACGAATTGGTAGTGATAATACCAGACAGTTTGTAATATACAAGCAAAAACCTGGTAGACGGAGAGATCAGGGTAGATTGGATGGTGTTGGCGAGAAGGATGATGGTAAAAAAAGTAGGAATTTCCTGAAGTTGGCATAAGAGTTATACTTAAGCTGATCAGCAATCTCTACTTGATCAGGATTGTCATTTTTGGAAACCTTTCGAATCAAAGTGGTCTAGCAAAAACTCTCATTTTTCCCTTGAAAGATTCGATTTTGTCAGAAGCTAGACAAGTCATTACAATTTATCTTCTTATTTTATGCTAACGTTTCACTTTTAGACTTATCACTATTACGTGAGGAATCTCCATAACTGTTGATCTGGTTCATCTACAATGCTCCACCATGTCTGTATCAAAAAAAAAAAAAAAATCCATATGCGAGTAGATAGCATAATAGCATTAACTCTTACCACCCAAAAGTATGCAAATTACAGCGAAATTTGGGTACATTTGAACTGTGTTTTCTCGTGTTGGAAGCCACTTAAAGAAGCCAACATAGTACCAAACAGTTGCTCTGATCGGGTACTTGATTTCTGACACCTTTGCTCAACTTTTCAGGGACTAAAAAATCATGGCCAGAAATCGACCAAAAGCCATGAGCAAACATGTCAAGAAGTTACTGCTACTCGAGTACAATTCTTTGGTGTCATTCCGGCGGCTCAGAAAGGTCTACATGCCAAGCTATGAAGACTTGAAAGCTGTCAAATCTGGTTGTGTTTTATATATTTGCTTGTCAATAGGCGTGGCCTTGTTACGATACAAAGGCGTAAGACATTGTATGCATTAAATTAAATTCAGATCATGCTGTTACAATTAAGTATTCAGATAAAATATTAGACTCAGTGGCACTGCTGTATTGTTTTATCATAGCATAATGATACAGCTTGTTAGCGAGGCGATGACGGCTGTAAGGCACGCTGGTCATTTTAGACACAATAAATAGTCTGCATCGAATACACGATATATTAAAGATTGAATACATGTTGTATGCAACAGCAGAGCATTTTATCAACAATGCTAGATCTCAATATTCACATTTCATCGCCTGTAGGGTTTGCAGACTGACGCTGCGTTCATGATGCTCACCCGTTGGCCAGTGGGGTCACTTTGACAGGTGGTGCAATCCGTGGCTGTCTTGCCTTCAGGATTTGCATTAAACAACTTTTCCTAAGACAAGCCACAAAATTACATGATTTAATATTTTTGACGGACCCTCCTTTTTCAAACTTTCTTTTTATTCTTGTATCTTTAAAGATGGTTGCCAAGAAGCCAGTATCCAAGAAGCCAGTGGCCAAGAAGCCCATTGCCAACAAGAAGAGTGCTGGAAAATTCACCAAGAAATCTCAACCAAAAGAGGAAGATGCACCCGAGAAAGAGCTTTCAAAGTCTAAATTGAAGAAGCAAGAGTTCCAGCGAAAGAAATACAACAAGGACAAGAAGAAGAAGAAGAGCGAGGCAGAAGACGATGATTCAGATTTCGAGATTGTACCTACTACCAGCACCAAGAGTATCATGGATAGCGATAGCGATGACAACAACATGAACGACGACGATGACGATGAGGGCGATTCTGATCTCGAGTTGGACATGTTTGGCAAGTTCAAGGCCAAGAAGCCTGCTACTGTAGCCGTTGCAGCACCTGCTGCTTCCGTCAAGAAGCAAAAGCCAATTACCATGAACGACAGCGATGATGAGGGACAAGACGAAAAGTTCATTGCTTCAGAGACATTGGCAGCAAACCGCAAAAACAAGAAATCAGGTGGTTTCCAGTCAATGGGTTTGAGCAATCCCGTTTTCAAGGCCATTATTCACAAAGGCTTCAAGGTACCAACACCCGTTCAACGTAAATGTATCCCACTTATTCTGCAAGGAGACGATGTAGTTGGTATGGCCCGTACTGGTTCCGGTAAAACCGCTGCCTTCTTGATCCCCATGTTGGAAAGACTCAAGGCTCACTCTGCCAAGACGGGTGCTCGTGGTTTGGTTTTGTCTCCTTCCCGTGAATTGGCATTGCAAACACAAAAAGTGTGCAAGGAATTGATGAAGTACACTGATCTTCGTAGTGGATGCATTGTCGGTGGTGACAGTTTGGATGAACAGTTTGAAATGATCGCCTCGAATCCCGATATCTTGATCGCTACACCTGGTCGTCTTTTGCATTTAGCTGTCGAAATGAACCTGGACCTGCGCACTATTGAATACGTCGTTTTTGATGAAGCCGATCGTCTGTTCGAAATGGGTTTTGCTGTCCAATTGCATGAAATCCTGTCTCGTTTACCTCCCAGCCGTCAAACTTTGCTGTTCTCTGCTACTCTGCCCAAGATGCTTGTTGATTTTGCAAAGGCTGGTCTGCAAGAACCTACCTTGATCCGTTTGGATGTAGACACCAAGATTTCTCGGGACCTCGAAATGGCCTTCTTTTCTGTCAAGGACAACGAAAAGGAAGGTGCCTTATTGTATTTGCTCAAGAATGTCATCAAATTACCCAAACACACACAAAATGAGGATCAAACAGATATCAAAAAGTACAAGAAGAAGAAGGCCGACAAAAAGGAGAAATCTGGTACCGAGGCAGATCACCAAACTATCTTGTTTGCAGCCACCAAACACCATGTCGAGTATTTAGCAACATTATTAGAAACTGCTGGATACCAAGTGTCATATGTGTATGGTTCTCTCGATCAAACAGCTCGTAATATTCAAATCAACCGATTCAGAAACGGCGTTACCAACATCATGGTCGTTACTGATGTGGCTGCTCGTGGTATTGATATTCCCATCTTGGAGAACGTCATCAACTATGATTTCTCGGGCTCATCCAAGGTCTTTGTGCATCGTGTGGGTCGTGCTGCTCGTGCTGGTCGTCGTGGTTGGGCATACTCTCTTGTGTCTTCGGACGAACTCCCCTATTTGATTGATCTCCAACTCTTTTTGACTCGTCCTCTTGTGCTTGGTGGTGAAAAGGAAGAGTACGATTACACATCCGAGTTGGTATTGGGTGCCATGCCAAAGGACTCGCTGATTGATGATAAGGCTTGGGCCGACGACAAGATTTCAAAGGATGCTGCATTGGAAGGTATCTACAGAACCGCCATGAATGCTTACAAACTATACAACCGTACAAAGCCTCGTGCTGCTGCAGAGAGTTATGGTCGTGCTAAGGAAGTCATCAAGAAAAAAGCATTCATCAACTTGCATCCTCTGCTACTCAATGAAGAAAATCAAAGCGCTGCAGAGATTGAGCGTGCCAACATGATCAATGCTATTAGCGGATTCAGACCTGCGGAGACCATCTTTGAATTTGGTGTACGTGGTACTAGAAAATTGACACCTGCCACTATGATGATGCGTGGCCGTCGTCAAGTGGTTGATAAAATCATCACAAACCACAAAGCCAAGAAGGAAGCCGAGTCTGCTGTTTTGGATAAACCATTGGATATTCGTGACGAAAAGAAGGTCGTTGAAAAATTGGGTGGTGATGTTGAAGAGGAGGAATTAGCACAAGCATTTAATATACCAGAATCTAAAGAAGGTAAGAGCGACTTGGCTTTAATGAGTAGATGATGAAGACTCATTCATAATATGCTACAGATAAAAAGAAAAAGACTAGTTTCCGTGATGAAGAGTTCTACATTTCTTACACTCAAAAGGACGCCAACACAGAACGTGGTTACTCAATGAACAATGAAGGCAGTTTCATGGAACAAGCCAGTAAAGCACAACTCGATCTGACAGGTGATGACAATGATGCTATCAAAAAGAGTCAAAATATGCTTCGTTGGGATTCCAAGAAGAGAAAGTTCATCAAGGGTACGGGTATTGGTTCCGACAACAAAAAGCTGATTCGTACAGAAAGTGGTGCATTGATTTCTGCCTCCTACAAGAGTGGACGATTTGATGAATGGGCCAAGAAGAAGCATATCACATTGCCTCGTGCTGGTGAACGTGAGTTGGTCGGTGCAGGTAACATGGGTCAAAAGCGTTTCCGTCACAACAAATCCGAAGAAGCCAAACGTGTTGATCCTCTTGCCTTTGATTACGAAAAGAAGATGAAGAAGAGAAAGCTGAACGAGTCTGGAGGCATTGTGGAGCAAGGCGGTATGGGCAAGAAGCGTGTAGGTGAATTCGGCAGTACCAAGAGTGAATTGAAGAACGCTAGTCAGATTCGTAAGGATCGTGTGGCTCTTGAAAAGAGAAGAGAGAAATCAAATAGACCCTCATCGTCTGGTGGCCGTGGTGGCCGTGGTGGAGGTCGTGGTGGCGGCCGTGGTGGAAGTAGAGGAGGAAGTCGAGGTGGACGTGGTCGTGGTCGCTAAACAATTATAGACATTTCATAGCATTTTTTATAAATAAAATCAATGAACCTTTTTGTAGCATATACACTCATGCAATGGATATCTCTCATACTCATTTTATTACAGCTGACTCTTTACACGTGATACATTGCAAGTCCGGGAAATGATGTGTGTGTGTGTGTGTGTGTGTGTGTGTGTTGGGCTACTAGTAGAATGGGTTTTCGTAACTATTTACGTGCCATGATAAAGGATTTTTCTTTTCTTTTTTCTTCTTCTTTTTCCTCTATTCCTTTATTTTTAAATAATTTATACACAACATGTCTTGGCAAGCTTATGTAGATACCAACCTCCTCGGTACTGGCAATGTTTCTCAAGCCGCTATCTATGGTTTGAACGGTGGTGAATGGGCCAAGTCTGCTGGTTTCCAGGTAATGTATTACTGTGTTGAAAGAGGGTCGCCCGAGACTTATACTGTTCCCTTGTGCTCAGTTGCAACCTTCCGAAGTCCAAGAAATCATTGGTGCTTTCTCTAACGCTGATCAAGTTCGTGCTAACGGTATTCACGTCAACGGCGTCAAGTACCTTCTTTTGAGAGCTGATGAGCGTTCTCTTTACGGCAAGAAGGTAAAAAAAAAAAAAAAAAAAAAATCTATAGGAAAAGCGCTATACCAGGTTTGAGACAAAGGTATTCATCTTTTGTTATTGCTGTAGAACTCTGATGGTGTTTGTATCGTCAAGACCAACCAAGCTTTCTTGGTTGGTGTCTATAAGGAGGGTATTCAACCTGGTAACTGCACCAAGGTTGTCGAAGGTTTGGCCGATTATTTGATTTCCGTCAGTTATGTAAGTGTTTGTTTCATCATTACCAGAGAAGTAGGCTGACATGTTTATTCTCGATAGTAAAAATTGACCAGGAGAACTTCAAAGCCGACATAATCAAATGTATTTACCCTCTCTCTCTCCCTCTCTTTTTATCTCACACACCATTTTTTAATGAAATAAAACAAATGTATACACCCGTTAAACTCTGTTAGATGTTGTAAGGGTGGGTTGAGTGAACTCTATATAGTGTCGCGTCGTTGCTTGTCATCAAAACAGCCACCCCACTCATCTAAAAATATACTTTATATTTCTCGGTCATTCCGAAGCCTTCTTTTCGTTTCTTCTCGAGTGAGTAGGCTGCAATGGGCTAAGAAACTCGTTAAAATGTAATTGCTGAATTTCATTTTATAGTGGCAAATCAGAAATGAATCGATAACATGGAAATGAAATGACGACGATGGCTGATGAAATATATCAAAGCATATCTACTGCTCTAATGCTTCCACGGGCGTTTTATAGCAACAGAAAGTAAGAATTGTGATACCCGATCATGCAAGGCTTGTCATGGTATACAACATGCGGCTTGTTGAATGTTGATTAAGAATAAAATCACGTTACCTTTAAAGTAACCCTCTTCATTTTCGTGTTTGAGAAACTCGTAAAGCTGATTAACTATATCAGCATGTTGACTTCATAATGTGTTTAAGTTTCTGTACTGAGGATGCGAAGAATTATTAACAATAGAAACAGAGTGTGAATATCTCTTCGCTATCTACTTGACATCTCAAGATGCTTAAATAGCACAAGCTGTAAAGGCACAATCAAACGGGGTGTCTGTAGATAAATTACTCAATGTTTGATTGGTCAGAATATATTACCTTTTGATTGGTCGTATTTTATTGTCTTCTGATTGGATAAACTTCGGCATTGGTATACGGTATGCAATTCTTTGGTTCCTGTCGTTCATGTTGCCCTGGAAACTCTATATTCACTAATTTCGCTATAGATATAATAGAATATACACAAAAAAAAGCACGTGGGATTAGAATTTACCTGCAGATTGCTTCTAAATAAGACAAGTTTCACTCTATGGAGACGCATGGGAAACATTTGATACTGAGGAGATTGTGGAGAATGCAAACACACATCATTAAGAGGATTGGTATTGAGATGTATCGTCCATTCTTTTGTCGATAACTGGCATTCAGACAATTTGTATTTCCATGATATAGATATATATATATATATATACATCGATGCATGGAGTTGATATTTGAATATAGTCTTTAAGCGGTTCGATTTCATGTTGATTCGTTTCTCCATATACATTAGTAATTAGCATGAAATACTTTGCCGTTCTAATCCTGGTCTCTGCCATCTTCTTTACCCAAGCGAACGCTCAGGGTAGTACCTCTGGCTCTGAAGAAAAGCACAAGGAAGCTCTTGACACGGGTATGGTTGGCATTTATGTTTCTACCTGTGAATCCAATGGCAGCTACACCAAATTGCAATGCGTTAGGTCTACCGGTGCTTGTCTCTGTGCCGATGATCCTACGTCTGGCAGTTTTATTCGACCTGCCGAAAGCGCTGATGATTGTTAAATCACACACTATTGAACAAAATTCATATGGATGCGAAAGCAGCTTTTATTTGCTGTTTGTGAAAATCAAAGTATTGGATTAGTCTTGTGTATGCCTTATTTTAAGAATAAATGGTGTTTCTTTAGAAGGAAGTATGTAATTCAGCCAGATCGAATATCTAAAATGTTGTTGTTGTTGTTGGCATATTGATATAGGTCGCTCGCTACACTCAATATGCAATCATCATTGAATTGAATTGAATTATCGCAGTATATTACATTTATTATCTGAATCTTTTTGATAGAAGAGAAGGGGGAAAAAAAAAACAAGGGAGAGGGAGAGGGAGAAAAGTTACTAAAATGTGTATGTGAAGCTATATGATTATTTTGTCAATTTACGTCTCTTGACAACGCGATCAGCCTCTTGATGAATTTCAGCTACACGACCAGCCAAGGACATGTACATTTTACTTTGATGACCCAATATGGCACCAATGTGTTGAGGAGAGAATTGCAGATTTGGTTGGTAACTATCGACTGCTTGCTCAACGGTAGATACGGTTTCTGACAACTGGTTCATTCTTTCTTCCATGTTGATGATAGCATGTTTGAAGAAATTCAAATTCTCACTAGCACCACGCATACGCCAGTTTCTAGAGTCTTGTTGCAGAACATTACTTGCAGCAGCAGCATTCAGGCGTTGTTCCTTGTTCAAAAGAATGAGATCATCGATAGCCTTGCTTTGAACCTCTAATTTCTCGCCCAAAATGAGAGCATCCTGCTCCAGTGTATTAGATTGATGTCATGTGAATCAAATATGTGTGGAGACGTACCTCGTTCACGGTGATAGCACTGGCGTGCACTTCCTTTAATGCTGATCCAAAGTAAGAACCAAGCTCTTGATCAATCTTTTCTTTTTTATCAGTTTGTTCAGTGATGAAATGAGCAAGCTGAGCCAACTCATTTCTAGCTTCATCAGGGAGTTCCCAGAATCGAGTCTTGTAGGTAATTTGATTGACTTCAGTGATGCTAGATTTCAGTGTGGTTTGTAAAGCAACACCAGAACTACGGTAAAAGATGAGTTGCTTGGTTCTTTTTCCGCCATCCTCATTCAGCTTTGCAACTTACCTAGAGGTATCCTTTTCAGCACTTGAAAGTAAATTGAGAGTCGAAGGTTCAGTGACATCCTCTGTGCCCTTAACCTTACTAAAAGCAAGCGATGCGGATGCTGGTTCAGATGGTTTAGTAGCTGTGGGGAAGGATGAGCCAAAGGAAGAGGCTGAAGATAAGGAGGCATCTGAAAGATTGAAGCTGACTTTCTTGGTAGTGCTTGGTCCTGAAGATGCACTAGCGCTCTTTTCACCTTCACCTTCTTTACCGCCAGCTTCGTTTGTCATAAAAAATGTAAGGTTAAATAATGGACATTTGCTATAAACCTTTGTTACAATACCTTTGGATGTATCGGGTGTCTTTGAGGTAGCGGTTGTGGTATCTTTTGTCTTGTCAGCAGCGGTGGCAGCAGTAGATTTGCTACTACCAAATGGCGAGGGTGTAGCAGTACCAGCGGCAGGAGTGGCTCCAAATGAAATGAGTGGTGTCTTACTGCTATTATTGGCGTCTGTAGTAGATTTGTCCTTTGATGTACTGTCAGCGGTTGTTTCTGATTCAGGTGGTGCGCCAAAGTTAAATGTCTTCTTCAAAGTAGAGGCAGAAGTAGGGGAGTCGAATGAGAAGGATTTCTTTTCGGTACTCTCTTTGCTACTGGAAGCAGAGCCAGATGTAGAAGTGGTAGTAGTCGTAGTAGTAGTAGCAGCAGCAGCTGGTGTAGCACCAAAAGTAAAGATGCCGCTACTGTCCTTCTTTTCAGTTGCAGCGGGTGTAGCGCCAAATTTAAAGGTAGGGACAACAGTAGGTTCTTTGGAACCTTCGGTATCAGACTTCTTGACAGGAGTTGGACCAAACGTAAAGGGCGACGCATCCTTGCTTCCAGGCATACTGAATGAAAATGGAGATGACGTTGCAGCATCAGCTTTAGATTTGACTGAAAAGCTCTTTTTGTGTGATTGTTGCTCATCTTGGTCATTTTCATCTTCTGAATCTCTATCTCTCTTCTTGCGAGAAGCACTAGATGAAGAAGTAGTAGTAGTAGCAGCAGAGGGTACATTGAAACTGAATGTGGGTGCAGGTGCTGCTGGCTTGTCAGTGGATGTGGTTGCAGGACTATTGAAAGAGAATGGCTTGGGCGTTGCTTGTTTATCAGATGGTGTGCTCGTGGCAAATGAGAATGGTTTAGCAGGTGCAGGCTTATCAGAAGAAGTTGTGGAAGCAGGAGGCAAATTGAAACCAGCAAATGGCGAGGGCTTGTCGGTAGTCTTTGCTGGTTGATTGAATGAAAATGATGGAGCAGAGGTGGCAGGCTTATCAGTGGTTGATTTTGTGAATGGCTTACCGCCAAATGAGAAGGCTGGTTTCTTGTCCTCCTTCTCAGTGGTATCTTCATCATTATCTTCTATCACGACAGTATCCGATGTCTTATCTCCAGCAGGCTTGCCAAAGAAAGAAGAAGGCCCAGGGGGAATCGAGAATCCTTCAGATGATGTACTTGCACTCTTATTAAATCCGCCGAATGTAGGCTTGCCGGTCTCTGAGGTCGTCTTGCCTGTCGTTGTAGACTTGTCTGCTTCCTTGGTTGTCGTAGTAACTGTAGCAAAAGGTGACGGGGATGCTGCAGCGACTGCTTGAGTACTGGTGTCCGAGGCGGTAGATGTAGCACTCAGTTCACGTTGCTGACCAAATAATAGGCTCGTGCGAGGAGCAGCTTGCTTTTCAGTGGCATTTCTATCCTCCTCCTTTTTCGTTTCTTCAGCTGCTGGTGTGGTGGTAGAAGTGGTTTCCTTCTCAGTAGAAATTGAGTTGGTAGCGCTCTCAAATGTGCTGATGGTGGGAGCAGGGCTAGCGGCATTTGCAATGACAGAGGATGGACTACTGACTTCAGAGGCTGATTTCAGGCCTGCAAATGTAGGTGGGACGTCAGTCTTTTTGAGGGTGGAGAAAGTGCTGGATTCGTCACCCTTTTTCTCGGTAGATGTAGATGTAAAAGATCCAAATGACATGGTGGGTGGTTTTTCTGCTGCAGCAGTGGTACTTGATTTATTGCCCTCAGTTGATTCTTTAGCAGGTGTGGTGAAGGAGAATTTAGGTGCGGGAACAATCTCTGTTGGCTTGCTGTCATCTTTTTCATTGTCACTGCCTTCAGGAGAATGAATCTCTGTAATTTTAGCTGAAGGAATAGGGTTGCCAAAGCCAGCAAAGGGTGAAGGCGTGGTTTTTGAGGGCATACCTAAGCCAGCAAAGGGAGAGGGAGCAGATGTAGTAGCGGGTTTTCCCTCCTCTGCTGCTGTTGTAGCCTTGATTGTACCGAAGGACATGGTGGATGTGGTAGGTGCCGTGTTGGATGGTGCGCCAAAACTAAAAGCAGCAGTGGTAGGTTTGTTCTTGTCAGCAGTATCTTTAGGTGCAGCAAAACTGAAAGGCGAAGACAATGTTGTTGTGGTAGGCGCTTCCAATGGCTTAGAAGTTGCGGCACTGGGTGTTGTTGATGGTTTACCAAATGAGAATCCTGCAAAGGGTGTTGCTGGAGCAGGAACTGAAGTGGCAGGTTTGCTAGATCCAAAACCACCAGACGAAGATGCTGCCGCTGCTGCTGATGTAGCGGGTGGCTGTTCATCAGAATCCATACTGGCATCATTATCATCCATGGTCTTTGCTGTTTCTTGAAGTTGAGCTGGTTTGCCTGTCCCAATTGTGGCATATGAGCAAACATTTCAATTCAACACACACATTCTCTCTGTTGCTTACCAAATCCACCAAACATACCTCCAGAGGAGCTGCCAAATCCTGATTGAAAACCTCCTGTGCCTCCACTAGCTGAAGTAGGTATATTAGATGCACCTCCAAAGGGGCTACTGTTGGTATTCATTCCAAATCCACCACCAAATGTAGGTGCAGTCGTTGTAGTCGATGTAGATGCTGGTGTTGAAGAGGGTACTACAGGGCTTCCAAATCCACCGAATCCCATGGAAGAAGTAGGTGCGTTCGTAGCAGAAGAAAGGTTTGTGCTGCCACCAAAGCCCAATGTTGTTGAGGGTTGTTGTTGTTGTTGTTGTTGTTGTTGTGGAAATCCACTGTTAAATCCTAAAGTTGGAGTCGTAGAAGCAGCTGCAGGCGCACCGAATGGACTACCAAAGGAAGGTTGCACTGGAGGTTTAGCACCTGTTAATGAAGCAGCCGAAGAAGGGCTATTGAATCCAAATGGACCCATGGGACTAGTACTTCCAGGAGCACTACCAACGCTTCCAACTGAATTAGTAGAAGTTGTTCTATTCAAGCGACGTCTAGGTTGAGCAATAGGACGGTCTGGGTTGCTGCTAATGTGTTATATTAAACGCGTTTTCCAATCCAATGCTTTGCTGCCCAAATACCTCATTTATAAATCGATCCGTTTCTTTTTGTGATAGTGAGATGAATAAGAAAGAAAAGGAGGGGAGTATCATGTTGAACTAGCACATCCGTCTATAAACTGAAAAAAAAAAAAAAAAAAAAAAATTGCGCACGAAACAGTGACTTTTTCTATACAAACGCGCTTCCCATCACTTGAACCCTGAATATACGGGTTGTTGCATAACACTGTGAAGAGTGATATATGTTTGGTGTTAGATAAAAGCAAAGGTTAATTATAGGGTACTAGACATCTGAAAGAGCCAGAGGTTTGCTCAATCAACAGTAGCTATTTTTTCTAAAAACGAAATACAGATCCATTGAAACTAACAATAATGCGGCTAATGAACATGAGGTCGATAGATAGATCACTTTACTAAGTGGTGGCAAACATTTGCCAACAGTGTCTACCCAAAATGAAAGCGAATTGCCAAAGATAAACTGAATATCCATAAAGTTATTGTATGTACAAGGAGGGCAGGATATTCCAGAGGTTTAAATAAAGCAAAAATGATGATGGAGAAGGGGATAGAGGTGGATGTGGAGAAAGAAAGGCGAAGAAACGCCTTCTTGTTATCTTGTTTGTTCTTTTCGTTATCATTATCATCTTGATCATCTTTATCGTCTTGATCGTCTTGATCAAATTCTTCAATCTTCGAATTTTGAATTTGCTGATCAAAATATGTGAATTTTTTCAAATATGATGATTGAGTGCTTATCTTATTGATTCCAGAGCCCCAAGAGGCACACTCGTCGGCCAATTAGCCTCAAAAGCATCATATTCATGGCGTAATGATAAGTACACCTCTGTGTGTACGATATCATTGAGCGAACTACAACAAGATGCGCTCTCAGTTTCGAAAAAAAAATACATTAAGGAGTTCAAGAAGCTAGAGCAATTGAAATGACATGAGCATCTCTCTCTTTGATCAATGGTTGCTTACACGATGATACTTATAGCAAACGGGTATCAAGCATGGTCTCCTGAGTCTTGTTGTTTTTTGACTAGAAATTTTAACCTGCATACATTAGTAAGGGTCCACATCTCCTACGACCCACTACAATATATGTCCTGTTAGACTCATTTTGTTTACATATATATTGCATTAAATTTTGCTCTAAGCTCTTCTCAAAAGAAAGTGTATATTGGTGATGTAAGCTCACGTTTTGCGATATCATATCGACAGCTCACTGTAGTAATCTAAAACGTGTTACTAATAGCATCTACCATTTTCTAAACCCTTCCATTTTTCAACAACCAAACTACCTACGCACATTTCAATTCCACCATCGTTATCAGGGCAAAAAACCGGTATAAGAGCATGCTTATTTGGTGAGTTAGTCGACATTGGAGATGCTATTTCTAAGCAGAGGAATATGCTAGCTCTAACTTGGAAGAGCTATTATTCTTGAACAAAACAAGCTACAACTGCCTAATCTTAAAAGCAAGATTCTCCAATATGTCAAGTATCTATTGATAACTTGTTCAATTTATTGTGGTTTGGCAAAATTTTTGAGCTATGTCGCTGATTTTACCAAGAACGAAGAGCAGCGGTTTTCACGTTCTATGTTGATGTTAAAGAAGACTTTTTATCCGGAAGATTTTATGCCCATTTTGAGGGGTTGCTAAACATATAAAGAGAGTTTAAATGCAAGCATACTCACAAAGGAATGCCATGCGTAATTTCAAATTTATTAAGCATCTTATTGTTGTGGTTGTTGACGAAGCACATAGTCTAATGTCAAGTTCTCTTCATGGCTCAATTGCGTCTGACAAATCTCGTTAAAGTTGTTGACATTGTGTGTATGACAGTTGCGGAAGAAATCTGCTAAATAGGCCTTCATATCGGTTTGATAAATAGGGTCATTCTTCAAATCTGGATTATCTTCTTCGTCGTCATTGTCTTCAATGTTGCCCAACATTTCTACACGGTGATAGTAGTAGTTAGTAAGTGTGTGTCTGTCTCAAGAGAGTGTGTTGCATTACCAGACAAAAGGTTGATATCGTTGCGAGAAGCAAATGGCTCGTCATCCACATCTTCCCAATCACCACCCTATGGAAATTTGTATTAGCCGCCATTTCTATTGTGTGCATCCATTCATACTTACATCATCTTCAACGGATTCAGCATCTTCAGCAGGCACTTGCTCACTCATGTAGGCATTGGTAGCATCAGATACCAAGAGCTTGATGATTTTAGCGGGCAAAGGAATGGCTGTGTACTGGTCAGGATCTACACATGATTACATCATATGAGTAAATGGCTATACAATATACATAAAATAACCTACTTCTCTTTGCTCTGGAACGAGTGACAATGCCAGCATTAGGATTAACAACAATCTCGCCCTTGACTGTAATACCTTGAAGTCGAGGATCGCTAGAGAGAAAGACCTTTGACAAGGCGATAGCGCTGTATAGATATAGAATGAGTTGGATGACAAGCCATAGTAATGCCTCTTTCAACTTACCTAGCTTTCATTGTATAATAACCCGAGAAACTGTCATAATTCTCACACCATGTAGTCATCAAGATCTCCAAACCACTCTTACCGCTGATATTCGTCTCACTCAAAAACTGGAATACAGTATCTTGTTGAGAGATCACCAAATGAGCAAACACCATGACAAGAGATTGGATGAAAGGTTGGTAATCGGTATTCATCAAACGAGCAAGCACAGCAGTAAGTAGATCAGGCAAGACAGGGGCAATGCCACTACCGACTTTTTGGATCAGAGTAACAATCAAATCACCCACAAACAGAGCATCAGAATCAGTACCAGTGGGTTCAAGCAGCTTGGCAATAAAGTGGATAGCATAATCTAAGCCAGACTTGCCACTTTGATCGCGCCATCTCATGATATGATCCACATCCTTATTGATAAAGGTCTTGAGACATTCTTGAGCACTTTGAAGCAAATCAATGTCAGGTACACTCCATGCTAATTGCATCAAGCTGGGGAACATTTGCTCAGTGAATTCATCGGGTAAAGGAGAAGGACCGTAGGAGATCATGGCAGTCAACAAATCAACGGCAGACTATCATAGTATAGATGTTAGAATATGACGCTAGCACAATACACATACAACTTACAGCATAGACAATGGGATCAGTGCCAGGGGTAGAGAAGACTTGACTGATGAAGGGGAGTGCCTTGCTACAAAGGCTAGGATAATAAAATTTGTTCTTGGCAAACTCGTCAAACAAATCAAGGATATAGCTGGTGATGATGGAATCGTTGGCATACTTTTGCCAGATTTGCAAAATGGCAGGTGTCAAGATTTGCTCGTATTTGGCGGTAACTTCTTGGTTGATCTTGATGGCAGAGGCCAAGGTATCCAGCAGAAGCATCAGGGACTCTTCTGTGGCAGAGGGCAAGAGTTGGCAGGTACCTTCCATGATGTTGACCTGGTAAGGAGTGACGAATTCTGGGGCCAAGTATTTGCAGTAGTTGTCTAAAGCTCTTAAAGCAGAAATTTTGACAGGAATGCCGCTGGTAGGTGCTTGGAGTGCTTGAACAGCAACAGCGACGTACTGACTGGACATGTCGCTAGGCAAGATCTTTGCAAATTCAGAAGCAAAGACAAAAGCACGGCCTTGCAAAAAGGGCAGGTCAGTAGCCTTCATGTCCTCCAAGACAACATGGTCAAACAAGCTCTTGAGATCGAATTGAACGCTCTTGGAATCATCGTTCAGGGCCTCCATCAATTCTTCAGAGAGACGACCTACAGACAGCAAACAAGCTTCTTGGATCTTCCACCAATCCGAGTTGCCGGCTTGACGTGCTTCGTTGGATTCAGTGATATGGCGTTGGATGGCAGCAGACAGGGCGTTAAAGAAGGGCGCAGGGAAAGCATCTTGCAAGTTCATGAGGACATCAATAGAAGCAACGCGGGCATTGAAGGTGAAGGTTCCGTCTTCTTCGTCAGCAACAAACTGATTAGCATCGCTGGACCAGGATTCAATTTGTTCGTGTGTGATTTGCATGTAGATGATGTAGACATACAGCAATTGCTCAAAGAAGCCAGTAGCAGCACGGTTCTCATTGACAAACAAGTGCTTGACAGTCTTCTTGGTACAAGCAGTGCCTACAAAGTCAAACAAGACATACAACAAGTTTTGGAAACCAATTTCGTTTCCTTCAGAATCCTGATATGTCTCTCCAATATCGCCGCCATCCTCGCTGACAAATTCCTGGACGTAGCGTTCACGCAAGTTGTAAAGATCCATCCAAATAGGCTCGAAAATCTGAGGTAAGTTGGTTGCAATGTATTTGGGAAACTCGACGCTGATGGTGCAAATACACTTGACAACCTTCATCTTAAGACCGTACTCTTCCGTTGCCTTTTCAGCGTCGCCTTGCACATGGTGGTTGAGGATCACAATGAAAGCATCCATCCACTGAGGAATAATGGGAGCGATAAACTGATCTGCCAAACCAGGGTTCTCTTCACGCAACGTAGAGATCATTTCAATGCAACTGGTCAAAATATTGACAGCTCTGCCACGGGTGCTGAAGGAATAAACGTTGTCTGAGGTCAAGATACGGTACATTTCTGGGATCAGTACAGGGCCGACTTGAGGAAGTTGTTGGATACTGATGTCCTTCTTGACCATCTCCAATAACACATGCATCGCACCGTGCACACTGTCGCTGTTGTTGGCTTTCAAGTAGCTCAACAAGATGTCAAACAAGTTGGGCCAGTCTTCAGGGAAATCGTCATGGGCAATCTTGGAGACGACGTAGGCACTGACTACTCTGATCTTGGATTCGGGATCTGCGAGACCTGTTACAATGATTTCACGAACAGCAGCTTTGCTCTGCTGAATAGCGTCAGTCAATGGGCTTTCTAGAAGGGCTCTTTCAGGTACTTGCCTCGGGAGATGCTTCAGGACCAACAAACTTGTCGTCATTCTTGGGAGACCAGTGAGTAGTAACAAATGATTTGAGAGTAACTGCAGCCAAGTATCAACAAAGGTTAAGGGTGTATAGATGTCACAATGTCTTGGGTTAGTTTATGTGTTAGTATATATGTAAAAGGATATTTGACGATGAGGGATTTCATGTTGCTGCGAAACAGTGAGCTTTGCGAGACTGATGGGAAATTCTAATCATGTTTCGATTTTCTAAGGGGTGAGCCGTATAAGCAGCGTTGCATTAACTTGACGCTTACCAGGTTGAACAGCTAGCTCCTTGAGTCTGTTCTCGGCAGCAGTACGAATAGAGCCATCGCTATTTGCGACACCCAAAAGAGTTTCAAACACTGCGTTATCCATCTTTCTTGGTTATTGATTAAGGACGAAGGAGAATGGGAGAAAAAAGAAGTCGAAAAATCAAAAATTCAAACTTCGCGTATTATAATAACACGAAAACCGAAAATGGGATGTGTAGCAGTAGGCATTGCGACACGAACAGAAGGAGGTGTGGTCTACAGATGGGGTGGTTCTTTGGCATGACAAACTTGCACATGGCCAAGCTCTTTGATTCCCGAGATGCATAAAAGCAATAGGTGTTTAATGCTCTGATCTATCTGAATCTCGACATATCGCATACGACTATCACTTTCCATGCTTCCTTGGCTGAAAGCGGTGTATGTATATCACAACATTTTGAAATGAAAAACAGTGGCTTGTTCGAGGCAAATCGGGATTTCGAGGGGAAGAGACCGAGGAGAGGGGGGTCAACTTGGAGTCTGTAGGCCATCCTAACATCAAACCTTCCTTCTAAACGCGGTCTAATTAATCACTATGGTAACGTAGAAAATCATCAATCCATTCAACCATCAAATCCATCCATCCTACATGACACACACATCAGCTCGAATTCGATGGATGCATCGATTTTATACAACTTGGTGGATAGGACGACCATAACATTGGACGATTGTAGGATGTCTTGAGAGTGCTTGGATTTGATCTGGATGGAATTGGACCCAACACCTCTAAATGTATATTAACGCTATTTAACACTTACTAGTCCAAGGGTACCAGTTCCTTCGGTAAGCGTCATACCAAGACCCACACTCTCTGCAGACGTTGCGGTAACCGTTCTTTCCACAAGCAAAAGAGCACCTGTGCTCAATGTGGCTACCCTGCCGCTAAGATCAGATCTTGTAAGTGATGTGTAGATTTTCGTAGAGAATACACGTTACTAACTATTACCAACAGTCAACTGGTCCGAAAAGGGTCAACGCAGAAAGACCACCGGTACTGGCCGTATGGCTCACTTGAAGGATGTTCAACGTCGTTTCAAGAATGGTTTCCGTGAGGGTAAGTGTAGTTGTTTTTAAACAGTGGATAGCATTGTGTTGATATCATGTTGTTTAGGTACTCAAGCCAAGAAGCAAGTTGCTGCCTCTGCTTAAATCTACTCCTACTTTCAGTAAATCACAAAAGATGTTTTAGTCCTATCATCGATTATTTTCTTTTTCTCTCATTTGAAAATTAAAAAAAAGCTTATTGGACCTTTTTCACACATCAAATTGGCTGTGAGGCTGTATGTTGTTGTTGTTTGATGGTAGGCAAAATGCGGATGGGTTATTGAAATGCGCACAATGCACGGAGATGGGAACAGCTGATGAAGAAGAAGCGTGGAAGTACTATGCTGGAAAAGTTTGTTTCATGTTGATTACCCAACTGTTGATGACAGCCTTCAGATGGCATGCATTCGATCTGACAGGATAAGAGATACGTCTTATAGAAATCTACGAGGCTGATGACGGTATTGCAAGTGCTTATTTTGATGGGAGATCATGGCATTTGAATACAGCATGCTTGTCCAAGTAACATGCAGCTTGACATTTCGCATTTGGACGAGTCATCTGCAACAATTAAACGCATGTATCAGATACGAAAATGCACAACAAAAATAGAAGAAATTCGATGAGGCTGAACTATGGCAGAGTGTCAATTCACAATCCTCTTCATCAGCTTCTTGAACATCGATTGCCTTCATGATTTATTTTTAAAGGTTTTTATTACTGCCTTCATGATTTAGAAAAAGAGCATTGAGTTCGCCAGCAGCCAAAATAGTTAAATCTCCGCTAAACATTTTCGGCCCAAGATTGGCCATATTTCGGTTAATTTCGACTTGGTTGAACTATTTTGCAAAATTCGACTAGCAAACTGTGATGATCAACTCTTGCTTATTTTGATTTGATATACAGTGCTTCCAACACAGGGAAGACACTTTATCAAAGAGAATTACAGAAGCGTGCAATAATGTAGAAAAAGGTCACTTCAAAGGTTTCGTTTCGCATTCTTACAAGTGTTGGGATAAATGTTGAAACAGGGAAGCAATGTAATGGCCACTGGCCGCAAACATCTCTCACGCAGAATCAAAAAAAAAAGAAGCCTCGAGCACCCCAGTGAGCTTCAAGAAGACTCCATGAAGGCAAAAGGTGGTGATGTGAAGGCGAAAGGTGGTGATGTGAAGGCAAAGTGCGGCAACGATTGGGCACAATTGCATGTAAAAAAGGAAATTACTTATGCCAAGTTTTAAGTCTGCCTTTGGTAATTTTTTCTCTTTGAATTTTCTGTAAATAGATGAAATGTGGTGCATAACATAAGAATGAAGGCAAATATAGTGTTGGTGAATAAGAGCAGAACGATTTACGGATTTCTTTTTTATTTTTTCATAAGTGAGAAAATACGCTGCGAGTTGCAGGAACAATAGAAAGATTGGTATCATTAATTAACAGGTAGAGATTAGGTCAGCCCAAATGGGCCGAGGAGTAATAAATATTTTTATGCTTGTTCATGTATATTTTCCATGCTTCTATATGATATTCATAAACTATAAGAGCCAAGCAGTTATTTTATACCTTTTTTGAGATTATTTTTTTAAGCAATACCATTGTTTACGTTCAATTCAATATTAACAAAATTTTAAATTTCAAATTATATATTATGCCTCCAGCCAACACCAATCTCGATGTTAACGTACTTGTTTCTGTCAACAAACGTTTTATCAACAGGGCAGACGTAAAAACTATTTTGCAAGCAAAGCGTGACTGGAACTCACCTGGATTGTGCTTTAAAGAGAAAACCGTTGGCCGTCCAACAGTCAATGAAAAGGTCAAGTACCATGTTATTTTGGATGAAGCACCTGGTATCACATTGTCCCTTTCCTGCGGTTGCCTCAAATACATTCGACGACTTGAGTCTAGCACTTCCAGCAGCGCCAGCACTCAAAGCATCCCTGATATGGCAACAACCGAAAATATGCTAGAAGATGCTATCGAAGGGGACAACGAAGAGGAAGAAGAAATTGATTTGACTTCTGGCGGGTGGACCGAAGGTCAAGTATTTGTCCACAGTTGTTTACGACAATCTGGCTCAGACCTTTGCTCCAAGTCCACATTAAGCATAAACAATGCATCAGTTTCTTCCCCTTTGGACTATTTCTTGTTTTTCTTGCCTTTAGATCACCTTCATTTGATCATAGGAAACACTAATGTTCATGCAAGAAATACGCTTGATTCTTGGACCAATATCACTTTTGCCGAGTACTTGATGTGGATTGCTCTGTTGACCGTTATGACAGTGGTCAAGCATGATGACCGCAAAGCTTACTGGAAGCAAGGATCTAGCCGCTTTACGATGACAATAGATTTCAGCAAATATATGCCATTCAAAAGATTCAACGATATCATGAGAATGCATGTTTTTGAAGTTCCCAGCAAAGAAAACCAGCTAATCGACCCACTTTATCAAATCCGATCTACGATTAGCGCTTTTAACTGCCATATGCCCATGTGCATCTCACCAGGGAAATATTTGGTGATAGATGAATCAATGAATCAATGGCTTGGTATAGGGATGCCAAATTTAAAGAAGGCCCCTCGTAAGCCTCATCCTATCTGCCAAGAGTTTAAAACACTAGCTGATTGCCATACGAGTTGCATCCTCAGAATGGACACAGTCAGCGACCCAGTGTCCAAGGAGTTTGGCGACGAGCCTGGCATGAAGAAATTGACTGCGACCGTTAAGCGTTTGGTACAGCCCTGGTTTGGTAGTAGAAGAACAGTAATTGCTGACTCTTGGTTTGGATCTCCCGATATGGTCATAATGCTTTTCAACCTTGGCTTATTCTCCATCATGCAAGTGTGTAAGCGCCATTACTGGCCTCGTGGAATGCCTCAGACTGATATTGTGGAAAAGGTGGAAGAAGCTTATGGTAGCTGCTATACCATGAACAAATGTCTGGTTAATGGCGGTAGTCTATTTACTTGTGCCTATCGCGATCAAAAAATCAAAGCGTTTATTTCATCATGTAGCACGACAATCCCTACAGGTGAGAAGGTGTTCGAAGGACCTCGCGGTAGAAGAATTACTATTCAAAGGCCCGAGGTTGCAGAGGAATACGAGACACACAAAAGTAAGTAGATAGTAGCAGTATATAGAGGCATGCAAATTTACATTTTAATTTTAGGCTCTGTCGATGCTGCAAATAATTTGAGAGATAAAATGGCCTCGTATCACGATATCATCGCAACTGAGAGGTGGGAAATGCGCTTTTTTGGCTTTTTCTTGGGAATATGCGAAGCAAGTGCCTTTAGTTCATTTCGGGTCTTTGCCAATGATGGAAAAAAGGGCATATCACATGCTTCTTTCAAGGATATATTGGCATGGAATATGCTGAAGCACTGCCAAAAGCTGGCTAATAGCGACGCCGAAGAAGCAGAAGAAAGTCGAAGACCACTCAGAAGATGCATGACTCATACGCTTGTGTCAATGAGTCGAAATAATGGAAGCAAGCGTGTTCGATTAGCTTGTAAGACTTGCCGCATGTCAGGTACAGTCGACGAAAAAAGGTTGGCCCAAAAAAAAAAATTGGCCAGTTTGAAATGAAAATGGATCATAATTTGAAATTGGGTCATAATTTGAAAATGGGTCAGTACGAAAATGGGTCACCAATACAGAAATGTAATGAGGATTGGCCAAATTCTCTCTTCTTGAATTTTTTCATATTGCTTAACATGAACAAAGAATACAATTTTGACAGTGAGACAGTGCCTGTGATGATACAATCATACATGGACTGGGAAGAAACTGCAGCAGTAAATGCAGCACAAAAAGAAGCTAAGAGGAAGACCAAACCTCACTCGAACGAGCCCTCCCTTGATGTAGTGAAGAAGGAAAGGGGATCATACATTACCAAGAACGAAGCAAAGGTAGTCAATTTGACCAATTTGTTGCAAGAGTTTGAGAATATGTCTATCAGTGAAGCAGGTAGAAAGGTAGGACTCTCCAAGTCAACAGCTATTCGTAAAGTCAAGCAGTGGAATCAAATGACAAGCGAAATAGCTGAAAAAGGGTTCCCTGATTCTATCGCAATCAAAGAAGGAAAGGGACGACCCACAATACTCAAAGACGAACATACTACTGTATTTATCTTTGAGCTGCTGGCTAATGAGCCAACATTGACAGTCGAAGCTGTTACAGACCACCTGTCAAAAGAATTTAGAGATATACAGATCACCCCCCCCCCCCAGATCAGTGGAGAATCACATAAAGAAGAAGTGCCGCCTAACCTACAAGCGTATATCATTCCTAGATATTATGGCAGGAACACGGATGAAACTGTTGCCAAAAGACGAGATGCGGTAGCATACTGGGTTAGCCAGAACATAGACTTTATGAATGAATGTGTATTGTTGGATGAAGCTGGCTTTAACAGGAGTATTATGCATCACTCATATGGATGGCCTGAGGCTGGAACACCTTGCAAAATTGATGTTCAAACGAAGGGAGCAAATGTCAGCATCTTGGGTGCTATTTGTAAAAGTGGTTTAATCACATTATCCAGAAAAGAAGTTGTATTTAGTGCTAGGAGTGAAAAACGAACTCGAACTGGTGAGAAATCTCAGGCCCCCCAAGAGGAAGGGTACTACTACCAGCTGTGGCTTCCTTGAGTACATAGAGCAGGTCCTCACGACACTGGATGCGGCTAACATGAGCTACAAATATCAAGTTCTTGACAATGCATCCATTCACAAGGCTGCACTTATTGAAGATTGGGTTGGGCAACGTGGTTATAAACTTCTCTTTTTGCCACCTTATTCTCCTTTTTTTAAAATCCGATCGAAGAGTTTTGGTCCAAGCTGAAGACTGTTGTAAATAACGATCCTTCTTCTGTCAGGCAGAATGAAAAAAATCTCTGATCGTATTCACAACGCATCACTTCACATCAGCAGAGAAGATGGCGAGAATTGGATAAAGCATTCTTTGACGTTCTGGCAGAGATGTTTGAATTGTGAAAAGGGATTATAAGAAACAAAATAAAAAGCATACATTACACTTCTTTATTGGTGACCCATTTTCAAAATCGGTGATCCATTTTCATTTCATGCCTCTTTTACTTTTTCCCCATACAACCACTACTTTTTTTTTTTAAACATATTCCAACAATGTTGAAGAACCAGTGTAGATATTGCAGCGATCTATTTGAAACGAAAGGCAAACGCGATAGTCACACGTTAGATCAACATGTTTCTACGGTGATAGTTGGTGAGTGCTAGATTTATTCATTTATTTGTATTAGTACTTATAACAAAAATGCAAAGGGGAAACAAATGTGTCTCGTACTGCTTCCGGATTTCCGTGCCCATGTTGTCGAAAACCATTAAAATCTGCAAAAACCTTGAGGGTACATTTGGCAAAGAAACAGCTGCCATGCTCGTTTGTTTACGACTCTGCGCCTCAATCTGACCCCAGAGAAAGCTTGTCTTTAAAAGTCGAGCCAGATGCCTTGACCAACACTGCGACAACAGCTGAAACAACAAGCTCTGTGAATATCAGCAAGGAGTCACCGCTTATTGAATCAACAGCATCAAACGTATCAACCGCGTCAACCCTCTTGACCTCATCACCCACTTCCTCCACGTTATCTTCTTCAATTGTACTTGATGAGTTGAGTTTTTCTCCACCACCAATGGAAGATCGTCTGCTCTTTAACAGTATCGACGTGTCTGCTCAGTTTTATAAGTTTCAGCTGGATGCGCAAAGCCGGCTGCGAGAAGATGCTGCCTTCACTATTGAAGAACATATGCAACATATATTGGCCTTATCGTCAGTTCTCTTGCTAAAGCCTGCGCGCACTCATGAAGATTTGCACAGGCATATCGATCTTAACACTTGTGAAGGACTTCGCCGACATATTCTTTCTAAGCAGCAGACTGCGTATCAACCATTCCCAACTTCAACCAGGAACCGACTTGAAGAAATTATGGGACAAATGGATTTGGTAATTTTTTTTTTAAAAAAAAAAAGCTGGCAGCTACTTGTCGCTGAATGGCTTTTGACTTTTTGTTAGGATGGCGACCGAAATAACATATGTACGCGTTTGGGAGCATCGTGCCGAATTTCTGCAATGATACAGGAGGATGGCCTCAATTCTACAAACAGGATTCTGTTGGCCGTTCGTAACATGTAAATATCTTGAGATGCGAAGATTTAACTAGTAAAAACTCATACCATTGATAGGGTGGAAAAACTACCCCGTCATATTGTTGAAGATGGGCCCAAAGAAACTGAATTAATCACAAGGCATTTGGAAGCAATCCTGGCCCCTCTTTTCGAGGACTTGGATAACAACATAATTTTTAGATGGTAAGTAAAGAATTTTGGCAGGAAAAAATGGGTATTTCAGAAAAGAATAAGATTTAACGTCCATAACGTAAATTGAATAGGACTTCCGTCAGCGATGAAGAAAAGCAAGCCACTACACGATTAGATGCCTCAATAAATATCACAAATGGAGCAGCATTGAGTAAGCGAATTGGCTGCGGTGAGGTAAAAGCGCAATACCAAGCTCTCAATCATCGGTTGGCTGGCATTGATTTAATGCGCATTACACTGTTGGCCAAGGCCGCATCCGATAAACACAAGTTGAAAGAAATCTTTACCTTCACTGTTGTCGGTAAGCTCCAATTGAGTTTCATCTGCTGTTCGCATTCTCACCTTTTTTTTTTCTTAGGCAAATATGCCACTTTCTACATATTTACTCGCGCCCAAGCTTATTTGTATACAATGTGTGAGATCGCACATATCCAACTACCTCTTACCCTTGATCATGTGCCCCTTTTTCTTTCACAACTGGACAAGGTTGTCAAAATTATTTCCTGCTTTCAATATACTTTAAATAGCGGCAGCCACAGCTATGCAAATGATCCATTTACACTCACTGATAACATGCTCCACAACGCTACGGATCCCAAATCGTCACGCAAGCGAAAATCAATTACAAGTCATTATAACCATTGATCATCCTCCCCTTCCTTTGTGAATGTATCCCCTCTCTCTCTCTAAATATACCATGATTCATTTGTCAAAATAAGATAAGAGCAAAAGTGTAAATTACATTTTTATTTGAATAAATTAAATGGGTTCATATTTGATTTTCAATTATATATTTAATTGTTACTGCTGGTTGCAAACAAACAAAAGGCTCTTTCCGATTAAAAAATTTCTTGATCCACATAAACTTCCCCTGTACCTTATTACTACAACAGCATCTGTCAACAAACAGAGAGGTTAACCATGTCAATGACCGATCATACGTATTAAAATTTTCTCTCTTCTTCTTCCTCAGATTTTATATACGAGAAATAAAAAGTTTACACAACACAGCTTTGTTGTATCCAGAGAAAAGATACAAGTAGCGATAATATAAAAAGATAATAAAGACTTGTAAATTAAGCCAGATACGAAAACTAAAGATTTATTAATTGAAATAAGCACACCTTTTTATATTGAATCATAATCGCTAAGTCAATCGATCTATCTTATTGTTTAATAACCTAATGTTTGACAAGTGTCAAACATATATTTACAACACAGCATTTTATCAGGAACAATGGTCTGATCAAGAATTTAGGTTGAGTTAGGCATTGTCTCAAACGTGCCGCAATCTTCCCAAATCTCTTATTCAGCACAGACCATTTAGAATGTTCTCAAACCACTAAATAGCTTGTTCCTTATCTTGAGACTCTATCAAAAGATCTAGCTTCAAAATGAAGTATCGTGATCCGACTACAGCTGGGTTATTCTAACTCCAGTATCCTGCTGGATGCAACAAGCTTCTTTAAAAAGATGCCCAGTAAGCCAGCATCCTAAAAGAGATGCCCAGTAAGCCAGCATCCTAAAAGAGATGCCCAGTAAGCCAGCATCCTAAAAGAGACGCCCAGTAAAACCGCAAGATTTGAATAAGCAGAGATTTGTAATACAAGGTGTTTGAAATGAAAATGGTTGTTCAAGAAGAATTGAAGAAAAAGTAAAAGAGATATGAAATGAAAATGGATCACCGATTTTGAAAATGGGTCACCAATAAAGAAGTGTAATGTATGCTTTTTATTTTGTTTCTTATAATCCCTTTTCACAATTCAAACATCTCTGCCAGAACGTCAAAGAATGCTTTATCCAATTCTCGCCATCTTCTCTGCTGATGTGAAGTGATGCGTTGTGAATACGATCAGAGATTTTTTTCATTCTGCCTGACAGAAGAAGGATCGTTATTTACAACAGTCTTCAGCTTGGACCAAAACTCTTCGATCGGATTTTAAAAAAAGGAGAATAAGGTGGCAAAAAGAGAAGTTTATAACCACGTTGCCCAACCCAATCTTCAATAAGTGCAGCCTTGTGAATGGATGCATTGTCAAGAACTTGATATTTGTAGCTCATGTTAGCCGCATCCAGTGTCGTGAGGACCTGCTCTATGTACTCAAGGAAGCCACAGCTGGTAGTAGTACCCTTCCTCTTGGGGGGCCTGAGATTTCTCACCAGTTCGAGTTCGTTTTTCACTCCTAGCACTAAATACAACTTCTTTTCTGGATAATGTGATTAAACCACTTTTACAAATAGCACCCAAGATGCTGACATTTGCTCCCTTCGTTTGAACATCAATTTTGCAAGGTGTTCCAGCCTCAGGCCATCCATATGAGTGATGCATAATACTCCTGTTAAAGCCAGCTTCATCCAACAATACACATTCATTCATAAAGTCTATGTTCTGGCTAACCCAGTATGCTACCGCATCTCGTCTTTTGGCAACAGTTTCATCCGTGTTCCTGCCATAATATCTAGGAATGATATACGCTTGTAGGTTAGGCGGCACTTCTTCTTTATGTGATTCTCCACTGATCTGGGGGGGGGGGTGATCTGTATATCTCTAAATTCTTTTGACAGGTGGTCTGTAACAGCTTCGACTGTCAATGTTGGCTCATTAGCCAGCAGCTCAAAGATAAATACAGTAGTATGTTCGTCTTTGAGTATTGTGGGTCGTCCCTTTCCTTCTTTGATTGCGATAGAATCAGGGAACCCTTTTTCAGCTATTTCGCTTGTCATTTGATTCCACTGCTTGACTTTACGAATAGCTGTTGACTTGGAGAGTCCTACCTTTCTACCTGCTTCACTGATAGACATATTCTCAAACTCTTGCAACAAATTGGTCAAATTGACTACCTTTGCTTCGTTCTTGGTAATGTATGATCCCCTTTCCTTCTTCACTACATCAAGGGAGGGCTCGTTCGAGTGAGGTTTGGTCTTCCTCTTAGCTTCTTTTTGTGCTGCATTTACTGCTGCAGTTTCTTCCCAGTCCATGTATGATTGTATCATCACAGGCACTGTCTCACTGTCAAAATTGTATTCTTTGTTCATGTTAAGCAATATGAAAAAATTCAAGAAGAGAGAATTTGGCCAATCCTCATTACATTTCTGTATTGGTGACCCATTTTCGTACTGACCCATTTTCAAATTATGACCCAATTTCAAATTATGATCCATTTTCATTTCAAACTGGCCAATTTTTTTTTTTGGGCCAACCTTTTTTCGTCGACTGTACCTGACATGCGGCAAGTCTTACAAGCTAATCGAACACGCTTGCTTCCATTATTTCGACTCATTGACACAAGCGTATGAGTCATGCATCTTCTGAGTGGTCTTCGACTTTCTTCTGCTTCTTCGGCGTCGCTATTAGCCAGCTTTTGGCAGTGCTTCAGCATATTCCATGCCAATATATCCTTGAAAGAAGCATGTGATATGCCCTTTTTTCCATCATTGGCAAAGACCCGAAATGAACTAAAGGCACTTGCTTCGCATATTCCCAAGAAAAAGCCAAAAAAGCGCATTTCCCACCTCTCAGTTGCGATGATATCGTGATACGAGGCCATTTTATCTCTCAAATTATTTGCAGCATCGACAGAGCCTAAAATTAAAATGTAAATTTGCATGCCTCTATATACTGCTACTATCTACTTACTTTTGTGTGTCTCGTATTCCTCTGCAACCTCGGGCCTTTGAATAGTAATTCTTCTACCGCGAGGTCCTTCGAACACCTTCTCACCTGTAGGGATTGTCGTGCTACATGATGAAATAAACGCTTTGATTTTTTGATCGCGATAGGCACAAGTAAATAGACTACCGCCATTAACCAGACATTTGTTCATGGTATAGCAGCTACCATAAGCTTCTTCCACCTTTTCCACAATATCAGTCTGAGGCATTCCACGAGGCCAGTAATGGCGCTTACACACTTGCATGATGGAGAATAAGCCAAGGTTGAAAAGCATTATGACCATATCGGGAGATCCAAACCAAGAGTCAGCAATTACTGTTCTTCTACTACCAAACCAGGGCTGTACCAAACGCTTAACGGTCGCAGTCAATTTCTTCATGCCAGGCTCGTCGCCAAACTCCTTGGACACTGGGTCGCTGACTGTGTCCATTCTGAGGATGCAACTCGTATGGCAATCAGCTAGTGTTTTAAACTCTTGGCAGATAGGATGAGGCTTACGAGGGGCCTTCTTTAAATTTGGCATCCCTATACCAAGCCATTGATTCATTGATTCATCTATCACCAAATATTTCCCTGGTGAGATGCACATGGGCATATGGCAGTTAAAAGCGCTAATCGTAGATCGGATTTGATAAAGTGGGTCGATTAGCTGGTTTTCTTTGCTGGGAACTTCAAAAACATGCATTCTCATGATATCGTTGAATCTTTTGAAAGTCATATATTCGCTGAAATCTATTGTCATCGTAAAGCGGCTAGATCCTTGCTTCCAGTAAGCTTTGCGGTCACCATGCTTGACCACTGTCATAACGGTCAACAGAGCAATCCACATCAAGTACTCGGCAAAAGTGATATTGGTCCAAGAATCAAGCGTATTTCTTGCATGAACATTAGTGTTTCCTATGATCAAATGAAGGTGATCTAAAGGCAAGAAAAACAAGAAATAGTCCAAAGGGGAAGAAACTGATGCATTGTTTATGCTTAATGTGGACTTGGAGCAAAGGTCTGAGCCAGATTGTCGTAAACAACTGTGGACAAATACTTGACCTTCGGTCCACCCGCCAGAAGTCAAATCAATTTCTTCTTCCTCTTCGTTGTCCCCTTCGATAGCATCTTCTAGCATATTTTCGGTTGTTGCCATATCAGGGATGCTTTGAGTGCTGGCGCTGCTGGAAGTGCTAGACTCCAGTCGTCGAATGTATTTGAGGCAACCGCAGGAAAGGGACAATGTGATACCAGGTGCTTCATCCAAAATAACATGGTACTTGACCTTTTCATTGACTGTTGAACGGCCAACGGTTTTCCCTTTAAAGCACAATCCAGGTGTGTTCCAGTCATGCTTTGCTTGCAAAATAGTTTTTACGTCTGCCCTGTTGATAAAACGTTTGTTGACAGAAACAAGTACGTTAACATCGAGATTGGTGTTGGCTGGAGGCATAATATATAATTTGAAATTTAAAATTTTGTTAATATTGAATTGAATGTAAACAATGGTATTGCTTAAAAAAATAATGTCAAAAAAGGTATAAAATAATTGCTTGGCTCTTATAGTTTATGAATGTCATATAGAAGTATGGAAAATATACATGAACAAGCATAAAAGTATTTATTACTCCTCGGCCCATTTGGGCTGACCTAATCTCTACCTGTTAATTAATGATACCAATCTTTCTATTGTTCCTGCAACTCGCAGCGTATTTTCTCACTTATGAAAAAATAAAAAAGAAATCCGTAAATCGTTCTGCTCTTATTCACCAACACTATATTTGCTTTCATTCTTATGTTATGCACCACATTTCATCTATTTACAGAAAATTCAAAGAGAAAAAATTACCAAAGGCAGACTTAAAACTTGGCATAAGTAATTTCCTTTTTTACATGCAATTGTGCCCAATCGTTGCCGCACTTTGCCTTCACATCACCACCTTTTGCCTTCATGGAGTCTTCTTGAAGCTCACTGGGGTGCTCGAGGCTTCTTTTTTTTTTGATTCTGCGTGAGAGATGTTTGCGGCCAGTGGCCATTACATTGCTTCCCTGTTTCAATATTTATCCCAACACTTGTAAGAATGCGAAACGAAACCTTTGAAGTGACCTTTTTCTACATTATTGCACGCTTCTGTAATTCTCTTTGATAAAGTGTCTTCCCTGCAAAAACCTATGGCGCTTAATCTTACTTTTTGCTATTGTCCAGGGTTGTTCTATTGGGTTAAACTCCGGAGAGTATGTAGGAAGATATGCACATTTGTATCCTCGATACTCAATGTATCTCCTTATGTTTTCATGCGTGTAAATGGGTGCATTATCCATGACTATATAATGACCCTTCATATGAAGATGTTTGTCCATTTCATCGAGAGTCATTTTTAAGAAACTTATGTAGTGGCCAGCCACAGTCCCTGAGCTTTACATACCCTTCCGTCTTTCTCTTCTTTGCAGGTCTTGGTTTTTTTTTACGCCAATTGTGATCAAACCTGCAGCTGAGATAGCACCCAGTATCGATGTTGTGTTTGCTCTCGTAGTAGGCCGAGTAACAATGGCGCGCGTACCTTTTTTGGACCAAGCTCTTGAGCGTTTCATATTGATATCAAAAGCTGACTCGTCAAGAAACACGCAATTCGTCAAAAAATGCATATCAGTATTTTCCCATTTACGAACCCAATCATGTCTCTCTTCAATCTTTGCTGGGCTGTTTCTTTCGATAGAATGGAAGTCAGCTTTCTTCAAAGAAAGATTGCACTCACTTCTCATGAAATTATAAACAGTGCTACGTGAAACTTTAAGATCATTGAACCGATTCAACAAATGTTCAGTCACTTCAACAACAGCAGCAAAAGGATTAGCATCAATGAAGTCGATAACAGCAGCTTTATGCTCTTCGCTCAAGATACATTTACGACCAACCTGCTTACAAAACTCGAAAATACTATCAGGACGCATATTGTACTGCTTAACCCATCTCTGCGCAGTTCGAATGTGAATACCCAACTGCTTCGCTGCAGCTGATGCGCTCATACACTTTTTCAATCTTCAGGTCGAAAAATCGAGCCTTATCCTGAACGGTGTACCGCACATAATCACGTTTTGTGTCTGCTTCTTTCATACGGATGTCTTCATCTTTTGGCTTTTCCATCAACATTGGACAAACCGATGAAGATTCACAAGAGGGCATATTTTTCAAGTACTCGCTATGAGTCGCAATCGACGCTACAATAAATTCATTCTGATCAACGATATATTCCATGGGTTTAGGGCCTCCATTCTCATCAACGACATTTCCATGTCCATCTTCAAATAAAAATATTGCACTCATGTTAAACTTTAAACAATTGAAGAAACGAAAAAAAAACAGATCCAGGAAATCTTCATTTTCAAATGCACGACATGGTTTCTAAAAATACGACTTGGTTCCTGGAAAGTACGAAATTGATGTTGGATAACTGACAACATTGATTTGCATTGGCTTGCGACATCATTTTCGACCGTGTGCGATACTGACGACTGTTGGAAGCACTGTATGCCATAATAAAAATGTTCATTTTCGAGGTCAAAAATGCGATCGTTTGATTTTTGCTGAAAACCATGAGGGGGGTACCTCATGCTTTTTGGTCGATTTTTGGCGATCCCCAAAAAGTTGGGCAGAGGTGTCGGAAAGTCAGTGCTGAATGAGAGGAATTGTTTGGTGCTGCTCTGGCGGTCTAAAACACCTTACAACAGAACTTACTGCTTGAATGCATTCAAATTTCGCTGTGTTTTGCATATTTTTGAGCAATATGCAGTAAATTCCAGTTCGTATACGAATTGTCTCTTGATACGCATTCAGAGTATCACGGCAGAGTCAAATCCAGCGTTGCAGTTCATTCATCAAGGGCCCCAACTTGATTCTGGAGAACTAATGCAAACTAAATTAAGACAATTTTCACTCTGCACAAAAGTAAGGGGTCATTGCATCTTGTGCACACGTCAGACGGGCTCATCAATATTGCGAAAATCACTCAGATCTCTGTTTATCCCATGGAAGTACAAGCGATATCAAATGCCTCTGCTAAACAGAAAAGTATTTCCCTCATTGCTTCATATTGCCTCTTTAAATTAAAGTCTGACAGATTGAATTGCTAAAGTGTTCCAAAGCCCAAAATTGTCTCCTTGTGAAGTTTCCACGCCACTACCTGTAGTGTCCCAGTGCAACATCAATTTAATAAAAATGACAAGATTTATAGATAATGTACATGGGCTTCATAAGGAGCGAATTAGAATGCGGTATCTAATTAACATACGCTTTGCATTTGCATCTTGCCAAAAAGTTACCCTATGCGTAACGTTACAAAAACGCCATGTAGCCATAGTAGTAGTAGTAACAAGATTATTATGCACATGCTTTATTGTTTTTGAGTATCTATTTTGGAGATGGATGAGCAGGACTAGAAGACCCCCCATTACCCACTGAAATCGACAGCTTGGAACTTGGTACTGTGGTAGCAGGCGGTTTTGATTTGAATAGCTGCTCCACCAGATCTGTGGGAGAGGGGTCATCTGTATCACTGAAAGGTGTAACTTGCCGACAGTATTGAGGCTGAATAAACAAATACGTTAATTGTTGTATCATAAATGAACATAGTTACATACCAAAGACATGGCTGATTGAGACTTTCTGAGGATAGGTGTTTGTGGGCGCAACGAGGATACTGCGGCATCATTGCCTCCTCCTCCTCCTCCTCCTCCACCACCACCACCACCACCGCCGCCGCTGCCATTACCACCATTTGGTAAACTGTTGCTATTGTTCATGTTACTGTAGCTACTAGTGCTCAAATGAGCCGAGTCTAACAAAATTAAAGTATTTAGAAAACTACGGATAGCTTGATAAATGCTCTCAATCTCCTCCTTACGCAATGATCGCTCATCAAAGACAGCCGATCTTTCTTGCCTTTCAGTAATCATAGAAGGTATATCTGTAAAGACTTGTTGTTTCTTTAACGGTGGGCTAAGTAGAAATTAGATTCGTACGTTCAATCAACTTGTATCGCTTGTATATTTACATTTGAAATTCTGTCGAGGAATCTGATTTCTGGTCTACTTTGATAGATAGCTAATGAGAGAGAGAGAGAGAGGCCGGGATATCAATCAAGAGACTCATGCCTAAATAATGCAACATGCTAAACTCACCTTGATTGTTGAATTGAACTTGCACTCATCGAGTAGATATCGTCTTGTTGTCAACCCTGAGCTAGCATATTCGGAAAGATTGATGGTGAGGCTTCCGATGGGGATGGTGTCTCTGCTGCCACCCAACTCTTGATATACCTCCAGTCGCAGCTCGCAAGGACCTAGGATGTGTTGCTTTGAGATGACGAGATGGGCCATTGTGCTAATGGGATGTCCCCAAAATATACAGTGATCTCGGATAGGCGCTCTAATGGGATGTTAGTTGGGAGTGGACAACAACATGCTCTGGAGCAATATACCTCGCTGTTGAACCACTGGTGTGTGCTGCATTCTTTAGCTTCCATTTGACATAGTACAATCCACTGACCAAAGGTACATTAGCAAGATCTTGAATTAGGATGGTTAACTCAAAGTCTATTTTACGGTCTTTTGAGACAAATAAACGTGAAAAAGACATTGAAAATGAGAGGATGAAAAGAGGGATATCAAACAAAGCGCGGCAAAATAGGGATGGATAGCACAACAAACAGCTGAATAAAATGACTCGCTTTTAATATAGAGTTCTTGGTTGTTCCTAATTGTTTGACTCTGGCATATAAATTGAAGCTTTTTTCCCTTTTTTCCTTCTTTTTCTTCCTCTTGTATCCACGCACAACACATACACATACAACATGTCGACTACATTTACAACGGCATTGTCTACGCCCATCACAAACACAACGACAACAGCAAATGCCACCAATTCAATACGCAAAAGAAACACAAAGCTGTTCTTTACCCAAATTTATCACTATCTCGCCGTTACCTTTCGTTTCATATACACCATGATGAAGCCCTCGGCCAGACTACTTGATTTCAAATCAGCCACCGCTAATGCAACCAGCCATATACCCTCTACTACAACCACAGCTACTACTACTACTACTACTACTACTACTACTACTACTACAACAGCTTCACAATACTATAAAAACAAGACATTAATACTAGACTTGGATGAAACACTAGTGCATTCGGTTCGACTCGGTTCTGAAGCCTCTATCAACACCAAGGTCAATGCTTCAGTCATTCGCAAAAACATAGAAGTGCAATGCGACAAGCAAAACCTCATCTATGAAGTGTACAAACGACCACATGTGGATTTTTTTTTAAAGACAGTAAGTTCTTGATGATGCTATACCCTTGATGTCATTGCCAGAAAGCCAACCTTCTAAATAGATTAGTCAATGGTATAAAGTGGTGATCTATACAGCTTCTATGGCAGAATATGCTGACCCCGTGATAGACTGGCTGGATCAGGACAATTTGATTTCACAGAGATTCTTTCGACAAGTAAGAATACCCATCTACGCTTGACCAATGAATTTGAATATTGACAATAGCATGGCATGATCATTTGTTGTTGTATAGTCTTGCGTTTTAAAAAATGGCAATTTCCTCAAGGACCTGACACTCGCAGAACAAGATTTGTGTAAAGTTTGTCTAGTGGATAATAGTCCAATTGCTTTTGATTTATATAAAGGTAAGGCACGATCATTGGATTAGATTACTCAACAGTGGGGTTGGATATACTCTTTTCCCCAAAAAAAAATCATGGATTTTTTTTTTTTTTTTTTACTCATACCCTTTATGTATATACACCAGAAAATGGCATTGCTTTACCCACCTGGATATCAAACCCCAACGATGAAAGTTTACTGGATCTCTTGCCTTTTCTAGATGCCCTTCGTTTTGCGGCCGATGTGAGAAGTATATTACGACTACAACACAAGTTGAAATGATGAGAAACACAGTCAGTTTTGTCTCAAGACGTCTGCTTACAACTGTGGGTCTGTATACATACACACATCTCTCAAGCTAGTAAGCAGCAGTATGAAAATTTTTCTCCGCATTCTTTTTCTCTCTTTCCAAATAAACCTAAAGAGATTTTTTTTTTCTTTCTTACCTTTACACTTGTAACAATAAATATATCAACATCACAAGCAATGTCTGTTATTGCTAGAAAATCACTCGTGCCCGCTATCAAACATGTAAACTGCAGCTATTGAAATGCATCCAATGTCTTACTAACTTGATATCCAGACATGGTCAGTCCAACGACCCTTATTAGCTCAGTGCAAGCCCCCCGTACAATCAGCTGTCTTGGTAAGTATCTGTTGAATCAGAACAATGAACGCTCGCTCATGCCCGCACTGCATGTCAGAAATCAACCAGCTTGATTCACACACGCTGGAACTCTTCTACATCAACACCTACAGAATCCCAAGAACAGGGATCTAAATATTCAGCAACTACAAAGAAGATTGTCTTGGGTTTAGCAAAAGCAATGGGATATTATTCAACAGGATCCACTGCCATCAAGGCCAGCCATAGTTTGTACAATACCTGTGCTCAACAAATGGAATTGAATAAGGATTTCTACATTAAAGGTAAATACAGCAAGTGTTTGACAGGGGCTTGCATTGAGTCGCTCAACTCTTCCGTATTTGATAGAGTGTAACTTGCCCGATAACTTTCAATCATGGTTTTCAGTAACGCAATTGCATGTATGGATGTTGATGGTTCATCTTCGTGCTGAGGGCCAAGGCAAACTGTACATCCAAGAACTCGTCAACCGTTTCTTTGAAGACGCTGAAGCTAGAATCAGAGATCATGGCATTTCACAACAAAAGGTGATCAACAGCTACATCAAGGATTTATTAGCACAATTCCACGGTGGTGTTGTTGCTTATGATGAGGGCATGTGCAAGGACGACCCCGTTTTGGCTGCTGCATTATGGAGAAACCTGTTTGCCATTTCATCAAACAATGCTACTGATCTAGCACTTGTTGTGCAATACATTAGACGTGAATTACAAGCATTGGAGAAATACGGTGGAGAAAACCTTAATGCAGGCATTGTGAAATTTGATAAGCCCGATGTCTCTTTTGTATAATAAATAAAGTGCGTTGTATGTATAAAAAATTTATTTTATTAGATCAAAAATAATAGCATTATTTTTACTGTATATGCGAAATTGCTTAAAGATCCTTCTTGAGAGTACCCATGAATTGATGCTTCTCGGCAGGAGTTTGGAAACGACCGTGACCGAACTTGGAAGAGGTATCGATGAACTTGACGTTGACCTTTTCCAAAGCAGAACGCTTGGTGTGGACAGTGAGGGACTTACGAAGAGTGATGACACGCTTCTTGGAACCAGCACAACAACCCTTGATCATAACGAAGTCGTCATTGACAACACCATAGTGAGGGAAACCACCCATAGGAGTGATGGGCTTCTCGGTCAAATCGTAATCAGTGGTACCAGACTTGGCATCAGAACCAGTGGCGATACGGTAGATCTTCTTGTTGATCTCAGTACGACGGTGGTAACCACGTTGACCAGCACGAGCAACAGAGTACATGACTCTGCTAGGATGCCAGGCACCAATACAGGCAACCTTACGGAGACCACGATGGGTCTTACGAGGCAACTTCTTGGTACCCCAACGAGCAGTGACACCCTCGAAACCGTGACCCTTGGTGGTGGCAATGATATCGATCATCTCATCTTGCTCGAAGATGGAACCAACGGTAACTTCCTTCTCAAAGTGTTCGCGAGCCCATTCAACCTTATCGGCGACGGAACCACCGTTCAATTGAACTTCCATAAGGTGAGCCTTACGTTGGTGGAGCTTGGCCTTGGAGATTTGAGTGTGAGCAATGACACGGACAACGGAACAGTACTTCTTGATACGCTCGAGTTCACGAGTGACATCCTTGGCACCTTCAGCATACTTTTGAGCATACTTGGTGAAGGCCTTCTTCTTGGAACGGTACCAGTTCTTGTAGAAGCGACGCTTGGCCTCTTCAGAGAGATGTTCAGCCCAGACGGTGGTCAAGGTACGGAGACCACGAGGAGTCTCGACGTAACCAACGACACCGACAACAACCATAGCGGGAGCTTCGATGACGGTAACGGCTTCGACGATTTCCTTCTTGTGCATCTCTAAAAAACAGATTTTGACATGTCAGATCAAAAATGTTGTACATCCCATTCAAGAGCACTTACTGGAACCAGGACGTTCAAGATCACGGACAATGTGGGTCATACCAGCCTTATAACCCATGAAAGCGGTCATATGGACAGGCTTCTTGGCATCATCCTTGGGATAAGCCTTGACACGACCACGGTGAGATCTAGTTCTCTTACGGGGGCCGAAACCCAAGTGACCATGACGGGGAGCCTCGAATTTTCTGCATGTAGTTGTTAGTATATCTTGTCAGTTGGGCAATTGAATGAAATCGCAAGGTGTGTCATGCAACGGGTGTGTGTGTGTGTGTGTGTGTGTGTGTGTGTGTGTGTGTGTGTGTGTGATATATGTTGTACATCCACTGCAAAAAAAAACATCCAGAATTTCAAACTGAAACTAACCTGTGAGACTATGATTGAATGGATGATGAGTATCAGGTTGATTATGGATGGATTGATGGGTCTTGTTAAACTTACCATGTTTAATACACCAAGTACAAAAAGACGATGAGGAAGAGGAGGATTCAAATTCTAGCCATATCTCATCTACCATTATGGGATGGAAGTTCGCTGTTTGCCCAACCCACAACCGCAGTGCTGAGAGACCGTTGTCCGAGCCATGTTCGCTAAGAGCTGTCCGACATAAATTTTTTTGTGCCATTCTGTTCCGCTAGGGCTTATTTAAGCAACCCCTGAGCTGTCAAATGTTAGGCATCTTCATCTTTACTACTTTTGCTTTACCTTGTATCCAGATATCGATTGCCATCCATCGATTATGGCATGTTTGTATAAGATGATTGCTATTGATGTATGGATGCATGGTAGTTCAAAATGAATGCAGTGAATTATGGATGTATAATGTAAGTATCATGTCTAGAGTGGTTTGGTCAACAAATGTGTCATCATTTCGAAAGTGATGACTTACAAAAAATTCTTATCTACATTGCCTGAATGATTGATGTGAAAACTTGTTTACTGATCTTTGATGACACATCTGTTGACTGAATATTTACTGTTTGGTTATATCAATTACTAATATCATCCCCATCAATAGGTAATCGGCACGTTTATTACGTTATATATCATATGGCTCTCTTGTGTGATAATAAAATTGTGTTTTACTCTAAAACTTTCATGTCTGTCCCTCGTCGTGTATTTTTTTTGTGTGAGGCATATTCCGGAGAAGCCTGGGTATATTTTCATTACATCAGGCTACTATTATAGTGAATCTGTCTTGGAAAGCTTCATACTAATTGTAGTCTACATTCTATGGTTATAGTATCCATATACCTCGCTTCTCATTCACTGATCATTGGTATTCTACTTTGCCTGGAAACCGAACAATACCATGTTCGAAGTCCGGCAAAATTTGACGCGACTATCTGGCACAGTTCATCTTGAACTAGCTACCAACTCTCCCTAAAAAATACTTACGTTGTATAGTACTGTTCCTTCGTGCTTTGGCTTTCGAAACTGTGAAGCTTGTTGATAGCAATAGTTTTCAGGTGAGAGAATAGAGAGGCATTCAACCCATCCAAGAGAACACCGTCATCATCCGTTATCTAAAGAAAACATGGACTCCATTGTTAGTAAGATTGTTACCGGTGGTATAAACTTGCCCTACCGTGATGTGTTTGCGAGGCGGGCTAGTATTGGCTGGGGCACTTCTTTTGACATAGTGTTGCATACAAGCATGCATCTTAGGCTACATTCACTTTCTCCTCAAGCCACCTTTTACAGTGTAGCAGCATAGATGATGTTTATCGTAGCACATCACATCTATGTGTACAAGTCCAGTCAATTGTGTGTGCACAGGTGCCTCAGGAACTACAATACATTCAATTTCTCTAATGTCAAGATATCGAGATCCACCTGCACTACATGAAACATATCGACTTTGTTGGCCTCTCAACAAGCTATACCAACAATCCATAAGGCCCCAGTGGCCAGCTATTTATATACCATCTCAACGTAGTAGTCATTGACCAGGGATCTATCATATTTAAGTTAGTTAGATGCCCTGTAATAAAGAAGCTTTTTGCTTTCGTTTTAGATACAATTGACAACTGATTGTTATCATCGACTTTATTATTACGAATTCATCAAACAATCAGTTAATAGTAAAAAAAAAGAAGGCTATATCAGAGTCAGGAGGGGGAGGTATCCATTCGCTGATGCTGCTCTTGATATGGCGGCATAAAGCTGGCCATGTGTAAATACGGGACTTGTGTAAAATCTACAGCGTCTTTTCTAAGATACTGTTATTGCAAAAAATATCTTCATAGGGAAAAACTCCCAAGAGAAAAATATTCAGGCTAATCAATTGTCCTTTTAATTCCATAATCCCTATTTCATCAGTATCGCAATCATCGTTGCCATCATCGTTATCAGCATCAAAAAGGCATCTGGGCCAGCCAGCAGCAGCGCTGATCGCCACCGTTGCCAAAATTCATTCAAACTCATTTTTTTTTTCTGCTTAAGATTGGCCAAATTCTGTCTTCTGTCGACTTCTTTAATCTATTTTGTGTTATCCGACTATATAAGTTGTGATGATCATACGATGCTTCCTAATACAATCTAAGAGTACTTTTCAAGACGCTTCTAATGGTGCCAAGTAAAATAAATGCCTTGACTGAACTTATTGAGTAATTCCAGAAAATATGAAATAAGGTTTTAAGCCAAAATATCAAAATTTTATATACGAAGACCTCATAAAAGTGGTTTCAGAGGTTGCTTTGAGTCGAGAGATACATTTTGAATTAATACACACCATAGTAAAAATCTTCATTTTCAAGGTGAAAAACGCGATCGTTTGATTTTTGAGGGAAAACTATGAGATACCCCTCATGCTTTTTGGTCGATTTTCGGCCATATTTTTTGGTCCCCAAAAAGTTGAGCAAAGGTATCAAGAAGTAGGTGCTGGACAAGAGCAACCATTTGGCGCTGTTCCAGCGGTCTAAAAGGGCTTCCAACGCGAAAAACCACGGCTCAAGTGCACACTGTTTTTGCTGTAGTTTGCATACTTTTGAGCAATAAGAGGCAATAGAGTTTGCTGTAGGTCCGTATATAAGCTGCTCCTACCAACACAGATATGGAGCATCGCAAAAGAGTCCAATATATTGTTACAGGCCACTTATAGAATCTTCGTGTTAGTGTAAATGGTTGAGAAGTGAGAGTATCAGTATTTAAGTATCAAGATCAAGATCAAGAGAATTTTTACCATTCATGAGAGTTAGTAGCCTGGCAGTTTGAAGCTGAGAAACACAATTTACAGATATCCCACCACAAGTACCACCATGTAATGTTATAGATTCTATAAAGATGTGATCACGTTGCGCCTAGCATTTAGTGCATTCTGACATTTGAATGCTTTTCAGGATCAATTTCGAATATGATATCACCCGCACTTACAAGCCTTTTTTTAGTGTATGTGTCAGATATTAAATACCTCTAGGCTCATGCAAATAGACTGAGTAGATGAATGCTGCTTATTCAGTTCAAATCTATATATAAAGTTCAAATTTAGAATCCATATTTTCTGCAAGAACTTGTGAGGGAAGCCATTTTGTTGACTATTGACATGCCGATAAGGTTTTTTTTTTAATGTCTCTTACCGTTCACCCGTTCCTTGTCTCCACAAAAGGGAAGATGTGGGTTAAATATAATGGAAACGTGTTCGACGGAAATATTATCAAACGTTCGTTCTATTTGAAACACATATAATGCAATGCCACGCCCATAATTTTTTGCTCAAGGCGACAGGATGCCAGACAAATTTCTCGGTTTAACATCGAGCTTAAATGATATCTTTCAATAGGCCAACAAAACAATGTTAGAAGATTCTTTGCTTCGAATGGGTGGCTGATTGCATCTTGATGTCATTCTCAATATGTAGCATTAAGCCAAGGATCATGTTTAGTATTTGTTGAGCAAATACTTGAAATTATATGCAAATTTAATGGTACGATTTTCAAGAATGCAGCACTTTTTTCAAAGAAAACTATACACTGTAGATTCCGTTTGTTCGGTCCAGTTTCTTATTTAGAATAAGTCGTGTAGATTTTCATCTCACGTAGATATACAAACAAAGATGTTCTTAGAGGGAGATATACTACATGCATATCCACGCAAAAAAAAAAAAGTACCTCAAATCAAGGAATATTCGGCTAGGTTAGGTACATTGGAAGTGTAAAAAAAAAAAAAAAAAAAAAAAAAACGTGCGATGAACGAGAACGCACGCAAATAGTTACACAGCGAATATCAGCCCTTGCGCACTGCATGACCCATATTTAATAACTGCCCGTAAATTAAATCATCTCATATTATTAGCAAATACACCATTACAAAAATTTTGCTTTCAAACAGCAAGATACGGTAAAATAAGGGTCGGGTAAATTGGAAGGTGGGGATGAAAGAAATGTGGTTGACTCAAAATTTTGATTTGGGAAAGACGGGTAAAGAAACTCCAACTGGGCAAAAGCTGCGCAATGTAAAAAGAAATGTCTCAAAATGAGCAAAGAATGGCAACAATTACTGATTATCTGATTGGCCTCTAGATCGATAATCAATGTGGATATTGCCACTCGAACAAACTATTACTCATAATGAGCGGGGGGCCAATTGAGGTATGACTAATTTTGAGTATGGGAGACAAATCATATAAATAGAGAGCAAGAAAAATGCATTGATCCTGTCTTTACCAAACATATAATTCAAAAATCAAAATGGATCTTTCATGGTGTATCATCTGCGATCGTCACTGTATTGACAATAACGTAAGTCAATGTTGGCCTGATTAAACATTCAACATGGACACTAATAATGTAATATGATTTTTATAGCTCTACTGCTCTGAATCTTGTCGTTTCCAAGACAACACAGATCACCACCAACGCTCTGAAATCAATAAGCCAACTCACACCACCGACTTGTTCAAGTCGACACCTTCTCTCGTATCTCCTCCTGCATCTCCTGTGCTTGCTCCATTTCTATACTCATTCCAACCTTCCTACGATCGTCGTCGCTCTACATCAGCTGGCACCATGATGCATGCCACTACCACCACATCCACTCATACAAACTACCAATACTACCCCTATCAATTCACGCCAAGCTCTCCTTCTGAATCGTCGCTCTTTGCTGATGATACATAATTTGACTTGTCTGGACAACTCAACATACCTCATTGAAATTGCACTGTTTTCCCAAATTACTAGATCAGCCTGAATTTCCATTCTCAATTACTGAATGTTTGACCTACTCAGCTCACCCCCCCCACCCCCATCACCCGAAAAAAAAAGGACCCTCCGGATGCTTCCCAGCTTCATCAACACGGAACCGTCTTCCTCCTTTGCCCGTCTCTGAAAAGGCAAATTCTTTTCCTCTCCTTATACAACCATAGATTTGTACATATAGATTTGAATTTATAATAAAAAAAAAAGTTAAATTACTTTCTCTGCTCAACATATAATTCGTTTCAAATGATGATGAAAATGGCTATCAATGTATAGTGGCTTCACTGGCACGGGCCTGGTTCATCCGCTCGGCTTAGCTTATTCGAAACACTGGAAAGGTAGACATGATCGCTAACGCATGTTATTGCCATGTATTGCGGGCCAAGAATACATCTTACTGATGCTTGGTGGGTATTAAAACCCAAGGGTATTTGTTAATTCAATTGACGCATACTACAGCATTTACTAACTATGACCTTCGGGTAAAGTGATGTCCTTGGTTGCCGCCACTGCCGACGCATTAATACCAAGGCTAAAAAGCATAATAGAGTTGATTTCTGATGATTCATTTAACCCTAATCTTTACTGCCACAAAGCATGCGCCTTGAATTACCCGTATTAATCTTATCAAAGGTGATGAAGAATCAAGATTCCATCATGATAAAGGTCTTCAACTCCTCCAATGCGAGACCCCTCTTTTGTCATTCAGAACAACAGAACGCAATCGGGCCAATTCTTTTTCCCTTTTCTTTTTCGTTCGCTGTATTCTCGTATTCTGTTTTCCCTCTTTCAAATCATGCAAAAAGAAGCCCAAGAAGAGGAAGACAAACTAGTTTTACATTATCATGATGTAGTCATTCGTCAATCCGTAAGTTGCAATCATCTTAAAAGCTTAATTGCCTTAATTAAATGTCCAAAATGAGCAGGATCTGGACACGCTGGCTCCGGGACAGTGGTTGAACGATACCATGATCGAGTTTCATATGGAGTTTTTAGAGAGAACATTTGTACCCAGGGATGCCAAATACCTGTTTTTAAGGCCTGGCATGGTGCATTTGATTACATTTGCAGAAGGTAAGTAGCGGGAGTGCGTGTGTTTGTGCAGAGAGACAAAGTTTAGAGGTTTAATCCGTCCCTTAAGGAGATGTCATGCAACTAGAGCCAGCATTGCCGCCTCAAATGGATCAGTACGAATCTATCTTCATTCCCGTTAATGATGGTAAACCACATGAAGCGTATAGTGGGACACATTGGTCCATCATGGTCTATATCAGAGCTGTCAATTCATTCTACTATTACGATACGCTCAAGTTCAACAATCTGCGAGATGGTGAATTAACTAGCAGACGAATTCAACCACTACTCAAATTGAAGAAAGCAGCACAGTTTATACCCAGTAGCACGCCTCAGCAGATTAACGGATCAGATTGTGGGGGTATGTTGTTACTGAATACGAGAGATGCTATAGCAGAGAGTTGACATGTTGGGTATACATAGTGTCTGTCATCAGCATCATAGATTACACATTGCATCAGCTTCTCAAGAGTCGAGACAACAAGGACGACGTACATTACAGCAAGATCATGATCCTCAAGAGCAAGGACATGTCCACGCCAAAGCAAGTGCGAGACAATATCAATGGCATGATCAAACGACTTCAACAAAGATGCAAGACATCTTGCTCTTCTTCTTCTTCCTCCTCCTCCTCTTCAACAACAACATCTTCTTCACCACTGAACAAGTAGTCATACCATGAATAAAAACTCCACTTGAGCCAATGATGACCATGTATTTCGCTGTAAATTTTTTAAAAAAGAAAATTTTTTCGTTTACAACAAAAGTTTTGCTCACGACATTTCGTTGCTCTTTCTTTTCTCCCTCTTTTTGTTGGAATAGGTGCGTACAGCTACGTTTGACAATATTTTCGCTATGCATCTCTCGCTCTCTTGTCTCGTCCTGTTTGAATCAGCATTGAACGCCAAATAACAGAAATTATCAGCCATCAGCAAGTTGAATAGCACAACAACATGTCGATGTTAGTTTAAGGACACCTGAGAAAAGACTGTATAAGCCACCCAATTGGATCTTTTTGATTTTTCATCTTGAAAGTGTTGATGATGGACATGGGATGTGGACGCAGAGAGGCTAGGCAGAGAGTGAGATGCAGAGAGAAAGATTGTTCGCGTACATCTATGATGGCAACCTTTTTGTAGCAAATCACTTACACATTTTTCTACACTGTTTTAGCTTATAAAATAAAATGAACGCTGACAAACTCCAAAAGCTCCAAGCTCAAGTCCGTATTGGTGGTAAGGGTACTCCCCGTCGTAAGGTCAAGAAGACTGTTAACAAGGCTGGTTCCGGTGATGACCGTAAGCTCTCTGCTGCCCTCACCAAGTTGAACGTTCAACCTATTGCTGGTGTTGATGAGGTCAACATGTTCAAGGATGACGGTAAGGTCATTCACTTTGCCAACCCTCGTGGTAAGTTATATTGCATGTTTATGCAAACATGAAGCATCGACCATTGACATCAAATCATAGTTTCCGCTGCTGCCAATGCCAACACTTTTGCCATCCACGGTCGTTCCACCGAGAAGGAATTGGCTGAACTCATCCCTGGTATCTTGAACCAATTGGGTCCTGATTCCATGGCTGCCCTCAAGAAGCTTGCTGAATCTTTCCAACAAGCTCAAGGTGGTGAAGCTGCCGGTGCTGATGATGATGAGATCCCTGATTTGGTTGAGAGCTTCGATAAGGCTGAGGTTGAGGATAAGGCCGAGGCTGCCACTGAGGAGAAGAAGGAAGAGTCTGCTTAAATTCTCTTTTAAAATGTATATCTCCCTTAACCCCTTATAAAAAATACAAGAAAAAACTATTCATCTATTTGTTTGTTTTCTTACAACAATAAAAAATTACATTTTCTCAGTTTTTTGAATTTCATCAAGATGTCTCTTTTGTTTGACAGTTGCTGTTCCTGGCATTTGAGTGATCTCTATGGCCAATATGACTGCAACAAGCATGAGTCAACACGTATCATCTAAGTGTATGGTGTTTGCGATGGCCAGACAACACTATTACAAAAGATGTATCCTGAATGCTAGGCATCATTCTTAAACAAGATAGCGTGTCATGAATCCAAGGTCAGATGAAAAGGTAAAGTTGATGGGCCATTCAAATAGAAGCATTCAACATGGCACTTGTGTCGATTTTTGGACAAAGCAGGCCAATGAAACTAGTACAGCAAGACAAATCTTTCATGTTTCGGCACCCAACACATCTACATTGGTCGAGACAAGGGAAAATCTACAAACGAAGCTTTCAAAGCAGACGCCATGACATTTAGATTAAAAGCCACACAATCAAGACAAGTATATTTTAAATGTGAATCAAAATGTTTATTATAAAAATGGAATGAACAATAGATTTATGAAGACCCAATAGAGAAATCTGTAAGAAAAGAAGTTGAATTAATAAAAAAAAAAAAGTTCAAATAAATGATTGAAATCTTTCATCAAATTGGAATACAAGTTTCTTTTTTTGTTTTCAGAAGTTATTATAAGGTAGCTAGGGGTTTTTCGTCATAGTCATAACGACTAAAGTCAAATGCCTGTATCATCCTTTAAACAGAAAAAGAAACTCATACTCGCAAAGAGAATCCAGATGATTTCTTGTTGAATAGAGCGTTGTACTTACCAAAAATGCTTGTTGTTTACCAAAGAATGGAATGAAAGAAAAAGAGAGTAGATGCCACATTTCCTACCCTTTATATATCTCTCTGAACCAGGCCGAATAAATTTTTTCAAGAAATTTTTTCGTGTCTGCTCTTTTCCAGGATGGAATGATAAACAGTCTATCATCGAAGATGGTGGAATCTCTCAAGTGCCAAAAAAATTTATTGGCATGTGCAGTCCTGAACGTCAAATCCAAAGCTGGAAACGAGAAGAGGTCCATATTGCATATGGCCTCAGTGAATCATTAGTGTATGCTGGCCATATCATCATCGACATCATAGGTGAGACTCGAGAATCCAATGCTTGATGAAAAACCAATGCAACTTTGTGCTTTACCATTGCAAGTTTATTACGAGAATTGAAAAAAGTTCGCAACGTCTTCAAAACCAACTATCAAAATATAACATACTCAATGGATAATATAATCAGCGCTTTCCTTTCTGATGCTTATTTTTGCTCTCGGATTCCAATGGACATGGATCAGGATGTAATGCTTTCTTTTAGCCCCACTACACACAATGCGAACCAATATATAAATATAATGGGCCGCGTTTTTCTTTCGTCTGTCATCGAGTTCCAATATTTTGGCTGTCTTGGATCGTTATTCAAAAAGAGATTTGTTGCATGTCTTTGGCAGACCAAATCAAACGACTTTCGATATCTGCAAATGATCCTTCAGGTTCAAAACAACACGAGCTTGATTGTATGTTGGATCAAGCTTCAAACGCGTGTCAAAAGCTTCAACAGAGGGCAGACAGACAGAACAATTTCAGAAAAACTATTGGCTATTTGGGGATTTCCACTTGCTTTTGAGTCTAGATAGGTTCAACGCAGGCATGTCCTGATCTGCGATGTCAATAGAGTTTACCAAGAGAGCTTCCAGTTTGGGCAATTATTGCAGCAGATACAAGGGGAGCATATACGTCAGACTCGTTTCAACGAAATGTGCCTTATTGAGCCAATATTGAGTAGCAATGTCCATGGCATTCTACTTGCTCTACATAGTGCTCCATTGCTGTATTTTCACGAAAAAATAAGTACAGCTGATTCACCCTGTTCCTCTTCAATACTGATGCTTTTGTATATGCTTTAAAAGTTGAACAGTACAAAAAGAGTGGCATAGTATCCATTGCTGGTACCAAACTAAGCAGCCAAGTCATTTATGGCAGTATCAAATTCATAACAAAAGTGTGCCTATTTTTGAGCCTTGTACAAAAATTAAGTTCATCTGAATTGTGGTTATCTTGAATCATTGATGCAACAATAAAGCTGGATCAAATCCCACTCGTAAATTGCTTTTCAATCGTCTATTATTTCTGGAACTTTTCTACGAATGGCCAGCCACAAAAGACCTGACTCCTCTAGGAGGTCCCACATTTGTACCATTGGAAATAACGCCTATCCAAGTAGGCAGCATATCGGCATTAGCTCTTAATACACAAAAACCTGTAAATGACACCGAAAATCAAGTGCATTTAATCAGAGATTTCTCGTGTTGTAAGGCGCTTTAGAGCGCCAGAACAGCACCAACTTACTGACACCTTTGCTCAACTTTTTTTTGGGATCGCCAAAAGTCGATCAAAAACCACGAGGTATCCCTCATGGTTTCCATCGAAATTCAAACGATCGCGTTTTTCATCTTGAAAATGAAGATTTTTACTATGGTATATATTAGTTCAAAATGTGTCTCTCGACTCAAAGCAACTTCTGAAACCACTTTTATCAGGTCTTCATATGCAAAATTTCGACATTTTGGCCAAAAACCTTCATATTTTGTGGAATTGCTCAATAAGTTTATTCAGGACATCTATTACAGTTAGCACCATTGGAAGCGCCTTGAAACGTACTTCAAGAATGTATTAGGAAGCATAGGGTGATCATCGCAGCTTATATAGTCGAATATCCCAAAGTAAATTAAAGAGGTCGAAAAGAGACAATATCTGTCCAATCTTGGACAGAAAAAAAAACTGAGTATGAATAGTTTTGACTTGGGGGGGGGGGAGGCGGCGAGCAGCGCTACTGCTGGCTGGTCGAAATACCTTTCTGATGATGACAATGATGCTTGCGATACTGATTAAATGGGAATCATAGAATTGAAGGAATAGTTGCTTAGCCCTGATCCTATTTTTTTCTTGAGATTTTTTCCTGATAAAGCTGTGTTTGCAATGGCAATATCTCAAAAAAAGTCGCTGTAGAATTTATGCAAGTCCTGTATTTACTTATTAGCCGATCTATCTCGCTACGCTCGATGTTGGCGTTGCCCTGCGGGCTCTCGCCAAAGATATTTTAAATCATATATTATAGCATTTTGGTGTATCAAGTAAATTTTAAACAACCACTTATTAGTTAGTAAAAGAAAGGTTATATTAGAGCCGGGAGGAGGAGAGGTATCTCCCTCAGTGTCCTTTTTGCTTACACTGATATCAAACGAAGCCTATTATTGAGACGATGTGAAAGAAAATTCAAGGTTTATGCAGCATTGTAGATCACAATCTCCATTTTCTGATGGTAGAATTGCCGCGCCATTCGCTGCTACTGATGCTCTTAATAAGATGGCGACATAAAGCTGGTCATGCACAAATACAGAACTTGTGCAAGACCTACATCAACGTTTTTGAGATATTGCCATTGCAAACACAGCTTTATCAGGAAAAATCTCAAGAAAAAAATAGGATCAGGGCTAAGCAACTATTCCTTCAATTCTATGATTCCCATTTAATCAGTATCGCAAGCATCATTGTCATCATCAGAAAGGTATTTCGACCAGCCAGCAGTAGCGCTGCTCGCCGCCTCCCCCCCCCCAAGTCAAAACTATTCATACTCAGTTTTTTTTTCTGTCCAAGATTGGACAGATATTGTCTCTTTTCGACCTCTTTAATTTACTTTGGGATATTCGACTATATAAGCTGCGATGATCACCCTATGCTTCCTAATACATTCTTGAAGTACGTTTCAAGGCGCTTCCAATGGTGCTAACTGTAATAGATGTCCTGAATGAACTTATTGAGCAACTCCACAAAATATGAAGTAAGGTTTTTGGCCGAAATGTCGAAATTTTGCATATGAAGACCTGATAAAAGTGGTTTCAGAAGTTGCTTTGAGTCGAGAGACACATTTTGAACTAATATATACCATAGTAACGAGCCGTTTGAACGTAGGTTGGTTTCCACCGAAGCGAAGCGTAGGTCAGGAAACCACCCGAAGTGCTGAAAGGCTCGTATACCATAGTAAAAGTCTTCCTTTTCAATGTGAAAAACACGAAGGTTTGAATTTCGATGAAAATCATGAGGGATACCTCATGGTTTCGAGTCGCTTTTTGGCTATGTTTTTTGGGTCCCCAAAAAAGTTGAGCAAAGGTGTCAGGAAGTTATGACTACTCGAGTACAATTGTTTGGTGTCATTCCGGTGACTCAGAAAGACCTACATGCCAAGATATGAAGGCTTGGAAGCTGTCAAATTTGGTTATGCATTGCTTTATAGCTTTTATTTATACGGCATGAATCTCATGTTTGGTAGCTGTAGCTTACTGAAAGGGTAGTTCCGTAGCCTGTGCAACTTTTGATTCGAATAGGAGGCATATTGATTCTGGTGGTAAAGCTAATTCATGCAAATTTTGATGCGTTATGTTGTTGGTGGTAAGCTTATTAATAAAATGGAAACGAAAAGCCGAATTTGCTGCTTGTTGAATACTATGGTTTTGCACCTTCGCTTCGCTACGGTAAAACCCTCATTAAGATTAATATTACTAAATGTTGGGTTAGAGATGCTTCGTTGTCATGGTTTTTCACCTTTATTTTGCTTACGGTAAAACCACCTCATAGGTCAATGTTGTCAAATGTCGAAATAGATGCATTATGCTCTTGATAAATGCACCTCCTTTAAACCCCTCTCTCCAATGCCGGCTTTGCCGATGGTTTATTCACCTTGCATGGTACTCAATTCTTTATATTTTGAATGCTTTGCAGTATATATATAATGAAAATACACAATGACGATATGTCTTTTGCTGAGCGCGAGCTTAAATCATGGAGCCTGGTTTGCCTTTACGGTCGAGTAGTGATATAGTGGGCAAAACGGCAAAGGAAAAAAAAATAAAAAAATCGAAATCTGGATGTGTTTATACTATCGCTATTACTACCAATAAGGCCACTATGGTTGCATATGCAATGCCGTGCTATATCATGGTACAGCCTCAAAAGCCGAAATGTCATGCCGCATCAATTGCATATATAAACCAAGGCGAGGGATTCAATATTTTTCTTTTTTTCATCGTCTTGCACCCCAAAAAAAAGACCATGATAATGAAAGGTACCATTTTGTTCATCATCAATGCCTTGTTCTTGGTAATGACTACTGCGCAATTCAATGATGATATCAATACCAACAGCATCAGCTTTGTGACACCTATCGCTGATACCCCTCCCCCTACTCTTGCTACAACCACTGCAGCTGAGAGCGACAATACGAATGCAATTTTGCCAGCTGTTACCATGACAGTGACAGAAGTATCTACCATAACCACGTTTCCAAAGCAAACCACAGCTACTTCCTCTACCACTGCGACTACCACAAGTAATGATGCATCAAGGTAAGTTTCCTCATTGCGAGTTGTATAGCATCATCATGTTGTATTGAAATCACCCAAATTAAAAACAGATTATTCATGATGAAGTCATCTCAGTTAGCGGCCATTGTCGTATTGGCGTATTTGGTGTTTTTGATCTAGATCAGAAAACAGAAATAAAGCATGTATAAAACTTGATGATCTCTTCTCTCTCTCTCTCTCTCTCTCTCTCTCTCTCTTTCTATCTCTTTTTCTTTTTATATATCATCTTTGATTTCTTGATCTGATCAATTTGCACCGAAACAGATGTATGTATTTTACAGTGATTGGAGATGTCTTGATGTAGATGATGGGTTTCGGAAGGATGAAACGATACCATAATGAAAAATCAAGACATGATTGACATGTTGCAGCCATTCTGATATTCATCTTTTTTTTTTTTTTTTTTTTTTCTTTTGGCCATCATTTAGAAATTTAGTATAAAAATTTAAATGGGAATGACAGAAAACAACAACGCCAACTACTATACAGGCAACGCCCAACCACCACCACCCGCTTATCAGGGTGGAGCACCTGCCGGTCAAACTTACTATCAACCACCACCTCCTCAAACTGAGTACGCACCCCCACCACCTACTAACAATCAACCAGCTAGTATGGGCCAACGATTTACACAATTCTATGCTCCACCCAAAAACAGAAAGCTAGGCATGAAGAGGCGACTCTGCTCATTCATCTGCTGTTGTATCCTGATCGGATTGATCGTTGGTTTAGCTGTCGGTTTAACACAAAGAAGCTATTACAGCTACAATAGCAGTTGTAACTGGTAAATGTGTGCATGCATGTAGGATACGAGAGTGACACTAACTGATCGCATTTCGTTTCATAGTCGAACCAATTCAGACTGCACCGTTCGATATGGTAAGCACATCTTTAGATCAGGAAAAATAATTGTCATATACTAACCACGCTACATGATAGGACCAAGCACTTACTGTTACTCTGGCTGTCAATGTGCTAGAAGATAAAACTCTCTTGTGTACCTTTAATAATGTCTACTATACTTAATTCCAAGTCGTTCTTTTATAAATAAATGTCGAATCAAATCAAGCACTTGTTTTTGGGGGTATATTCAAGGAGAAGAAGTTACTATATTACATACAAAATGGATGAATGATGTACATGTTGCTAGAGGCAAACTAAAATTAAAATTGATTGTTCCAAGTAACGTACATGTAATGAAAGAAAAGACCTGCATGTCATGCACTGCTGTAAGGAGGCCACACCTCTTTCTAGAGATCCTATCCATTTGAACTAGGGAAACAAGCCTTAAGCACGCCATCACATCGTGGAAATATGAGATACCTCAGCAAGTGTGTGAAGAGGGATCATACGATCACTGCACGTATTATTGGCCAAGATAGACCTACTTACAAGCGCCGTCCTACCGCCCATCATAAGGTTAAAACCTGCTATTCCATCTTCATGGTAAAGTTCTCCAGCGGGAAGCTTCCACGGCAAAAGAACAATCATCAAGCGTCCTTTTTTTTCTCTCATTTCTTGTGATTTTCCAATGTCAGGTTGCAACACAACAGCAACACTATCCGTGCACCGTACGCTGAAAACATTGAAGGAAGCATGGTTACAGTGACACACGGCTGCTTTATTGTTGCGAATATGACAAGTTGGTGCAACACAACATGATATCTGGAATATATCAAGCTTAAATTCGTCAAATAAAAAGGAGGATGCGGAGCACTTGCGCAATCATTGATAATGCCGTGCTGGTCTATTCTTCTATGAGCCGTTGTTTTCGTCATTCTTGTGCTTTTCGGATTTGAATTATCCCATCTTGTCGCTAAACCTTAAGTTTCTTAATTCTGGTCGCAGGACCAATGCGTCCTGGATAAAAAGATATAAAAAGAAAGACCAGCGTTCTGTTCTCTCTCTCGTTTTTTTTTCATCTTCTCTTTCTTCCATTATACACACACATACAAACAATATGACACTTCAAAAAGAAATCCACATTCCATTTCTAAGTCAAGATGAACAAATCTTTTTAAACACCACAGCAACATTTAGTCAGTACAGAAGAATGTCGAATCAATCCCTGGTGGACCCATCTAGCAGCAGCAGCCATCATCGACCAAGTCTAGAGAGCAATCGCCTCAGCCATAACAAGCGACATCAAGTCGTTTCTGTTTCTTCATTATCGTCCTTTTTATTCAAGAGAAGAGGCTCTTCTACATCGTCCTTGGCTTCATCATCTTCTTCATCCATGGACTTGTCTTCTACATGTCCGTCGTCCCTGGCTGAGGATGACTACTTTCCCCCGCAATCACCCAAAGCAAGAGAATTGGAGTCGCTTATTTTCGAACAACCACAAAGAACAGTGCGACTAAGCTTGACTCCACGTTGTGCAGTCTAAATTACTTTGTATATACCAATATGCCACATACTCTTAACACTCGCATTGTATAAACGCCTCTTCCCTCTCGCTTTCGCTGAATCAGGATAACCCCTAGCTTTTCAAGTACATGTAAATAAATACACATATATACATATTGCAATACCCAAACCAAAAAAAAGGTTCCAGTAAATAATGCATCCGGGATATCAGTTCCCCCCCATACATTTGATGATGAAGCATAAATGAATGTAAAGATGGGCGCGGGAATGCATTAGTCTACACGATCTATAGGCTCTCCTGTATATATTCAAATGTGAAACCAAAATCAATCTAATTAGATTTCATCATGACATGTAAGCGTTGGCCCTCTCTTGGCAGTTGGAATTCATTGCAAAGGTAGCTTGACTATGATTGAATTTCAAATCCATTGCAAACCTCATACTTTATGCACTTGATTGTTTGTTATTTATCAAAGTGCTGACAAATATAAACATGCAAGTTGCTGCTGCAATTGCGTTTCACTAACCTCATGAAATAATAGTGGTAAAAGTACAGAGCTATCTAGTTGATATCACTGGATTGCCAAATCATGATGGTGTGCTGCGGTTAATAGCTTTTGTTAAACCCCTCTTCTCTCCTCCCCTGTCTCCCCGCCACTCTGGATATATCCATGTTTTGAGGTTCAGGGTAAACCAAAACTTGATCCGAATGTTATAATTTTATCAGCGAATATAAATGTAGTAAAACGGGAATACAGTATATGAACGGAGCGGTTTTAGACATTTCTCTTTTTCCATACAGCGCTCAATTCATAGCTCTCTTATAAGCATCTATACGCCGTTGTTGATGAACAGCTTATCCATGAATGGCGAGCAATGTATCCTATAGCAGCTCTTGTAACTACACGAGGACAGCTCGCTTTGAGATGGTGAAGAGACGTGTGTAATCTAGTAACCAGATCAAGAGTCATGCAACGGGATTCTGTACTCGTCATATAAGTTGAACCAGAGAGATATCATGGATGGTGGTATCAACTACATCCAATATGCTGTTTCTGTAGGACACAATAATTAATCCCTACATGCTCTCAAAAGGGTGGTTACCACTTGCGCGTGTTTTTCATTGTAACTCGACACCAAATCACGATGCCATTAGAATGGAAAGTTGAGTACTTGGCTAGGTATCACTTGGAGTCAGATGAAACTGTCAATCTTTGGCAATTCAATGCACATTACGCCGTATTAGCATAGCAGATACCTGATAATTGTTTATACATGCTGGAAATTACCTGCCAACCCCAGGGCTTTCCTTGCCATGTTATAATAATATTAGGCGTTATCCGTCTCCCATGTACATTTCACTTGTCAGGTCCCATGTATTCAGTTACGAGAAGACTTGCCATGTCATTCGAGCATTGTTCATTATACTACACGACTGTTTATCTATGATATAAATGCGTACAGTACCCGTCAAGATGATCTCAATTTGAGAAATCTCGACTAAAATCATGCAGGATGGCTATTTTTGACGGGGGGGGGGGGAAGAGATGATGATCTGACTTGAAATCGATAAATTACTAAGGGTTTTTTTTTCTTCTCAATGCAAATCAGACGAAATTGATCTACAAACAACGAAAAACAAAAAACATTTGATGTTGATTTTATCTAAAAAACATTTTCGCCCAAGTAAATTGAAACAATGCTCATTTGTTGCGCCAACTTTGGCGTTGCCATTTGTTTTTGGATTCAAGTGTAAATCATATAATTTTTGATGTGATTTGGGTTATTATAGACTTGGTACATGCCCCCCCTTTCAAACACACTGCAATGGTTGTTTCCTCAACATTATATTAAAAAAAGCATCATCATGATGGCAAATGATGTTAATTGATGCCAAGTCGAAATACAAACCCATCTAGAGACAAAGATAACGCCTCAGATCACATTCATTAAAACTAGACTGATGTTTTAGGCTCATGTTTGCATCATAGTTACTACCATGGAATGAGTGTACAGAGTGTTATACACATCAGCCTAAAATAATTAATTACTGTTTAGAATTCCAACCTAAATTGGTCAAAATCGTTCGTCTTACTACTCTATTACTTACCATTGAACTCATATAAACTTTGCCTATTATTTATATAAACATATCATTATTGTGGATCAAACATTTTGAGATGCCATCAAAGATCAAGGAAAAACCGGTTGAATCCATTTGAAAAAAGGGAGCGAAGCCATTATAAAGGATATAGGGGAAGTACATTATAGATTCATAAAAGGGGGCTTACAGGGAGCCCGATACAAGCTTTATTCATCTTTATTATCAAACAACAAGGCATCATTTAAGGTTTAGTAACATTTCATGACGAAACTTTTCGCGTGAGCTCTATTTGCGTGATATTCATGCAACGTTGTATATAAATACTCGAGCTGTTTCTGGGCGATCTTCTTCTTTTTCCTTATACATTTTCATCTACAACCAAATAAAGCATGTCCAACAAGTCCGTCCACATTCCGTTTCTCAGTGAAGATGAAAAAGTCTTTTTAAACACTACTGCAACATTCAGCCAAGTACGAAGGATGTCGCATAGCGCTGAGCAATGCAACAGTGTCAGACCCAGCATGGAAGACAACACCCATACACATCATCAGCAGCGCCATCGACGAAACCAAGTTGTCTCTGTCTCTTCATTAGCATTACTATGGAAACGTAGAGATTCTTCTACATCCACATGCTCCTCGTCCTCATCATCGTCATCAACGGGCCATACTATGGCTGCTGGATCAGTCGCCAGCATGGATCAAAATTCAAACATGACATCTCATTATATTGCGGAAGAGGAAGACTATCCAGAAGCATGCTGTCCTAAATCACCCAAAGCAAGAGCATTGGAGTCATTGATCTTTGAACAGCCTCAAAGAACAGTTCGATTAAGTCTAACACCTGGTTGTGCTGTTTAATTTCACTCTTTCTCTCTTTATTCCATACCCTCTGTACATATATATATATATACACTTAGCATGCCTTAATCTCCTCCTATCACTATTTCTGGCCTGTTGACCTTCCTCTGTGTGTCCCCGCCCCCCTCACTCAATTATATTCGCCATCACTCCTTTTATCTCAACATGGAGGGGGGGGGGGAGTAAGCAAATGAACATTTTACCCGCCCTACCCATGGTTCGCATTCTCCCTCTTTTCAACAACTATGTTTATCCTTATACATCTCCCTCTTTCAATTGTTTCTATGATTTGTGCATGTGAATAAAGAACATTTTTATGGATTTGCTAAAATTGCCATGATTTGGGTCTTTTGAATCCTTTTCAACTCGTCGAGGCGTCGTTTGAGCGAGGCTTCTTAGATCAAGCTAGATATTGCTAGATGTTGTTCATTTCAATTCGCTTTTCAAGATGGGATTGCTGATTGATTTGCATTGGGTAAAGAGACCAAATGTGTCAAAAGTGACTTGATTAACTAAAAGAAAGGGAAGGCTTTGAACCATTTGAATTCAAGGACGGCAGGCAGCATTCAACATCAGAAGTGTGGTGTAGCAAGAATTATTTGAGGGCATGCTTCCAGGAATCAAAACTGAGCTATTTTTTTTTTCTCTCTTTTTCTCTCTCTCTTTGCTTCTATATCTTATTGAAATAGTGTTAGTATTTTCTACATGATATCCGCAGCAGCACTAGCGACAACCCTAGCACATAAACCAAACAATGAGAAGTCTCGTGTTTTAACACATTTTCTTATAGTGTAAATAATGTCAAGAAGTGACGACGAAGATTCCAACTTGTACGATCAAGACGAGGACAACAGCATCTCTCATCGCTCTGATGACGATGAAGAGGGCGAGGATATTGGCTATTCATCTCGCAAAGGTAACAACATTGCAGACGACGACGATGATGACGACGACGATGAAGATGAAGAGGAGGAAGAAGAGGACGAGGAAGAAGCTCGAAAAGTAAATTCATCACCACTAAACAAGTGTATATAACAGCGTATCTGAATCTCTCTTGTTACGATTCTCTAGGTAGCAGAGGGCTTCATTGTCGATGATGAAGAGTCAGATGCCTCAGATGAAGTAGCTGTTCGCCGCAAAAAGAGAAAGAAGGTCGAAGATTGTAAATAGCGGTTTCTATATTCAGCATGCAAAGAGACAGAGACTGACACGCTTTGACTCACACACACATTGCAACTACATAGATGATGAAGATTTGGACGAAGAAGATTTGGACTTGCTGGAAGAAAACACGGGCATCAAACTGAACCGATCTACAGGCGTGCGTATTTCCCTTTGTGTATACAGTTGCAACATTGTGAGATAACATACTCTTATAGCCCAAGTTGAAGCGTCTCAAGCGTGGTCGTGAAGAACAATCTTACGAGAAACCATCCAAGGGCGTTGACAATATCTTTTCTGACGATGATGACATGGCAGCAGAAGAGGCAGAACAAGAGCTTTCCCGTGATAGCCATCGTCGTAGTCGTGATGATTATGCTGAAGATTACGATGATAGAGCAAGATATAGACATCGCGATGCTTATGACGATATGGGAGATTTCATTGCTGATGAAGACGATGAGGATGATTTGAACGAAACGCTGGGTGAGAGAAGTCAGCCTCGTGGTTATGATGATGATCGTGGAAGACGTGGAAAGGCCAACAAGGATATGATGGATATTTTGCCAGAAGGCATCAGCGAAGAGTGGGTTATTTTCTACCAATTGCCTAGATGATTGTGCGACTGACTCATATTACGATATAGTGTTCTTGTAGACATGTATGATATTTTTGGCGACGGTGCAGAGTACGAATGGGCCCAATACGACGATGAAGAGACGGAAGCAGCCAAGGAGCGTGAGCCTCAGTTGGCAGATATCTTTGAGCCCAGTGAGCTTGCTGAACGTATGATGACAGAAGAAGACGAGGAAATTCGTCTGCGTGATGTACCTGAACGTCTGCAAATGCGCTATGAAGGACTCACCAACAAGACATTTGAGCAAGCAACCAACGATCAAGTGCAGGAAGAAGGCGCTTGGATTTCCCGCATCATGGCTCGTCAGCGCGGAGAAGAACAGCCCACGGATCAATTTATGGCTGCCGTTGCTCATGTCGTCAGTTTCTTTACACGCGAGTTTTTGGAAGTACCTCACATCAAGGACCATCGTCGTGATTACTTTACAGAGGTGGATAAAGTGACAGGCATCAGCAAGGAGATTCTGACAGAGAAGGATCTATGGGAGATTTACGATTTGGATTTCAAGTACCATAGTTTCATGGATCGTCGCAACGCACTCAAGGAATTCATCGCCAAATGCCAAATTGTCGACGGTTATGTAGAGACCATGCTGGATCGTGTGGAGAAGGTGGAGGAGGTCACTGATCTGACAGATTACATCAACCTGAAATTCAGTGACAAGATCAACCTCATGCAACAGCAAACGCGTGGCCCCAAACGTCCTATGAACAAGTCCTTGTACGAGCTGAGCCAGACCTCCAAGATTGGCGAGTGTCTGCCACGCTTTGGTATCTCTGCCAAGGAGTTTGGTACCAACTACATGGAAGGCAATTTGCGTCATACTCCCGATGATCTCTCCGTGGACCCCATTGTGGAGGCTGAGCTCTATGTCGACTCCAACTTTCCCGACCCCATGCGTGTGTTGAAGGCTGTGCGCTCTGTGCTGGCCCAAGAAATGTCATTTGACCCCCAAGTCAGAAAAGCCATGCGCAAAGACTGGGAGTCGTTTGCTACTGTTACCGTAAAGCCCACTGAAAAGGGGTACTCTGTCATTGACGAACTGCATCCCATGCATCCCTTCAAATTCCTGACTGAAAAGCCCATTACCGAGTTTAAAGACGGCCAATTTCTCCACATCCTCAAGGGTGAGGCTGACAACCTGTTGACCATCACCATCAGCATTGCCGACTACCCTGCTTGGTTTAATCGTATTGCCACCTTTTACGTCTCAGATGCCTACAGCGACACTGCTCAACAATGGAACGATCAGCGTAGGGAGATCATTGAGCAAGCCCTCAAGGAACATTTGATGCCATTGATGAGCAAATATGTGCGAGAGAAGCTGAGAATCGAAGCACAGGAGTTTATCTGTCAAGCCTCCTTTGAAAACCTGTACAGCAAGATCAACGTGGGCCCCTTCCGTGGCGCTGAATCTCACTTCAAGAGCCCCTTGCCTCGTGTTGTCACTGTGTCTTCTGGTAACGGATCGGTCAAGGACCCTGTGGTAGCCATCTTTGTGAATCAACGTGGTAAAGTCCTGGATCAAATTGAAGTGCCCAATCTCAAGGATGAGCGCTACTGGAAGGAGATGTCTGATTTCATCAAATCCAAAAAGGCCAATGTGCTTGGTGTAGCTGGCTACAATGCAGAGACGCGTCGTGTTATTAAACATATGCAGACCATGCTCAGTGAAATCAACCAGTCGCACGAACACAATGGCATTTCTCGCATGGATATGGTTGTGGTGGATGATGAAGCCTCTCGTTTGTACAAAAACTCGCGTCGTGCTCAAGAGGAGTTTAGTGATTACTCGGAAACCATGCGCTACTGTATTTCGCTGGCGCGTCGCCTGCAAAGTCCCGTGTTGGAGTATGTTGGTTTGGGCCGTGATTTGCTGGCTATCCATCACCATGATCTGCAATACTTGGTGCCTGAAGATACGCTCTTCTTTTACTTGGAACGCGCTCTCATCAGTGTCGTCAACGACTTGGGTTTCGATATCAATGCTGCCATCACCAGCACCTATCATGCCAATGCTTTGCAGTATGTTTGTGGCTTTGGCCCTCGTAAATCGCAGAGCATTCTCAAGAAGATCGAAGCCACGGGTGAGTTGGAGAGTCGCACTGCCCTGGTGCTACGTAAATTGACGCCTGCCAACACCTTCATGAACTGTGCTAGCTACCTCCGTATTCGTGACATTGACGGTGCTGACATTTTGGATGATACACGTATCCATCCACAAGACTACGAGTTGGCTCGCAAGATGGCTGCTGATGCTCTGGAAATTGACGAAGATGAAATGGACGACTATGACTCCAAGGTAGCTGTTGTTACGCGAGTCATCAAAGAATACCCCGACAAGCTCAACGACTTGATTTTGGATGATTATGCTGTCGTTTTGCGCAAGCAATACAATGCTCCCAAGCGCCAAATTTTGGAACACATCAAACTAGAACTCCAAGGTCCCTACCATGACCGTCGCCACCGTTACAGCCGTCCTACAACTGAAGAGACCTTCATTATGGTCACTGGTGAGACACGTCAAACATTGAGCGAAGGCTTCATCATACCTGCCATGGTGGTTGCTACTCGCGGCAAAATTGCCAACTGTGTACTGGATTCTGGTCTTGAAGGTATGATCTATGTCGAAAATGCTTCAGATGAGCGCATCATGAATGTGGGTGATGTGTTGCAAGTGGGACAGACTATCAACTGCAAAGTGCTTCGTATTGATCGTGACAAATTTATGGTGGATCTGTCAAGCAAGGCATCTGATACCAAACCTGGCTCCGATTATGAACTTCGCAAGTTACCACTGGACCCTTACTATGGCCACGTTGAAGAGACCAAAGAGCGCGAACAACATCGCAGCAGCCGTCGCAAGCAAGCGCGTTCTACCCGTGTCATTAAGCATCCCTTGTTTAGACCTTTCAACCACATGGAAGCAGAAGAGTTCTTGGCCAGCCGTCAGCGCGGTGATCTCGTCATTCGTCCATCCTCGCATGGCTTTGATCACATTGCTATTACTTGGAAGGTAGATGAAGATGTGTACCAACATTTGGACGTTGTGGAAGTTAAGAACAAGGATGATCCACATGCACCTGTCAGACTTCGAATTGGAAATCAAACTTTCGAGGACTTGGATGAACTGATTGTTACTTATGTGGAAGCAGTAGCTCGTAAAGTGGAAGAGCTCATGTCTCATCCTAAATATCAGCCCGGTGGTACGCGTGCTTTGAATGAGCATCTAACTGCTTTAACGCAAGCGAATCCCAAGATGTCTGCTTATGGTTTCTGTCAAAGTGAAAAGCCCGGTTACTTTGATTTGGGCTTCAAACTGAGCATTCGTGGTCCTCCTATGCGTTGGGTATGTATATTTATAGAGTTGGATGGGGGGGGGGGGAGCGTTGCCGAGTTGGTAACTAACAATATTCTCAAACTATCTAGGTTGTCAGAGTCCTGCCTGATGGCTATCGTTTGCGTGATGTGTCTTACGCTCAAGTAGATGACCTTATCAATGGCTTCAAACATATTCAACAAGCTGAAGCGCAAAAGCAAAAGCGACGAAATATGAGCAACAACCCCCACAGATACTAGAGTTACTCTTTCAGCACCAAAACTCACACACACACACTCTCTCTCTCTCACCCACATTTACACTCACTCTCCACACCTTTTTATGTATAAACACAATTTTCAAAACATGATTTTATGAAATCACAATAAAAGCTTCATTTCTGTAGTTTATGATGCTGAGATGTTGCCTTGTCGTATGTTAAAATGGCAGAGCAATCGATTGCTGTGGTGGATTAGTTCACTTTATTAGGTACTAGATAGCAATGATCAGCTTTGGTTTGCTTTGTTTTATCCCAAGGAATTGATTTGCTAAACAACTCTGACAAAATACAGCAGTGATGATGGCCACCGCACTTTAATAGAGACTTTGGACAGATGGTTCTAAACCTCCCATCCTATATCCAACACCTAACGCAAAATCAATAAATAATGGCACGCTATTTCAACAGATGCGCAAAATAAAAAGCTTTATTGAAATAATGCTCAGAAAGAAAATGTATTTTTTCTTGGTTGATCAAAGCATATCATGTCCTGATGCTAACAGAATCAATCTCGAGAAGGTGAAATACAGTTGATTCCAAAAAAAAAAGACACCTACCTTTGTTGGCAACCCTTCACTGAAGAACCTACTACTCTTCTTGGAGGAATGATCATGCAGCATGTCACCTGGTTTTGGGGTACTAAAAAGGCGACACCTTTGACACTCTTCTTCTTCCCAGCCAAACTATGGAAAAAGGCTGTGAAAAGGGACTCTTGCAGCTCCTGATGAAAGGAACCACACAACCACCCTATACCCTAATGTTTGGGATCAGAAGCCTGGCAGAGAACCGCACCGATGCCGTGGCAGAGTGATATTGAGCTCCAGATTACTGTCGATGGATATGCGACAAGGTATGCCTACATTGGTACCTGACACAGACTTACAAGACCGTAAATTGTCGGCGCTGCTTCCTAGCAGTGAGAGCGACCTAACGGGCCAGTCCAGCTGTGAATTCTCCTTCTAGCCCTACCTCTCAAGTTTTAGGCGATACAGCAAGCTGGTTTGAGCAGTCTTGTAATGTATAAATGGTAGCGACAAATGATACACCCCTTCAGTGGCGCCTTATTCCCTTTCATCTACATTCTTCCTTGGAAGAAACGTAAAGAAGAAAATTGTTGCTAGATGTGAGATAGACCCCTGGAACTAGGACTACGAACCCAAGTCAGAAATGAAGGAGAGCCAGAATAACCAAGAAGACCTTGCAAAACGTTCATAACCATCTGAACCTGACCATAAGGCCCAAGAATGTGCTACCATTGGCAAACGCTCTTTCAATATCATCTTGCAACATTGCTCCGCTAAAATCATTGCATTATGAAAATCAATTATAGCAACATACGAGATCTTTGATTGCAACCAGCAGCGATTGATGATGCAACGTTCTCAAACGTTTCAATCAACATTTAGTTAGTATATCTAATGTAGCTCTCCTGTTATACTACAGGACCTCAGGCTTTCAATTCCTCAAAACAGTTTGAAGTCTTGACATTGCACGCATAAAATGAAAGCGTTTATCTCCTCCAAAAGCTTTATATTTTTATGGCACTATCATTTCCGTAAAATTATCAGATTTAAAGCAGAATAGGGCTTAGTCTTTAGGTATTATATGCAGCTCGATGAAGAGGGTGTCAATTTTGCCTTCCTCATTAAGCTTTGCATTTGAGTGCCTAATTCGCAACGACTAAATCCGCCAGCTATAGAAAGTGCACATTGAATACAAAAAAAAATAGGGAAAGGCTGAGCTAAAGTACGCTTTTGGCTTATAATCTTCGTCTTCTTATAAGCTTCCAACAGCATCGATTACGCTTAGGAGAACCATGGCATTGAGATTGTCAGTCGAAACTGGTTTAAACGCCGATTGTTTATACGTCGTCTCGATTGGTTAAGTTTAATTAATTTTCGACTTGTTTGATCTATTTTTGGGCATCCGACTATATGACATGGTTCCTAACTGTTTTATAAAGTACTTTTCAATACACATCCGATGATACCAATTACAAGAAATGTTTAGATTGAGCTTACTGAGCAATACTAAAGAATATGAAATGAGAGTTCATTTTGATTTAATACATGCCATAGTAAGAGTCTTCATTTTGAAGGACAAAAACGCGATTTTTTGATTTTTGATGAAAACCATAAGGGGATACCTCGTGGATTTTCGTCGATTTTTGGCGATCCCAAAAAAGTTGAGCAAAGGTGTCAACAAGTTAGTGCTAGATGAAAGAGATTATTTGGTACTGTTCCGGCGATCTAAAATGGCCTCTACTAACACGAGAAATAATGGTTCAATGCAACCAAATTTTGCTGTGCTTTGAATTTTTAGCGTGGTAAGAGGTAATGCAAGTGTGTTGTCTGCTCTTATTCGACTTATTTACATCAATACAGGTGTGTAGCATCGTAGAAGACTCAAATGTGCAGTTATGGAGGGTTTTCGCGTGAGGGTAGTAGGTTAAAAAAAATGGATTACAGTATGATTAGTAGGATTCAAGGAAGGTTCCCTAAAATTATGTTAGCTCACCCTAATATCAAGTTCATAGCGCTAAATCCAGATCACCTTACCACTTACTATTCAATCAAATAGTTGAACTCGTGGATCGACAATCTTCAGCCATCAAGGCATAAATTGCAGAGCACTGTGCATAGATCTATATGAAGCATGACTTGGTGGATTCAATTGACATGTTCATTGCTCAGACACTGTCCTCCCCTCGCCTCAATGCTAGGATTTCTGTCGATAACGCAACATGGATGTATGCTGTATTACGCTTATCCATATCTCTCCAGACTGCCATTCAAAGCGCACCATCCACAATCCCATCATCTCTACCGTATAACCAAATAACAAGTGCCATGCAACACTCCACCTTTTTATTATACAACTTAATCAACCCATCTATGTCCACAACCTCTATTACCACACACATAAAATAGTGTCATTTTTGCATCTGCACGTCTCGAGGATGACTGGAAGAATACAGCTTCTGGATGACCACATTTTGCACATTGAACATTGGCTCTAGGCTGTCAGCAAAAAAAAATGAGCTCGCATCGTTTGCTTACTACGGAATTCATCAAACACAACACTTACAAGAGTAGGATCAGTACTCAAATCTGCCAGCATCATGGTTTGTTCACTGTTTTAGCGAGATTAGTCATCAGTCAGGTTGAGATAGAATATCAATGAAATACATACGAAGGAGCGTGCACAATTTCATGACGATAGACACACACGTTTTCAGCTTGTTCTTGATATTCACAATTGCGACAAGCAAACATGAGTTTTCTTTCGTTTTTATCTTCTCTGGGGTATAATAAGTTGTTGCTATCGAAATGTCAATATGTCACTCCTCGCTTCGGGTTGAATACATGTAGCTTTTTACCATTCTAAACAGTATTTGAATGTAGCCATAATGAAAGAATGAAAATGCTGGAAGTTAAAGAGTGTTGAAGCTTTTTTTTTTTATTTTTGGTTCAGGATGATAAATGAACAGAAGAGGTTGAAAGAGTCACGAATTGAAGCTGCGGTGGTGGATCATGGTCCATCACCATCCTCATGTTGTTTGACACCCTTTACAATGATAGGCACTAGCCAGGGCTTTGATCCCAACAAGCCAAACAAGAAACTTGACACTTTTAAAAAGATTCTATTTGAAAGACTGACACCAATGCCATACTTCATTGCTGTAGTGTACTGTTGATCAAATGAACGAGATAATCCACCAAATACGAGGTGTCTTTCCAGCTGCTCAATCTGCACATCCTCATAGCCAATATCTTCCAGACGCTCCTCGTACTCTTCAACCGTAACCAGATTTTGGATAGGTATATGCACTGTATCGCACACGAATTTAAAGATATTCTTTTGCATTGGAGATGCGTTGTGTAGAAAATCGGCTTCAATGGCTAGATCGTACAGTCCAATAGAACCATGCAGATTGAGTCTTTTGAAAGCCTTCTCCAAAAAGTGCCAGCGAGTATTGTAATGATAGGCTGAATCGATGCTTGTGATATAATCAAACGTGCTTGTGGATGGCAATATCTGATCGAGGTCGTCTGCTGATCCATGTAAGAGTGTAATGTTTTGCTTCCATTGTGAGCTTGTCAACCGCTCGTTTGCAATCTTCCATTGCGACAATTCATTCGTAATACCCTATATTATGTGAAATATCAGCACAGTGCTCTAATTGATATATGTCAGCCTTCCTTACCGTAACCTTGGATTTATATTTATCTATAGCTTGTGATTAGTGCTTGCTATTGCTTTTCTTTATGATGCTTTGCTATCTACCGGCTAATAAGAGACACGAGTCACCACATCCAAAACCAACATCTATACAATGGCTCGAATGAATTGTCGCTCACCCACTAGGGGAGAAATGCCTTGACTGTTCTATAGATTTACTTACCTAATACTGACGCATTTGGATTGATGTCCATTTTGTCTGCAACTGCATGAACTAGGTTCTCACAAGCCTCGGGAAAACTCATGTTTTTCTTGCTCCACAAGCCCATGTTAAACCAAAGAGTTTTGGGAGGCAGCTCCAGATTGAAGAGCAAATGTCTTAGGCCGTAAATCTCATTTCCATCTGCACTAGCTGTTGTTGTTGTATCGTCTGTTGTCGAGTTCACTAGAATGTACAAAATGCAAGTGATTCCAAGGGCATGCAAGTAGATGAGCGTCTTTTCTATATAGCCATCTGTGTATAGTATAATTAGCGGGAGAAGACTCAGGTATCCTGCAACAACGCTAGTATTGAAAAGCGTCATGTTTTGTTGAAAGAAGAAACGAGCTCGCAATCGAGAAATTTGGGTTTTCGGTGTTTGTCTGTCACACGACTATTGGTATGAATCAGGCACACAAACGTGATTACTTGGCAAGCAGTGTTTGTAGGTGATTGTACAAGGAGAGGAAATGCAGTTTATTTAGAAATGAATGTTTGTAACAGTAATGAATAAGAGGTCAAAATTAGGGAGAACAAAAATAGAGCTACAATAAAATGTTTTATTATATAAATTTACCAATCGAGCTTGGCCTTCTTTTGACCTTCACCGTTGATGGAGATTTTAGTGGCCTTTCCTTTGTAGCCCTTTCCGTTCAACCAAGGCCATGTTTCAGTACGCTTCACCTCGAAATCAGCAATCTTGTCAGCCTTTTGCATGGTCAACCCAATGTCATCAAAGCCATTGACGAGACAGTGCTTACGGAAAGCCTCCACCTCAAAAGGCACCTCATGACCAGCATAACGAATCACTTGGTTGATAAGGTCCACTTCGACTTCAGATCCCTTCTTGGCTTCAGCAGCAATGGCTTCTAATTGATCCTGAGGAAGGACAATAGGGAGCATACCGTTCTTGAAGCAGTTGTTGTAGAAGATATCAGCAAAGCTGGGAGCAAGGATACAACGAATACCAAAATCATTAAAGGCCCAAGGAGCATGTTCACGAGAACTACCACAGCCAAAGTTGGGACCAGTGCAGACCAAGGTACGTGCTTGACGATAGGGTTCTTGGTTGAGGACAAAGTCAGGGTTCTCAGCACCGGTAGCAGGGTCAAAACGAAGAGCATAGAAAAGAGCACTACCAAGACCAGTGCGCTTGATGGTCTTGAGGAATTGCTTGGGAATAATCATATCAGTATCGACATTGGAAATATCAAGAGGAGCAGCATAACCCTTGAGAGTAGTGAACTTGGGCATGCCAGCAGATTCACCGGTACTAGGAGGTGTAGCTACAGCGGCAGAATCAACAGAACTGGAATCGACATCCTCCTCCTCAGACTCGAATTCAGCAACAACTTCTTGACGAGGGCTTTGCTTGGGAGTACCAGGGATTTCAGAGACTTCCATGTTACGTACATCCGTGAGACAACCTTTGATACCAGCGGCAGCAGCCATGGCAGGACTCACAAGGTGAGTGCGACCACCAGCACCTTGACGACCTTCGAAATTACGGTTGGATGTAGATGCACAACGTTCTCCAGGCTTCAATTGATCAGGGTTCATACCGAGACACATGGAACAGCCGGCTTCTCTCCAATCAAAACCAGCATCAGTAAAGATCTTGTCCAAACCTTCACGTTCAGCTTGACGCTTCACCAAACCTGAACCAGGTACCACCATGGCATCCACCCACTCAGCAGCACGCTTACCCTTCACAACAGCAGCAGCAGCACGAAGATCCTCAATACGGGAATTTGTACAACTACCGATGAATACCTTATCCACCTTGACACCTTCCATAGGCGTATTGGGAGCAATACCAATGTAATCAAGAGCACGTTGGACAGCAGAACGACGAATGGGATCCTCAATCTTGGCAGGATCAGGAGTCGAGCCAGTGATGGGAACCACATCTTGAGGACTTGTACCCCAGGTAAGAGTGGGAGCAATGTCGGCAGCGTCAATTTCTACGTTGATATCGTATTTAGCGTCGGCATCAGAGCTGAGAGACTTCCAGTATTTGACAGCACGATCCCAATCAGCGCCCTTGGGAGCAAGAGGTTTATCACGAAGGTATTCAAAGGTTACTTCATCAGGAGCTACCATACCAGCACGAGCGCCTGCTTCAATGGACATGTTACAAATGGACATTCTTGATTCCATGGATAGAGCAGCAATGGTATCACCACAGAATTCAATAACACAACCGGTACCACCAGCGGTACCAATAACACCAATGATGTGAAGAACGATATCCTTGGATGTGACGCCGGGAAGAGCTTTACCTTGAACACGGATACGCATGTTCTTTGATTTCTTTTGTAAGAGAGTTTGAGTAGCAAGTACATGCTCTACTTCGGATGTACCAATACCAAAAGCAAGAGCACCAAAAGCACCGTGTGTGGATGTATGTGAATCACCACATACAACAGTGGTTCCTGGGAGAGTGAAACCTTGCTCAGGGCCAATAACATGCACAATACCTTGACGACTATCCTCCATGCCGAAATACGTCAGACCAAAGGCTTCAATATTTTGCTCAAGCGTCTCACATTGAGTTCTTGAATCAGTTTCCTTGATAAAAGTGGTGATATTTTTGAAGTTCTTTCTTGTTGTAGTAGGAATGTTGTGATCGACAGTAGCAAGAGTACAATCAGGACGACGTACAGGACGATTGGCATTACGAAGACCTTCGAAAGCTTGAGGACTAGTGACTTCATGCACCAGATGTCGGTCGATATAGATCAAGCAAGTACCATCTTCTTGTTGATCAATGACATGATCATCCCAGACTTTATCATAGAGAGTGCGAGACATTTTGTATATAGGGGGTTATTTTTTTGAGAAAGAAATGTAAGAAACAAGTTAAAGAAACAAGAAAATTCTCTCGTTCGTCTACTTGCAGGTTGTTATAAAGTAAATGTTTGCATTTATCCTGACTCAATGAGATTGATGAAATCATTGGTCAATCTTACCAAGTTGGCACAGGTTGTATCAGTGACTCAGGCGTCTTGATTGCCTGTCAATTTACAAATCCGACCACAAAATGCTTGAACTGACAGTGACTCAATGAGTCGCTAAGCTCTTATTGGCCTAACTCTACTTGCTTCCATGTAACGTAAAAGCTGGGGATTCTTTTTCCCACTCCTTTCAGATCATATCATTCAAAACAAATCAGCAAAATACAACGAACAACACAAAGATCATGAGCCTTTTTCCGAGTGGATTTCAATTGAGCCTTTGAGGGCATAAAGCATATCATACGGGTGTATACCACTTGATGTCTCTGTATATGCATTATTCATTCACAGATGTTCCGAAAAGAAATATGCATTGATCATCTTGCATTGTGGAGAACTTTATACATGCTCGTTCACACTTGTATCCATTTACTTTTCGTCTAAATCAAACATTTGCCGTTGCCTGTTTTTATTTTACTTTATTTTATTTTGAATCAAGTTGAACGGATATGTGTAGAACTGATGATGTAGAAAAAGCGTCTCTCTGAATTTGTTAAATTTTAAGAATTGATCCCTAAATACAGAATCACATTTAGTCTCATTTCAATTCCACATTTGAATCTCTTTACAGCAGAAACTATCAGACGAAGCATATCATACACACATCCTATACACTCTGCCATTGCCCTTGATGTCGCAAAATGGCGTTGAGGAAGGGCACTTTATTTGAACGGCGATTCGAGGCCAATGTTTCTTTCCCGAGTTTGGTCAAAGCTTATGTTGCAGATGCGTCAGATGAATAGCGCAAGCCTACAAACAAGATCTTAATAAGTCCAGTTGAATTAGCCGCATTTATACTAATTTACAGAAGCTCGGGTATTTTGTTTCGATTGAAACATCTTATTGAAAGTGGTTAGAATTGATGATCTATCCCTGAATTTGTTGCCATGGAAACCAGAACGCAGATCATCTAATTCTAAATGCCGCTATTTCTGCTCTTCGATTCATGATAGCATTCAGCGATGCGCTATATAGACTTTTTTCACAAATATATGATAATAATGACATATAGAAGTATATATTAAAGAGATGATCTATGCAAAAATAGCTCAGAAAGATGATCAATTGAGATTCAGATGGTATAATTTTCACAGATGACAGATTTTACTATATTACCAATTTTCAATATTTGACAATGACAATAGATGCATAATTAAGTCTAACTCCAAAGATTTGATGTAGTTAGAGCATGTTGTAATTCTTAAGTTTTTAATTACACTATGTGTAGTACAGTGCTACAATACAGGTCGCTAGATATACAAATGTTTCGAGGATGTATGGCAGATTTCGATGCCCAACGCTTAATCTGAATTACATAGGTATACAGATGGTATACAGAACCATGTGATTCATAGAAGGCTATCCATGGGGCTATATTACTCTCTGCATGTAAGAATGAGACTCGACGTAAATGCAACTATGATTCGACATACAGTAGTATATCATACGAATGCTAACTTTGTTGCTCACATTTGTACATTGTCTCATCTTGTAGTACACGCATAAAAAAGTAAGATTTTTATATACATGGAGATTCAAGTATGAATCCCTTTTACCCATATGTATTTGATAATCGCTGTTACACCCAATATGCTATGTACATTATTAAATAGTTTGCATTACAAAATTCTGGCTTTGTAGTCCATGTCTTACAAAGATTTTGTTGTATTCTTTGCGCAAATAAGACGCTTTATAAATAGCAAACATCATATTTGGCATTAGTTGGATAGTGCGCGCACTCACAAACCACAATACACCACAGTCCATTATATGTAAATAAAAGTAGATCGATAAGGTCTGGTGAACCCAAGCACAGGAATCCTGATAAAGTTATTATCCGAATTTAGCAAGTACGGATGGAGTACTACACACAACATGAGGAGATCTCTCATCCCTCACTTACCCACCCTCCTTCTCCTTCTTGTTTACGGAACAAAGGAAAACGAAGAGGACACACGGAAGATGCCGGTGCAAATACAAACCGAGGTCATGCACATTTGATTTGATATTCACAATGAAAGATGTAATCTCCATGATCACACAAGGAAAAAAGAAGGTTCCCCTGCTCACAATATTTATAGAGAGAGAAAGGATAGAGTTACACATTGAATACCTGTGCGGTGTTTGTGCGTTATCATGCGATCATAAAGGTTATTAGCACAATCCTCTTTTTCTCTCTTTCCCTACAATTAAAACGTGGGCAGATCGCCAAAGATTGCTTTTTTTTGTCATTCAATCCTACCCCCAAGAAATGGCCGTGTTACAAGTTTATATATAAAGAATAATTTTAGCATTGAATTTTATTTCGATTTTTAAGATATATAAAAAAAAAGTAAATGTAGTATATAGTAATATTTTTTTCTTGATTGTCAATGGATCTAATGTGATTGACAATTACATTGAGAAGGAGACATAATATTACATGTATTTTTTTTTTCGTATGATGGAAAAGTAAGGGTAAGAAGAAGAAGGGTAATAAAAGATGTGGGAATATGCTGCTCATGAGAGCAGTCTTTTTTTTTGAGATGGGAGAAAGAAGAGGATACATTTACAATATGGAATTAAGATGGTATGAAAGGGGAGGGAGAAGACCGTGGTTCTTTTTTTTTTGTAGATTGAAGGTAGCTATGCTTTTTCCAGTTTTTTTTTTTTTTTGTTTCTTTCAAGAGATTTTTCAGTAAGCCATTCGACATGATGATTGCTTGTCAAGTAGTTTTGATATACACATCATTTAATGGTCTATCAAATGCCATTGACATTAATAACAAGATCCTCAAATGTCACCCTGCAATTACTTTTTACTTACGACTTGAGCGGCTACAATCTGGGCACCAGCTAGTTTCAAAGTATCGTCTGTGAATGAGACAGTAGCTTTTACCTCGACCAAAGCAAACATTTTGTCCTGTTGTGTCTGATTTGGCATTTGATTTGCTAATGAATTGACTAAAACGAATAAAACCCATTGTGTGATGTATAATGTATTGATTTGTAAGAGAGGAGGAAAAAAGGAAGTGAAAAACCAAAAAGCTGAAAAGTTCGAGATGTCCTATTTATACAGATATGAGTGGCTTTTTTTTAACTATTCGTTGTGTTGCTCTAAATTGATGTACATGTCTGTATCTGTATCTGGCTGTAATAGTAAAAGCTGTCTGCTGCTTATAATCTTTTAGTTAAGAGATGTTTCACATTCCACAAGCATATCATAGTGTGAAAGAGGGACAAAACCTATATCCCCCCCACAACATCTCTCCCCCAAACTTCCTTGTTCTCTCTCTCTATCTTTTTTTAATTCGACTGAAAGTCTTACAAATGTACACAAGATCACAAGCTTCATCACGGGGATACTACCATTTTTTTACAGTTGATTTTGCTCATTCACGTTTGGAACGAGAACAAAATACAAATACATTTAAAGCAGCGATACATCTTTTCCATAAGTGAAATGATGATTCTTTCTTGAAATCCATCATGATCAATCTGATTATATGTTAGTAGGTAGTGGAAAGGTGGCCCCGACTCCTTGTGTTATAAGATTTTTTAAACTCGAACTCTGTACACCAGTTTCTTAAAGACCTCGACCCGTGATAAAATTGCATGTTACATTTTCTTAAACTCTGCCACGATTTTTATTGCGATAGTTTCTTTTTTTACTATGTGATCCTGTGTTCAAGTACACATTCCTATTAAGTGAGCGACGGGAAATCAGAGGAGAGAAAAGATAATGATATAAAATCCTCATTGGAAAGAGGAAATGAATGATAATAATAGTAATTATAAACATAAGCAAGAAATAAAGTTATTTCATCTACACGGCCTTTTGTTTTGAGAACAACTTGGCTCGAGCGTTTATTGTTTTGTTTACTATAATGACTAGAGATATTGATATATTGAGCATCTCTCTCCCTAGTTGACTCGTAAGAGAATCGAAGAGTAATCATAATATTTACATTTACGGTCATTATTACATGTCCAAGGCACTACTCCGCCTGTGCGTGTATTGTAGAGAAGAGAAGATGGAACAAAGAGACTGAACAACGGAGGATGGAAACTTGGAGTACGCGGAGTTGTTGATCATTGCACTACATGATAGAGTTTATCACAAATACTTAAAGGAGAGGCAAGGGAGAAGAAAATAGAGGCAGCCCAAATGCTTTCTTTATTTGCCTCTTGACATTCATGTTCTTTAAATGTGTAATTTAGTGAAGTATGATGCGCATCTCATGAAAGAAAATGAGATATCCACTTGGTAGTTGTTACACACCATTCATCTTCGGCTCTAATTTCCTTTCATTCTAGTGCACCCAATACTTGTCCTATACAAGTAATCGTCCCATGATTTCCTTTTCATTTACCATAAAATCCGAGCTCGGGTTCTTATATTTAGATACAAGAATAAGACTCGATTACGAAAAAAAAAATTAGATGCAAAAAAAACCCCCCATCACCTTGATATACTTGATCTATCATATCTATATTTTTCGCAGTAATGAGATGATAGCTCATTACGCAATATGCAAGCAGAATTTAATGACGATAATATGCATTTCATGTCTAACTCAACTTGGGAAGTTCTGCTACTTGGAGAAAGAATACTATGCAGAAAATAGCACTCGCAAAATGATGTAAATGATCAATATTTAATATAAAAGCATCATCATCACTTGTCTTTTTTTTTCTTGGGTTTAATCCATATGCACTATTGCTATGAAAGCATGAAAAGATAAAATGCATCAAACGAATGCCACGGGATGAAAATGATGCTTTAATGTGTATGTCAAGGTGTGTATAAATTTATCCTGCCTGCTCTCCCTCCCCCCATCATTCACCTGATGATGATGAGATTGCTTGTACACTCATCGAAAGAATTTTTTGAATTTATATTTGCATGTAATTCTGTATTATTCGCCGTCAATCCAATTTTAGATTTTTACATTACAAATCAACGTAGAGTATGAAATCACGAGTTTCTTTTGCTCATCTTGCCATCAAAATCAATCGTAATTCTCACCCCATTTACGATTTTCCTTATTACTTGATCTGTGCACAGTCATGCTCACAATTTGGATAGCAGGTTAATATTTTATCTGTTAATGCTTTTATTCCCTAATAGAGTCTTTATAGACATCCGTAATTATATGCTCTTATGATTCCGTTTGTCTGACACACAAGAAAGCTTGTACCTGAATTGATTCGGACTGCCGCGAATGTATCCAATGCAGGTCCTTGATCGGAATCAACTCCGCTATAATTCAGGTACGGTTTCCATGGCAACCAGCCATTTGGAATACTAGACAATAAATACAAGGCATTTGATCTCTTCTAAAATAGAAGAGATAGCACATTTTGGTTTGTGCGCATCAAAACTTACGGAATCATGGAACGGCCCAGATTTTTCCTGATTCAATCACTAGCTTTCTTATCTGAAAAATCGCTTTATTTGTTTCCTTATCTGTTAAGGACGGCTACACGAACAAACGAATAATGTATGTGCGGGAGGTTGCCAAAACAGAAAAAGAAAACATCGACATGATAGCCCCAAAATAATATCAATATCAGGTCATTATATACAAAATAATAAATATAAGCGTCAAAAGATATGGCTTGTCAAGTAAAGCGAATTTACTAAAAACCCACGAATCAATTCCCTTATGGATACTGTAATTATGAAAACATGACGATGGAATTTCTCATGCAGTTTATTAAACAAGTCTCTGTTGACGGAACTGAAACTTAGTTACCTGGATGCATGAAGCAAGTAAAAAGGCTCACTATAAATACTACTAGTGATCACCACCCTTGCGCTTCTTTTAGGATTGTCAGAAATGCTGCTTGTACATCCAGTAAACAAATGCATTCAAACAGAAATCACATGTAATTAGAGGAATCGCATAACGAAGCTTCTTTATGTATAGAAAAGGCAAGTATCACCTGTGTACTGTTTTCAATGCTTGAAATATACACATAAAATAAAGCCAAAGCACATGGTGTGTAAATTTCATGTGTTTTCTTTTTTACAATCAATCAAAAAGCATCATTGTTTCTTTGCTGCTGGCCTGCCCATACTGTTGTGCCTATTCTTTCTACACGGGATGGCGTAGTATAAACAAAATGTGCCTCTATTTTGTCAGGTCTATTTTCTTTTTTTTTTAAAAAAAAAAACAATGTGTAATGCAATAATCTCTTTAACAAAATGTAAAGCGTTCATGTAGATCACTATCTAGCTCATTTCGCTTCTCTTTAAATCAATCAACCAAGGAATTCTGCATTTCTTTAGTAATCTGAGAATAGATTGTCCAAAACTCACACACACACAGATGTACCCAATATGATAAACAGATAAACAGGTGATTCTTACTTGTGTTCAGGAATAGTATGAGGGAGCCATTCTATTTCAATATATAAATTGTAGAAGTAAACGGAATTTTCTTCCAAACATGATCAAACTTGCTACTATAAATGAGCGGCAATGGATCCCCATGCCATTGAGCTGAATGGTAGCATGAGTTTTCATTCAAGAGCGCGATACATAGCAAGTCTTTATGCTCATTACCTTCTTGGTGAACGGACGCACAAAGAGTATACCTGTACTCATCAAATCCATGAGGGCTGCTTGTATTCACACTCTTCATCTCAGCCTCAAGCGAGATTTCTTGTGAACTTGTGCATAATTCATTACAAATACCACATTTTATAATTATCGACGGAAAAAAATGAGACCAGAATATGGATGGTTACATTTAGTTTATTATTTATCAAGCACCAACTACTATTTTGAACACATTGCATTCAAAGCAGAACCTTGCTTGAACCATTGAAGTTGTTCTAATGGTACATGCATTACTACATCTTGTCATCATTTACTACAACTGTTATTATGCCTACCTTGATTAAACGTATGATTCAATGGAATATCAATCGTGGCCCCTGTGCTCTTATGTAATCTCAATGTCAAGGGGTTCCCGGGTTGGATATTAGTTAAGCCAACAATGCTGACTTTATCAGACGGATCAATCTTCTCATAGTCATCTGGATCACTGAAAGTGAGCGGTAATATACCGTTTCTCTTTAAGTTGGTTTCGTGAATACGAGCAAATGACTAATTCAAATGTGATTAGCTTTTTTTTTTTTGAATGGGGGGGGGGAGTATACCGGCATTTTACCTTGGCAATGACCGAAAGCCCATTCAGGTATCTTGGTTCCATAGCAGCATGTTCGCGAGACGAACCCTCACCGTAGTTTTCATCACCAATAATGACCCAAGACACGCCTCTTGATTTATAATCACGGGCTGTTTCAGGAATGGAAGCTGTCTCATTTGTGAATACATTGGTAGCCTGATTGACTTGATCCTCTGAATTTGTGGAACCAATCAGCAGGTTGTTGGATATATGCTCTAGATGACCGCGGTATCTGAGCCATTTGCCTGCCATGGAGATATGATCCGTGGTACATTTTCCTTTAATCTTGGTCAAAATAGGTAGAGACTCGTAGTCTTTTCCATCCCAAGCGGGAAAGCGAGGTAAGATTTGAAGTCGATCTGAGTGCGGGTTGATCTTGATCTCGATATGCGAGCCATCTTCTGGTGGTGCTTGATACATTTCTGCGTTGTGCGCTGCGTATCCTTTGGGAGGGGTATCATGACTGGAGGGTGTGTCAAATTTGAAGGGGATTCCATCTGATCCGACCATGGAATCTGTCATGGGATTGAATGTGATCTTTCCTGCAAATGCCATGGCGGTTGCAACCTATAAGGTTATGTCAGAATGCTGAAAAACGTCGCTTGTATACACGATGACATACCTCGGGAGATACAATAAACCCGTGCGTATTGGGGTTACTATCATTGTTTCCGCTAAAGTTTCTGTTATAAGAAATCATGATGGCATTCTTTTCTCCTTGCAAAGTTTGCTTGCGATCCCATTGCCCAATACTAGGTCCACATGCCGTTGCTAAAGTAGTACCACCCGCTTGTTCAAACAAATCCAACTGTCCATCACGTTCCAAGGTTGCTCTCATTTGTTCAGAGCCTGGTGTCACCAAGAAGGGCACTCTAGCTTTGAGTCCCTTTTTCAAACCTTGCCTGACAATAGAAGCAGCCTTGTTCATGTCCTCATACGATGAGTTGGTGTCTGATCCAATAAGCGACGCACTCAGTTTATCAGGCCAGCCTTCTTGTTTCACTTTTAATCTGAACAGAGAGAGAGGAGTAGCCAAGTCAGGGGTAAATGGACCGTTGACATGAGGTTCTACGGTGGAGAGATCGATTTCAATCACTTCATCATAAGCAGCATCTTGATCTGATTGCAGAATATGAGCATATTTCTCAGCCGAGTGAGCAACATCTTGTCTATGGGTGGCCTTCAAGAAATCGCTCATACGGTCATTGTAGGGAAATACAGAAGATGTAGCACCCACCTATACGACATTTAGACAACGCATACAATGGACCAATAAAACAGATGCTTACCTCGGCGCCCATATTACAAATGGTTGCCATACCAGTGCATGAAATTGAATCCACACCCTCACCAAAATACTCCAATACACTGTCTGTACCACCCTTCACGCTGAGTATACCAGCTATCTTGAGAATAACGTCTTTTGGTGATGCCCACCCGGAGAGACTTCCACTCAACTTGATACCAATGACTTTGGGACACTTTAATTCCCAACTCTTGCCAGCCATGACATCCACAGCATCCGAGCCACCGACACCGACACCTAGCATTCCCAAACCGCCTGCATTACACGTATGCGAATCCGTGCCTATCATCAGTCCACCGGGAAACGCATAATTTTCCAGCAGCACTTGATGCATGATACCAGAGCCTGCCTTCCAATACCCGATACCGTACTTGGCAGACGCGTCGGCCAAGAAATCATAGACCTCCTTATTGACGTACTTTGCTCTCGATAAATCAGCCTTACCGCCTCGTTGCGCCTCGATTAAATGGTCGCAGTGGATGGTTGTAGGCACTTGAACTCGAGCAATGTCAGTGGCCATGAGTTGCAACAAGACCATTTGAGCAGTGGCGTCTTGGCATGCGATACGGTCTGGAAAGAGCTTGAGGTAGGAGGAGCCTCGAGCGATTTCCTGAGTCTGAGGGTCATGCAAATGGCTATACAGGATCTTTTCGGACAATGTCAAGGAGCGATTCAATCTGCATGACATTGTTATTTCTTTGTTCTATCTTGTCCCCCCCCCCTATAACCAAACATTTACCTCTTCTTGATGGTATTGATATTGCTGTCCATCTTTTCATAGACGGAAGTGGCTGATTGAGCATCATTGGTGTACAATCGGATGGTGGAAGCTCTGTTTCTCTGAAGAGATGTCCATACACATCTGGATGCTGTAGCGTACTATACCGTGCGTTCAGTCACCCCAAACCGCTTCCCAGATGACTGCAATTACCTTTAACATGGTCATCTTGTTTGCTATGATGATAAAAAAAAATAACAAAAAGGGGAGAAAGTTAGAAAGGCACACACAATTTTATAAACAAACAAGTCTTCAATGAAACGCAAAACGTGTATTACATTTCACATAGGTACAGACTGTATTATCTTATCTCTCGTGCTCTCAATAAGGAAAAAAACCCACAAGCATATTAAATCACATGAATGTTCATGGGATTTTTATGTGGACATGATGTGTGTGCTTTGGTGCAAGAGCTCAAACTGGTTGAAGCAAAAGGATTTTCACGGCCTCTGCCTTGTCCAATGTAACAATATTAGTCATTGGAAATGCCTGCGTAAAGATATGCATGGTGTGGTATTTGTCAACTGATGAGAATTGAGGTCTGTGGCACTATCGATGCAACAGTTTTACTACTATTTCCATGGCGTAATGTGCCCTTTTGCATGAATTTTTTTTTTATTATTATTTCAATTTTTGGTCTCTTTCAAATAGCCATTGAATCTCAACCACCTCTCTCCACAACGATGAGTTTCTTCCAAATGTCATTGACACGGAGGCCTTGGCTACTTGAATCCACAACGAAACACCGGTTTCATAGACACGCTCTAATTTCTTGCCAATGCCTGCCAATTCCAATTGCACTAGCGAATTCCAGCTTGCTCTCGACATGAGTAAACCGTGATACACCATCTTGGGGTAGAGCGTAGGATACATCAATCGATACACCATGTACAGGTAAATGGTGCAACGTGAAGCTTCCACCCAACTTGATTCGGCAATGCATCGAAAAAGCACTTTTTCGGCTACTTTGATGGCTCGGATGGTCAGAAAAGGGGAGGGCGGTATATCCAACAGTGCGTTGATGGCGGGTAGAATGCGCCTGGCGTCCTCCTCGCGCGTATATCCAACTTGAGTCAATGGCGACAGTTTATCGTAATATATGGCTGCTGTGGATTTCTTCGTGCCAATGTTACTGAAGGCAGGTACGTAAATGTCGGGTGCAATCATTCGACAGATGAAATGTGCCAAATGCGGTAGATCCAGGCTTTCCAGCGGCAGGGCTACGTCCTTGATGCCGTATTCCTTTACCATCTCCAGCACATTCCACGCTCTCAGTTGCTCTATCAATGCTCGCTCCAGCTCCTCGTCTGACATGGCTGTGTCCCGTTCTAGTAAAACATCCAATCCTGCATACTCCCCTTGACAGCGAATGCAATCGCACTGGAAATCAAAGCCAAATCTTGCCTTTAGTGCCTCCTGTCTCTGACGCTTTGTTGCAATGAGATCAATGTAGCTGATCGTGATGGGTGTATTTGGTGGAATGTCTTCCAGGGCAATGATGAGCTGATGACCTTGTTCATATATGACACCTGCGTTGGGTCGGCATGAATGGCGCACATACTGGCTTGTGATGGGATAGATGCCAATAGCAACGGGATCCAACTGCATTTCAGAGTCTGTGATTGGGAATGATGAGATCTGCACACGCTGCCAGAGAGTGGCCATTTCTGACAATGTGTAACTTGCAGTGGGCTTTAATTTGTCCAATGTCTTTTGCATCATCGACTGATCTACGGTACTGTCTGCTGCCACTACTTCCAACTGATGAAATGCTTGCACCTGAGCACTTGATTTGGTGGTGGTGGGCAATGTATCGTGGCTGGCCAAGGTCAATGCAGCGCGGTCCAACAACCATTGATTGACATCCAAAAGAGCATCCTTGCCGTAATCTGGCGAGCCGCATAAACCTCTGTGAAAATGGATCCATGATTTCAAAAAGCAATCTTGACTGCAAAAGTAGGCGGCATGGCATTTTGAGCAACATTGGAGATTCCCTTTTCGTAAGCAATAGTTACATCGGTCGAATCGTTCCGAAGGGAACGGCACCGAAGCTAATGGCGCTTGTGTCAAAAGAGTGGTTCCTGCAGTTGTGTATTTTGAGGTTACAAAAATGTTGTTGTCCATCTTTAATTGATTGTGTTGTTGATGCAAATAGTGCTCCATGGTTTTCTTATAGTATAACAAAAATCTTTGAAATGAGAAGCGAGGGAAAAAGAAAGAAGGAAGAAAAAAAAAAGTTTTCATGAATTTGATACATCTTTTGTAATCCTAAATGTGATTCAAGCTGACGAAGAGTAATTGAGTCAAATCCAAAGAGGAGTCTTAAAAGGGTCGCGAATTTGGCTGCCAAGTGTGGTGGTCCCCCTTTCCCTCTGTCCCAAATGTTCTTGCTGTGGTACAAGGTTGATTAGTTGTTTGGAATATATTTACATGTTCATTTGTACATGATTGAACAAAAAAAAAAAAAAAAAAAAAAAAAAAAAAAAAGATGTTCTCCCTGTTCCCAGGTAAAAAATCTGCTCTCGGGATACGAGACATGAATTCCTCTTTCTCACTTTTTTTTTCTCTGCATTCACATCTTGGTGAGCACATCTTGTTTGCGTGTCTGTGTCGCTTTTTGTTGATATCAAACGAGAGAGAGAGTGTGTGTGCATGCGTGCGATACCATTCTATTTTTAACAACATTTACCTTAAAATCCAAATCATTGCTACCTCTATCTTTTCTTTTTCTCTTTCTTTTTCTCTCTCTCACTAAACTCGAATCAAAATCTACATATGCAAAGTGGTAAATTTTAAGCTTTTTTTCGAGGAATCAATAAAAACAAGGTCTCTAATGTATAACAAAGCTCTCTCTGAACAAGCACAATCATGTTCCGATCAAGGCAATCAGTACCCTTTTTGTTCGCCCGTATCAACAGATGTGTGGACAAATGGCTCTACGTATGATTTTGTGTGGAATTTCAAGTATGTAGCAGCAAATTCATTATAGTGTAATTATACTTACCTCCCTTTTGTTCTATAGCTATCCTTTTTATGTGGGCTATGTAAGGAAGAAATGAGAACACACCCCTCTGTGTCCTCCCTCCCCCTCTCTCTCTCTCTTTCTTCCCCCCCTGGCTAACACACTATATGAATTTAGGAATCCATCAGTCTCTACTTGTACTATTACATCAAGTTTGAATATCAAAACGTCAAGAATTTCACCAATTTAGATAGAAGCACTGGGGGCATCGAAGTAACTGTGGATGACTCTTGGTTCCTCACACCATTGAATCCAGGAGATTCGCCTAAAAATTGGACCATGCTGGGCTTTTATCTGCCTTCAACACTTGACTCTGCTCAAGAGCTTGCGAGCCCAAGCAGCATGTTTCCTCGACCATTCAACTTTACCATCACCCGTTAGTATCAATCCCTTGTTATATAAATACTTTTTAGAGCCTAATCGTTATCAACTCAAATATAGAAATTGCACCTCCTGGTAACAGCAGCACAACAAACATAGCCAATACGACAAACTCAACGAGCACAAATAACAATAATAATAGCAGCGATAGAAATAGCGGCAATAGCAGTAATCTATCATCCTCTTCATCTGCGTTGCCTGGATGGGCCATCGCTGTCATTGTGATTGCAGTGATTGCATTAGTTTGTGGTGCTGCTGCCCTTATATGGGCCATCCTTATTTCTCGTAGAAACAAACGAAACAACAAGCTGATTCCAATCGTTGGAGGAGGCAAAGGTGGTAGAAATGGCGACTCGGGCAAAGGCAGTGGAGAAAAGGGACTATACAAAGATTCAGCATTCCTCAACTCGCAAGCAAAAATAAACGCTTTCCGATCAACAGACAGTGTACCCATGAGTGCAGCAGAAAATGCCTCCAGTGTGGGTACATTGGCTTCAAGACAAACGTACACACAACCATTTACACCCTACGATAACAAATTAACCTCAACAGACGCTGTGTTACTCGCTGATACCTTTAGAAATACACTGGGAAGATCAACGGCTGATTGGAATCCTCTTCCTCCTTCTTCTTCTGCTGCTGGTGGTAGCGTCACTTACGATGACCCAGAGGAAGAAGAACTCAAGAGAAGACGATTAGGTGAAGCTTTATTGCAACGGCAATTAGAAGAAGACGGTACTTCAGTAAAGCATGCTGGTCGATTTACTCGAGTAAAGAGTCTAGCAGATATACAGAAGAGTGCTGTTTTTGAACATCCCACAAAGTATTAAAACAATTCATCCGTATGTATCTCTCTCTCTCTTCATCCACCCATTTCATAATTGTAATATTACTCTTTTATACATTTCTCTTTTTTTTAAAAAGCTTGATCATCTTTTGAGCTTTGTGTACTCTTTCTTCCTCCCCATCATATTTATTACATTATTATTATCACATTATCATTACATTCATGTCTATATAAATCACAAGGTTTTATGGAACTGTGCTTTTGTTATTTGATTCCCAAAATACACGATTGTGTTATTATTAGAAATGGAATTTATAAAAAAAGATATATTCCTTAAAATGAGACCAGGTCCATTGTATAAATTCCAGGTACCTCAAATTTCATCATTTCTAAATATTTAAAGGACATGTCCGATGTGCGAATTACTATTGGATTTCCATAACTTGAGATAGGACAATCTACGGTCTTTCCATATTATCAAGTCGCATTCTTCCCTGCTCGTTGTTTTAGTATTTTAAATGAGCAATTTCAAACAAGCAGTATTCGAGGACGGAAAAGGAGGATTAAGAGATGAAGGAGGTGGACGAACTTGACGTGCAAGTAAGGAAATTAGTTACGATGGAATATTATTTAAATCAGCAGTTAGATAGCAAAGTTGAGACGTTAGAGAGCGAAGAGAAGCCTGTCGTAAACACTGATCTCAAAAAGAAGAAAAAGAAATACACGATTTAATCTGAATACGACAAAATAAATTCTATTCTTCAAATGTTGATTAAGGCTCCTAAGAAAATTGCATCTGTAGCCAAAAAGTATAACATTAACGAACGCACTGGCCAGCGCTGGTGGAATCAATGCAAGAACGATTCAAATACGTTTTTCTTGCCAAAAGCTAGATGCGATCGCAAGAAGCTCCACGAAGAACACCAAACTTTTCTAACTGACTTGTTAGACGAGAATCCTTCGACCAACATTAAACAAGCTTTGGAGCAGTTAACTACTAAGTTTGATGACTTGAAGTTTGAAAGATCAGTAGCTGTTCATGAGTTTATTAGAGATAATATGGAATTTACCTTCAAAAGAGCTGCTTTTCATAGCCTCAAAAGAAATGACGAGGGTGCTATTAAAGCAAGATATGAAAGGACTAAGAAAATCGTGGAATTAGACATGAGTTTTCTTAGAAACTGTGCATTTATTGATAAGTCTGGCTTCCATATAAATATGTGTTGTGCCAGGAGGACTACAACTGTCTATAAAGATTAAGGTATTCTTGATGGGTAGATATGTCTGTGTTGTGCAGCAACATGGACAAGCTATGATAATTGAAGTGCATCTCAGCTATCTAAATACTGAGGTTCACCAGATGTGCTAAGCGTTGTACAAGATAGATTGCTACTTTGGCATTCAGAACTTAGTATAAATAGAATAACGCTTGTCTTCATCAATGAATCTTTAGTTTTTGTGTCTGATCTTATTCAAATAGGTCTCTTGTTTTTATAATATCGAACATTTTTTATATGCTACAAATAATAATCTTTTTATTTTTTGTGCTTAACAAGAATAAAAGCCTCTATCGCTTAGAAAATGAGTTTCATACAATGCAGAACATCGCAGGCATCAGACAGAACTTTAATTTATCTACTTCTTGGCCAACGCAACCTACTACGTCTTAGTTTTAGGTCGAATTCTGTTCAAATCTAGCCATTTTCAAACATAAACAACTCATGCTACAAAGCGTTTTGAGCGTTTGCAATAGCACCAAACGACTCCTCTTGACCACGCTCTACTCACTAATGGTTTATCTCAAATTTTTTAACTCATTGCAAAATCAATGAAAATCCTCATTTTTACATGAGTACTAGCAGGGGAAAACTCTTGAAAATCAAACGATCGCGTTTTTCGCCCCAAAAATGAAGACTTTTTCTATGATACATATAAGATCAAATTGGTCGTAAAGATGAAATGCAACATTGGAAACTCTTTCTATCAGACTTTTATATGTTAAATTTTGACTTATTCACAGAAAACCTGTTTTCATATTTTTGGAAATTGCTCATTATTATCGGTCAGAAAGTTGAATGTAATTACAGTGCGCGAAAAAAACGTTCCAGTGTTTTGCCAAATTGCACTTATAGCCAGTTTTCTCTGCAAATATCAAAGCTACTAGGGTTTGCTTAGTTTCATAAATAGCCTGAGTAGTTGGCTATCAGATGATATATTATGCACTTTATTCACGTAATTAGAAAAAGAATGGTAGCGTCATGAAAAGTGAAAAGTCGAATTTATTAAATTTTATAAAAAAGCTCAAAATTTAGTTGGACCACCTTTACTCTTGATAACCGCTTTGATTCGGCGTGGCATGCTGCCTATGTATTTAAGACAGTCTTCTTTTGTGAATTTATAACATTCCTGTTCAATTCTGTCTTCTAACTCAGAAATGCTGGCGGCCCTAGTAGGGTACTTGTTCAAACGACGTTTTAGTTGATGCCAGACATGTTCAATGGGGTTTAGGTCAGGGCTTTGGGGGGGGGCAATCAAGGACACTGTAATGAAATAGCCACCCAAACGCAACTTAATTGAAAACCAAAGTTCATCAAATAGCACTCATTCAAATTCATGCTATTTGGATCTATTAATGAAAGCGCTCAAATGTACATCAAAAACCCATTTAAAAATACTAAAGTAAAGATACACGCTTATATCGCACATCGTGTGAATGAATCACTCCTGATCACAGTGTATTCAATCACACCCATGATGGTCGTAATAGGTGATGGTATCTTTATCCAAATAGAATTAAATCAATAACAAGCATATTCAAATATGACAACTATGCCCTGCTGCCATAGTTGCACAATATCCCAGATAAAGGATTCCATGCTTCAATAACAAACATCACACTTTAAACCATCAAGGTTACATTAAATCATGCTATGACGATAGCTCACCCAAGCCCATCAAGGTTACTCAAATCGACCCTTATGGCCAGTGCTCCTGCATTGACTACCACTTTAAATCAAACATCAACAACATTTGCCAGATATCGCAATAGCAGCACCTATTGCTCTCTATCATCACTAATCCTACAAGCCAGATGCAAATGTATAAATACTCTTCTTTTTTTTACTCAATTCCAGGATCTTCAGTTCATTTTATACACAAAATAAAATACAGTTGATTTCTATTGTATTTTACTATTGCTTTATTTTTTTTGTGAAATCTATTTAAACCTGATTTCACTGCAGACACTTTGCACAGAGAATCCGTGATGCGTGAACCATTTCTTAATGGGACCAGAAGTATGTGGTCTTGCGTTATCTTGCTGGAATCTAAACGTTTTCTTGTCCAGCCCATAGTACTCGATAGTGTCTAGCAAAGATGAGTTCAGAATTTCAGCATAAACTTCTGAGTTAACAGTTCCTTCGGTAATGGTGGAGCCATAGCTGGGTCCCTCCGCTGTTATCATGCCCCAGAAAACAACGCCACCACCATCTCCCTGAACTTGAGCCTCAGTTTGATGAGGCATCAACTCAGTGGGCCTGTCAGTTCAGTAGAAAGATTCGCCGTCAGATCCCCACATGTTGGCCCTGCTTTCATCGGAAAATCCCCATTTACGCCAATCGTCCGCAGTCAAATGTCGATGTCTCTTGGCCCACACAAAACGCTTTTTCCGGTTCTCCGCAGACACGAAATTGGTCTTTATCTTTCTTTTAGCCTTGAACCCTTTGCGCTTGAGTATATACTGTATATTCCTCAAAGTCATCTGAACTACCATATGAGCAAGGTAGCACTGCACACCCCTGGGGCCGTCTAAATTACCATTGCGGAGATTCCTCTCAATGTAGTTCATATTCTGCGTAGTGATTTTGCTGCGTCTTCCGGGTTTGGCATGTTTTGAATGACCAAAAAACTTCTTCCTGTGGCGAGAAAATACACTGACGGACAAATCTGGGAAGATTTTTTGAATGGCACGGAGGGAACAACCTTGGTTGAAAAGAGCCTTGACAGATCCTTGAACCTCCTGAGTAATGGGACGTGTCATGTTAAAAAAAGTGATGAAGTAAAGATGGTAAAATATAATGAGGGGAAAGACCAAAATCTCACGCTTCTTTATACTTTTTTAAGCATTCTTCGGATAACTAACATTTTAAACATAAATGATATAAAAAATTACGGCTCTCGGGTCATTTTCGTGGAATGTATACAAACAATAAGGTCATCGAGCGATATTTCCAATTTCACAAAATCGAAATTTTTTACTTTACGTCAGTTGCACTAGCTCAATATCTACTGTATCAATTATTTTAGTAGCTCATTTTGTGGCTAAAAACCCAAGCTTTTGTAGTCTTACTTTAGTTTTAAAACTGGAGAAAATTTGACAGAGCTGTAAGTGTAAAACTACGAATTGGCAAAACACTGGAACGTTTTTTTCGCGCACTGTATCTCTGAAACACCTGTCAGAAGACTCGTTTGGAATGATGGCAGCAATCATTTCACTCAGTTGCTCAATGATCGTGTCGTCCAATCCTTGATTTCTGGGGTCTGCACAGCGAATCGCAGCGGCATACTCTGGGTCGTAAACGTACAGCTGGCTATACTTTGGCACATTGCTCAAATTTAGTGGTGCTTGCAAGTGATAGAGTTCCCCATGAACACGAACCGGCGTGATGCCGCCTCTCATCTCATTCTCTCTATCTCTTTGGAGCTGCTCAGGCGTAGCATCGGTGCCAAATGATGTAAATGCGAACAAAGTGTTGTATTGTCGCATGTGCTGCAAAAAATGAGAGGATCGAGGATGGCTTCCGTTGATCAAGCTATTTAAAGGCTCGGGAGGCTCTTGCAAAAGGGGCAAGACAGCTCTACCTTTTTTGCAGCAAGCATGAAAGCAGTTGTCGTTTACTCGCTGTTGAACAGCCCTCTCTGCGGCCCAATGCAAAGCTCCACATCCATCACATTGGTTGTCCATTCTGCCCAAATCTGAACGTTGTACTCTTCCAAGTTCTGATACAAACGCTGCAGGTGCTCTTGGTGTTCTTCGATTCGCCAATCTTCTTTGCCTGGCGTAATTTCGCGCTCGTTCCTGAATTTGAGTACAAACAAAATAAACCATTGCGTCTCAGGGTTTTATTAGGCGTTAAAAGCCATTTTACTTACTCGACATGAATCACATTTCCGATAAGCATAGTCTACTGGAAGAGCAGCTCTACAGGTCGTGCAGTGTCTTGTTTGAATAGTAGGAGGCATATTATTACGTACGTATAATAACAAAAAGCAATGTATCAAATTTTTTTTTTGGTGCCTTATATTCTTGGTGGAGGGGCTAAGCCCCCTCCTCCAAACCCTCTCCCCATTGCCGGCTTCGCCGGTGGTTATGCCCTCGTTTGTTCTGGCTTTTAATACTATTAAATTTTAAAAGGATATGATTGGCTTGTCTACTTTTTTTGAATGTTTTACAGTATATATATTAGACTAGCCGATCTATCTCGCTACGCTCGATGACGGCGTCGCCCTGCGGGCTTTGGCCGATTACAATAAAACTGGTTAAATCAATAGTTATAAAGGGTAAAAAAGAATATAGAGTAGTTATATTAGGTAGTATCTGAAAATAGAACTTCAGGATACACCACATTTTCTGTGTGTTTCATATTTTCGGGTAATAAAATGGTCATGCCATTGGCAGATGTTGCTCTTGACATGGCAACATAGAGTTGGCCATGAGTAAATACGGGACTCCTGAGGTCCACGGCAACTTTTCTGAGAGATTGACCCTGCGACTTGTTGATGGTCATTGCGAAAGATACTTTAACCGGGAATTGCTTTCTGGTCAAAATGAATGGCAATGTGCCAGGCAATGTAGACAAAGTAAAGCGAGGAATCAACTCGACAGCACCTGACCCTCCGAGGATTTTCACCTTGAGGACATACTGTCCAATTTGCTGAATGATCAGCCTTGTGCCATTGCACAAACCTCTTTCAGGGTTGAGGTTTCTCAAGAGCATGACAGGAAGACCTACTTTCAACTCCAAAACTGCTGGCGGCAGCCCTGAAGGCGAAAGGGTTTGCAAATACTCTGAGGGATAGGCTTGGGTCTCCGTGTTGGTCAGATCAGACTGAGCTGTGTCAGCAGAGTACAGAGTGACCTTTTCCCCAATCACGTTCTCCATCACCTTGCTGTTAATAGCATCAACGTTGACGTTCTTTGAACAGAGAATAGCTCTTTCCTTGAAGAAATCACTATTTTGCAGAGGACACTGCAGAACATGCTGAGGATAGATATCTTCAATGAACTGATCAAGATCAGTCATCTGCCTCAAAAAAGAGGGCAAAGCAATGCTGCCAATCATGGATGGTTCATACGACATTTTTCCTATCCAATCTGCAAATTGCCTATCTGTGTCATTGGAGTTGGCAAGTCTCATATTCTCAGTCAGGCTCAGCTTTTGTAATTTGGGCCATAATCTTGACGATTTCAGTGAGGCATTGACGATTTCAGGACGGCCACCTTGCCTAACAACAGGTGGAATTTGAGCAAAATCACCGCCAAGAACAACAGGAATACCACCAAAGGTAACTTCATCACCACGACTACAAATATCACGAAGTGTTCGATCAAAAGCTTCAAAGCAATATCGATGCTGCATTGGCACTTCATCCCAAATTATCAATGATGTCTCTCGAATGAGATCAGCAAGATCATCGTTTTTCTTGATTGCACACACAGACTGCTCGTGGATGTTGAGTGGAATGGCAAAGCGAGAGTGCGACGTACGCCCACCAGGAAGTAGCAAAGCAGCAATGCCAGAGGAGGCAACACAGAGAACAATTTTTCCTTGGCTTCTATAAAAGTGACAAAGAGTATTGTAAATGAAGGTTTTGCCAGTGCCAGCTGGACCTTGCAAAAAGAAATGTGAGCTGTTGGCGTTGCTGTTGATGGAGGAGGTGATGGTCTCAAATATGTGCTTCTGGGTAGCGTTCATTTGAGCGTACTTTTGCTGGTACGAAAAGGCTTCTTGATCTTGGAGATATGACATTTTATTGAGTATCAATGAATTGCGTTGTATGCCAGTCATTCTGCTTATCAAGCCATTCCAGTTGAAGAGAGGCAAAGGCAAATTGAACTGACCTAGAGATCTGTCTTGTGCACCAAGAGATGTTTGCAACAGATATAAGCCGTAATCAAGACTTCGCGTTCCATGGTAAAATTCAGCGTCAGGTTGCACGCTGAGCAGCAGCGAATACCCTTTTTGCACGATTGCATGCTCAAGATCATCACAGAAACTTTCACAGAATTGATCCCAAATCTGAACAGGCGATACCAATGAGTTGAACATGAGCGCAGAGACAAACATTGAACGCATTGCGTAGCCAGAGGCAAAGGTAGCAGCTTCTTCAAAGGCTCTGGTCCATTCTCCATCATCTTCGATCAAATGCAGCATCATACAGGCCTCACGAAAGGTGGCATACTCGTGATTATTGACAGTTCTCAGATGAGAAAACGACGTGGCTCCTCTGACAACTGTGAGCAGCAGACGCAGATAATACCTCTCGCCGGCAGCAGGGCTACAGTAGTACATGCGGCCGATAGACATGGTATCGGTTCGTCTTGCTTCCCACCTTTTTGGCTTCTTTTCTTTCCAAGTCATATGCTCTGGGAATTGCTGGTAAAGCAATGGTTGAAAACCAGATTTGTTTTGATTCACGGCATTATAATGAAAGTAACCCATGAGCGTGGTATGACTCTCTCTCAGGACATTATCAATTCTTGATTGAGGCCAGGAAGGATCAAAATATACAGGCTGCTCATTTTCAAGATGAATAGCAAGTGTAGTGACAGGTGGGCTTTCCTCATGCATTGGGAACTCTTTCAACCTCCAGACGGCTTCACACGGGCTGATATAACGGCCATTCAGATATTTGGCACATTCATCATTCTGATACATTGCTGCAGTACCAGCTGTTGCGGCTGTTGTCGCGGTAGTCGTGGTTTTCAGAGTAGTCTGATCAGAACCTTTGTATATATACTTGTTGATGTATTTGATAGCCTGGACACTGGCGCATACTTCCACGTTGATATGAGCGTTGTATCTCTTTGATAGGAATGGATTATACGCTACCACCCATTCATTTGTCATATGAAAGTCGTGGTACACGTTCTGATCATCTTTGATGCGTATTACATGAGAGCGGCCATCCATTCTTCTACGATAGAGTGGATACCCATCATCAGGGACTATGGTTGCTGGCTGATAAGGCTTTGGGAACTTTTTTGAGCAGACGTCGTTACCGAAAGCATCCTTCACCATACAGGGAGATTTCTTGTTATAACCACCACATGGACCGTGCATCATGTTGCGGGTGACAATTGCATGTAGTTCAGGGTCTTGATGAACGTCTGGAATTTCTGTGGAAATAATCTGGTCGATCCTCTCTGCCGTATCAAACCGGTCATTTTGGTTATCCAAGAACAACAGCATATGACTATGCGGGAGGCCGCGCTTCTGGTATTCGATTGTTCTCACAATCCCTTTATAAGCACCAAAGATTTTCTTTTGCTTCAGGTCTTTGAGTAATGCGTCGTGCTTCCGGTTGAATACTTCAGCAACCAAATCTGGGCGATCAGCAGCACTTTGGCCAGGCAACAACTCATCTTGGATCTCCCTCCAGTTTGGGTTTGCAGTAAACGTTATGAATAACGTTGGCTTACCAAAGAATCTAGAAATAGCCATTGCGTTTTGGTACAGCTCTGCCATAAACCGGGGACCACCAGTGAAACTGCTTGGCAAAATAAACGTTCTACCCACCGTTTCAAGATCTGTATCAGAAGCACTGATAGCATCAGCAAGACCTTTGTAGACATCAGCACGGAGAGTCGTTTGATTAGCCTTGATCCAGTTTAACTTGGTTTGTTCACAAACAGCCCAAGCATCGATCAGGTATTGCTGGAATAGACGTCTCGAGAGGAACAGGATTTTGGATTCACCATTCCTGACATGCAATCTAAATCTATAGAAGGCACGCTGGGTAAGCCTGCCTGTTGCTCGACGTTGTCCCTCTTCTTGCGCTTCTTCATTGTCAACATCCATGGCATCAACAGTTGAAGCAGGCAATTGCAAACGAAGGCCCCAATGCCACCCATATTCACCTCTGGGAAAAAGCAAAACGTAATGGAGAGGCATGTAGGCAGCATGCGTCTCGTTGATCCTTCTAAAGAGTCCTCTGGAACTGGTGGAGGTGCTATTTCGATAGGTAATCAGGATGTCTCTGAAACTTGAATCAGCATATTCATTGGGGATAATAGCTGCAATCTCGTTGACAGTTGGCAAGTTCTGAGTACGCCTATCTTCACCGACAACCAATTCCAGTCTCATTTGAGGATTGAGTCGAATATACGCATCCTCGCTGACATGATCTTGGGCTTGTCGTTCTTCCTCTGCACTCAGAATTTCGTGGGCATGCTTGTAGATACGTACAAATGGGTTACCACAACGAACCGGGTCATCAATCATTTCACTTAATGCTTCAATGATTGAATCATCTAAATGCTGATTTCTGGGGTTGGCAGATCGACATGCAGCAGCATACTCGGGATCGTAAATGTACAGTTGATTGTACTTTGGAGCATTACCAAAATTCAAGGGTGCTTGCATGTGATACAATTCACCATGGGCACTTACTGGAGTAACTCCACCTCTTCTCTCCTCCTCTCCTTCTCTCTGGGCCCCTGCTGGCGTAGCAGTGGTACCGAATGAAGTAAAAGCAAACAAAGTATTGTATTGCCTTATATGCTTCAAGAAATGGGATGAGCGTGGATGGCTTCCGTTGATTAAGCTATTCAAGGGCTCAGGCGGATCTTGCAATAAGGGCAATATGGCCTTTCCTTTTTTACAGCAAGAGTAGAAGAGATTGTTGCTTCTGGATTGACCGGTAGTTCTTGCTGCGTCCCAATGCAATGCGCCACAACCATCACATACAACGTCCATTCTTCCCAGATAATGAGGTTGCATTCTTCCAAGTTCTGATATGAAAGCGGCAGGTGCTCTAGGTGCTCTAGGTGGCCTTAATGCAGCTCTCTGTCTGGCGTAGTTTCGGGCACGTTCCTGAAACAAAAATATATATATAAGGTTCGTTCGAATGTTTGTTTTTCATTTCTTTTCTATTTACTCGACATGAATCACATTTTCGAAAATTGTAATCTTCAGGTAGAGCAACTCTACAGGTTACACAGTTTCTAGCTTGAACAGGAGGCATGATAATTCGATTTGATTTTAACAAAAAGATATTTCATACACTTTATGCAAATTGTGATGCTTGATGTTCTTGGTGGAGGGGCTAAGCCCCCTCCCCCAAACCCCCTCCCCATTGCCGGCTTCGCCGGTGGTTATGCCCTCGTTTGTTCTGGCTTTTAATACTATTAAATTTTAAAAGGATATGATTGGCTTGTCTATTTTTTTTTCATAGTTTTCCAGTATATATATTTTAGATTTAGACTAGCCGATCCATCTCGCTACGCCCGATGACGGCGTCGTCCTGCGGGCTCTCACCGAAGACATTTGAAATCAGAAGAGATAGTAAAACTCTGCTATAAAAGTACATTTTAAACAATGACTATATTAGGCATGAAGCTTGATTTAAACGTCAGAACTTTGGAGGTACAAATCAATAATATTTTTTATGAAGCATTTACGTGATATTATTATGACTTCTGGTTTACTACATCCTCCGTCCGAGTTGCATTTTCTGGCGGCAGAACTGTGATACCATTCGCGGATGCTGCTCTTGAGATGGCGACACAGAGCTGGCCATGCGTAAACACAGGACTTTTATGAGATCTACAGCGATTTTTTTTGAGAGGTTATCATTGCAAAAGATATCTATATTATAGGGAAAAACTCGCAAAAAAAACCAAATAAAAAAGGATTCAAGCTAATCGACTGTTCTTTTAAATTCATAATCTCTAATTAATCAGCATCACAATCGTCATTGCCATCAACAGAAAGGCATTTTGGTCAGCCAGCAGCAATGCCGCCGCCAAAATCAATTCAAGCTCAGTTTATTTTTTCTGTTCAAGATTGGGCGGGGATAACATACCTGGGGCAAAACTCCGGCCCTAATAAGATAAATGATTGGTTTATATTGGCCAATAAAATCATAAATTAGGGCCGGCTGTAGAAATATATATGAAATTTAAAAGCCCTACTATACTTTCAAACCTAATCTGATTTACCCCCTTTCTCCTTTTATATTCATTTATTTATGCGTTTTGTGAACAGTAATGGGGAAAGTTACCAAACATAGCAACAATAAAGACAAAGGAAAAGCACGCAGCTTTTCTACCCTCCGATTTTCTGCTACCAAAGGCTTTATTTCGAATCAAGCTACAATCACACAAGCCTTCAAGCGAGTAGCTAAATTCAATGCAGCAGCAACAAGTATTGATCCTTCAAGCAGCTCAAATCAGGGCGAGTCATCAACATCTGAAAGCCAAGAAGAGCGCTCTGTCCCTGAAGAGGCCGGATTAGAAGAGGGTGAAGAGAACTGCGAGGCTGAAGACTCATGGCAATCTCACGACCCCATCATTATGCGACAATTGCCACAGGAGCTTCAGATGGAATTCCCTGCCGTTTTGACTAGCAAAGGAGGTGTTTCCAAAACTGTCGCAAATCTCCTTCGTCCGTGCATGCAAAATTCAATGGGTCCTCAGAGATTCCAAAAGTTACTCCGAGAATTGCATGTTCTTCGTCATGATCAGCTGGAACTCCAGTACTTACTGTCATGTTTGGCTAAAAAGAAAGGACTCCTCCGGAACTACTCGTTCCTCCCTTACTCGAATTTTGAAGACCCTCACCAGTATGCTGGTTATGTACCAAGTGCCACTTATTTCAGGACTTTGTACACAGCAATGATCGAGGAACTCAAGCCAAAGATGGACAAACATGCCATGCTTCTTGACGGCAAGGTGCTTAAGTGCGATCACTCTTTCAAATTCCCGAAACATATCGCTAAAATTGAGGATGCTGGTGTATTCACTGCCTTGTTCACCGTGACGAATGAGTATGAGGAGATCGTACATCAGGTTCTGGTCCCCTCAAAGTCCCTTATCTATCTGAAGCATTCATTGCAAAAGATGAAAGAAGCATACGAACTTTATGGACATGAGATGCCGGTAGCTTTCTTCACTGATAATGTGCAAAGCGATAAACGATTCTTGGAGAGCATCTTCGACTCTTTGAAGGTCATTCAAGAGGTCCCACGTCAGCAAGAGACTGCAAACAGCAACGCAAACCGGTTATTCCTCAGGCTGCCAAATGATGTTGAGGTAGATTATCTCAATCGTGATGTAGGGTTAATTATTAGGAAGATGAAGGATCTGAATGACAAGTTGACAGTCGAGAGAAACGCTGGCAAGCCCTCGGTTATTGGACTTGACACAGAGTGGAATGTGAATGACGATCCGCATTACGATCAAGTTGATGTCATTCAGATTGCTCATGGCAATACAGTGGACGTTCTGCATATTGATAGATCCTGGCTCGCACTCCCCAAGGAGCTTGTAGATGTGCTTGTAAATGCTGATATCACGAAAGTTGGAAGAAGCATTGGTGTTGATTTCTCTCGTCTCAATAATCGGTTCGGAATTGAATGCAAAACGAAGTTGGAGCTAGGATCATTCTGTTCTGCACGGCAGCTAATCTCAACAGGTACAATGTCATTGTCAGACATTTCGCTATGTATACTTGGTGCCCCTCTTGATAAAGGCCCTCAAAGAAGCGCATGGAATATGGCTGACCTCTCGCCAGATCTTCTAAATTATGCTGCAATTGATGCTTGGGCTAGTTTGGCCATCTACAGTGTTGCTGCGAATCATCTGCCTGTTGGTAATCGTGTGCTTCCTACCTGTCCAGTTGGTTCGTTTGTAGATGTGATGCCTCCACGAAACAGTCAAGCTGTTGCCTACGGCGAAATCGTGGCTAATGGTAGCACAGCAACTGTAAGAATTACAAAAGTATATGTTCCTGGATATCTGGCAAATGGTATTGCTTTGCAAACATATGGTGAACCACCATTTGAACTGAGAGTTCCTGCAGCTCATCTCATCACAGCTGCTTCACCATCTGAAGCCTCGAGTATTTCCTCTGTCAATCCTACCGCCACTAGCGATCCTGTAATAGCTACGCCAGTAAGCAATCCCAATGCTATTATGGAGTCAGAAATTCAGTCAAAGATGCAAGAGATTTTTGGTGATGCTATAGACAGGGTTGACAAGGCTGGCTTTACCAGTGGCTATCGACAGTTTGCTTGGTATAATGCTGATCCCAAAATTGCTTTTACTCGCGTCGTCAAAGACATTTTTCATTTGATGGATATTGTGGAATTTGAGGCTTGATAGACTAAAATTCACGGAAAAAAAAGAATAAAAAAACAGTAATGTCAACTTGATAAAGGTATGTTTTATTATCAAACTGACAGGTGTAAAGTAAACTGAAGTCTCTCTACTGGCCAGGTAGATGATCCTTCTTATATACTATAACAATGGATAAAAGTTCTATTAATTAGATTGACAAATAAGTCAACTCAGATCAACTAATGTCTAATCATGCTAAAAGACAACTCCAGCAAGCTAATCATGATTTAGCTCTGTCTGGATGAATAATTAGACCCTCATCCGAAGTACCCTGATCTATCCTTTCCATAAGGATAATTAATATCGATCTAGTAGCATGTATCCGATAGGTACAGTCTTCTTAGTCTATATTAATAGTACATATCTGAGTGTATATCGCTAAGCATACATCTTTAGCATGTATCTGGATATATGGCATGTCTATAGCATATCGTATGCATGTCTATAGCATGTCTCATATATAGTACAAGTCTGTAGTACATAAAGTATCTGTAGCTAGTATCACGGATATAAGCATGCACTACGGCCCAACTGATGTTCTCACAGAACATCGATGCGCTCTTTTGGGAACATCGATGTTCTCGTGAGCACCTCGATGTTCCCATATCAGAACATTTGGCTTTACACTGTGAAGATAGTTATCAGATATGCGCTTTTAAATGGTATGGTCAGACTTTTTGAGTTCTTTTGTTTATTTTTCGTACCGAACGCCAATTCGTAGCATCATTATCTACGAAGTTAGAAGCCTCCAAACTTGCTCAATTTGAAACAAATCAGGAGAAAAAATCACGTGACCCGAGTTTCTGGTTACTTTGAGTCGTTATGTCAAAGTGGTAATATTCCTGACTAACAAACTGAAGGTCGCCAGTTCGAATCCGAGCAAACTCGTTTTTTCTTCGTTGGACGTTAACCTTGCTGGGTTAATTATGCTTTTCTCAAAATGCTTTGATGGTCAGTGATGCGGATCCTTTTCTTTTATTATTTTTTTTTATAATTATTTTGCGCATGCCTTCATGGACAACAAAGCTGTAAGAGGTATACAAGTATGATTAATGAATGTAGCTATGTATTGTATTGACAAATGTATTATCTTTTATTTCGTAGCCTCAAGTGGGTAGTTTTACGCGAAAGCAAAAAAAAAAATCTGTATGTTGCGATTTCAATCCTCGTTAAAGGTTGCGAATATCGCCAGCATCGATCGACATATCTTGTTCAAACGCATGGTAGTTTGCAATGACGCTAAAGTGCAAGTCGTTATCCAAAGATTTCACCAATCCCACTTGCATCTCAACATCGTCAATAGAAATGACAGCATACTTGGGATCAATCACTCTCGGCACCCTTCTTGCAATTTGTTGTTCGACAGGCTCATTCATACGAACAAAAGGGACAGACCTGTCGTGAGAAGCAACACCATGATTTTTCATGGTTTCAACGAAAGCCAAAAAGTAGGTCGACCCATCATAGACATGTTGGAAAAAGAATATCACTCGCGAAACAAACCAACAGGAGACAGGGTGGTTAAGTCGATTGAGGTGAGTTGACCTAAACATGACCAGATGGTTGCTTCTACGAAACTCATGCATCTTCTCTCTGTATATTTCTGATCCTATGACAGTAGAACCGATTAGAGCACGATGGGCAACCTTGATCGTCATTGACAATGGACTGTTGTTCAGCCTTTGAAGAGAGAGTATCCTACAATAGTATTTCGACAAAGCACGCTTGAATCTTGCAATTGGAACACCATGGAGTTCAGCACGATCAGTACCATCGAAGCCAAAATGATGATCCAAATTTGTCTCTTCTTGATCAGGTTCCCACAACTGTGAGCTTGTTAGAGATTCTGGATGATTGAGGTATGTGGTGGATGCATATGGCTGCGGTCGAATGCCTTGGAGGAACTCATTTGAGTCGAAGATCCTTTTCAGCTGGTTTCTGATTGCAACAATTTCAATCAAGTTGGAAGATTGCTTGCCTGTCCTTGACTTGCCAGTTATCAAATCACCAAACTTTCCAATGCTTCTGTAAAATGGATGATGTTGTTATGTAAGTAACTGGATGTGTGTGATAAACATAGCATGTATAGATGACTAACCGTTCTTGACTTCGTGAGGAGTAGGCTACAATTGGCCCCATTTCTCTTATCATCCACACTACATGTGTAAGCTGATGCATTACGGGACGGAAGACCGAAAGTGACAAGCACATGGCATCTCTCTGAGCTTTGCAGTAGTCAATGAAGAAGTCAATGCATTCATCAATCTCTGCCAACCTAGACTCAGTGAACTCCCATTGCAATGCAAGACAGACGCCTCTAACCAGCTTCATGATTGCTTTCCTAGCCTGTGGACTGGCTAATTCTGGGACAAAGAGAGTAGGTATGATGGTCTATTTCAAATCAGAATAATCAGATCCTAATTCACGCCTTACATGTGTACGTTTGCAGATTACAGTGGATCTGATCTTACCAGCAAATTATCAAGATAGTCAACACTGCGGGTGCCTCGTAGCTTCTCCACCAGATTCAAAAAGCTTCCATCAAATGCAACTGGTATATATGATCTTGTGTCCTCAATTGCTTTGCCAATCTCGAACAGCCGTTGCTTTGGAATGAAAAATGGATAATTTTCTCGCTCCAATTCACCATCTGGATATGTGTAGAAGAACTTTGTGTTGTTCGGAGACAGGTCGACAGTGAGCATCTCGAAGAGTTCTGAACCAACACCTCGTGCTAATGTATGCATTTCTTCGAATCCAAAGCATTGGGGTGCAATGCATGACGATAGCTGATTGAAAAGGCTGACACCGTTGAATCCAAGGTTGGACTCAGCCCTCTCGTAATCTTCATTCGTACGCATGCTTCCAGCATTTGGAAAGTACATCCCATGGCTGCGATTATCAGGGTGCATACCACGCGAAAGACACCAACGACAGCCATACTCAGATGCATGATGAGCACACTTGCTCCAGTCAAACACGGCTAGAATAAAGCAGGTAGGTAAATCAATTTCATGTTAGCCATTGTGGATGCTGATTAGTTGCTTTATCAATCAGGATATTTACCTGGAGTATCACCACCACAAATTAGAGGATGAACCTTCAAACGAATTGGCCCAGCATCATTTGTTTCGACTACCATTCCATACGTAGAAAGCCACTGGAGCTCTGCCAAGATGATGGAAATGAACGAGTCAAATGATTTGGGCTTCTTTTTTCCTGGAAAGATACAAAGCTCGTGCGTGTACTCCTCCTTGTAACGCTTGTGTGGATCGTAATTGAACACCATCAGATGAATAATTGTGAATAGCCGATCACCTCTCTTTTCAACTACAAAGCCATCATTCATGATCGCAACTGCGATATCCAGGTCATTTGTGAAATGCGTATTCTTGATGGACTTGTACGTGGCGCCGTCAAATACGTCAGCAATGATAACATCGGATGGATTCTCTTCAAGGTCTCTGTTGTCGTAGGCATGTCGGTACCGAAGCTCCTCTCTCGTTATTGGATTCGCAACTAATCGTGATACGATGTCTCCAATTGACATGACTTTCATTGTTGACAGGGCTCGATGATCTCCCCGTGCATCGTATCTTTCATGGGAACAAATATTACAAATTGTCTCCTCGTCGTCTACTTCCAATGCGTACAGCTTGCAGCCATTGATACACACATCATATTCATGGGATGTCAACGATGATTGGCGCTGAAGCATGCTTTGCACACGAGGGCCATGCATGATCTCCGGATTGCTTTCTATCAGTTCATGGGGGGAGGATCGGAAGCTGGTGAGTTATTGTATAAATGACATGTCATTGCAATGCGAATTACCTCGACTAATTTTTTCTGTATCTCTCAAAACAGTGTTCATCAACCTGACCAACTTTCTGTATGCATCCCGTGGTATAGCAAAATCATTGACGATATCATACAGCTCAATCGAAACCAGTTCTGTGGTTGTATATGTATTTTGGTTGATGTCTTCGAGGGATCTGCAATCGTAGAAGCAAGCCTGATCTTCTGCATCTGGGTCGACTACTCCAACTGTCTTGTATTTGACATTTAGCAAATCAAATTCAAGCCCTGGTTCTTCTGGATTGTCTCCTGTTATCGCATGTGTGGAATCCGCTATTGTGAGTATATACATCTACTTTAGCGCTGCAATTCCTTACCATTATTATCGACAATAGGCAGCAGATCAGCAGCACCCGGCGTCTGTTCAAAGCCTGCGTAGTCATAATCAGCATCGTCAGCAGCAGGAATCATTTCTTCAATATCACTCATGGCATCATCATCATGCAGCTGGTTTGCATGATCTGAATTGGCTGTGACTAGCGCACTGGGGGGAGATTGTGGCTGTATCAGCGTTGTTTCCACTGGAGGTTGCTCTTCCATTTCAACATCTTGATCTTCATTCAAAATGGGAGCACGACAGTTTCGGCGATGGTTGCGTAGAGCACGGGCACTGTCAAAGCTGGTATAGCAATTTGTACAGAAGGATGGCTCTGTTTCTCGTGATATACGGATTGAGAATGACATGTTTGGAGAAACCAAGAAAAATAGGCAAGTAAAAACAAATTTCAAGTGGCAGCTTTATATACTAATTCAAGTTTTATTTGCGCTCGCCAACAAATGCGTTTATCATCGTTTACAAGCAAGTGATACGTAGTCTTGCATATAACGTTTGGTAACTCAAAGTCCAAGATCAAGTAAGGAACGTGTTTCCTATGATGTGATATGTCGCCTCAGGCTACTTCTACGTCATTTCACTTTCAACATCATGTCAAATCGAGTGGTATTCACTGTGCACATATGCTTATACTATGGGCGTACAATGAGGTCAGCATTACTTGCATGAAGCCTGTGAACCGAATGACGTTCAACAACGTGGTGGTGTGTGCGCAACGAGATATACGGTACAACACAACTCTGAACATATCTTTTCTTTGCTTACTAAACTTTTATTATCAGCGCGAACCATGAACAATAACAACAACAACAACAACAACAACAACAACAACAACAACAACGCTGCCAGTATTGACTTCACCGCAAGACTCTTGCAAGAAATGATGGCAATGAGATCCGAAATCAGCCAACAAGGCGTACAACTGAACGTCTTGAATGATGGATTTCGACAGCAATTCATGTCGCCATTGGAAGACGCAGGCAGCGATTTGGCAACAAGAAGCATCCTGGATCCCACTTACAGAAGCCAGGTACTATCAAACAGCAACAGAAGAGGTCCTCGGGTAATTGAAGCAAACCCTACCGGCAGGGCCAGAGCTTCTCCTGTGGAGAGATACAACGCAATGCTCCAGCATCTACACAAACTATGCAATGGGGCATCTGTACCCGATTTGACACCAGGGCAGCTCAAATCGCGCAGGGAGAAGCTCCACCGCACAGCAAAGAGGGTCTTGGAGGCTATACTGGTGATGCATCCGAATATCTCGCATTGGAATGCCCTGGACCATGTGCAGGATGAACAGGTATATTACAGCCTGGCACTGGAGGAGCAGGCCCTGCAACGGGACAATCTCATGATTTGTCTCTGCAAGAAGCAGTGGTGTGCCAGGTTGTTGCTCTCCCAGGCCTTCAAAGCAAATAGAGCAAGCAGAAACCGAGCTGCTGCTGCTGATGCTGCTGCTGATGCTGCTGCCAATGTTGCCAATGCTGCCAATGCTGCTGCCAATGTGTCTTTGCAAGAAAACGAGGCAAGAAGCCATCTTCTGGTAAGTAGCTCCTATTATTTGTTTTGGCCATGGCTAACATCTAAGTATTGGAAACATTTCAAATGCTTTTAGGAGACTGAATCAGCAATTGTTGGAGACAGTGATATTGCCCAGCTTGCTCAAACTGCCGGTGTTGGTAATGCTGAGGATGATGACAACCTTAGTACTACTAGCAATATGTAATGGTGTGTGCGTTTGTGAGATCTTGTATATTTCATCCAAAATAAAATTACTTTGCTTTTGTACATTTGATGCTGCCTTGCTCTATTGGGATTTGAGATGATGGATTAGCTGCGATGCCACATTTAAAATCACATTTGATAGGTCACTTCAGCTTAAAAAGTTACTTGATTTGGTTACATCAGTCTGATACTGTGCATGATTAGAGCGTGTTTCTATATTTTTAGATCGAAACTTTGTATATTTAGGTCATCCCTTGAGAAAAAAGTGCTTTTGTTTCTCTTTTTTCTTCATTTTTCATCTATTTTCACTTTAATTCTATCAGCATAAGAGACATGTGCTCTGTAGCAGCAAGAAGAAGAGGCAGCATTTACCGTCCATGGCTTTAAAGGTGGAGGCTAGGTTTCAATGCCATTGAAGAAGGAATACCATTTCAAATGTGCGCCGTGGGAAGCTTCATATCCCTGCCATAGTATCCAGGATGGAATCTTCATTTACATCCTTTCGAAACAACAAATTTATGGTATGTCCAATGCTTCTTGCCATATAAAAGCTAACAAATATCTTGTAGAAATGTAAAGGCGACTTTGCCAGGTCAATTTCGATGTCGCAAGTATGCCATTTGGTTAACCGTTTCCCTCCATCCTGCTGGTTCCATTTATCTGCTTTCTTGCTATCACTGTTCAAGTAGTAAGTCATCTTTTGCTGCATCATCAGGAAAAATCAGTCGTTACTCACCTGATAAGTTAACTAGTGCCAGCGTCGAGTGGGTCTGGCGGGTTTGGCTTGATAACTGAGCACATCTCTTGCATACTTTATGGATCCCCTTTTGCATCCAGTGAACAATGGCAGATGCTTCATAGTTGAATGATGCGGTCTATACATCTGATACTTCTGACGGCATAAGACGCATTAACATTCGTTCGATGTTTTCTTTTCAAGAATGTCTGCTCCCAATGAGTCGCTGCCTGGTGGTGTGCTGTACTTTCTATCTGTCTTGTGAAAGAGGTATTGTAGTCATCACGCCTTTGCTGGAACGCTTTACTAACTTGATTCAGTTCACATCTTTGCTGATAGGTACATGCACATCTTTGATATTATGCTGGCTTTTGTACAATTCGTTGCTCTACATGGAACACTGTTGATGGCTTCAACCTTTTCATTCTATGCTCTCTCTGGATCTCGCCTGGAAACATCACTTTTATATTGCCCTAAAAACTGATAATATTGGGAAACACGAAACAGTTCATACTGATCCAGGCTATTATTCTCAATTATCTTTGACTCTACTATAGCCTACAGCATGACCATTACCACTACAAGGCTTTACTATTGCACGTTTTTGGCACGTAGCCTTCGTTTACCCATTAAAATTAACCAATAATAAATGTATAAATATTTAAACCACAATTTCTGAGCCAATGAAAGCTGCCAATATTTAAACCACGAATTATGGGCCAATAAAAGCTACCAATATTTAAGCTGATTCAGACCTTCAATGATCCCATTTCAGCTCATCGATAGGTTCATGCGCGATCATGAATGTTCTCATTTGAGAACATGGATTTGCTCATTTAAGAACATCGATATTTTGATTTGAGAACATCGATGCGCTCATAAACAGCTACATTTGCTCTTATTTAAGAACATGGATGTGCTCATATGGGAACATCTCGGATGTTCTTATGAGAACATCGGCCGACTTATAATAGATCTTTAGGAACGCCGATGTTCCCATATGAGAGCATTTTCCACTTTTTGGGAACATCGATGCTCTCGAATGAGAACATAAAATAGATTCTTATATGAGCACCTCGATGTTCTCATGAGAACATCAGTTGGGCCGTAGTGATGTGTCTTATAGCGTGGATCATGAAGTGCACATCTGAAGCAACAAGCTCATATTGCATTAATCTTGGTGCCTATCCAGATATGGTAAACATCCGTAGTCAATGTCGGAATACAAGTATAAGTCTATAGTGCCATCCATGTCCGTGGTGCCATCTATAGCCTATATCTTATATAGTATGAATCTTATAGTACTAGCGTATCTGAAGTCCATATCTTCTTATAGTATAAATCGGTATCGTACATCTAATCCAGTGTACATACAGTTTATATCTAAATCTGGTAACTGGATGAACTGTCGGAATGCAGATCATAGTGGATGTATTCCACAGATATGATCAAGCCTTATAAGAGACACACCTTGTATAAGCAATTCACTAGAAAATTTAGTGAAAGCTTATTTACGATTGATGAGACTGACAAAGAAAAGGTCATCGCGGCATTTGCACAGAAAAGACTTAAGGATCCAAGCTTTACACACACCTGGGATTCGAAGATGAAATACGATCGTGCGTGGTTGTGGAGAAGAGTACGAAGAAAGGTGTCTGCTCCTGAAGTGTTGCTTCCTCTTTTAAAATCCTTGTTTCTTTCTTACGGCCCTCTGAAGTGCGCAAAATCTGGAAGAGCACTGTTTGATAAAAAATCTTGGGATCAAGCAGCTGCTGTCTTGAGAACAGTGCAGTTAGGCCATGTGTCTGATCCGCCAGATGTACAATTGTACATTAAGACAGGAAAATTGGACGATCTCAAGCTGACACTCTATAGATGCATCCGTGGAACAAACTCTTTAGAAGGCGGAGTCCATCAGAACTTGATTCGCAAGTTTGGATCGTTTGGTGCTGGTCCAGAGCTGGCTAATGCGATGCTTACTGAATACAGGCTGAGACATAATCTCGACGTGGGTTCAAAGAACAGGCATTCAGTCATTTACAAAAGCCATTATGATCCCTGGCTAGTTCAGCATATTGATCTCTTGCGTCAAAAAATGGGATTCAGTGCTGACACAAGAAACATCGCTTTGTCTGTGAATGCTTTGGAATATTGCGGTTCTGGTGAGCTCTTTGGTATATGCCCTTTACCAAATGAAGAGATGGTCAAAATTGGTATCTTGCCCTCTGAGATCACGGATGAGAGCTTGCCTCTTATAGACAAAACAATTCCACAGCTCCAAGACACTGTCTTCATGAAAGTTGGGTCAACTTTGCGCTCACATCTTGGCCGTTACAAGTTTGTTGCAAACAATCAATGTACAAAGTTTGCCGTGCTCGCTGTCCATACGATGAAGGAGAAATCCGAATTCAGGGTCATTTATGAAACTCACTACAAGAATAGCAACAATAGAAGGATAAATTTTGTTGATTTTGCCAGCAAGTTCAATGAAAAGGCCAACGGTATTGATATATTCTATAAAACCACGGATCATCTCGAGAAGTATTATAAAGATTTCGAATTACAAGACGGAGTATCCAAAACAGAGGAGATTCATCAAATAGCTTTGAGACTCATTGAGCATCAAGTCGTCTCCACTAATCAGCCTTCTCAACTACTGCCTGCAGCATCACCAAGAATACCATCCATCAACAATATTTTTGCTGTCGTTTCTGCTGCCACAATTGATGCACAAATACCGCCGCCATCTGTTTCATCGCAACTGCTTCAACCGCAACCACAACAGCCACACCTACAGCACAATGTCCTCCCTGCTGGCTACTATTTCCAGCCATCATTGCCTGTTCCTAGCCACAGATTACAAGATGTCTTGCCCGTTCCTGATCACAGGCCCCAAACTGCCTTGCTGGTCCCAACACACAGGTTCATCTCACCTCGACTGCAGATGTGCCATCCACATCCCTACCAGAAAGCACCAGTAATAACAAAAAGGGTTACAGCAAGAAAGTGTAAAGGTTGTGGAAGTGAAGTCTGCAATGGTAAAAACAAACGAACAGACTGTAGTAGTCCAAGATGTTTGAAATGTGCTGCGACATCTGGCTGTCCAGGTATCTGGGATGCCAAAAATTGCAACAGGTGATTGCAAAAATGATATATTGTCATCAGTTAAAGCCCACCTTTCTATAAAGCACACGTATACATTATTCCGTATTCGGATACTTTGAAATATACTTGCTAGTACCATAGGCACCGTGTCATTTAGACACCTACTACTCTTATGAACATCTTTTGCTTCGGCGTTAAATTTACTGTATGAGGCGATTACATGGATTAAAACCGTAAAATTCAAGAATTTAACTTGGATAATAATTTTGCCAATATCAGAGCAATATCACTTTCTACGTGCATTTATTACAATCAAAACCTTCAATTACAAAAAAATTTTGGCTTCGCCAAAATTACTAAATATGGAAATTCAAACAATTTTTGCCCCAGATATGTCATACACGCCCAAGATTGGACAGATTTCGTCTTTTTACGACCTCTTTAATCTGTTTTGTGTTATTCGACTATATAAACTGTAATGATCACACTACGCTTTCTAATAATACATTCTTGAAGTACTTTTCAAGGCGCTTCCAATGGTGCTAACTTTAATAAGTGTTTTGACTGAAATTACTGAGCAATTTAATAAAATATGAAATGACGTCTTTAGTGAAAATAGCCATATTTTGCATATGAAAGCCTCATAAAAGTGGTTTCAAAAGTTGCGTTGAATTGAGAGAAACATTTTGATTTATTATGTACCATAGTAAAAGTCTTCATTTTCAAGGTGAAAAATGTGATCGTTTGGTTTTCGATGAAAATCATGAGGGGCACCTCATGCTTTTTGATCGATTTTTGACCATGTTTTTTGGGTCTTCAAAAAATTGAGCAAAGGTGCCAGGAAATTACTACTACTCCAGCACAATTGTTTGGCGTTATACCGGTGGCTCAAAAAGGTCTACATGTCAAGATATAAAGGCATGAAAGTTGTTAAATTTAGCTGTATTTTTGCTTTATGGCTTTTATTTACACTTCATGAATCATATCTTGGGTAGCTGAAATTTTCTGGAAGAGTAGTTGCGCAGCCTGTGCAATTTTTAATTCGAATAGGAGGCATATTGATTTTGTCAAAGCTAATTCATGCAAATTTTGATGTGTTATGTTGCTGGTAATAGGCTTATTAACAATTGAAATAAAAACTTGAAATTGCTGCTTACTACTATATACTATGGTTTTGCATATTCTCTTCGCTACAATCAAGCCCTCGTATAGATCAATGTTTACCAAGCGTTGGATTAGACGCCTAATTACCATGGCCTTGCACTTTTGATTTGCTACGGTGAAACCCCCCATATATATATCTCAATGCTACCTAGTGTTGGATTAGATTCTTTACACCTTTGCTTCACTAAGGTAAACCTCCCCTATAAATCAATGTCATCAAGTATTGAATTAGATGCATTGTTATGTTCTTGGTGGAGGGGCTAAGCCCCTTCCCCCAAACCCCTTCCCCATTGCCGGCTTCGCCGGTGGTTATGCCCACCTTTGTTCTGGCTTTCAATACTATCAAATTTTAAAAGGATATGATTGGATTGTCTATTTTTTTTTCATAGTTTTCCAGTATATATATTTTAGATCTTTTTTAGTCACAGTGTTTAAGGCATCTTCCAGATTTTTAATTTCAAAGAAAACGCATTTTTCATGAATATATGCTCTTTCTTTGTTTCACCATAATCTTTTGACCTCCATCATCCTTAGGAAAATATTTTGGTTTTTGGCGTTTTTTAGATCTGTAGGAAATGAAATATCCAACTTATGTACCATTCAATGCGTTTAATTGCGGGCTACAGTATCGATTCAATTGATTGATATTGTTCACTTGTTACTCTTCTTCGAGATTATGAGAAAAAGCACCATTTTTGGAGGTTCTAGCTGTCGTTTTACAGTTCAAGCCCAGTAACCGTTTAATTCCCGATTAAAAAGGTCTAGCTGGGTACTCTCGTTTGCAAACATATATACCTCTAGGGTAACAATCAAGCAATTTTTTATACTTATTTGAGACGCTAAAGGAAACCTTTTGATGCAAAAAAAAACTGTTGAAAAATGATTGTTTTTCTCAATTGATACCGCTCTTCAATGCTCAAAGAGATACTATGTAATGTTGGAATACAGTCAACAAAGTACAAGAGATAAATCTTGTCATGTCAAAATAATACTACAATAAATGCAAAATTGAATCTGCTAAAGAACTACACTATTATTATTGAGAAGACATCCTCGGGATATATTTATATAATCTTCATTATGCTAAGGTTTACAGTATAATGATGAACTATAATACAAATAGGTTTGTTATATCAAATGTCATAGCAAGGTCTCATACGAAAGGTTTTAGGCTATTCTTAGGTCCTTTGGGTAAATCATGCTAATCATGATTTACAAATCAATTGTTGGGTAGATAGTAAACCTATTTGTATTATAGTTTATCATTATGCTATAAACTCTAGCGTAATGAAAAATATATAAATGCATCCTTGGGATGCATTCTTAATAAAAGTGTAATTCTTTGGCAGATTCAATTTTACATTGTATTTTGACATAGCAAGGTTCACTATCTACCCATCAAATCATTTGCAAATCATGATTAGCATGATTTACCCAAAGGACCTAAGAATAGCCCAAGGCCATTAGTGTGAGCCCTTGCTACGACATTTGATATACGACTGAACAGAAGTTTCTAGACAAATATGGAGATTTGGTCAATTCATAATGTTGAGAGGGCGCGGAAACGGGATGTTAGTTACTTGTGTTTTTGGATAAAATACTCTTATTCAACTATTAAGGGTTCTGACACGTCAAGTAGCTATTTCGATCAATACGACTTCTATAGTGAACAGAATAGAGACCAAACAGAAAAACAAACTTAAGGGGATTAAAGGACTCATTTATTGATATTGTATACGATTGATATGTATATGCTAACGACGTTGTTTGCTTGTTTGCTTGCTAACCTCACATATTCAATCCCAAGGCGGACGTCACCACTCACAACAATATGTAATGCGAATCATTACACATTTCCAGGGACCAGAAAAGACGCCATGAAGCAGGAGAAAGCAACAAATGAGCAGGCAACTGCAAAGGAGGGCCCATACGAGAGGTAATGATAGTCTTCGCAGGGCGCCAATACCTACGCAAAGCATCAAGAGCAAGACGAGCAACGGGAACAGCAGAACGAGACGAGTTGGAGACAGTTCAATGAGTACAATCTGGCATCCAAGAGGTAGCACCATCAGAACGGGGCATAGTAAAATAGCCTGCTTGAGACAAGACTATCTTACTATCTATAAAAAGCGGGAAACCAGAGAGACAGGACCACGATCACGGTTTAGAGCAAGAAACACAGGGCGCAAAACACGAGAGGACCGGGCAAGATGAGAGGTGACAGTATCAACAATACCAAGATCAGGTTGCCAGAAAGAGAGATCCGACACCACGAAACGAGGATCAAGAGATGATGGATCACGAGGAGGACAAACAGAAGGCAGAGTATTAAGTACAGAACACAAGGAAAGATCAAGATACCACTGAGCAGACCAACCAGAGGAAGGAACTAGCTTTGGCAATCTCAACAGAAGCTTTCCGAGATGTTTTAGAATAGGCATAGAAGACACACGAGACTGATACAGACCAGGAAAAGAAAACCACGGTAAGATGGACTTATGACCAGTATAGACTTCAAAGGCATACACCAGCCAAGAGGAGACAAAATCATTGGGAGAGGGTGGACGCAACAAACGCTGCAAATAGACAAGATGCAAAGCTAAGCTTTGATCTGCTATATCTACCAAACCAACACCACCAAACTTGCGAGAAAGACACAAAGTAGACCAGGCAACACCAGGGCGAAAAGACACCAGATACTCACGGACCACCGTAGTGAGAGACTTCAACCACGATGCAGTAGTATCACCACCAGGAACAAAGAAGACAGACAAAACACCAAATCACCAGGAAAACCAAACTGAAGCAGCACACGACAAAGATACTCAGGATGAACCCAATCATACGCCTTTTCTTGATCCAACAAAACAGCAACTTGAGGCAAATCAGGAGCAACAACACGCAAGTGAGACATCAACAACTGATTTAGCCAGCCATTGTCAGAGATCAGACGATGAGGAAGAAAGCCAGTTTGATAGGGGTTAATTAACTTTGGCAACACTTGATTCATACGACTAGCAATGCGCTTTGTAAATAACTTGGGATCACTGTTAATTAAGGACAAAGGTCCTCATTTAACCAACAACTAAGAGTCATCCTTTTTGAACAACAGCACCATACGAGTTTGCTGCCATGAAGGAGGAAACACACCAGAAAAAGCTGCACTCAACACATCCACAAGCAAGTCAGGAACATCAGTAAAGCAAACCGTCAAGACCAGGGCTTTTAGACTTGGGAGTATGAGTGAGGCAGAGACACCAACACATCAGGGGTTGGAAGCTCCATTAGCATATCACCATCCAAAGATGATAGACATTCCCCAGCAAGGACAATTCAGAGTTCAGTCTTTGCAACAAATTGCGCAGTCCAAAGATGTCCATAAGTCAGAATGCGTTAACATTTGTGGTAGAAGCACATCAAACCCACTTTATCGTAGAAGCAACAAGAAGGATACACACTTCCTAAACGTTGCAAACCACATACTTTATATTTTGCCTATTAAATAGATGCAAGTTGTGTGTTATTTATTTCCAAATGAATATGAAGAAAGATCCAATAACCAATCAAGAGGGGGAACAGAAGAAAACAGACAATAAAAGAGAGAGAGAGAGAAAAAAAAAAGTTAAAATGTTTATATATATATATACAGTTTCTAGGTGTGGTATTGCAAAGCAGTATCAATGGGATAGCGGTTTCTAATTGTAACAATGTGTGTCTCTTTAAACAGCAAAGGATTCTCCACATCCGCAAGTTCCTTTTGCATTGGGATTGTTGAATACGAAATGTTCAGACAACTTGTCTTGGACGAAATCCATCTCACTACCCAACACAGTAATCAAGGCCTTTGAATCCACTAACACTGTAACGCCTAATAAGATAGTTAGCTTTGTTGTAAGATTGTCGACTCGATGAAGTTTGCTCCATTTTTGAATACTCACCATCTTGATTGACTATTTCATCAAATTTTCCTTTCGAATCTGTGAATTGTAAATCGTATGAATTGCCAGAACATCCTTTCTGCTTGACTCCAACTCGCAAGTATTGTGGGGTGGGGCCTTCAGTCAATGCCTTCAATCGAGAAACTGCTGCTGGTGTCTAAATAACAGGGGTTGAGTGATTGAGTATTCGTAGTGATAATGTTGATAAGGGTCTTACCAAGGTCAATGCAGCCTTTCTTAAGCGAAGTCGTGAGCTTGTGTTTCCGGATTTTATCGAATTCGTGGCAGCTTGCTTAAGGATAGCGTTGAAATGCATTTTGAATGAATTTGTATTTGTAAGAAATAGAAGAAAAAAAAAGAAATGAAAAAGTGTGGGGTGAATCTCTGATATTTTTAAGAGGAAAAACAAAATTACAGCATGCTGATGTTATTTGAATAACAGCCGATGGCTAACATTTCATTGGTTGAAATTAGCTTTCATTTCCACACTCGCAGTAGTTTCAAAAAAGATGTGTTGTTCATTTGCATAATGCAATGCCTCTCTGACCATGTGCATTTGTATCAAGGTTTGCGTGTATGACAGACGTTAATATTACACACCGTCTCGTAAATTGAAGAGACAAAATCTGATACCATCTTCATCATTGTCTTTCCAAATGGAGCATCCATGTGCCTGAGGATTTGCCACCATTTTTTGCTCAAACTGCAACAGCTTTCTCACACCTGAGGTGACTCCGACTATGGCAATGAGTACATCACGGGATTCATCAGGCTATGTCAAGCTGCTATTTTAAACACTCTTTTTTCTTCTTGTTGTGATATTGTTCTCCATCTCTTGCTATCCGCCCTCTTACGCCAACATGCCATTCCTGAAGAGAACGAAAAAAGTGCGTGTGTACAAGTGCAGCTGCTCTTGATGCATGTCCTCACTCACTGAAAATCATGTAGGTGCTTTTAATGGGCAGATGCGGTGCAGGAAAATCATCTATGCGATCCATCATCTTTCATAACAATATCGCCAAAAAGACAAGAGATCTCGAGCCTACAAGTAAGACTGGATTTGCAGTATCATTGAATCATGTTGACACTCATTTCTGTTGACCAACTGCTGCAGTCTTGTGGGATAATAAAACCAATGTGCAATTTCTAGGAAACCTGCATTTGAATCTATGGGATTGTGGAGGGTTTGTTGCTTATGTGCGTCGTTTATTTGCGTTCAAGAAACTAATGTCTCGGCGATTCGCTCTAGTCAAGATGATTCATTCAATGACTACCTGACAACATATCGAAACTTGATTTTCAAAGATGTCCACGTTTTGATCTATGTGTTTGACGCCATCAGTGCAGAGCTCGACAAGGACATTCATTACTATCAATCCTGTCTGGAATCCATTCTAATGCATTCTCCAAATGCCATTGTATTTTGCCTGATGCACAAGATGGATCTTATTCAAGAAGAGAGGCGTGATATGGTGAGCACGTGAAACGTAGATTGTCCCCAAGATGTCACTGAATGGATAGAACCCATTTGTAGATGTTTGAAAAACAAAAGTTAGAGCTTCAAGTCAGATCCGAGCCTATTCAGATACAAGCATTTCAGACTTCCATATGGGACGAGACATTGTACGCAGTAAGGATGACGCTATTCTTGCCACAGCCAGACCATGGAAACTGAATGTGTGGATTATGTAGGCCTGGGCCAAGATTATCCATTGCTTGATACCCAACATGAATGAATTACAAGCTAGTTTGGATACATTTTGTTCCATCTGTGGAGCCGATGAAATTGTCCTTTTTGAAACGACAACATTTCTAGTGATTGCAAATTCAGCATCCATTCATCATCCAGATGCACATCGATTTGAAAAGATCAGCAGTATTATAAAGCAGTTTAATCTCTGTACAAGGTTTGACAAGAATGAAATCACACTGGCACACACACACACATTGTCATACATGATCTCTCACTCCATCATCAATTATAGAAAAGAGGGATATTCGAAACAGATGGAAATCAAAGGAAGCAATTTCACAGCATTTTTCGACTCCCTGACAAAGAATACAAGTGTATTACTGATCATCTCGGATACAGACATAAGTAAATACATGGCTATGGTGAGCCTTTGAATGATGGCTACTGACATTTCTTGCAATCGTAGCGTCTGCTGCAACTCAAGTGAATATTGCAGCAGCAAGAAGACATTTCGAAAAGCTGGAACATGTTGAAGCTGCCTAACGTTCTGATAAATCAAGAAAAAAAAAAGCATTGGCATTGATGAATCACACTATATGAATGGATGTTGATGGATCCAACAGCTACGCCTACTCACATGGCATCATCTTGAATAAACTAATACCATCCCACGTATTCCATACATGAACCAATGAGCAAACATGTTGCTTTGCATTTCAAATTGATTGTCCACACACACACACACACACACACATTAAACAAAGGAACCAATGACATTGGTGGCTTAGTTCTGATTTGGGCAAGAGAGGATGGGAGGAGAAGGGCAGGGAAAGACAGCAAAGAAAGGGAAACTCATTCAAACCCTTTTGGCCTACAACCATCCAAGCATTTCAAATAATTTTTTTTTTTTTTAGTGTCATTTTAGTTTTTTCTTCTTTTTCATTTTTTTTTTGTCATCTTAACAAGAAATATACTTATAAAGCCAACAAAGACGATAAACGACTCTAAAAAAAAAAGTATATTTCTAGTCAAGCAAAAAAAAAAAAAAAAAAAAAAAAAAAGAAACCAGAATTATACACGTTCAAGTGAGTTTGAGATCCTCTGGAATACCCAGCATGCAAAGTGCTGATACTAGGCTAGTGTAAGAATATTTTATAATCGGTTAATTTTTTTTCTTTTTCTTTTTTTTTTTTTTTTTTTTTTTTTTTTTTTCTCTCTCTCTCTCTCTTTTTGTTTAACATAATAAATGCTCTTTATTAGACCTTCCAAGACGATATCCCTGGGTTTTGAGAATAATAGTCTAGATTATGAGCTACCACAACAACAGCAACAACATTCGCACTCACAAGAACAAGGTAAGCTTACTAGACCATGTCCCAGTTCAACATGGAGATCTCAAAAATCTTGCTGAATCACAACCAGATACATCGAATATGGTCCATGGTCATGAAACAATAATGGAGGCAACTACGAATTTGAATGAATTGACACTCTCTTCTTCATTGACTTGTGACGAACGTATGGAACAAGAACGCTACGACTCATTCCTCAGTCAACAAGCATCCGATTCTGATGATGATGAAGAGCAGCCACCACCGCCATCTCCACAAAAGGACGACGACGAGGAGGAGGAGGACGATGATGATGTGGTAGTAGATGTCGTACATGAAGAGCAACCTCAACTTCCCTCTGCAACAGCTGACGCTATGGAGACTTACTGCAATATAACCGAAAACATTTACTGTGGATCAGCTACTGGCAAGTCAATTGCAGAAGAGAGTATGCCCTGCGAATGTAAATACCGGCCTGATATCGACAACCCAGACGCAGCGTGTGGCGACGACAATTACTGCATCAACAGAATGATGTTTATGGAATGTATGGTCGACGATTGTCCCTGTGATAGATATTGCCGTAACAGACGCTTCCAATTACGGCAGTATGCACGCGTTGATGTCATCAGAACCGATAAAAAAGGCTTTGGATTGAGAGCATTGACGGATTTACCAACGTACAGTATAGGCAACGAGTGCTTGACAGACTTAGAAAGCTTATTTTATTTGATATAGAAATGCATTTATCATGGAGTACATTGGCGAAGTCATCCCAAATCACGAATTCATCAGACGAACAAAAGAGTACGAAGCTGCTGGTTTGGAGCATTATTATTTCATGACACTGAAAACCGATGAAGTAAATGATTTGGATGCTTTGCAGTTTGCTGATCTGCTTATTCACACTTTTTTTTTTTTTTTTTTTCCTTGTAGATCATTGATGCAACAAAAAAGGGCTGTCTGGCAAGGTTCATCAATCATTCTTGTAATCCCAACAGTGTGACACAGAAATGGGTTGTTGGCAAAAATATGCGAATTGGCATCTTCACTCGTCGTCCAATTAAGGCGGGTTCAGAATTGACATTTGATTACAAGTTTGAACGTTATGGGTAAGGCTTGCTCTTGACACTTGATTTCCAGGTTGGTATTGACTTGCTTTATAGTGCCGTAGCTCAGAAATGTTATTGTGGTGAAGCGACATGTAAAGGCTTCATTGGTGGTTCCATGAAGAGCGACACTGCGAAATCCTCAGCAACAGTATCGAGCGATTTGATCCTGGATCAAGACGATGAAGACGAAGACGACGATGACGACGACGACGACGATGACGATCCAAATAATGACATGATGCAAGATGAAGGACAGACACAGAGCCAGAAATCCATGGCAGAAGCAGTGACATTGACGCAAAAGAAAATGCTGCGAAAAATGCATCGACGTCGAGCATCCGAACCATTGCAAGATCCTCGCGAAGTACAGTCGTTTGTCAAACGTATGCTGGATTCTGTTGGAAAATCACACCTTGTCTTGAAATTATTACTGCGACTAGAGCTCACGGATTCAGATACCCCACAAGGAAAAGATGTGTTGAAAAAGTTTGTGCGTCTTCATGGCCTCAAGATGCTCAAATTCTGGCTAGGTGAATGGAAAAGCGATCCTGTGATACTGCTCAAAGTATTGCAGGTCTTGTCCAAGCTACCGTTGGCCAACAGAAATGGTTTGGAGGATTGCAAGATGCTAGAAATCGTTGGAAAACTATCACAGCATCAAGATGAAGGCATCAAAAGCCTGGCGACGCAGTTGTTAATTGATTGGAGTTTGCTAAAGAGTGTGTACCGTATTCCCAAGCGCATCCCCACGGAGCCCACTTTGCGACGCAAGAGTGAAGCAAACGCCAAATGCAATGACGATAATGACTCACAGATATCAGCAGACGTGCCACCACCGCGGTACGATTCAAGCAGAGAGTTTTTTGATCCAGACGACGATTATTTCGAGTATTTGCCCATGGATGTGGACGCTGCTGAAATTCAATGGAAGATGGAATACCCACCACAATCAGCTATCCCAACAGCACCTAAAGCCATGATTGATGCATGCATTAAAAATGGATTTTATGGCTATGGTGGCCGGCCTCCTCGATCTTATTCCCACAACGAGCCATCATCTAGTGTGGAACAGCAGCAGCACGAAGAGATGTACAATCCTTACAAAAACAAGTACGACTCACCCTTCAATGCTTCATCCCCAGCTGCCTCTGTCTCCACAACCTCTGTCTCTCAAATACCTACCAAACCAGCAGGACAGATATCACCCAAATTACCGAATAACTGGAAATCAGCTTATGCAGAAGATGGCGCCATTTACTACTATCACCGTATCACAGGAAAAACACAATGGCAGGTACCAGAAGAACGAGTGAGCTCCATTGAAGGTGTGAATCAGTCGGATTTAGAGGATCTTGTTGAAAAAACGATTCAAGAAACAGAAAACAAAAAAAAGAAGCGCAGTGCAAGTCCAGCAGGATCCGTCACGACGGCGAGCACACCTCGTATTATTACACCATCAGCGAGCAGAAAAGGCTCTCCAGCAGTGTCGAGTTTAGACGAAACCGAACTCAAGAAAGAAGTGGGCAAAATTGTGACAAAGTACCTGAGCTCAAAGCAAAAAAAGCTGTGGAATGGGGACAAGCACTTGTTCAAGGAGTTGGCGAGAAAGGTAACGTTTTCTAGAACTGTAGCTTAAATTATATGTACACTTACCTCTGGACTGATCATGTGTAGACCACACATCATATCGTTGAGAGAGAAATGAACTCGAATCGAAAAATCCAATCCATGAACAGCAGCGTCAAATCAAAGATTGAAAAGTTTATCGATGCACATGGAGCGGAATTTGTGATCAAGGTACAACGCAAGATGAAATCAAGCAAAGGGAAATCAACAGAGAGTCCATCCAGTGTGATTTCAGAAAAGATGGCAACGCCTATGGAGGTGGATATACCTACATCGCCTGTCTCGACGAAACATGAAGCTTCACCACCGCAAGATCCTCCTCCTTCTCTTCCTCTGAGGTCTACGAATACGAATACGAATACGAATACGGACATGCCTTGTACGAATACAGCAGCTGCAGCCACTACAACCAATTCGGCTATAACAACTGCAGCAGCGACGAAACCAGCATCTCCTGCTCCAACCACAACTGCCAATGCTGCTACCACGTCGACCACTACATCAGCGGACTACCACGTGGAAGGCAACAACAGCAAGCCCAAGGAAGATGTCTATTATCGTCGCAGTAATGGTAACAGATCGCCACCGCCTTATCGCTACGAGTATGTCCGACCAGGCTATACTCGACCCTCACCTTATTATCACAGCAACAGCTATTACCGTTACGCACGTCCACCCTCACCTTATTATCGAAGCAATCGCTATAGAAGATCACCCCCACCTCCTTTTTATCGTCAAAATTCATCACGACGAGGTTCCTTATCAGACGATGAAATGGATAGAAGAAGATGGGATTAAATAAGAAAAAAAAAAAAAACTCCAGAAAATCTTGTACATCATTCCAATACACACACACATATTGTAAATACGTTTATAACGAAAAAAAAAAAGAAGGGAAAAAAAGAAGAAGGGAAAAAAGCTTGTATTGTTTTACCTGTTTTTATTATTAATAATATACATTCATTTTTCAGCACAAGTGTAAATTTGTAGTTCAACACCATGTATAGTCTTTTGAAAATTTCATCAATATTAAACATTTTAAACAAAACGATCTCCATGGTACTTGTAGGACGAATTTCGTTATGTACCAATATGTCAAAGATGACCAAGGGCTTTTAATTACATGTAGTTTCCTTTTGCTTGAATGGTTGCTATGTTGTTTAAAAACACATGTTTGTTGTACGAGTCCCTCTTTCTCTCTCTCTCTTTTTGCATGAATCAGCCGGTTAAATGTTTAATACGTAGAATGCCTGATTGCATGACCTATGAACAAGGTGCTTTGATTGAACCTCTCACTGTTGCAGTTCATGTTGTGAAACGCACACCTGTAGTAGAACTAGGTTCATCTTCCTCCATCATTGCCATTGGTGCCGGCCCTATTGGGCTCTTTGTGGCAGCGGTGGCACATGCTCGAGGTGTTTCCGATTGTCTTGTCATGGACATTGACCAAACACGCTTGGATTTTGCTCAGCAGTATCTGCCTGGTATCAAAACCGAATTACTGCCCATGCCAATGCATCTTTTGCAGGTGGCATGGGCAGAACAGCAAGCTGTTTTATTGCAATTGAGTGCAGATGCCATTGACGTTGTATTTGAATGTACAGGGGCTGAGACCAGCATTTGCTTAGCTATGCACACAGTACGTCGAGGAGGTGTCGTCATGTTGATTGGCATGGGCATGGTGCAATGTGTGATGCCCATTGATTTGATATCGACGCGGGAGATTGATGACAGGGGCAATTTTAGATATGCTCAGGCACATGAAGAAGCTATTGCATTGGCGGCTCATGGATACGTATCTATGGAGGAATTGGTCACACATCGTTTTTCATTAAGCCAAACAGTGGACGCCTTTGAGCAAGCACAGCAATCATCTCATGTCATCAAGATTCATATTGCATGTTAATGTAATTTATAGTTTCTCAAAAAAGGCAAATTTAAACAGATCAAGCAATTGTATAAATAGAAGTCGTTGCCCGTCTTGAATACTACATGTTACACTGCTTTTGATTATTTGAATGTGTGTAACTAAAAAAAACAGTATATGAATTAGTGCAATCATGGTTATTCAATAGGTGAAAGGAGTATACAATGGCACTGTAACTATGCTCTGATGAATGGCACTTTAACCTCAGATACAGGTTTATATGCGTATCTAGCCAGACCCTTTAAAAAAAACAGACGCAGAAAAAAAAAAAGAGGAGAGCAATTAGCAGAGTCAGAGATTGCAATCTCATGTAAGTGTAACCAGCACTATGATGAAAATGCTATAAATCAAGGTGTATGGGTGGGTGGGGATGTTTCTGGATATTCCTCTCTTTTTCTCTCTCTTTTTTTTTTTTTTGAAAAAAGAAAAAAAAAAAATGAAGCTCTTTATAGCCACCTTACTCTCCTTTTTGCTTTCTATCATCACTTTGGCAAGCGCTGTTGACAGACCAACAGCCTCATTGCCTGCTGTTTCTGGCGGTATTGTGTGTGCCATGTCATTATGTCCAACTGCAACATTAAGCAAGAGAGATTTAACATGCCCAGCTCATTGTAAGGATAACTGCAAGATCATTGATGATCAATGCTGTCCTGGTGTTCAAAAGGCTGTTTGTAATAATAGCAGTGATGCAAGCTCTGCTGTCGAGTCATCTACAGCCGTAGCTACTCCAACTGCAGTCAGCAGCAGCAGCAGCAGCAGCAGCAGTAGCAGCAGCTCCATTATCAGCACATCTTCCAGCGTCGCATCGTCCTCTGCCCAACCAACACCATCTTCTGCTGCTGGAAACACTGCATCTAGCAGTGCTGTGGTATCTTACAAGGTGGTCCTGTCATCCTTTGTATTGGTCTCTATCATCACTTTGATTGTAAATGCTTTGTAATATGGTGACAAAAGCGGATAGTCAAATTTTTATCACACACTTGCTAGTGTTGTACCAATCCAAATCTCTCAATAAATAAATGAACGGTCTCCTTCCTTTGTTTCCTCTCTCTCTCTCTCTCTCTCTCTCTCTCTCTCTCTCTCTCTCTCTCTCTTCCCTTTTAGTCTATTTGATTTTATGTTATGCTCAGCTATTTCTCATATCATGGCATTGAGCAATTCAAAGTTACCTTGCTTGTGTGTGTAATATGCTTATTGTTAACGCAATGCCATGCCATGATGACGGATAAACGACGTTTGGAGCTCAAGTAAGTGTTGTTGTTGTTGTTGTTGGCATATGCACATGTGGTTTGCAACTGTAGTAACTTGGAATTATGTAGAGATCTAACAAAGGTAAGGATTTTCAGCAGGCATTTAGCCAAAAGACACGTATTCATATGATGGACCAGGAAATGTTTGATCATGGCTGGAACAATTATATGCAGCACGCTTATCCAGAAGATGAGGTAAGAAAATATAAAAGAGAGAGAGAGAGAGAGAGAGAAGCCAACTACATGCCAGAGCGCTAATACCTACAATGATTAGCTGAATCCTTTCAAATGCACTGGCAGGGGCAGCGATAAATATAATCCGTAGGTGCATAGCTTACAGTGACAAGAAGAAAAAGATAACTAAGTTACAATGTAGAAACAACATCAATATCAACGATGTCTTGGGAGATTACTCACTTACACTCGTGGATACATTAGACACATTGGCTGTAACTATCACGCTATTTTTCAAATGGCTACGATAAGACTTACTGATCACCAGTGCCACAACAGATGCTAGGAACGCAGGAACAATTTGAAGAAGCTGTGGACAGAGTGATAAAAACTGTGTCATTTAGTCAAGACAACAAGGTTCAAGTGTTTGAAGTCAATATCAGAGCGCTTGGTGGTCTGGTAAAGTGTACATGCAACGCCTTGATCCACACTGCGTATTCACTCCACATAATTAGCTCTCTGCTCATATGCTAGCCACAGACCCATCTTTCAATCATACCATTCAAGGCTACAACGACGAACTACTGTACATGGCCAAAGATTTGGCGGACAGATTGATGCCTGCATTTCAAACCTCCAAAACTGGCATTCCATTTCCTCGAGTCAATCTCAAAAGAGGCGTACCACCATCCGAGACCACAGAGACTTGCACGGCGGGCGCTGGTAGTTTGATTCTGGAGTTTGGTGTTCTAAGTCGATTGACAGGCGATCCAACATACGAACAAGCAGCCAAAAAAGCGCTCAAGGCAGTATGGCATCGTCGGTCTCATCTCAACTTGCTAGGCAACGTAATTGACATACAAACTGGCCATTGGATTCACACAGCCTCATCGACAGGTGCTGGTATTGATTCTGTATTTGAGTACATGTTGAAAGCACATGTGCTATTTGGCGAGCAAGAATACAAGGATATGTTTGATCAAGCCTACAAAGCACTCTTGCTGTATGTGCGTGATCCATCCGGCTACTTGTATCGCAATGTACACATGAGCACAGGCTCTTTGATGAGCTACTGGGTCGATAGTCTCAGTGCCTTCTTCCCAGGTCTACAAGTACTGCAAGGCGATTTGGATTCGGCCATCAAGCACCATCTGGTATTTTACAACATTTGGCGTCGATATCATGCGTTGCCCGAACGGTTTGATTTCTACCAAAAAACAGTGGATTTGCCTTATTACCCACTGCGGCCTGAATTCATCGAGTCCACCTATCATCTGTACATGGCGACCAAAGATCCGTTCTACTTGGAGGTGGGAGAAATGGTGGTAGAGGATCTGAATAATCGCACTCGGGTCCCCTGTGGATTTGCTTCCATTGGCGATGTCAGATCAGGAAGACTAGAGGACCGTATGGAAAGTTTCATGCTGAGTGAAACCCTCAAGTACTTGTATCTCTTGTTCGATGCGGATCATCCTATCAATACCATGGACAGCAACTATGTGTTTACAACAGAAGGCCATGTTTTGGGACTACCGAAAAAGTATCTTTATCATAGTAGCAACAGCAACATAGCTAGCAAACCAGCGATAGCAACACTGCAACAATCTCCAGCTGGCACATGTCAACGCTATAATCCAAGTAGGAGACACTATGCATCTCTGCCCAATGCATTAGAAATGACAACAATGCCATACCAGCCTCATATGGATGTAGCAGCTCACATGGTTGGCTATGCCATTACCACGCCAACGCTACCGCCTCTATCTCCACATGGATACTGTGAATCGCCATATCATGCCATCAAATCGTACAGTGTGTCGTTTGGATTCTCTTCGCCAGCAGAACGGCTCTTTAAGCAACAACACAACAACAACAACAATTTGATGGAAATTTTGGGCGGATATTTGGCTAAATCGTTGTCAGGACTCAAGCTTGAATTGATTAGTGGTGGCAGAAAGAATGAGTATTTTGTCAAAGGAGGTTAGTTTCTGTTGTATGATACATGTATACCCCTTCATTACTATATATCCTTGTATATTATCGCCCTTTTTTTTCATATTACACATCACATCATCATAGACCTTCATATTGATCTCTCCAACAAAAAAAAAAACTCATTTATATTTTCACTTTCTACTCTATCTCTTCCTTTTTTTTTGCAACACTATAGTTCATCCACCAACTACTAGGTAAATTACACTATTTTTTTTTTTTTAAAAAAAAAAAAACAAAATAAAACTAGAGATTTATTTATTCCATAGTTTTACCGAGCATCAGACCCTCACGCTACCACTGCATGCGCTCTTGGAATACCTCACCACGTCCAGCGACCTGTTTCGCTTAACAGTGCTGCAATCTGGCATCAGCAAACCAAGAGATTATCTGGCAAGTGATTTTGAAGTGAGTATCAAATCCACAGGCCAAGATCAATGCTTCGAATTCATAGGCCTCAAAGCTGAATTTGGTCCTACGTATCCTATTCAAATCAACATGTCTGAACTCGAGTTTATTGGCGGGTTTGGATGCGATCCTATTGAAACTGGCAAGCACAAAGTCATGGTGATTTCAAGAGGCCAATGCACGTTTGAAGAAAAAGCATGGCATGCGCAACAGGCGGGGGCTCGTGCTGTTGTGTTTTTAAACAACCAACCAAATCAGTCCTTGTTTCGTATGGCTGCTGGCTCAGGCACGCAACGATCTATCCGTATACCAAGCGTGCTTCTAAATTACGAGGATAGTCTGCTGTTGGTGAAGAACAAGCGTATACAGCAGTTTAGAATGCAGCAGTTGGGGTCAGTGGATCAAGATCCAAAAGCGAGATTTGTATTGTATTTCCAAAATCAAGTGGTTGCAAATGCAAATGTTATTAATGTCTAATAAATGGCATGAAAGACATGTTGTGTACTGTGTTGCGTTTGCTACTATTGAAGCATGCGTAGAGATGCTTTAATAAAGCAGAGAGCTCGGACTCTACACACAAGAGGTGCTGAAGGAGCTGGAAACGGTAATTTCCACATGAAATATGCCTTGCTTTTTCATGTGATTTTTAATAGTGGATATCTTTTTTTCTGTTTCTCTTTTTTTTTTCTCTTTCTTTATCTCTTTTTTTTTTCTCTCTCTCTCTCTCTCTCTCTTTACAAACAAAAAAAAAAGTATGGAATACGTGGGTCGACTAGGAAGTATCTTTACTTCAGTCCATAATTTCTATAATGAAATCAATCCTGCCACTCTATCAGGTGCCATTGATATTGTTGTCGTGGAACAGGAAGATGGCGATTTGGCTTGTTCGCCGTTCCATGTTCGATTTGGCAAACTATCCGTCTTGATGCCACAGGAAAAGCGAGTAAGTTTCCATCTGTCCGTGTGATACGCAATGAGACTCACATGTATAAAAATCAAGGTCCAAATCAAGGTCAACGGCCAAGTGGTGCCGTATGTCATGAAAGTAGGTGAAGCAGGGGAAGCATTCTTTGTATTTGAAACCGAACATGAGGTGCCCGAAGAGTTTCAAACATCTCCCATTATGGAAGCAGTACCTGAAAAATTGCAAGAGGATCCTCCCTATCTTGATATTGGCGAATCCAAAGACAAGCCAGAAGAGAAGCAAGGTTTGCCATGTTCAGGATGTTGTTGTCAGATCAGCCAGTGTACTTATATCATCTCAATGCTCCCCCACAGAAACCACCACGACCGGCACTACCACAGCTCCAGCAGCAGACACATTTGAAGACGATGATTCCCTCAAAAAGTTGCCATTACCAGCCGAACTACAATCGCCCAAAATGATCATTGAAGAGCAAATGGATAAAGTTGTGACCAAGATGGATCCTTACAACACACACGACGAGCATATTGAGCTGCCAGAGCCTCAAATCTACCCTGTGGATGACGGCCATATCGTTGAAAGAGTGATTCCTGAGGCCATTACCACAACCACAGTCGCAAAGGAGAGATTTATTGTTCGTCCTGCAGGCGGTGATTTGTACAACACGCTCATGGAGGTCACGCATACATCCGTCAATAAGGAAGACAGTAAAGGGGATGAATCCATTGTGCTGGATATTGCTGGTTATAAGACGGGTGGTGATGAGTGGAGTGAAGACCAAGCGTTTGCTACACCTGGTGTGAATGCTAACACAGAGGCATTGGAAAAGGAGATGACTCACTTGTTACTGGATGAAAATGGGGTGCATTCACCTCCTGCTTTGGATGGTTTGGAGCCTGCTGATTTGGATGTCAACAAACAATCAGAGGAGAAGAATAGAGGCGAGACGAGTTATCAAACAGCAGAAGATTCAAGCGTGGCAGAAGAGTCACCTCAAGCAGTAGTAGTGAAGGAAGAGGAGCCCAAAAAGAGCCTTTGGGGTTGGGGAAGTGCTAAACGCCAGGCTACCAATGACTCGATGGATGCACCATTATCGACACCGCCCACACAACCTGCTGACACTGTACAAGATCATCTCGCACTACTGCCAGGCCAAATCTATCGCATTGAAATGAGTTTATGTGGCTTCTCTGCATTCGGTAAAGATGAAAAGGAAAACGCCCAGGTTTTCGATCAACACAAGGTCACCTACGACAATTTCACACATAACCCCAGCATGCTGAATGATAAGCGACTGGTCTTTCGTTATAGCAACCGATACTATGCAGCTGGACGCACAGGACCTTTATTTACTTCCTTGTTGTTATACAAGAAACCGCTGGAAGAAACGCCTCAAGATGAAGAGGAGGCAGCAGATAGTCGTGTATCGTACTCTTATGGCACAGGTAAAAAAAAAAAAAAAAAAAAAAAAAAAAAAAAAAGCGTAAACGGGGGCTAGTAAGTGAGAGGGCATAGAAACTCATATTGTATAGGTTGGAGACAGTGGCTGAGTCGATCATCGGTAGCAGCAGCACCTCCCACAACGACGACGACGACGACGACCGGCAACACAGCAGACAGCAAGGACACCTCAACTACCACACAATTAAAAGAGGAAACAGCAGCAGCAGCAGCAGCAGCAGCAGCAGCAGCACCCAATCTAGCTACAAAGGAGGAGCAAGAAACCACCACCTTTACTACCACCACCACCACTACATCCGTCGGATGGTCTGCTGATCATGTCCATCCAGGGCAATCTGCTGAAGAGCAAGCACCACACAAGGTGTATGCAAAGACCTTGCGTCTTACATCCGACCAACTCAAGAGCCTTTGTCTCAAAAAGGGCGTCAACACCATTTCTTTTTCCGTCTCCAGTGCTTATCAAGGTACAGCCACCTGTGCAGCCAAGATCTTTTACTGGGATTATGGAATTCAAGTCGTGATTTCAGACATCGATGGCACCATTACCAAATCAGATACACTGGGTCATGTCTTTACTATGATTGGCAAGGATTGGACACACATGGGTGTGGCCAAACTCTACACAGACATTGCCAACAACGGATACCACTTTTTGTACCTGACAAGTCGAGCCATTGGACAAGCGGACTACACACGAGACTATCTCAAGAAGGTGGCCCAAGACAAATATCAGCTACCCGACGGCCCTGTCATCATGTCGCCAGATCGACTCTTTACGTCGCTGCATCGCGAGGTAATTATGCGAAAACCAGAAGTGTTTAAGATGGCCTGCTTGAGAGATGTCCAGCGTTTGTTTGGTGGCAGAGATCCGTTTTACGCAGGCTTTGGTAACCGTATTACAGATGCTAGATCCTATCGTAGCGTCAATGTGCCTGCGTCTCGTATTTTCACCATTGATCCGTACGGTGATTTGAAGCTGGAATTGTTGCTGGGCTTCAAGAGTTCGTATATCCATCTCAATGATTTGGTGGATCAGATTTTCCCTCCTATCAATCGTGTGGTGGATGAAGAGTTTAATGACTGGAACTATTGGAAAGCGCCTGTAGCAGACATTGATATACCAGAGTTGGATGTGCCAGTAGAGCCTGTCTCTCCAAAGCCCAAGCCCATCAAGCCCGATCCATCTGCCTTACCTGCAAGCTCTGTGGTAGCTTCCACGTCTTCTTCTTCAGGACGTGGTCTCTTGCGTAGTTTTACATCTCGATCGGATAGCAGCAGCAGCAGCAACAATAGCAACATCAGCCATCGTAAGCTGCAGAGCAGTTCAAGCACGCCTACCTTGTTGAGCCGTAAATTTTCTATATCAAGCAACACCAGTGGTGATGAGAATTTGGCAAATGACAATGAAGTGACAAGTGACCAAAAAGCAGGCAATGCTGGAGGCACCACAACAACCGTGGAGGATCTAAGTACAAGTCCAACCAATTCCATCATGAACAAGATCTTGAGCGTGGGTGGGGTTCGATCTACTTTATCAAGAACCTTCTTATCCAGCGATAATAACAGCAGCAATCATACAAGTGGCACCACTACACCTCAACAAGCCATTGAAGAAGAAAAGGCAGAGCAGCAGCAACAAGAAAAAGAAGAAGAAGAAGAAGAAGAGGATAAACCCCTAACACAACAAGAACAAGATCATATCGACCAAGATGTCGATGCATTATTAGACGATGATATTGATATGGATGATATCCCATTCATTTAATAGAGCTGTAATTTTAACATTTTCTTGCTATTTATTTTATACGCACTTTTGGATTCATCATGATACGCAAACACAACATTTGGCGTACCAAGGGGGGGGGGGGAGCTCGCATGATGTGTGTTGTGGTAGTCCATCCACGTGCGATTGTGTGTATTGGTTCTACTTTATGTTACTTGCGCAAGCAAACAAACACATTGAGAAAAAAAAAAAAAAAAAAAAAAAAAAAAAAAAAGAGAGTGAGAGATTTATTATATACAGTTGAGAATTCTATTATTCATCAAACACACTGTTAAAAGTAGGGCCAAAAGTAGTTTCATTATCATCCGATAATGAACGGTATGAATGGGTAGTGGTTTCATGGACAGATTGATTTTCATTATTATACAATGCATGAATGGTATTGTAATCTTGCTCTTGGTGATTTTTCACAACGGGATTTTCTGTGGTGGCGGCAGAAGCAACAGGGTGAGGGGTAGAGGGGATCAGCGTATAGGCACGATGAAATGCCACAAGAGGACGGTTGACAACAGCGACCCAACGACGACCAGCATGAAGAGTAATTAAAGACATGATTTGATTTATTTCAAAAGAAAAAAAAAAAGAGTAATGAAAGAAGAAAGAGATTGCAGAAACCCTTCCCCTCCCTTTATATACCCATTGTTTATCTTGCCATCATAATGAGACAGAGAGCAAGAGAGATAGATGTTGGGTGTGTAGTTCTGGGCGTTTTATTATTTATGCCGTTAAAAAATCCCACGGATACAACACCTAATCAAGTAAAGTTTTGTTTGTATCTGATGTGTACCGTTCTCTATTGCTGCTGCTTTTTCTTCCAATCCAAATAGCTCACAGAGTGTAAAGGTGCGCTATCTGGTATCACGTTTAAAGGAGGTCCAGCAAACCATAAGATGGGTCCATCTGATTGACGTTTATATGATACATCTACATGGTCATGATGATGATGATGATGATGTTGTTAGCTTAGAAGTTCATTCGGTCTTGCAAGAGAGATACAAACCTAACTTCTTTTCTGGTTGTGGTTGTTGCTGGTGTTGCTGTTGTTGCTGCTGAATGTGTTGATTTACTGCATTCAATGAATCAATGACACTCGCTTGCGTGAATTGTTGCTGTTGTTGTGGCTGCGGTTGTTGATACTGCAGTGGCACAGGTGCTGGCTGTGGTTGTATATTGTTATACATGAATGGTTGAGATTGCATAGTGTGAATTGGGTAAAAAAAAAAAAAAGACGTCTCTGTTGAAAATCCATTGGCAACTTTCTCCCCTTTCTCCAACACACATTTTGAAAGCCAGCCTAGCCAAGGTAAAAAAATTTTCCATTCAACCCTATATATATATATATATTTTTTTTTTTTTTTCAACACCTTGCTCAGCTACATTACATTTTATACAATCATGGGAAAGAAACAAACAGCAAGAGATCAGCTCGACGACGTTTTTGAAATTGAACAAGGACAAGTGTATGCTCGTTCATTGGGCCCAAGAGGAAACCATCAGCATGAGGTTGAATTCATAGATGGAGAAAAGAAACTAGTGACATTACCTCCTCGTTTTAGAAATGTGGTATGGCTGAAAAGAGGTATTGCACTGACACGCTTGTCTCGTGTCAATCTTTACTCATGAACCATTCTTTAGGACACTATGTCATTGTGGATCCCACTGTTGGCATCTCTGAGAAGGTGGGCGGTGAAATTGTGCAAGTCTTGTTTCCCAAAAACATCAAAGACTTGAAAGCGGCAGGAAAATGGTAAGATGTCTAGACATGATCGCCATGATGATTCTGGCTATTCATACAGTATTCATGCAGGCCAGAGGAATTTTCTGATTCCAAATCAGAGCCATTGCAACAACAGCAACAACAGCCGGCCTCAACAAAGAAGGACATGGACCAAGATCAAGATGAGGATGAGGACGATCAAGATGATTTATTTGTAAACAATAATAGACCCGTCATGTCAGATACTGACTCTTCCTCGGACGAAGAAGAAGATTAATGGACGAAAGATAGATACCCTTTCAATTTCAATATGGACATGGTAGGAGGAAGGCCGGGTAAATCACCTGGATTTGCAGGCGGTAAATTATCTCGTTCTTCCAACATGAGTAGAGTCAAGAAGATGGTAAACAGCGTGAATGCAATCAAGCTCAGTACTGTCATGAACACATTTGCTTTACGCCATGCATTTTCATATACATTTTGACTTTTCCAACAACATCCAATGAACCATAGTGGAGGGAATAACCTACAATAGAAACATACATCAATAAACTTTTTTTTTTTTTTATATATATATACTTTGCAAATCATGGATGCATACCATCCCAGAACAAACAGTGCTGCGTTCACAGGAAAGTGACGATCTCCTCGATCTCGACTTGAAATAATGTATCGATAGTGCTGAGGAGGCTCTTGATATGATTGTTGGTGTTGATGTTGTTGTTGATAGAGAGCATACGGATGGCAAAGACTTGGTTGCGGCTGCACGGAGCCATATGTAAAATGTTGCTGACTTGGCGGGATGCTTGGCGGAGCACTGGGCATCATCATGCTGCTGTGATGCTGATAGGATGATGCGGATGGAGAACAAGACGCTGGCTGCTGTTGATGATAGTTGGCATTGTATTCGTACGATGGAGGCGCACATGGAGCAACATCCACATCAGGTGGATTTGGGTGCAAGCGATTCTTGTTATCCATGGTTTAGTATGATATGGAGAAAAAGAAGTATAAAACCAAGAGAGGCTGTACATGGTTTTTTTTTTTTTTTTTTTTTTTTTTTTTTTTTTTTTTTTTTTTTTTTTTTTTTTTACACTTTTGCATTCAAGTCACTGGATCAAAAAATGAAAGCCTACGTAGCACCCTTGTTTGAGTCATACAGTAACCATCTGAACGAGCAGGCTATCCGAGGTGGAGATCATGTATTGATTTGGTAGTACATGGATCAATGGCTTGCTTTATGAAGCTTTATGCCATTTTTGATCCGATAATTCAAAATGTTTCAGCGCTAATCACCTTTTGTCATTCGCGTCATTTATTAAAGAGTGGGGCCAATTTCACGATGAGTCCTATAAGCTCTTTTCCCTTGCATGCCACAGAAGATGTCTCCGGTAGGCCACACGGCACATGCAATAACGATTTCGTAAATGAGGATGATCAAACGTATGTAATTTTGATCTGCTGAGATGATATGAAGGTGCTGTTTCGTTGTCACTGGTATTTTATCATGTCAGTCTAAAAGACATTCTCCTTATTAAGCACCTACCAGATGCATGTACCTTGAGAACCCTGTTACTGTTCACTTGTTAGGTTTTATGTCTCAAACAAGAATCTTACAAAAGGTCTTTTACTATGGATCTGACTCTTTTAAAATATTCAATGCTGGTATCCATGCTACACATTGCATATGCAGGTCGACAGCATACTTGCAATGCCTCTTACCACTCCAGATGGTGCAAAGCACAGCCAAATTGGATGCATTTGAGCGGTACTTTCTCGCGTTAAAAGCCGTTTTAGACCGCCAGAATAGCGCTAAGCAATTGCTTCTCATATTGCATTAACCAACTAACACCTTTGTTCACAGTGTTGGTGGCTACTCGATAACTTTCAGTTATTCCACCGTCAATCGAACACTTGTTTGAAAACATCTGTTAAACGCTCGAAAAAAGAAACACGTACCATCTCTCTCTCTCTCTCTCTCTCTCTTTTTACCTGTTTTTTTTATCGATTTACTATCAAATTCATGTCAACATCCAAAAACAGCTTATTAACACACGGTCAGGCCATATGCCTTGTACCTGATATGGTGCCCACTGTTGACAACCGACGAAAAGGAAATGACATTGCAGGCAACAATGTGTTTAATGTTACGTATACCGAAGAGCAAGGCCCTCAACATCCTTTTGCCATGGGGAAGTCAATTATCGAGAAAAGTCCCTTTACATGCAAGACTTTTCCTAGGACACCACCTACCAGTCCAACTTTATATTCAAGCAATACTGTGGTCAGTGATAATATCAGCCTTTTTTTTTTTGTATTAAAGTGTATCTTTATTAGCTTTAAGATTAATGTCTATAGAGTAATTACAGACAAGGCCAAGGTGCCAGCTTGAACACTTGCCAAAGAAAGAGAAGAAAAGAGTATACCATGGTCTTGACGGACCATATTGATAGCAGCAGAAGCTATCCAAGGCTCCTCATCTATGACGCATCGCCAATGATACTTCCAAAGTGTACTGTAAGCAGTATTGAGAGCAATCAGAACATCCTTGTCGATTACCAACAAATCTGAACCACTACAAAAGGTAGTCAGCGCCAACCAAATAGAAGAAGCAGAGGGGAGTAGCTCTTGAAGTGATAACAAAGAGACTACATCCTGCCAGAAACACGACTTGGCAACCCACCACGAAATGGTGGAGATCCTCTTTTGATAAACCATAAAGAAGGGATAATATCAGCGATTTCTTGTCAGACAGCAATACCAACAGCAACAATAACGTCAAGGCAGCCAGCTTGGCTTATTGCGATGGGGACATTCAAGCAATAATCGACTTCATTGGACACTCAATCAAAAAAGATTCGGCTTTGTGTGATTTCAAACGCTGGTTTATCAAACAATCCTGGCGCCGTTGCCATATTTTTAAAGTATGAAAAATGTGTTTTGTATGTTTATGTCATACTAACTTTTGTTATAGAAGCTGTAAAATGATCAAATCAATCGTGGTGGATCATAGCAGCCATATAGAACCACTCTCTTCTGCATGGGGACAAGACTAAAATTGAGCTATTCAAATCAAGATCTGGTTGTGTGAAACGGTCAACGGTAGTTCTTCTCATTCCTCAATTTGATTAATCCCATCTTTCCTCCATTTTCCGTCGACATTGTTTGTCTTTGTTTATTATTTTTTTTTTGTTTTAACTGTCAATTCAAGTCTTAGCTAAGCAAATGCGACAGAAAGGATGAATGAATATAGTGTGGTACTGGAGGGATATGGAGGGAGGAGTGGCATAAGTAGTGTCATAGGGATGAATAAAGAGATGTGATTGATGGGAAACGAGAAAGTGCTGGAAAAAAAAAAGAGAGCGATGGGAAAAGAGTCATGACAGAATGAGACAGATAAAAGTAACGAACGACTTGTCGAATTAAGTAAACTAATGAATCACCGTATTGCATAATGCGCTAGTCTTGTCCCTGTCTAGCTTCTTCAATTTCCAGAAAGGGTTGTAGAGCAGGAGACCAATCTACTTCCAAGTGTAGACAGCACATTTTGGCTGACCAATGACATTGTTTTTCATTGACCAGTAGCATAGATTTTTGGTTGGCTGTGACATTTACTTGTTGGAAGCACTGCACTCTCTTCATATTTAAGATGATTAATACGCAACGCAAAAGAATGGAGAAATTCTGTAGCAGCTTTTCCGTCCTCAAACCGTCATTTCTACTGGCCAGTGATGACAAAATCAAGCCTAACATTTAACTGTGTGCTGAAATGTGTCATTGACTGTATACGTAGCCGCCAATATCTTGTATATCTACAGATGACACCACGCATTACTGTCGTTGCTCCCAATGACAATAGCTTATGTTTTCATGAGCTTATCTTGATAGTACCGTGACATGCAGATTTCACTCAAAATGATTAGTAAAAACAAGCCCCGCTTACAAATTCAAAAGAATGGATTAGCCATATTGCCTAACCAAGTAATGCTCAGGGATTTTCAATTGAAGCAATTATGGTTTCGATAACCGACTACTTGGATTATTCAGCAGACCAAAGGATATAAATACCCTGAATGTCAAAAAGATCCAAATTCCATTCAATTTACTCCAACACTATAAAAACAACAACAACAACAACAATGAGCTCTCAAGCATTATTCTCTCCTGTCAAGGTCGGTGCCAACACTCTCAAGCACCGTGTTGTCCTTGCTCCATTGACTCGTTTCCGTGCTACTCCTGAAGCCGTGCCTACTGATCTCCAGGCTAAATATTACGAGCAACGTGCTTCTGACGGTGGCCTCTTGGTCACTGAAGCTACCTTCATCTCCCGTCTTGCTGGTGCCTACCCTCAAGCTCCTGGTATTTACAACAAGGAGCAAATTGAAGGTTGGAAGAAGGTAACATCTGCTGTCCATGCCAAGGGTGGCGTCATCTTTTTGCAATTGTGGCACATTGGTCGTGTGGGATCAAAGTACCTCAATCCCAACCAAGAACAAGTTGTAAGTGCTTCTGACATCCCCTGCCCTGGTAAGACCATGCAAGGCACTGATTACGAAGTTCCTCGTGCTCTTACTGTGGATGAAATCAAGTCTATTGTGGGTGAGTATGCTCAAGCTGCCAAGAACGCTATTGAGGCTGGTTTCGATGGTGTCGAGATTCACGGTGCCAACGGTTATCTCATCGATCAGTTCATCAACAACTCCAGCAACAACCGTACTGACAGTTATGGTGGATCTGTTGAGAACCGCGGTCGTTTTGCTTTGGAGGTCGTGGATGCTGTTGTTGCAGCTGTCGGTGAGGAGCGCACTGCTATTCGTTTCTCTCCTGGAGGTGCTTTCCAAGGTATGGCCTCTGATGATGTTGAGGCAACGTGGGGTTATTTGGTGTCCGAGTTGCAAAAGAACCATCCTGGATTAGCTTACTTGCATCTCATCGAATCTCGCGCCAACTTCTTCTTGCCTGATCAAAAGAACACTGTCGATACTTTGGAGAGCTACAGAAAGATCTGGAAGGGCCCCTTCATTACTGCTGGTGGTTTCTCTACTTCTCTTGAGTTTGGTAACGAAATTGCTGAGAAGACAGGTGATTTGGTTGCTTATGGTCGTGCTTTTATTGCCAACCCTGATCTCCCTGAGCGTCTTCGCAATGGTTGGGAGTTGAACCCTTACAACAGAGATACCTTCTACAGCCATGATGCCGAGGGTTACACTGATTATCCCTTTTACAACGAAAAGAAATAAGTAGCAAGCATTCATTATACACATTTGCATCCCATGTGCACTCGTAGACCTTTCCATTATTTATTTGAATACACATGAATAAACCATTTTTCTGAATCAACCCACACTGTCCCTTGTGAACCATCCTAATGTTGACTACTTGCGGCCTTTCACTTGATGGAACGTTTTGTGCCACTGGTCAAGTCATTTGGATATAATTGCTCCATTATTAACTGCTTGGCAGATCTTTGCCATGTCACTTGAAGATGGCTTTGTCATTAGAGTTTTGTAATTTCAGACAGCTTTGCTCTTTTGGGATTTAATTAAGGATGCTTGTCCCGAAGCGCAGATCATTCTTTGTACCTGCTTACACCAAAAGGGTGTTACACACTTTAAACATGCAACCGTTCTACCATAAAGACGAAAACAAATGAAGAGAAGCATACATCAGACTCTAGATTCACATTTTGTAGCCATGGTTACACTTGCTGCTGATACTGTGCAGCGATACAATACTCTTCCTGCATTGAAATGCTGCCGTCTCTGCTTGACGTCTAGGTTGAATCTATGTTCTTTTTACCTGCACATGACACACCATCTGGCCACCCTATAGACATCCATGCCATTGAAAAGACCAAAGCTAGCACTGAAAGAACAAAGAGTCACTGTGGCCAATGTTGATATTATGGATCAGTATTCTACTGATTCATTGCAATGTACAAAAAAAAAAAAAAAAAAAAAAGAGCACATCCTCCCCCCCCTTCTTTCCCACTTTGTTTCTTTTCTTCTCGTTATACACGAATCTCTATAACATGGCACTCTTTCCTGTCGAAATCCTTCTCAACATCTTTCAGCATCTATCCATCTACAGCCAACATCATGCCTACACGTAGGCAGATCATGGAACACAGCGGCTCATACATTTACATCAGGAACGACACAGAAGAGAGAGCTTTATGGTTATGGTGGCATTCGACGTCTTGCAAGAGCAGTTGCTGCTAATTCTGCCCAAGGTCTGGCTATCCGTCAAATGTACTTTATCATGCAAACTAGCACTGGCGATCCAATCACTGAACGCGAGTTTATCAACCTCATGAAATGGATGTCCTCGCCTTGCAGAAATTATATTTGTTGATGTGAATCCCTTCTACTACATTCGCTACCTGTGCGGACACAATGTCAAACTGCCTCAGTTGGAGCTCATTCGGTTGGGACATCGTGCACCCTACTACATGCTGGGCAATGACTATGTCTATCTCACCTACAAGTATCGCGCTACACTCAATCAATTATGTGTCAGTGTTGCTGCCTCAGATATCAGTCATCTTGGCTTCAACACCATTACAAACTACCTGCATCAATTTCCTTGCCTCAAGTGCTTATCACTGGATACCTCTTGTCCTATTGTATGTGATGCTCTCATTCAGGCGTGCCCACAACTGCAAATGTTGAAACTCAAGGCGCACAGTAGTGGTATCAGCTTCAAAGTAATAGGTCATGATCGAAACGGCACGACGCCAGCTTTGAATCTAGCCTCTCAGCTCGAAACTCTCAAGGTCCATGGCTCTCTCATGTCTCGACAGTTTTATCAATATCTGAAGCACTGCTGTACGTTCCTTTCTCATCTGGCAATCACTTTGGCGCCTGATGCAGACTTTGATCCACTCATCGATACATTTGACGCTTTCACTGACGCTCAAGCTTTGACAATCAACAGCATCTCATTGGACAACTACTCCACTGAAGTGAATGGATGGATGCAAAGCCTTGGTCGTTGGTTTCCTCAACTCAAGCAGGTGGAGATCAAAGGATTTGACCTGGCATCTGTTGAAAACAATCATTACAATCTGTCGTTGGACTTCAATCAGCTAGATCTCTAGTACCTCTCTATCGATATCAGCCCTTTCTTCAGCCTCAGACAATCACCACTGACAAGAATTGCGTTAGAATGAGTTACAAACAATGCCACCATGTGGTATCAACGGGAGGGCAAGTGGAGAACCGGTAAGCGTTTTGTACTCAAAGACAATGCACATTACACAAATGATATATCGAGAGAGAAAAGAATGAGATCTGATAAGACGGCTGTAATTAATGTCAAGGCATCCAACATTCAAAACATTCACTTGCTCTTCACCAGCCATAATAGCTCATTCAACCAAAGCAATCCGCTTGCGCCAATAATCTATTCCGTGTAGTTTTTTTTTTTTTTTTTTTTTTTTTTTTTTACTCACAATACAGGTTGCTATTGTCAATAAACAATGATTACTATAATACAACCAAGAATGTAAGATAAAAGCGAATGATGATGCTGTATTCAATCAGTTTCCGGTGTAAATCAAACAACCAATAGGCACTGTTAATCCAAGAGGAAACTTTTCAAGGCTTTAATCCATAGCATGCATGAGACACCCCCCTTAAATAAAACAAAAATTGATGATCGACTCTGAGTTACAAATGCCGTATTATTGCATGAAATAGCCACCTGAAAGCAAACCTCATTGAAAGCCGGAATACGTCAAATATCACTCGTTGAAATTCATGCTATGTCAAGTTTGGGATGGTCGTTGAAGTAGTTGATTGTGGCAGTTGGGCAGCCATTGCATCTTGTAGGAAGAGTATCTGGTCGGATAGCATGCTGGTCATATCAATAGAAGTAAACATAATCTCACATTGTTGGAATCCTAAAAGAAATATTAATATGGTTAATCCCTTTGTCATATAATTTATCTCTTTACCTGTTGATGTTGACCAACTCATTTACTTTGTTGAACTACAAAGTGATCGTCATCCATTGCATTGGGGGGAGGGGGAGGGGCTCCCACCGCCAAGTTTTTTTTTTTTTTTTTTTTTTTTTTACGATCAAGTGGAAGCAAACGCTTTTGGAGAAGGATATCAGTTTAAAGAGGGAGGTGCAAAGAAACGACTAGAGCTGGTTTTTGATTTGATGTCAAATCCATTGCCTGAAATCAGCCTTATACAGAAGCCGCTTTATTGCGTAACAACAAGTGGCATGCTGTCTCCTAGCAGCACTTTTACTGCATAAAAAGTTTTGATATTATGTGAATTGAGATCACATGGATGGTCAGTACCAGCAGAGTCAAATGTGCGTATGTGTTCTAAGCATGCATATAAACCTTAGATTAGGATTTGTTCACTTTTTGATATAGGATACATGATGTCAATCAGACGCAAACCGCTGGCCCCACTTTTAATAAAGGCTTTCAACAGGGTGCCCGTGTTTTCTGGATATAAAGGCTGATTTCATCTTAAAAATTGATCAATACATGTTACCCCTTAATTTTGCCAATCTGATTTGGCACCTACCAATGATGTCGCTTTACTCCACTCCACCAATCATGTTGGCATCCTTGCGTTGGATTTGGTCAACACTTGAACATGCTTTTAGTGTTGATATTTCAAACAGGAATATATATATATATATATATATATATATATAGTATATCCCAAACAAAAAAAAAAATGGGGGAGGTAGCTCGTGTAGAGACCAAACAAAAAGGACAGCTTTTTTTTTTGTACCAAACAAACGCTGTTTGCGATAATAATAATAATAATAGAGGAAAAAAGACAGAAAAGGAGATGATTTTAAGGTCTGCTATTATGCATGCACTTTTGTTTTGTCATTAAGCTACTGCACTATATAAACATCAACAAGAGCATCCTCTTTTTTTTTTTTTTTCTTTTTCTTTTTTTTTTAACCTCTTTTCAACTCTTTCTATTCAAAATTACTGTTTTCAAAATATGCCTCAATTAGATCCTTTTATCATTTATACTGTCAAACTAGCCATGAACTATCAGTCAGTCGAAGAGCCAGTTGCTCCTGCTGCTCCACAGGATGAGAAGGCCATGCTTGTACAACAAGACACCAACAACCCCATGTTTCCCGAGACATTAGCCCGTATCATGACGATAAAGACCTTTCCCTTAAAGACAAACGAAAAGGCTCCCAAATTGCAGCGAGAAAACATTTTATCACTGCTTTACCATGCTGGTAAGATGAGCTTCTTGGCCATGTAAAAACCTGACAGTAGCCACTAACACGAATGACATACATGTGCAGATGAACAATGGTTGAAGAGTACATTGGAGCTAAAGCAAAGTATCAAGCGAGAGGAGGCCTCACATCAGTATGCCGTAAATCATGTACACCGACAACAGCGCATTTTTCTAGATACATGTCATATTCTGCACAAACACCTCATGGATATACCCAAAAAGTTCAATGAGCCAATTTGGTTTGCAGCCCAAGTGTTGCATCGACAGTGTCAAATACGTCATTTGGAGCAGTTTACAAGTCTGTTGAAGCCATTAGCATCCGATGTATGGATCGCTATGGAGCAATTACGTCGCATGATTCATCGTTTGGTTCAAAAACAACATCAGCACGCCGCTGCCACATCAGGTTTCTTGGCCAAGTTCTTTTCCAGCACAGCTGCATCGACAAGCTTCTACTCAAGCCCAGAAAACCATCTTTTATTGCAATCACTGGTGCCTTATTTGACAGCTTTCGAGCAACGTTGGTCTACATTTGAAAAGAGCCTGTACGAATGCTATGTCTTGACGGTCTTTGGCAAACATGATACTGAGCTACTACAACGCAATATCAGCCATGACATACCCCTTTCGCCTACACTGTTTAGTGATGCCTTGACGCAATTGTTGCCATTGGCGCTGGATCGTGCTATGGATCGACAGTTACTCGATGTTGGCGCAATCCAAACTCTAGATCCTATTGCTTTTGTGGCTTTACCGCGTTTGGCAATTTTAGCAGGTGTAACATGGTTGGCGCATGTGACAGGATGGCGCACAACTACTTGTACTACAAGCAACTTGCCTGTGTGGATTCAAATGCATAAGGAGACTCTAGACCGCATTGCAGCTGCCTTTACTCAATTAGAAGTGGCGTTTTTACAAACACCATCCAAAGAAAAGCATCAGGACTTTGTTCAACTTTACAAGACACTGGAGAGAGCGTTGGTGGATGGCTGTGATGACGACAGGATTAAACCCATCTATGTGGATATTTGCATCGTAGCTGATTCGGTCTTGTCTAGTCATCTGGCTCAATCATTTACCATGGTTCTATGCCATCTATTTAAACATGTTGGATTACAATACGATATTGAATTTGAAGAAGAGGAGGATGCTGTACCCATTGAGCAGACTCTGTTGGATTTAGCCATTTAAAGCTAATTTGTTATACATACATTGACATGGGCCGTACATATCTCCCACTATTATACATATCACTCTATACATGTACCTTTAAAAACAATAAAAGCTAAAACTGATTTCATAAATGATATGGGGGTTGTCTTGTGTGTTTTTTTTATTGTAGGCAATTCAGAATTATTGATTCAGGTACCAGTTTACAGTAGTACTAGGAAAAAAAAGCAGCCCAACGCCATCAACTCGGTCTAAAGAAGGATTGTACGTGTCTGGTCTATCTACACGAAATCAGTTTAGTTAGGAATAATCTCTGCTTCAGCTTCTGCCATGGCTACTGCTTCAGATTCAGGCAGATGCTGCATGTTGTAACTGTTGTCCTCATCCAGCATCCTTTGAAGCTGAGCTTTTGCATCAATCTTGTCATAGTGTCTAAACATCCAATAGTAGAGAACACCAGTGACAAAAGCACCTGCAGCAACACCAGAATAGACATTCACCATGTTGGGGTCATGAGCAGAGGGAGAGATAGCCAACGAAATAAGTGCAGCCACGCAGTTGGGCCATAATGAGAGAGCAGAGACCAACGATTTCATTGATTTAGGAGCATGGGTATACGCATATTCCATGGAGCAAATGGATGCAAAGATCTCTGAAACAGCGATCAAAAAGTAGCATGGGATTTGGATAAAGACGCTGACATTGGACGAGGCGCCATTAGACGAGATGTACAAAGGGTCTATGTAAATGTAATGTTGAACAACAGCAGCATACACCATGGAGAGAGCGCCAAAGAAGAAGCCCACTGTAATACGTGCCTGAGAGGCAAAATTGATACGCAATCTACGTAAAAGAGGGTAAAAGAACGTATCGAAAACGGGAATAAGAATGATCAGAGCAATGGGATCAAAGTTGTTCATGATATCATTCGGAAATCCAGCAGGACGATACATTTGTGCCGCTTGCGATAGTAGGTTGTTGGACAGCTGGTTATAGCAGATCCAATAGATGGACAGTGGCGCAAAGATTTTGCATGCCATGATGGTTTGTTTAAGCTCATCAATGAAGCTGTCGTCCCAGTTGGCCTTGTTTTGAGTCTCGTCGTCCCAGGGAGCGATACCGGGGAAGCCATTATCGCGTTTAGCAAAGTCCAGTGGTGAGGCAGAGGCTTTACGGGCTTCTTGGTGCTCGGGCAGTCTCTTTTGCTGGTACGAAAACTTGATAATGCTCCATGTCTTGACAATCACAGAATCTGTAGGGCCTGGTTTGTAATAGAAGCGACTACCTGCTACAAAGACGCAAATGGACATGGCAAACATACATGTAGGCAATAAGAAGGCTGCCCAGAAGCCAACATGAAGCTCGAGTAGAGGGCAGATGATGCCTCCGATCAAAGACCCTACGTTAATGAACCAGTAAAAGCTACAGTTCAAGACACAGTGAGCAACGTAATTCATGAAAAAATGCATATCACTGTATCCTTACTAGTTGTATAAGTGTTGGATACTGAGGTCATAGTCCACCATCACTATTTCACCGCTCTTGAGCTTTTTGCAGTAGTTTTCAGTGCGTCGATACTGATCAGCACAGAGAGGAGCAACGATGCCCTTGATACCGCCTGTACCGACTAGAGGCATATGGAATTTAGATGATGAACATGTGTAGGGATACTATCCACTTACGGCCAATGACAATCAATGATACAATATAGCCGGGAAAACCAGCCCCCTTTGCCAACGCGGATGGAGAAGCCGTTGTTGTCAGAATCAGCCAACCTATCATGTAGATGAAGGAAAAGACCAAGATGGTCCTGTAACGGCCAATGTATTGATCAGCCACTAAGGCGCCTAGTGGGTCATTGTACCCGTCATAAGTAAACGTATACAGTTATAGCATCAAACACATATACCTAGCATGGGAGTAAAATAGCAGAAAAAGGTGAAAAAGGTCTGCAAAGCTGTGGCAGTGGATTGACCTTTACCCAGGGCGCCAGCTTGGTGTGGATCATCTGGCCCATATTGCACATAGTTCTGAAATGGTGTAGAACCACCATAATATGCAAACCTGTGTAATGCGCATGTTGTAAGCGAGTGGGGATGAGTTTTAATGACAAGACGAGCTGCTTATATACCTTTCACTAGAAGAATGGATGAGCCAATGTGATTCTTTTAGTAACAAAATGCCACAACAAACGTTACCAAAATTCATTAATCAAGATAAATCCAGCTGCCAGAGGCAAACTCTGTGCTACTCGGCGCAAATTGGAGGTATCCTCAGGCCGAATTTTATCATCATCATCATACACAATCTCAGTGGTAACATCTAAATTGGCCAATGTCTTTTCTTTCTCGTTGTCGTCCTGAACATCTATACTCGACATGCTGTTTTGGTATGCAAGGGAACAAGAACAAGAGTGATACACGCCTTTGCATGCACTCCCCCCCCCCTTTTAATATAATAACAGCAAAGAATGCGAATTGACAAATGAAACCGTGCTTCTTTAGGCCCTTTCATCATAAAAGACGTTCGTATCTACTATTGATATCACCATTTTAGGGCAAAAGGTTTGTCCTGCTGGATTTTATAGAGAGCGTTGGGGTTGTTTGCATACACTCATAGATGGCTGTCCAAGATAAATGTCCAATACGCATCTTGATTTCCCAGCGCCCTGAAATCATTTATATGATCGGCAGTGTATCAGTGAGGCTATTTAAGCTTTCACATGTCCCTGGCAAGCGTGGCAAGATAATTGACTATCCTGAGAAATTTTGTATAAATAACAGGCAATTGAAAAATTCTCGGATTCAACTTTACACGCACATGTCAAATGTCAAAAAGCAAAAACTCAGTGACATTTTTTGTTTCATGTTTAAAACATTCAAGAAACCTAGTATCATCAATGATTGTAGGGTGCTCATTGATAAAGTCTGTTTGTAATGTTGTCGTGGAGAGACAACCAGACGCATCTGGACAAGCAATTGACATTAAGCAATACTCTTATACGAGACACATCTCGCCATCATGAACATGGAGTTTCCAAGTAAGGAGATGCTCGACAAGCTTTTCATCTCAGAATATCTTATTATTATTGATAAAGAGAGTGTGGGCAACGTCTATTGAACAAGTCGTTTTTGAAGAAATTCGGCTAGTCTTGAGCAGACATTGAGCGGCGTTTTAACTAGCCGCTTTGGCTGATGTCAAGATGAATGCCTTTCTCATCACAGAGGCATTGCATGTTTCTGAAGCTAATGGTGAGGGAGTTGCGAATGAAAGAGTGCTATAATTTATCTTGACTACTCTATATTGTGCTTATGGAAGATTATCTTTTTGCTAGATAAATTTAATTGTTGCGAATAGTTTATCCAAATGAGAATTTTGATCCGAGATGGTGTCCGATTCCTTCTACTATATATGCAACCCTAGTCGAGAGAAAGTATTCCATCTGCAACAACAACTTGACTTTGAAGTTATCTAACATGTGGACATATATGTAGCAGCCAATGCGTTCATATCTTTTTACCACAAAAAAACGCATTTATCAAAGGCACACATTTCCTGCAATCAAATTTTTTTGATCGTTTGACTCTCAGCATGGAGATGTGTAAAATCTTTTTTTTTTTTCTTTCTCCTTTTTGTACAGCATTTCAACATGTCAAATCAACTTTCAGCCGAGGATTTAAAGGAGGTGCGAGAGAAATCGCCCTTCAAAGGCTTGAAGATACAAGACGATACAGTGCTCTATGACATGCTGCACCGAGAAACATGTCCAACATGTCACAAAAATATGAAGCATTATTGCTACAATTGCTTTACAGTGATAGGCATGGATAGATCTCAAGTGCCATTTGTCAAGCTACCTGTGACCATCGACATGTAAGTATGCTTATGAATGACACAGCAGCAGCAGTAGCGGTAGCTTATACTATATACCATTGCGGTAGCATCAAGCATGAGAAAGAAGCAGATGGAAAAACAACAGCACTTCATGCCAGAGTAGTGGCTGATCAAGATGTGGGTGTATACAATTGGAAAAAGATGCCGCAATACAGCCAGCCTGAACGAGTGCTCATGCTATTCCCTGGTCCAGTAAGTGGTATATGCGTTTAGGTTGTGATTAGCATGCCAACATGGGATGGTCCCTTTGCATAGGACGCTAAAAAACTAAGCGAAATCCCTCGAGATTCATTCGACCATATGATTGTGATTGATGGTACATGGAGACAAGCACAAAAGATGGTGCGAACCACACCCATACTACAAAAAGTGCAGCGAGTGACCATTGAGCCACGACTCACCTACTTTTGGAGATTTCAAAATCTCAGTGTCAATTACCTCTCCACTATTGAAGCCATTTACTACCTCTATGTGGAATATGCTCAAGCTTATGAGTTGAAAGAGGGACAGGTATATGATGGGCGCTATGACAATCTCCTGTTTTACTACAAGTATCTGTATGATTTGATCCAATACAACTACTCAAAAGGAGAGAAAAAGGACAAGGAATTTTGCTGGCGACATAAATCAGATTACATCAAGGATAGAGAACCAAGCACTATCAAGAGAGATGCTTCGGGAAAAGTATTGGATGAAGAAGAGTATCAGAGATTAGCCAAGAAGAATAAAATGGGTTGATTTTTTTTTTTATATCCATTTGGAATAGTGACAACCTGCTGCCAGGAAGCCAGCAGCCACGGCTTAATAGAGCTATAGTAGTTGTGCATTCTCGACAATAGGCTTACCACACATAATTAGGCCAATACAGTTGAGAAACTACCCAGAGCAGAATCCATTGGGACACTGACTCTGAGGCACTCTTTACGGTGAATATTAACCAAACTAAGGGCATTTAACAACCGTCAAGCCAAGCATTAGTAATTCGCTTTGTATATTTTATTTCATACAACCAAGAGCAACTACAAAAAAAAAAACTATTCAAGAATCTTGCCAACCACAATCAAAGAAAGATGCATTAGCTGTGATACTGTTTACTATACCATGCTTTTAGCTATCTCTGCTTGTCAAAGCTTGGATAGAAGAACATGGCAGTTTAACTCAAGTGCGAGCAAAAGCTTATTGGGTTAATTCCTAATCAAAGAGTATTTTATGAATGTTTATATCACTTTTGCAATTGACGAAATGGAACTTTGCCAAGGTCATGTACGTTTGAAACAGTAGAAAGCGCCTTGAGTGTCTCTGAAAGGCCTCTTGATGTCTACCGTTTCAGGGGATGCCATCTGAGAGGACATGGTAAGCATTATAACGGCTGTAGCGGACACTGTCCGTAAACAACGACCCATATTTCTGATCAGCATTACTTTTCTGCTGCTATTTCTATTGATGGGAAGAAGCTGCTCTGGAAAGACATTTCGCAGACAAACACAAGGAAGAAGGTATACGTCTGTTATTACTTTATCAAATGAACAGCAATGAATACTAATTGAAGCCTCATTGTATGTGGACACAAATAGCCCCTTGACCTATCTGACAAGCAATACACAACTAGGTAACTTGCCCTGTCTCTAACGAAAAGTAGCTGAAACTGACATATCATTATCGATGTGCCACTAGCAACAAAAAGAGTGTTTACCACTGTTAAAATGGAGCTCTCTTATATTGAAGACCATTGTCAAAAAATTATAACTTACACTATGAGTGAAAATAGGTCCTTTGTTAGTTTGACTAACAACAAAAGAGTGAAGATCACAGAAACGGAGGAAAACACCAATTCAAGCGGCACACCGTGCATTCATGACAAGACCAGCAACATCCCAACCCCAAGCCCATACCAAACTATTTTGGCTTTTGACAGCTCTGAAGAAATCACAGCAGTTGAACTTCAAATACTGAATTCAAGACGGAAATTAAGCGAGGAAGGCCCTGTCTCAGCCCAATTGCTAGTAGGCTGCATTATCAGCGACCAGAACCAAGCGCTGCTCGTGAATGGATTAGAGATCTACCATAGAGACGCCAGCGTTGATCAATATTGTGAAAGGGTGTTGAGAATCTTCTGTGCCAACGCTTTTGTTCCAATACTCCAGTCACCTACAAGTCTGCAGAGTGACAACTGACAGTAGTGAAAAAATGATACTTGGGACAACATCATGCAACTATCTTGTGGTTCAAGTGTAATCAAGAACATCCAAGACCGTCTAAGCAATCAACGGCTGACCTTTATGTTGAAAAAACCACAACTTGCAAAAACTAAGCGAGTTTGCAAAAATTTTTTTGGATCTCTTCGAGGGTGGCAAAATGAACATTTTAGAAAGCATAGCAACAACAACAACAACAACAACGAACACAGTAAAAGAGGCAAACAAAAGCATTCCAAGCAACATTCACGCTTCTTTCTATCCCAGTGCATATCTAGTGTCGAAAAAAGAACTACAATATAATGATCCCTAAGTCTCTTTTACAAACAAAAACGGCCGCAAGGTGAAGATCTCATTCCGTGGGCCGCATCCAATTCTTTATAGAGTAATTTTACACAAGTGGGAAAGTTGGCGCGCTTTCCTGACCACCACTTGCAGCGGTGGTCAACCGTTTTTTGCTTGGAGAAACACCATTTTAGTCAGCTAATAATTGGTTTCCAAATGTGATTTGAACAGCCAAATAAGGTCGAAATTTTCTTCTGTGCATTACACTGATGGATAAAAATGAGTTTCCTCTCTAGTCTTTTGCAGTCTGATTGGAAACGCTCAACACAACACTGATTTCCAGACGGGCTAGAAGATCGTCGCTGATTTCCAATCAGACTGAAGACCTCAATATTGATTTTTAGTTTGACAGACATGCCGACAACGACAACTCAGTGAGTCGAATAGCTGATACTTTGTTCTCCATCATGCAATTGCAGACTGGCTTAGTCTATTCTGCCTCTAGCCCTTGAATATAATTTTTAAAAATGCGTCTGGGGATGCGTTCAATTCACGCACCCGACTGAACACAATTTTTCACATAAATGCTTGGGAAGTTATGAGCCCAATTTTCGACAATGTATTGTACTTCAGTAGTAGCCGCCGACCGTGCTGCCAGGCAGCTGCATTTGCATAGTCTGGTCTGCTTATCAACCGCTTTTTCATTTCTCGGCTTGTATATTCTTCAAGGAAATAATGCTTTCAACGCGTTTTTGTCCACAAAACCGGCACCAGCATATTGATACCAGTTCATTTTTCTCTCTTTCTTTATATAAAGTTCTACAACATACATTACCACATACTAATAATCTTTTTTATTTAGAGATAGATTTATTCAGATTCTTTTATTATATGCGCATCACATTATCTTACATACATGCAATGGTTTGGAATCTTGTGTATGCGTCACTTCATCTCACTGCATACGCATCTCGTTGTCTTGATAGCATGTGTAGCCTGTCCACCTCCAAATGCATATGCAATTCTAGACACTTAATCAGTTAGATGTCTAGCCCGTAGTAATGACTAGACAGTCTGTTCATTCAGTGTAAATAGGGCTCATACCTTGTCTGGAAAACATCCATCATGATCTGTCCATTCGTTTGCTCTATTTAGATGACAGGTTCATTATTGAACTTGTGTGTATTTCCTTTGCTTTTTGGCTGTATTCATTAGTCCTATATAGACTAATATTAATAATACTCATAGCAATGTTGCTACTCAAATAGCCGATCAAAGGTATTGGTTGTATATTTGTAATAGCAATTACAAATGCTAATGTCAGCATCTGTCATCACAGATCCTAAGCAAATTCTACCATTTCTCACCATATACTCTATTAGCACTACTCTCTAAACGTCATTACACTCCACTAGAAATGCATCGCCACATATCATTTTGTGGCATTGCACCTGTAGTATCTAGACACTTTAGATATATATGTAATGCAACAAACTGACGGTACCATGGTAGCGCATATTCAGCAGCATTTTACAGCAACGCCTTGCAATTTTTCGTCGAATATTCCGAAACGAATACAATGTTTTATACACTATCTAGATAGAGGAAAGTAATGCAAATTTGAAGAGTTGAATAAAAAACTGCTGAAGCGCATATTGAAGAAGTGATGAAACTACAGTGAATCCTAGACAAAGCTAAATTGGGAGATTGCTACTGATGAAGGATATTTTATTATCGTTACCACCCCCTCTTTCTCTACAACACTACTCTTACCTTGCCCCTCGTTAGCTTGTTTTCAGCCGAGTCGCAAGGGAAGAAAGGAAAGAATATGCCAACATGGCATTTGGTCACATTTGCTTTTGCTTGTATAAAACATCAAAAAAGGGCACGTTTTGCCTTTGTTTACTTTGCTGCATATAAATAGGGAATCCTGCATTTCATAAAGAAAAAAAAAAGGTACCCTCTCTTTTTTCGTTTGCCCACTCAAACCTTCTTTTTTGTATGAATAACCTTGCGTTACTACCATCAGTACCACTCCTGAAAATAAACCCTAAAGTTCGGTGCTGCTATGTTCCTTAATGAAGTTCAACACATTTGCCATGTGGGCTAGACATGTTGTATATATAGGTAAGATTGTTTATGTAATTTGATGTTGAATTTACGATTTCGAATCAGACTAATGAGCCGGTGTTTTGAAAGAGTGCAATTATTTCTTGCACAACTGTAAATACTCTATCAGCTTGAATTTGTTTATTGTCAAAGTGCCCCATCGATCAAAGGTGTGCATATGCTATCGCTGAAAAAAAAAAAAAAAAAAAAAAAAAAAAAAAAAAAAAAAACCTGGACAAAACATGAGTGCTCCAAACACCAGTTGCCAACCAAGAGATTGCTAGTACGCTGGATGATGAATCAAAATGACATTAAGCTTATACAGGCCAGCAGACGGGCAGAAGGTCCATGCCATCTATCCAAAGCACATCTCCTTCACCCCTTTCTTTTTTTTTCTTTTTGCATTTTCTTTGTATACTGGACACTTTTCTTACGCCTCCTATTTTACACAAATACATGTACTTGGTCCATGGTTTTGCTTTTCTTGCTCTCTTTGTCCCTCTCTTTTTGTTCATCTAAACTAGTTTTGTTTGACACATACAACTTAATCCCTTTGTAACAGTATAATATCGCTTAAATTATGGAATCAAAAAAGACGAGCACATCAACAATTCGACACAAGATCGCAATAGAACACAACACCTTATCGTTTCATGCTTTGAGAGCAAAGTTTCAGCCTAGTCATCCTGTGAAAAAGCCACCCGCATTAGCAGAGATGATGGTAGTATCTTTATGCATAGTGAAGAGCCTCATGCTGACAATTGCTTAACACAGGATAGTAGTAGTAGTAGTAGTAGCAATAGCAAGAAGAAGAAAAGCTGTACGAGCACCATACCAAAGCGTATCACAGCAGCAGCCAAGAACTTGACAGACTTATCAGATCACTTGTCCCTGAAAAGGATTACAAATACAAGCTCATTAGTCGATTTGCCAAACTCAGCGACTGCTCTCTCCCTGTGGTCTAACAATAGCAGCTCAACAGCAACAGAGGATCAGCCCATAGAGATTGAAGAAGAGGAAGATGACATGGACGATGAAGAAGAAAGCATATCTACAGTCGTATCAACTCTATCTGTTCTCAGTGTAGTCCCTCGCACAGGGTCATTTGTGAACGATCTAAGTAAAAGACTTGCACAATCTGGAAAAAAGGGGGAGCTTGTGAGCCACATTACTACGGCTACCAATAGCAACACGATGTCTGCTTCCACACCCATCAGACGATCTGCACCACTCGATGAGTTGCTGTTTCCAATGACAGCCTCGATGCAATACATTCGAAAATCAGTGCCGGCTTCTACATCATCACCATCCTTATTAAAGCGGTCCACGACAGGCACAAGTGTCCACAGCATGATGTCCAATAACTCATCCACAATGATGGACTGGAAGTGGTATGCCTCATCCGCCTCGTCTTCTTGCCCACCACCGCCAACACCGCCTTTACCAGATCAATCCCCATTGACCCGTTCGTCGGCTTTAAAACGAGCTCGTGTCGTTCAGGAGTTGATATCTACCGAAAAGAGCTATCAGGCTGATATGGAATTAATTCAGGAGGTCTACCTGGATGATACAGTCTTCTCAAAAATAGAAATCAAGCAGATATTTATCAATTTGTTGGACATCATTGCCTTTGAAAAAGAGTTTGTGCAGCTATTAGAGTCATGCCAGCAAGACGAATACCAAAACAAAGCTGAAATGACGATTGGCATTGCTTTCAGCACCATGATGCATCGCATGGAGCAGCTCTATGGCGACTACTGCAAGAGGCATGAGGATGCAGTGTGCAAAATCCAGGAACTAAGCCATCGGTCGTTGTCTGTTCAGGCATTCTTTGCGGTAAATGATTGCAAACAACACTGACGGCACACATACATTCTAGCCCGAAAATCAGACCTGTAAAAACAAGATCCAGGGGCGCACCATGTGTTGGGATCTACCTAGTCTATTGATCAAGCCAGTTCAACGCGTGTTAAAATACCCTTTATTGCTGCGGGTAAATAGTTGAGCTCCTCAATCGCTCCTACATATCTCACGTTCATTTCTGTAATTAGGAAATCGTTGCATTGACACCTGAGTTCCACCGTGATTTTGATCAGCTCGTCATGGTCACAATGGAAATTCAGCAAGTAGCGGATCATATCAATGAGACCAAAAGAAGAAAGGAGCTTGTGGAGCAGCTCATGAGCGACAAGAAGAAGATGGACAAAAATGTCATCAACAAGAAACTCACTCGCAAAATACATCGCAAACAGCAGAAATCCACGATCCAAGATACGCTTTTTGACAATCTGTACAAGCAGTTTGAATCCAAACAAGCCATGGCAAAGCAGTTTGAAAAGGCAGTTCAAGACTGGGTGGCGACAATCCACGCCAACATTCAGGCTCTGTCGGACCTGGTAGATAGTCTTGAAGCAGTATATGGTGATTCTGACGGCATTGGCTTGCGAAGTATCTGTGCTTTCAAAAGGCTAGTGTCTCAACTGCAATCATACTCAGTTGTAAGTTACACACAGTTTCAAACTGAAACACACAGCTCATATAATGGAAATGATAGGAAAAGACAGTTCAAGTGATTTACAATAAAATTGACGCCTACCTCAAGTTGTTCAAGAACCCTGCGCATGTGATTGATAAACGCAACAGAAAATTGGTGGACTACGATCGAATCCAGCATTTGATGGCGAAAGGGGAGACACCAGACAAACAGCTGCAATTATCAGCAGAGCAGTATCTATCACTGAACGCTCACTTACTGGATGAATTGCCTACATTTATAGCGTTGTCCTCGGACTACTTTGATATCATTATTTACGAATTCAGTCAGATCCAAGCAAAATACTGGCGTCAACACAGATCCGAGTGGAAATCATTGACAATAGAGCTTCCCTTTGGCAAAGATTACGCTTGGTCCTGCTTAGAGAGCTACTATCTCGCTAGTATGCATCGGCTGGAATACCGCATCAACGAGATCAAGACAAAGCCACAGCAGCAAGAACGAAAAGAACAGGAAAAGTCCCAGACCTCATCGACAATAACAATGACTACAGCTCCAAAAGGTAATTTTTTTTTATACGACATTCAGCATCATTTCAAACCAAGTCTTGCTAATGTCTCTTGTGCATAGAAAAAAATTCAGATGCTAACGTTGACCCCTCAAAAATGAGTGGGCGGAATACTAGCAAGCGATACGATAGTTTGTTTAGTGAATCACAGCCTGTATTTCAGTGTGTTGCTCTAGTGGATTATGAGTCGCCTGAAAAACTAAAAGTAGAAGAAGGTGATCTGATCCAGATTTGGTTGCCTGCTTTGAGCAACGACGATAATAGTGCTTCAGAGGCAACGACAACAGCGAGCAGTGCAACAAGTACCGAATGGTGGTAAGCGAGCAAGCATCAAGATGCGAATGGCCCCAACTATGGCTGGATCCCATCCAATATATGCGAGAAATTGTGATAATAAAAAAAGACTCATTGTACTCGATAAAAATTTCGTTGGGGTTCGTTGGTGGCTATCAATCCAAGACATTTATTCCTTTTTTTTTTCCAAGTGCTTTTCGGGATTCCTAGCCGATGGTCCACCAAATCAACGACTGATCTCCAGTTTAATCAGCAGGAGGAAAGATGTCCCTTTAGTGGTTTGGGACGCACAGACATTTGGCTTCATTCAATGCTGTGTCTAGTGTGTGATTTTATAGTGTTGGTTGTGTTACCTGGAGCGATATTTATGCACGGTATGGATCTGCAGAAAGATGCACATCGAGACACATGCCAAAAAATATGGATCCCGTGATTTTTATTTCCAATTCATTTTTACAAGTGTTTCGAAACCAGAGTAATGGATTAGAAAAAAGCCGCTGCATCATGGTTACATCGAATAGCTATCTTTTTATGCATTACAGAATGGCTTGAAAGCCAACTTGGAAGGCAAGTACATGGCATTCAACCTGTGGCTTTATGAGACTGCAACAAAAATGCCAACATCTTATATTGGACATTTTCACGCATCTATCATGGAGGTTGAAATCTGAATCCGGGTTTGGTGTGTGCTTTTGAATTAAGCAATCTATGGCGGCCAAAGCTGGGACCAAGCACCACTCCTATTCAAATGATTACACTATAAAATGCATCTAGAGCCCTTGAGCAACACGTTTTTCTCTTTTTCTTTTCTCTTTTTTTTTTCACAATAAACAATTATTTAACGTAAGTTGCCTGTCTATGGGATACACTGCAGCGTGATATACTGATTCATTATGGTAGCATGTCTGACGATCATCACGAGCAACACACTTTCGAAACTGCCGATGCTGGTGCTTCTCTTACTTTCCCTATGCAATGTTCTGCTTTGAGAAAGAATGGCCATGTTGTCATCAAGGGTAGACCTTGCAAGATTATCGACATGTCTACCTCCAAGACTGGAAAGCATGGCCACGCCAAGGTTCACTTGGTTGGTACTGATATCTTCACTGGAAGGTAAGTTTGTGGTTTTTCTGCTTTCCATGCCATGCTTGATTCTTATTTCTCTGTGATTGTATGAATGACAGAAAGTACGAAGATCTCTCTCCCTCTACTCACAACATGGATGTCCCCAACGTCTCTCGTCAAGAATATGCTCTTCTCAATATTGATGATGGTTTCCTTTCCTTGATGCTGGCTGATGGTTCTATGAAGGATGATGTCAAGCTCCCTGAAGGTGAACTCGGAGAGAAACTCGAAGAAGAGTTTGAAGAAGGCAAAGAATTGATTGTCACTGTCGTCTCTTCTATGGGTGAGGAACACGCTTTGGCTTACAAGGAAGCTCCCAAGTCTTAAATGGTCTATTTTTGTCTTTTTTGATTGAAAAAAAAACAAACAAAGAACCTCTTAATTCTTATTTTTTTTTAAAAAAAGCAGCACTCTTCAGCTTTTTTATCTGCTCATTGTAAACTAGTTAAGCATTTTCACACTCACAAATATACTTTTCGTACACATCTTTTTAGATTTAAAATAAAATATTTACACCTTAAGCGTTTCTTTTTTGTGTCAGAAAATCTATATGAAAACTTTTTCTTCATACAAGCCTCCTTTTGCTTTACTCCGTTTTATTTTTATATATATATATATGGTTTCAGTGATGGTTTAGATAAACGTTTCGTTGCTCAGGCTGAAAGGTGGAAACGACTAACAGGCTGGATCGAGATCAGGGCACTCAATTAAAGTTTGACAGCTGAATTTTCTGTCTGCCAATCACATTCACCAAATGCTGTAACTGATTTTGGTTAAATTGCCATGGTGTTTTTTTTGAAGCGATGCAATCCTCTCTCTTTTTTTTTGTTTAGTTTTGTTCTACTAGAATGTTGATGATCATCTGCGGTAAGTATTAGTGTATCTATTGCGATCTAAGATGGAGGTATATTCAATTGTATCGAAGCAGAGTGAGTGTCGTATAGCCTTATATGTCCTAAAGCATACAAAAAAACGTTGATATTGCAAATAAGTATATTCATAATGAGTGGTCACTACAGTAGATTACTTGTTTGCAATCATCAGATGGATAGCTCTCCTAAAAGCAATTATGCATATTCAAGTTGAAATGGCATAAGATGACATCACAATGCGGCTTTTGAATGAAGTATACAATCGCCCAATGCCTGGCTAGGCAATTGGAGAAGAGGAGCCCAGCAGCAGCATATATTCATTTTTCAACATTTCGCTTTCAACCTACTTAGAAGCAGCATGTTTAGAAATGCAATCAAACCTTTGCAGGGATGCCGATATATCCACAATGCATCTGCCGCACCAAATGTCTCAAGGCAGCTCTTTTTTACAACAAAGCAACCTACTCGCATAACGACCCCTGGCATGTATCGCCATCAACTTTACTCAACTTCATCGAGCAGCAGTGGTAGCAAGTCAAGCTGGAGCCAGGAAAATGCGTCTGCCGGCATGTATACTGCCTCTTTATTCATTGCCATGTTGGGTATGTCTTATGCGGCTGTTCCTCTTTATCGACTCTTCTGTGCCAGCACAGGCTACAGTGGCACACCAGTGATTGATGCATCTCGTTTCAGCAAAGAAAGACTAGTGCCTCAGCAAGACAGTAGACGTATCCGTATTACATTTGAATCCAACACATCTGATTCATTACCCTGGACATTCAAGCCAGAGGTGCGTGAGGTCTTTGTAGTCCCAGGTGAAACTGCATTGACATTTTACAAGGCAAAGAGCAAGGCAAAGGAGGATGTCATTGGTATTGCAACGTACAATGTTACACCTTACCGTGCTGGTTCTTATTTCAACAAGATTCAGTGCTTTTGCTTTGAAGAGCAAAAGTTAACGCCCGGAGAAGATGTCGATATGCCTGTGTTCTTCTTTATCGATCCTGATTTCTTGGATGATCCATTGATGAAGGATGTCAATACAATCACACTCAGTTATACCTTCTTCAACTCAAAGTATGCAAAGGGGCTGGCTCCCGTACAGCCTCAAGCAGCATCCGCATAGACAACTTGGAAATTTACATGTATTAAAAAAAAAAAGTTATTGTTTATTATGTATGTATATATTAGATGAGTTGTGGATGATGAGATCGCTGCTGTTGAAGCTCTGGAAATGGCTTGGTTTTGGCATAAAAGTAATTTGCTGTTGGGTCTCTGATACGCTCACTGGGGTCATCATCATGGTTGTATTCACTGGGATGAATGATGGGCGACTCTAGGGCAATTTTCGGTGTGAGCAAAGCACGCCCACCATCATCAGCATCTGTAGTGTGTAGAGACTCTGGGATAGATGACACGGATGAGTTGTTGGATTTGGATCGTGTCCAGCTAAACATTTTGGTCGATAGTAATTTCGAGGACAGATCAGAGCTTCTTGATTGCATGAAGTCAGACGGTCTTCTTTTACCAGCAGACGACATATTGGAGGAGGAGCGAGTAGTGAATGTGTTGAGTGATTCGGCGGATTTGAAATATCGAAGAGCCTGTTGCTTTTGAGTTGATGATAGTCTGATGAAAGAGGAGGAGGAGGAGGGTGTCGTGGGAGACACAGGAGATGTTGGTAGCCTAGGCAGTTGTTTGATGAAGGTTGTGTTGGTAGTAGCTGTTGTTTCCGAGCAAGTTGTGGAGGGTTGATGGATAGATAATGCCTGCATATCCTGTGGGGGGAGTTGTAGTCTGTCTAGCCACTTTTCCAAGACTGTTGTAGATTGGAATACATGATCTTGTAGATTATCGACCCACACTGCTCTTTCTTCTGCGCTAGGTGCTTGCAGATAGTAATCAGGCCAGTCAAACTTTGTTTCATCGTCTGACACTAAGCAAAAGGTGTTGAGCTTTGATTGCTTTTGATTGAGTGATGTTACAGGCTGAGCGTCAGGGACTAAGCTGTAATGGTCCAGGGAGATGACTGCCAGCGCATTAGGATCGTCCTATTTCAACATTGGTTAATTCAGATGACATTGGTAGCTTCTATTTGTCAGTACCTTGTTCTTGTAGTATCGAAGCTCTTCGCCATACAACACAAAGTATCTCTTGAGCCAGGCTCTACATTTCCCATGCTTTTGTTTCATCAAGTAGCCTTCAAGTCGAACAGTAGATGGTGGTGCTGATTTGTTGGCGGTTTTAACGCTGGGTATAATAGTAGTAGATGATTTGTTGAAGCTGGGCATGGTATATAGGTCTATGATAAAGGTATAATGATAATAAATGTGATAGTTTTCGTTGAGAATATTGAGCTGGTTTATATACTTTTGCGCAGTAGTACAAGCACATCGTAATAGATAAATTTTAATTTGAAAGGTGTGTCTTTTTGATTCAACTGGCTCACTCTGATGTTGCACTAGTTTTGTACTCTGTCAATACAAGGTATGCCAATTCGTATGCACTTGCTCTTCATTTGTGTTTGCAAGTTCAGCTTATACATGCTGATTGGGTTTCTTACAAGACGTAAACATTGCATTCAATACATTGTCATTTTCTTCATCAAGTTGATGATAATACAAAAGGCGTTGTCATACAAGCTTCAGTGTAACACAGCTGATGATTATGAACTATTTTGACGATATGATATGATTGATATCATTTTATTATATATAGAACACTATGCTTGAGAGCCTTAAGCTTATCAGTCCAGCATGATAGTTATTCATGTTCATTAGATAAACTTGTAGATATGATTTGAAGCAGTATGGACACAGCCTGCTACTTGTGTGTGTGTGTGTGTGTGTGTGTAGGACAATAGAGAATGGAGTTGAATTGAATAAGGCAACTTCAGGTTACAAGGATCGCCTATAGTTTGTCTCTTGCCATCGATTTGAAATTAGTAAAAAAAAATTAAATGACCATGGCCATCAACAATTATGTAAAGTTTCTTTGATCGATATTTCAGCGCAAATTAGCATACATCATAGACAATCAAAAGGTGGCCCTAACTATATTGGTCCATGATGTTTTATACTAATTGATATTGACACTGGGGTGGCCACACTGTAGTATGAGAAAACAGCTGTATACTTGGCTTGATTGGTATAACTTGCTACAGTACTACAAGAGTGGCTATCCACTCATCTTGATGCTACCTTGGAGGCGCTGTACACTTACGACGGTATCGTCGATTGTTTGCACCTCGCCCTGCTGATACCACGTTTACAAAATGCTCAATTTCCAAGACTAACCCATATATATTCAATTCAATGTTTCCAGCTATCTAATCTTCTTTGAATTACTCGATCACCATCGCCGATGAGCTTATTTAGGTAGATTGCTATATTTACCTTTTGTAGTGTCTTCCGTAAAGGGTAACTTAACATTGGGATTGACCATTTTCATTTCAATGGAATACTCTACCTATATCTTCCCCCCCCCCCCCCTCAATGCTTCTCTACTTGCAGCTCCTCCCCCAGGATTTTATTTCTGTAGAAGGTTCTTGCAATTTGCTCTATACATGATTCATATCATGCAAGATGTAAAATCCATCTTACAAAGCTAGAGGGTTTTGCAATCTCATCTTAATTTTGCAAAAGCTTTTCGCTATCCACGTAATAAATGGGCGATGGCTTGGCAAGCATTGTGCTCAAGATGCATTTTATACTCGTCCTTTCTTCAATACTATTGCTATCACAAGCATAAACAACCTCAGTAATTCGTGCAGAAACATAATTGTATCCATGGTTTTTAACTGATCTGTTCATATACTTGATTACTATCAATCACATCTTCTTTCGACCTCGATCTTGATTTCCAGTCAACACACTACCACATGTGACATATCTGCCAAAGGTGATAGGCTCTCACTAGAGTGCTTCATTGGTTGCCTAATCGCAGCACGCCCCCCCCCCCGCCTCCTATTTCTGTCTCGGTTTACTTCGCGCGTTCAACCACGCCATGACTAAAAAGGACAGCGCACAGAGGTTGAATATCCATTTTTATTCCAAATGCGAAGCGCACTTTGGTAGATCAAAACCTTTCTCATTTATACACACACACACACACACACACACACACACACACACACACACACACACACACACACACACACACACACGCATAGAACGTGCCAAGATATTTACATACATATGATGATATGAACTTTATTGCTGTTTGTTTACAGCTTCTGACGCTCCAGAAATAGGTGAATAATAATCAACAAATGAATCGAGATTCTGCCCTTCTCTTTGCAACATATAGTCTTGGTTTAAATTGGCTTGGTATTGATTTGCGACAGGAGGTCTCGTCTGCTGCTGTTCAGGTTGCTGCTGTTGCTGCGTGGGTGTAAATGAAGCCGGCTTTGTAGATGGCTCCTCCAAAATCTTTTCGCCATCACTTTGATATCGTGCATTGATCTTTCGAAGTGAGTCATGTCTGGGTGGCACTGTGGAGGATGCTCCTTTTCCAAAATGATGGCTGCTGCGCTTCAGATCAGGTAAAGGTGATTGGGTGTTGTGCTCCTCTGCATTCGCCATGGATGAGCCTCGTTGCATGACGGTATTATCAGAAATGGATCGACTCATGTAAGTATCTGGCTGCTGTTGAGATGGCTGCTGTTGAGGTGGCTGCTGTTGAGATGGCTGCTGCTGCTGCTGCTGCTGGTAGCTTGCTCCTTCAGATTGATACCTTGGTGGCACAATACGGCTTTGGTCTGGTGTCATCACTGGTCGTGCAGAAAATGGAGGGGCTGATTGCTGTGGCACTTGCTGTTGCTGAGGAAGTGATGCCATACGTTGATGGCTACTGCTGTTACCAGGAGGTGCTGTTCCTATAATGGTGGTTAATTTAGGAGGATATGGACTATTGAACTGCTGATCTGCTGCCACTAATGGTCCGCCAGGTGAATTGGATCCACTGTTGCTAGTGATGATGGGGGGAGGAGCCATTGGTTGTGTTAGCAGCATATTGTTGTTGCTAGTGGTTGGTGTGTTGTTCAGTACTGTGTTACTCAGATACAACAGATTGCTTTGAGAGAATTGGCTGTACGGACTCTTTCCATTCAGGGCTTGCTGTAATTTGGGCTCGTTATTTCTGCGAGCGACTTCCTCTGCCTTTGGGAACAGCATTTCGTAATGCAGGATCAAGTCCTCAAAGAGATCATCGGGTGACCAGTCTCCCAATCCTTCTTCTGTTTGATTGAAATCGTGGAAAATGACAGGAGTAAAGATCAATGCCAAGTTGGGAATATTCATCTTGTTGATTTGGCAGCTAGCATTAACCCTGGGATAACATGCGTGTCAGTAAGCGTATTAGCACATCTGAAAGGGTAATTATACGTACTTTGCTAGATGGCGCACAATGTATAGCAATGTACTTCTATGAGCGAGCGACAAGTTGGATAGCTTTGTTTCCATCAATTGGAACCGTTGTATTTGAGGTATATTTTCTGAAAAAAAAAATAGCGTGATTAGGTCACCCTTATACACATACACATATTCTGTCAACCCACTACTATACGATGATCTTGTTTGCACATTGAAATCAAACAAGGGCCTCTTCAATTCACGAATGTACATCTTGAGCACCGTCGCAATAGTAAAGACATCGTATTCATCAAGCACCACTTTGTCTTCATCCAATTCAAACTGATGCTTCAATTGTTCTATGTTGGTTTGTCTACCAGAAACTCGGTAAATGCCTTCCTTTTGCAAACCTCCCAATTTCTCGATGGAATCAATGCATTTGACTACAAGCAGGGGCACAGTTCTGTTATGCTCAATGGCATATCCCTCCAACGAACCTCCAAAGAGCACCTCTGAATAGGCGTAAGTACCACATCCAACAAGCACAATGTCTGACATCTACCTTTGCATTTTCCTTCTAGGTAATAGTTTTCGTATCTCACTGGTGCTGGGTGGCAATATCCTTGAGATTGGTAGTGGGCGTTGAATAGTTGAATGTCCTTGAAACTGTCGATACAAGCTGCTGCATCAAATGAGGCGCGAGAAATCTTGATACTGAAGTTAGTATCGATATGGCCATACACTTGTCAGCCAATGACTCACATTCATTTCAATTTGCAATGAATCCAGCTCAGAGTGCAAGATGTTCACAAGCGATGTTTTGACTGTGTCCGTCTTTCTCTTGATGGTACTTTTGAGTTGCTATATTCACCATATGTCAACACATGCAGGCAAGAAAACTACATAAACTTACTCTATTCACTTCTTCCGTGGCCTTTGTTTGCTTCTTTCTCAACGTTTCCAGCACTAAAATGCCTTCTCTGTACTCGTTGTCTGCATCTGTAATGTCCTTCTTCATTTTGGCAAACTTGGTGATTTGTTTATTTTGATCCAGAGGAGTCAAATAAGCGTTTCCTGCTGCTCTGGTGCGCATTTGCGATATCAGTCCTGCCATTCCCTTTTTGTTGTGTTGATCTGCATTATTGTAAGATGCGATGGACGCACCGTCAATGTCTCGGCTACCGTAATCTCCAGACAACCTTGAAGGGTTGGGTGAGTCCATTGAATTTCTGCTGGGCACATAAAACTCGTTACCCTCCATGTGTTGTTGTTGTTGCTGTTGCTGTTGCTGTTGCTGTTGCTGTTGCTGCTGTTGTTGTTGCTGTTGCTGAGCTAGTTGTTGTTGCTGTTGCTGTTGTTGCTGCTGCTGCAGTTGTTGCTGCCATGTATGTTGCGCACTCTTCAAATCGTCGCATTTATGCGTATAAGTTCTCTGAAGCTATATTTGGTCCCAACATGATTAAATTCCCATGGAACGTAGTTCTGAATTCAGGTACCAGTACCTTGACAATATCCCGATTACGAAACACAGTATAATTGTTGTTGGCATCGTATAATTTGGCCTTGTACGTTTTCCGGTTTTGCTCTTCAATTTCCTAACCATCAAGACATGCCAAGAATGAGACAGAGCAACAGGAACATGCTGTGCGTCACATACCTTTTGCTTAATTAAAACATCAATTTCAAGCTTGATGGTGTCTTTGAATCGTTGTCGACTTTCAATGATATCGTTGATTGAACCTTCGTACAACTTTACTGCATTTTGAAACGTTAGCTGGGACTCATGATGTAGTGAAGGTCGAATGCCATCATTGGAGGAAGCCAGTCTCTTGACTTTGTACAGTGAATTCAAGTAACTTTCCTCTGCAACGAGACTATGAAAAACTGGTGTTAATGCAAACAAGACGTCTACTAGTTGAATGGCACCATTACCGAGCTTTTAACATTTGGATGATATAATCTAAATCACTGATGCTGTATTTGAACGTTGTGTTGACAAAATCAAAGTGCTTCTCTATCGACAAGAGCTATAAAGGTTTTGCATGTTTAACTACTATTCCAGAGGACGGAGAAGCGTGTTCAGTTAAAAGTTACCACGTCGTCTGTTGGAGGAGCTAATTGGGATATGCTACGACCCCTCCCTCGGGTCATATACGAAGAGGTCATGGCTCCTTTGAAATAAAATGAAAAAGAAGAAGAAAGGCAATAAAAAAAAAAGACAAACTTGTTAAACCTTAAAAGGCACTCCTACAGCACTGTCCTCATGATAATGGAGTTTAGCCACATCCATTGCACTTTCCTGTCATAAATATTTGTCTCCTTATACTGTTCAGACTGCCGCTTTTGACATGGTTGTGAATGGAGCGTACATACCACCATGCTTTTCTTGTGAATGAGATAACTTGGATATTCACTGACATTATACTAATCGATAGGGTCCTTAATGTAATTTAATATGGATCTGTTTGATTTGGCCATCCGAATGCCCCGCTTAAATTTCATCAGCCCTTTTTTACCACCTATTTGCACGTTTCACGTTGTACAAGTAGAGTGAATACTCTTGGATACATGGTCAACTTGCCTTTTGGCATGAGCATAGTGTGTATAAGAAAGAACGAAAGCCATAGTTCTGTTGGTTGACTGGCAAAAGATGGCATTTATGCAAGCCTTTTTCGTTTGCCTATCGCAACTTTGTTAATAAAAATAGAATGAATTTGGTTATATATATATCCACATCAAAGAATTAAAAGAAAATGACCTCAAGTGTAACATTTGAGTGTTTCTATCGGCTATATTTAGGTCAACTCTTGTTTGATATATCAATAGATTTTTATCAAAACAAAAGCCATGGATGTGTTGCATTTGAAAAGGAGTTTGAACCTCAAAAGTGATATTCAGGTACCAAAAGCCATTTAAAAGTTAGTGCTTGATGAGCACTTTTTGAAATAGATGAACAATCTATTTCTGGTAGCAGTTTGTATCTTGGATTTACTAGCTCTGTATTCGATTTCACTATATACAAAAATCTGCCTATCCTCTTCTCTGCCGACTAAAATAGAGTAGTTGCAATTGACAACTCGCTAAATCAGATACACATTCACAATGCGAAATGTACATCGTTATATAAAATAGGTTGCCGGTTGGCTGCCCTTGATATTTTACAGACAGGAATCCTACTGGATCTCTTTGTTTATTGCTTTGAGTAAGCCTCACACTGCAAGCATCACATGTTGCATCTCTGTGATTAGACTTCTCGAAAATGCACTTGGATGAAATAAGCCCATTTTATACAAGGGACACCAAGAAGATCAAAACAGCTAAAACGTAACTGCTGTCATCTGGTAATTACGTCCGATGGCGTTACTCGTATGAATGCTATTCTTGGAGCTACAATTGACTTGCTGTCTATGGTTCAGCAATGTTTAATGACGGAAGCAATTCCAAATTCAATAAAAAGCTTTCACATAACACCAAAGGCCTTTGAATAGGGACAAGCCTTCATCAAGTGCTCGAATCTACAGCTAGAAAGCAATTCGCCTGTGATCCTTTGTAAAAACTAAATGTAGCAATGCGATACGCTCCTTTCCTTTCCTTCTTTACATTATTTGCAGTAATTTGATTTGCCATGGGATTTCAACTTTGACTGCTCCATATATACGGTCTTGTGTATAATTGAAATGTATAAGACTTAAAAGGCATATTTAATGTGTCTCTACCAAAGCTAACAAGCTACAATAGCGACCATATCAAACACTCTATTCATAAGGAGGTTAAATAACAGAATAACAGCTTCTACAGGGAGATACGTTCCTGTTTGGTGCCCACAAGGAAGGCTGAATCAGAATGAATTACCTTCGAAAGTTAAAGAATTAATTACTTGGATACCTCTCGACTTCCAATGTAACGAACAAGATGGAGATATTATCTATGGTAGCACCATGCAAACGCATTATAAAACGTATCCACCCAAAAAAAAACGCTACATACACATTGCCAACTTTATAGAGGAGCTGCACCACATGCATCAGTCTCGAGTATTCAATGGTACTCTGTTCTCGGCGATTGTCAAGTTTCTGAACTTGGTCTAGTTGATTTTGGATATAGCCATTCTGCTAAAGAGTACACAATGCTAATCAACCATAGCGCCATCATGGACATTGAAATAGCACTGTATTTTCACACCATCATATCCAGTATAATAACAGTACTTGAAGACGAAAATCTGTTTGGCAATTACAAGGTGTCTATGGCTATCGTCACGAGTAATCTCCTCTGTCAATGGCTGTATACAATACAACCTACCTACAGCAATTTTAATTGGCATCACTAACTGATGCCAATTAGCACACTAGACCTACACCAAACATATAAAAACAAATATCATACTAGCAAAAGATTACATACAGCATCACCATGCTTCTAGGTATAAGCCCTTTCAGCGTATACAATATCAGCAAGTACTCAACAAAAAGCTCCTTTGTGAAGATAGAGCATGTTGCAGGCCTGGAAATAGAAGTCTACATCAATCATGGTTCATCCTACGAAAAGATGCCTTATAAAAAGGATGCCAAATGATCGTGATACATGGATCATCAAGTTATCCGAACCTCAAGCAGAAAATGTAACTCAACATGGAATAATCAAGTCAATCTTCTTACGCCTCAAGGGAAAAGCAGCAAAGACATTAAGTGATTCGAACAGAAGAGTATGCTATTTCATAGGTAAAGCTTTTGGAGGACTATTATTGCATACCAACTTACATTTGAGAAAATCCAATAGATATTATTGAAGCAGCCATTTCAGACGAACACTTCTTATATCAGCACGCAAGAGAAACTCTAGTCGAAAATGTATCATTAACAGCGGTTCTGATCAACAGTTCTCACTCAAACAAAAGATATCTATAACGCGAGCAGCTTTCCAATCGTTATCCATATCAAGCTATACTGCTTTTGATCTGCTATCAACTTGGAAATAAGGTTAGGCCCAGAAGGATCTTACACAGGTGCGTTCTACACAGATGAATACGAGCGATTCATAACGAGTATCCCCGAGCGATTGGCCGTAAGGCGAATTCCAGAGCCATAACAACAATGCTCCTGCCAATGGGTGCGTATTTAAATGGCTTGAAAAATCAAGTTGCGCCAATTTCATCTTTTTTTTTAATTTCTTGCCATCATGGATAATAAACGTGAGTTTCTACAAGCCAATGCAAATGCTATGTTTAACGCGTCATTCATACCATCTAGTCAGTGCAGAATCGCTTGAAGACGTGTTTGCTCGTCTAAGAAGCGCTGAAAAGCAGGTATGGATCTATCCTCGTTTGCACCAGCTGCCAAGCAAAACCCTTACACTAACGCTTATTAGATTCCGTCTGTAGTGGAAGATACTGTCGAGGACATCAAGCACGAATTAGAACACATGTTTCTCACACCTCAACAGAGCTTTCCATCCTCTTGGTTGAGCAAATGTCAAGAGTAAGCATCAGAACATGGCACAATGAAAATAGTGTGATAACCTTGCGTTTTGCAGACACTGGGAAGAGACGCCCAACTATGCTGAAAATGCTTACTCGCAACTGTCCAAGCCGAGAACAAACATCCAAGTAGCACGCAAAGGATTTGATGGCGACATTATTGGTTTCAAAGAAGTGATCATGGATGATCCCAATCTCGCATCTAACAACTCAACCAGCTTTTCCAGAGCTTTTGGATCTACCAAGGACTTTGTGCGTGGATCAGCTTCACAGTTTCCTTTTGCGCCTGGAGGATTGGACACTGAAGTGATTGTGAATCACGACAATGTGGACGAGAACAATGTCGATTTGGATGTGGACATTGACTTTTTCAACTTTGACGACAAGGACTCCAAAGTGATTGCACCTGGATTGGACAGAGGACTCGCCTTTGGAGATGAGATAGACAGCGAGACACCAGGCACAGCTAGCAAGAATGCAGTGTTCAACATGGAAGACATGATGGCGCCCGTGGATGATGCATTCGACTTTTTGAACGTCAAAGGAGCACCTGTGAACGTTGTGGCAGAGAACGTGGTTGTAGATGACAGCCATACTGAAGAAGTAGATGCATTACTACCCACCACATTGCCGCCCCAGAAGGACCTGGCACCCAAAAAGTTGACAACCACTACCAATGAAGCGCTTAAACGTCGTGAATGGGCGCACGAGATTAATGTCAATGAGCCGTTTGATAACTTTTACGACTTGGTGCCTGAGATGGCAATGCAATTTCCCTTTGAATTGGACATCTTTCAAAAGCAGGCCGTATATCATCTGGAGATTGGAGACTCAGTATTCATTGCAGCACACACATCAGCTGGTAAAACTGTGGTAGCCGACTATGCCATTGCCCTTGCTACCAAGCACATGACCAAAGCCATCTACACGTCGCCTATCAAGGCACTGAGTAACCAAAAGTTCCGTGATTTCAAGCACACGTTTGGCGAGGATGTCGGCATCTTGACGGGTGATGTGCAGATTCGACCTGAAGCCAGCTGTCTGGTCATGACCACTGAGATTCTGCGCAGTATGCTTTACAGAGGTGCAGATCTTATCCGTGATGTTGAGTTTGTGATTTTTGACGAAGTGCACTATGTCAATGATTTGGAGCGTGGCGTTGTATGGGAGGAAGTCATCATTATGCTGCCTGCGCATGTCAACATCATCCTGTTGTCTGCCACTGTGCCCAACACCAAGGAGTTTGCTGGCTGGGTGGGTCGCACCAAGAAGAAGGACATTTACGTGATTAGCACATTGAAACGACCTGTTCCTTTGGAGCACTATATTTACGCAAACAAGGACATTTACAAGATTGTGGGTGCCAATGAAACCAAGCTCAACACCATTGGATACAACAAGGCCAAGGATGCCTTGATGAAGCGCAAAGAGCAAGTGGACAAGGCAAATGGCGTATCGACCAACGCGCGTGGAGGTCGTGGCGGTGGTGGAGGCCGTGGTGGCGGATCTAGAACCATGACCCGGAGCTATCAATCAGGCATGCAAACAGTAGGTTTCAGTAGTGTGGATACATGTCAAGCATACTCACCACCCAGAAATAGGATCGCAACTTGTTTGTCCACTTGATTGGCATGTTAAAGGCCAAGACACTGCTGCCTGTCGTCATCTTTACCTTCTCCAAGAAGCGCTGCGAGGAGTATGCCAGTGGTTTATCCAAGACCGATCTGTGCACCAGTCTCGAAAAGAGCGAAATTCATGTGTTTATTGAACGCAGCTTGGTCAGGCTGAGAGGAACTGACAAGTTTCTGCCTCAAATCTTGAGAATGCGAGATTTACTGAGTCGTGGTATCGCTGTGCACCATGGTGGGTTGCTGCCCATTATCAAGGAAATTGTGGAGATTCTGTTTGCTCGAGGTTTGGTCAAGGTTTTGTTTGCCACAGAGACATTCGCTATGGGCGTCAACATGCCTGCGCGTTGTGTGGTATTCTCAGGTATTCGCAAGCACGATGGCCGTAGTTTCCGTGATTTATTGCCAGGTGAATACACGCAAATGTCGGGCCGTGCTGGTCGTCGTGGCCTCGACAGCACAGGTGTGGTGATTATCGCCACTGGAGGTGATGAGCCACCAGAGATAGCGTGTCTCTCCACCATGTTGCTGGGCAAGCCCACCAAGTTGGAGTCTCAATTCAGGTTGACGTACAATATGATTCTGAATCTACTGCGTGTAGAAGCACTCAAGGTGGAGGAGATGATCAAGCGAAGCTTCTCTGAAAACAGTGCACAGAAGCTGCTCCCCGAGACAAAGCGATTGGTAGATGAAAGCGAGCAGCAGCGCAGCGCACTTCGTCAGCTGGATTGTGCCATTTGCGAGCCTGATTTAGAAAAGTTTTATGATGTCTGTGGCGAAGTCGTGCACTTGAACCGCACCATGATGACTCAATTCATCAGCATGACACCTGCTGGCAACAGAGCCTTGTCCACTGGACGCTTGGTAATTATCAATACAAATGTGTACAGAAACGCACCTGCTATGATCTTGAAGCCATTGCCGGTCAGCACAGCCAACTCGCAGCATCGCTCATTCTACTGTCTCGTGCTCCAGCCCAAGGATTTGGACATTAGCCAGTCGACAAATTTGGACGAAACGACACCTCTGCCCATCACAACCATCTGCACCCCAGAGCATGGCGATGGTAAAACTGACATTGTCACTGTGGGTGCACCTGATATTCTATTTGTCACCCGTTTGTCTATCAAGGCGGATGTGGACGCAATCATGGCTGGTACTGATTCCATGGAGACGATGCGTGTGCGTCAAGAGTTGGAGTCATTTGGACAAGATGCCAAGAAGGGGGGTGTGGTAGAGTTTGATTGGAGCAAGATCAAGGACATGGAGTTCCAGGAGATGCTGCGTTCCAAGATGAGACTGATGAAGCGACTTAGGACCGAATTTCAGTGCACCAAATGCCCTGAACTGGATGAGCACTATGGCCTTATCCATGACCACAAACGACTCTCCAGCCAAATTGATATGCTCAAGATGACCATCTCGGATCAAAATTTGGAGCTGCTTCCTGACTACCACCAGCGTATTGAAGTGCTTCGTCAGTTGAACTACATTGACGATCAAGGCACAGTCCAGCTCAAAGGAAGAGTCGCCTGCGAGATCAACTCTGCGGATGAATTGCTGTTGACTGAACTGGTCCTGGACAATGTGTTTGCTGATTTCGAGCCTGCTGAGGTGGTGGCCATCTTGTCATGCTTTGTATTCCAGGAACGCAATGCCAGTGAACCTCGATTAACACCGAAATTAACCAAGGGCAAAGAAATCGTCTTGACCTATGCTCGAAAAATCGCACAGCTGCAAGTGGATTGTGGCCTTGCCATCTCTGTGGAAGACTATGCCAATAATCTCAAGTTTGGTCTTGTTGAGGTGGTGTATGAATGGGCACGAGGATTAGTAAGTTTACAAGTATGGTATCTACAAGACACTGTAATTCACTCGTTTTTATTTTTGTAGCCCTTCAAGCACATTACGGATCTCACTGATGTTTTGGAAGGATCCATTGTCAGATGCATCAGTAGATTGGACGAAACGTGCCGAGAGGTAATGGGTGCTGCTCGCATGGTAGGAGATACGAGTCTTTACAAAAAGATGGAGCAAGCAGAGCAAGACATTAAGCGCGATATTGTCTTTGCTGCAAGTTTGGTAAGTGTGTTGCGCTGTGTTGATTGCTACCCTATTGACTGACATTTGGTTATACAGTATTTCTAAGGATCATTTCATTCATGATTGCGTTTTAGAAAATAAAATAAAACCGTATTTTGTCTATGCCAACATTTAATCAATAGCACTCTTGGAGCTTGCGAAATTGGTTTAACGTAAAGAGTATGAATAAAAGAGATATATTTCATACCCTTCTCTGTCTTTCTTGACGATGCCTGGTAAGCTGAACAGTCTTTCTGTCGACGCTTCCATGCTGTTTTCGTTGTTCTGCTCTCGAAAAATCCAGCGAAATGCCTTACGATAGGACATAGTTGACTTTCAAGGCAGGCAAATCGTTTTAAAAGAAGATGCCGCATCGAGCAAGGGCGCCATTTTTAGTTCTCTCTCTCTCTCTCTCTCTCTTTGATATCCAAGGCTCCAAGCAATATCAAACTTGTATGGGCAAATATTTGCACAAAGCATGGTGGCTCATCCTGGTGTGAAGGCAGTGACTCTGTGTGGTATTTTGGAAAAGCAGCCTGCTATTGCTACAAGTGACCCCAAAGCCAAACAAGTGTAGTCAACGCCAATCAGAGGCAAGGACATACCCTCTCGCTTGTGCAGCCAAAAAAGCTGATCAGGCTTTCAAAGCTTTGTGTCGATAAACAAGATATATGCACAAAGAAACCAGTTTACGTGCCATAAAGAGGAAATGGAGTACGGCCAGAGACGATGAAAGGCCAGGAATTAGCATGGAATTTCCGGATCAGGATCAACAAGGTCCTGTCCAACAAAAGGGAGAGCTGTGGTACTCTTTGTCGATGACAGAGGCTATGGTACAGGCTCACGCATCAAGGGCTTTGTGAATTATACAGAAAAGTGGAAGCCAAGTATACACACAAGATATGTTACCGCCTTGATTACAAACAAATACAGCACATCTCAACCTGTGCTTACTGTTAAGATAAAACAACGCATCCTGTGCAGATCAAAGACGGAAAACTGAAAACAATCAAGGATACGGGCAACTGTAACAATCCAAGAGGTGTCCATAAGAAATCGCATCAGACCAGAGATGCTATTTCTTCTTTGGCAAATGGCTTGTGGCTCCCTACTTGGTCATTCGATCGCAAAGGCATCAGTCCCGCTTACACTAATGGTACAAAAAAAAATGACGCCGCCAATTACTTGTATGCAAGAAACACGGCATGACTGAAGTTTGGTGAATTCAATACTTGGGATACTTTCCTGATATGCAATGATGTTGGATGATGCTAGCGCTTTATCTTGCTCTTTTCTTCATGATCCTTTATTAGCATGACATGAAGATGTGCACTAAACAAGCTCCGTTCATAGTAGAGTATAAATAAGGCCATTCGATTTAGCCGGAGAAGGGGTCAGTTTATTTTTAACTTTTCTTCCCTTTTTTTTTTTTTTTTTTTTTTTTTTCTCGACTAGAAACATCACATTAGCAATCCACTCTTAGTTCATGTCTGATTTCTTTGGTTCATTCAGAAAGAAGCGAGGAAATGGACAGTCAGGAGCGACATCTCCTCGATCCTCGATCGACAGCTTTTCTCGCAAGAGTCAAGGAGCCACAGATATCAGTGACGAACCTATGCCAAACACTGATGAGCAGATTGACGAGCTGTTTGATCAAATGCTGGTGAGTGCAAGTAGCCTTGCAATAGTGTCAGCAGCTAACAGCTACTTTAGAGTCGCCGAGGACTGGATGACGAGAAAAAAAAGCCTCTCAAATCAACACTCGACTACAAAACCAAATGGGCCATGATTGTTCAGGACAAACGAGCAGAGCAATCAGTGTCAGGCAGACGATTAGCACCTGGCGAACAAGACGAGAATGCACAGCCATTGATCACTGTGCTGTCTGATCTCGCAGGAGAAATGTGGTCTGCCACCAGAGATTCAACAGCACGAGCTGTGGAGCGCCATTCCAATCGACACAGCCATTTAGCACCTGCAGGACGACGAGTATCAGAAGCCATTCAACCATCCACATCCACATCCACATCCACTGGTATCCCTGTAGCTGTGCCATCAACTTCTGTAGCTTACGAGGGAGCTTCAGCAACAGATAGAAATTCACCCGAGTACTATATACGAAAATTCATGGAGGCTGATTTAAGGGCTGTTACGCCAGCCTTGGCTGATAACCTCGCAGTCAGCTTGAGAACTCGGCCCTTGGAGTAGGTGTTTGTCATGTGAATGCAATTGGGGAGCGAAAGAGACTGACTGGTATTGAACACTAGTTGGGTTATTCGATTTACAGATTTAAAGGGGCTCAAGGTGATAGCCAATGGATTATCGTATTTAAACAAGAAGCCAGATTCAGAGAGGTACGGCCTACCGAATTGATTCTGATACCGCATTAAATAAGAGAAACTGTTTATAGAAAAGGACAAGCGTTAGAGCTGGAATATGGGCTCATCAAATGTAGCAAAGTGCTGGTGAATGCAAGAGTAAGTTGAGGGTATCTTGAAGAAGGAGACGAGATGAGCTAATATGCTGTGTAGTGGGGTGCTCGTGAAGCCATTGTCAATCCAGACTACATTCATTCGTTTGTATTCTCCATCATATGTCCACAATGGCAGTCGAGAAAGATCATTTGTGACATTTTGCTGTTTCTATGCCATTGCGATGTGCCTTTGGGCCACACCATTGTCATGCAAGGCTTTGAACTCTTGCGCCAACATAGGAAGGATTTTGGCATATTTGATTCCTGGCTCAAGAACTTTGAACACACACTCGACGGCACCCGTAAAGTGGGTAGATCTAACTCGATGGACGAATTCCACAAGGTGAATGTCTATGTACCTCCGGATAGTCATTTGGTGGAATACTGCATCTCCAATGTCAGCCTGATCAACGCGCTTGCCTATATACCAACTGAAGTGACAGACAGAGTCTACTTGCGAAGTCAGTTCAAATCCTCAGGCCTGGATCGCATTTTCAGCAAGCTGGAGAGATTGGATGATCAGCAGCTGTACGACCAAATGGATAAATACAGGAGGAGAGCAGAGAATGACATGGATGAGGCATTTGGTGATGAAATCTCCATGTACAGCGACATTTCGCAGCCAAATGAGCTGCTCGAGTTGATTTTGGAGAACATTGCTGATGCTCCTAATGCGCTTGACTATTTACTGCAGACATTTCGAAGCATGCTGTTAATCAAGGGAGATGCTGATAAAAAGTGAGTAACTCAGCTCTAATGCCCATGTGTGTATCTGGTAGACTCATTTTAGTGACATGTAGAACACACTATCATCAAGCGATTAGCGAGATTGTAGCCAATATCGTGCTGGATCGCAGAGACAGCGTCAATGCAAACGAGTTAGGATCAGCAGCCTTTGGTATCTCGGTCAACAACATGATTGGTCGTTTCAATGAATTAGATCGCTTGCAAGACTTGGCAAGATCAGCCGAGGAAGATCGTGAACAAGCACTGAGGTTAGCGGCAGAGAACAAAGATTTGAAGGATCAATTGGCCACATTGAGAAGGTCCACCAGCATTGAGCCCAATCAGCGTAATTACAAAATGGAAAATATTGCTTTACGCGCACTACAACAGCAATCCAACAAGACCATTGCCATGTTGCAAGCCAAGTTGGATGAAAAGGCAGACGGTGTGGAAAGTGAAGCAGACAAGGCATTACCCATTGTATCAGCACCCATCGTTGTAGGTGAACAATGGAAATTAGCAGGTAGAAAGCCTGACACAACAGCACCGCTGTATCCTCCGTCTTCACAAGATATATCTTCTCATCAACATATTGGACCTGGTGGATTCGTTATGCCTGGATCAAGATCTCCAACGTCACCCATGCCACTCCACAGTCAAGTTACAACGGACCCCAAGATGCGACCTACTCATTATTTACCTCCTCTCGACAGTGAACATGGCATAATAACAGATGATGGTAAAGTGAAGCACTGGTTTCTTAAAGTAGTCAAACTGACACGTTGATAGTAGCTACTGAATCAAAGATACCTCATGCTGCAGTTACACCCCTTCCAGCGCTTAAATCAGACAGTATACCTCATGGTAAGCTTTCATATAATGCTCTTTTGCCTGTAGTTGACATGCCTTGTAGAATCAGACAATAGCACTCCACCACCTCCGCCCACTTCAGGACCTGCCGTCGGTGGTCCACCTCCTCCACCCCCTCCACCACCACGTAAGTTACTATGACTGAGCGTAGCATGGCATGTACTAAATGATTTCTTGATGAATGTAGCACCTGGTGCCTCTGGTCCACCACCACCACCACCACCACCTCCTCCTCCTCCTCCACGTGAGTTTATTCCAATGAAACGAAAATAATATGCTTATTCTAACGATATCTGATAGCTCCTGGCACATCTGCTCCTCCGCCTCCACCTCCTCCACCTCGTAAGTATAGTTAACGTAATACTTGATATTTCCAGTTTACTGACATGTGGGTTGTTAGCACCTGGCGGCATGGCGCCACCACCACCACCACCTCCTCCTCCAGGACCTCCTGGTGCTCCACCACCACCACCTCCTCCTCCAGGACCTCCTGGTGCTCCACCACCACCCCCTCCTCGTAAGTAGCTATATTTTGTGATGTAATATCTACCACTCACACTATGACACAGCTCCAGGCGGGCCAGGCGGACCACCACCACCACCTCCTCCTCCAGGAGGCAAAGGTCCCAACTTGCCACCTGTTCCCATGGGACCCTTGCGTAAAGAATTGCGCCATTACCCTCAAGTGAAGCTCAAGAATCTCCAATGGCAGAAACTCGACGCTCGCAGTGTGGACAATACCATTTGGAAATTGGAGGATGTGAATGAAAACGAACTGGAAGACGATCTCGACAAACACGGTGTATTTGAAAAGATTGAAACCTTGTTCCCTGCCAAGGTCAATAATTTCTTTGAAAAGAGACTCAAGGCCAAGGTGGATGAAAAGAAGGATGCTGTCAAGTTTTTGAGCAAGGAAAAGACGAGAAATATCAGTAAGTTGCTGTCCTGTAGAAGTAACGTGTGTTGAATGCTCATTGCATGATAGACCTGGCTGTACTTCCCAAAGTCAAGGCGTATCCAAATTTCGCAGAGGTGAGATTGGATATCATGAAGGTCAATGACGAACTCTGTACGGAAACCTTTTTGGGCAATTTGATTGCCTATATGCCCAGCAAAGATGATGATTCAAAGACGATGGAGAAATACCAAAAGGAAACACCTGAGGTCTGTGAAGAAGAGCTGGATATTCCAGAACAGTTCACTATTGAGGTATGTCTGGTCCATGAGAAAAAGTGCTTAGACTAACTCGCTGTGTAGATGTATCGCATGTATCGCTACGAAGCTCGCATTCAATTCATGCTGTTCCGAGTACAATTTTGGGAAAAGTTTGAGCAACTGGAGAAAAACATGACAATAGTACTCCAAGTCTCTGATGCTTTAAAGAACTCCAAGAGTTTGAAGAATTTGCTCTGCGTAAGTTGTTGGATTATACCATGTCATAATGATGTTTCTCACACTTTAAACAGCTTATTTTGGTGCTTGGTAACTTTATGAACGCCTCTAGTTTACAAGGTGGTGCGTTTGGTATGCGTATATCCAGTATCAACAAGGCAAGTATGTGACATGTTTGTACGCAAAATAAATGACTTACACCTGTTACAGCTGGTGGATACCAAAGCATCCAACATTTCTTCTCTGACGCTATTGCATGTGATTACTGGTGTCACACGCCGTCAATTCCCTCAGCTGCTGCAATTCCTGCAAGACCTCAAAGACATTGAACAAGCGTCTCGTATCATGGCCAGTCTTAATGATATGATTCAGCAATATACCGAAATGAGAAAGGGACTCAAGGATCTTGACCTTGAGCTAGGCACCCACTGGCAGCCTGAAGATGTTGAATTAGACGATGAACAAGACCGCTTCCGCACTGTCATGGGCAAATACCAAGAGAAGGCCTCACTCAGATTCCAAGATTTGCAGACATTGTACATCAACATGGATGCCAGCTGGAAGGATGTCATGACATGGTATGGTGAAAATCCAAAGGTGATGCGGCCAGATGACTTTTTCGGTACATTTGCACGCTTTGTGGTGACATGGAAGGTGAGATTTTGTTTATATAGAAAAGTTAGTCGAGGAAACTAATGCAGAGTTATAATAGGACGCAACTGCTGCCGAGGAAAAGATGCAGTTAAAGCAAGAGCGCGATGAAAAGAGAAAGCGAGACGAAGAAGAAAGAAAGGAGCGACTCAGAATCAAAAAGGAAAAGGCGGAAGCAGCGCTCAAAGAAAAACGAGGATCTGTTCAAGGCATCAGTACCGATTCAGATGGCAAGGGAGAGAGTGATCGTTGCATGATGGACAACTTGTTGGACAAGCTGAGAACTGGTGAAGTGGAAGTGCGTACATCAAGACGTCGTAGTAGAAAGCAAAAGCAGCGAGCGGATCAAGATGACATGGTCACGGATGATTTATCTGCTGCTGCTCTTCTCAAGAGCTTAGAAGCAGAAGACTAATATATTTGTATCTTGTATCTAATAAAGCCGTGTCATTGTATTTATATACACTCGAAATGGTTCCTGAATCTCTACAGCTATGCGCACCATCTTTTTGGTAGCTGGAGTGGGGGCATATACAGTGTACATTGACGTGTCCAAAGCAGAGTCGCTCATTGGCTTATATATTGAATATAAATGCTACTTTCGCGTGAGGATTTTACTGTTCTTTGCTTTTCAATTCTCTCTTTTTTTTTTTTTTTTTTTTTTGAAATGGTCTCCTTCAAGTACAACTTACCTTGCATTCTAGCAGCTGTATCACTCGTTAAGGCAGCTTCGGCTGTGAAAGGTGTTGCCCCTGAAAGTAAGTTGTGTGGCCAAATGACAATGCCGAGTGCTTATCTAAAAATGCCTAGAATTCGATTTATACCAACCCTCCCAGGATGGCACTTGGACCTGCTTGGACGGCTCCAAGGTGATTCCACATGCAGCTATCAATGACGACTACTGCGACTGTGCTGATGGCTCAGATGAACCAGGTAAATGACCTATAGGCATTGCATGTACACAATGCTCACATAGTTCCAGGCACTTCTGCTTGTCCCAATTCTCTTTTCTATTGCGCCAATGAGGGACACATCCCCGCTTATATCAAGTCTTACGCTGTCAATGATGGTGTTTGTGATGAAGCTTGTTGCGACGGATCGGACGAGAATGGAGACCTGATTTCATGTCCCAATAGATGCAAACAAGTTGGAGAGATTTTTAGAAAAGAACAATCTAGCTTGAAGAAATCAACAGAAGCAGGATTGAACGCAAAGAGACAGCTCATTGAAGACGCACAAAAGCAAGTTGCTCAATGGGAAGAGGATCAGACCAAACTGGAAGACGAAATCATTCTCAAAAAGTCTAATTTGCTTCGCCTTCAACGCGAATTGCAGGATTTAGAATCTCGCACAGCTGGATCTACATCCAACAAGAGCAATAACAAGGTCCAATGCAAATCAAGCTCACTGGAGGTTGCCACTTTAAAGCACGATATTGTCATTTTGAAAAAGGAGCTCAATGTGCTCAAGAGCATTCTGGGTGACATGAAGCGAGACCACAATCACAATTTCCACGACATGGCTGTCAAGAGTGCTATTTCAGGCTATGATGAATTTGTCACTCGTTTTGCATCGATTGAAGCCACCATTGATGATAATTTGGAGAATATCAATGCCCATGATGATGAGGTGGAAGACGTTGATGTCCATGATGATGATGATGACAACGACGACGATGAGGCAGAGGCAGCATCCGTTGAAGAGAAATCGCCTCAAATCGAAGGTATTACATATTGATAACAAGATTGTGTAGTCCCCCCCCCCTCTCATACTCTCTTTTAGGTAAGCATTCAGTTGTTGATATGGTTCTTGAAAAGTTGGATTCCATCTTGCCATCTGCTTTGAAAACCGGTTTACTGGACAAACTACAGCCCAAAAAAGTAGTGCGAAATGTCAGTGACGATACTGCGAGCAATGATGAAGCAGGTGTGCTAGAGTCTATCTGATCAGGAACTTGTCGTAGAGTTTGATTAACCAAATTTCTTGCTTGTTTATGTAGCTTTGGAAAACACCCGCAAACTTGTGCGTGAAGCGGAGGAAGAAGTCCATACTCTAGAAATTGATTTGGAAAAGGTCAAGAAGGATTTGTCTACTGATTACGGTGTGGATAGAGAATGGTTGAAGCTCAAGGATGTCTGTATTGAAAAGGATGAGGGAGAGTATGTATAGGCCTGTAGTGTTTTGTGGCCAGTTAATTCACTCTCTTGCTATAGATATACCTATTCGCTCTGTTTCCTTGGCGATGCTTATCAAAAGAGCAACAAGGACAGTACGCGTACACATTTGGGGTAGGTGGAATAGAAACAAGGGTAGTGGATGGGTCAAACTCAATTGTCTGCTCTAGCAAATTTGCAAAGTTCGATGGTGGTGATGATTTATACAAGGTGCACATTCACAATCAGGGTACTCGCTGCTGGAATGGTCCTGAAAGAAGTGTCAAGGCTACCATTGAGTGTGGTTTGAACAATGAAATTTTGGATGTGTCTGAGCCAGAGAAATGTGAATACCACTTCCGTATGCTATCACCTGTTGTCTGCAGATCAGTCGCTGATGCCGAGAAAAAAGAGACAATTCTCGGGCACAGCAACAACAAAAAGCCTGTTCACGAGGAGCTTTAGATAGCTTGAATTTTTAATAAAACTACAATGTATTTTATACAAATGGCTTTGTATTATTGACTGGATAGAAGCTTAGAATAGAGCATATGGCATGCTTTGAATAAGATGGCAAGCATCTACGCAGCATCTACTGCTGATTAATTTACTTGATGTACCTGGATGTCACTGATGCTGTTTGTAGAACACTAGATGGACCTGTCAAAAAAGACTGCGGCCAATGTGGTAACTAAGATAATGCATCGTGTCATTGTTTCTCAATTATAATATAGTCATTGTTTATGACATGCAAATTATTTCATTGGGTTTTAGTTGCGCTATCGAGATTGCACTAGTAAAAGGGACATTACAGTTTTTACACTTCAAATTCAGACGATGTTAGTTTCTTTCTGGACGAATCAAAATTAATTTTTGGACAGTATGTTTATCCTTTTTAGACAAAGAGGATTCTTGACAAAGACAGACAACGCGTTCGCACTGATAGCCAAAGATCTCCAGTGCACTGAAGGTGTTGGTAAGATACTGAATAATCTTGGTATAGGAAGCCGCCGAACATCAAAGGCATGGTGAAGCTCGTGTTCTCCTTCATACTGATTCAAGATGTGTTCTAGACATTTGTACACCTTTTCGGGGGCAGAGGATAGAGTAATCAGGGCCACCCTTTGATCAATGAGAGCTCTTATTGACTCACATTCTTGGTCTACACGGTTTTTTATAGCATCTTCTAAGAAGCCTGAGGGTATAGTCAAATCGTTTGGCCATATTGGATCTCCTTGGCACACGTATTGGTAGGAATAATCTTTGGCAATCTTTTTCACAGTGTTAGGATCCATTTGCTATATGTCATATATATATATATATATATGTGAGTTATATATTTTAGAAGGAGTGCTTTATATTTTTGCTTTACCTTGAAAATATTTTGCAGCTGGTAATATAGATATTTCAGAAGATGCGCCTCAAAATTCTCTACTATATTGTTCTGGTAGCCAGTAGCTATCTCAGTGCACACTTCGGCTATACATTAGGAGGCTCCTCCTTCAATCTTTTTTTCATAAACAATAGTCCTATGAGTAGAGCTAAATCTATTCCAGACTACTAGTATATCTGATGGTATGTTTGTGCTGCTTGTAACTCTTTTTGCATTCACCATTTTGACAGACGGAATACCAAAATTGTTGAGTAAAGATACAGTGAGGGATATCATTGTTTTGCTGTTGTTGGGAGCGAAGTGTAATATAATAGTTTACAAAGAGCTTGGCACGGAATACTATCTCCCGTATATCTCTGCTAACAGAAATGATTGCTGGCTTCAGGCGGTTTATATATTGTTGATGGACACAGTTGTCGAGAGGCAGCTTTCTGGTGAAAGCTTGATATCCCTGGCCAAGATTTTCTTTGAGTGTGGCTTGCTTGGAGGCGATATGAGCTTCACATTTTGGTGATCTTGCTGATTTATGGCCAGTCTTGTGACACTTCTTGCATATATCTTGGCTGCCTTCATTGCTGGAAGAAGCTCTAAGCTTCTTTGCATGTCTTTTGTCGGCTTTCACACTGTCACTCTGTTTGCGTTTTATGCTGAACGTCCCAACTTTGATATAGTAACATCAGAAACAGACAGGCTATAGTACTCTTTCAAAACATGTATACTTACCATCATCGGCATTGATTTGTTTATAAAATTTGCATTTGAAATAAAATCGGGCGTAATAAGCACGGTTTTCCTTTTTGGGATTTAGATTGTATTTAGTTTTTAGAATCGCTAGTGTTCGGATGCAGCTTGAATGGCCGATGAAAAAGAAACATATAGATCTAATCAGAATTTGCTGCGGAAATCAGTTTGACAGATAGAGCCATTGAATGCAGACAGTAGCTTGGTAGACAATAGGCATATATTATAAGCCGGGATCATGGCATCAATGTTTATTAATGAGACTGTTTTCAAGTGTACATGTGGGGCGGAGAGAAACAGTTTTTTATTTGTCCAGATACTACGATCATTATCATCATCCATTGTAGCACAAATGGGGTGTGTGCGTGATTCAAATGCTTTGGAGAATATATAAAGCGATGCTTTATTTCTCCTCCTCTTTTTCTTTCAACATCATCTTATAATACACACACACACACTCTCTCTCTCAGAAATGACCCGAACTGAATTAAACTTGGCTTTGCTCATGAACGACACTCCTATGCCAGAGGTCAAAAAACATGTAGGCGATTACTTGCAACAATTCGATACCGTCTTTAAAAAGGCAGCCGATAACGAGCATTTGGTGCTTCATTGGGAGGCATTTGACGTTGTCAACAAGCAGGAATACCCATCTATGGATGATATTGACAGTGGCAAATACGACGCTATTCTGCTGACCGGCTCCAAACACAATGCGCATGACAACGAACCTTGGATCCTCAAATTGGTGGATTTCATCAAGCAGGTGCAAACCAACCATGTCGACAAGACCAAGATTGTAGGCATCTGCTTTGGCCATCAAATCATCCTGCGTGCTGCAGGTGGTGTCACTGGTAAGAACGAGGCAGGTTGGGAATTGGGCTGGACACAGCTCAAGCTGACAGAGGAAGGCAAAAAGTACCTCAAAACAGAGAAAGACCTGGTTCGCATCAACCAATTTCACCAAGACCATGTCTCTGTGCTACCCAACGGCTACAGATCACTCGCTTACACTGAAGGCAGCACGCCCAATCACATCACTGTATCCAACAACCAGCAATGCTTCACTATCCAGGGCCATCCCGAGTTCAGCAGAGATACCATGCGCACCATGCTGACCGTGAGAAGAGACACTGGTGTACTCGACAAGGACGCGGCAAACAGAGCACTCGATATCCTAGCCAATGCTCCACCAGAGATGGAAGATGTGTGGTTTGCAGAGAGAGCTTTAGATTTTATTTGCGAAAGATTGCATGATTAGATTACATTTTTCAATAAAGGTAGATTATTGAATAGAACAGATTCTAGTTTTTTGCTGGTTGTTTTGATGGTGGGCACGAGCAAGAGAACCGAGTAGAGGGGGACGCTGTCCAGTGAGCCCAAGTCTAATACTTGGACTGCATTGTTGTTGTATGTGTTGGTGCTGGCTGATATGAGTACACTTGTCAGTTGTTTAAAGACAATGTCTGTTTCTAATACTTGCTAGTTAGTAACAGAGTATCATTCTAGTAGAGACTACCTACTCAAATCCTTGTAGCGCAATTTTCTATCACTATCAATGTCACACAATTTATCTAATGTGTCCACAATTTCTGCATAGATGGTCACCTGATCCTGCTTTTTATAGGCTGCCAGTTGCGTCAAAAAGTGGACAAGTGTTTGAAGCGCCCCTATACACACATGATTTAATACACTGACTGAGTGAGCGCAGCATCCACTTACAAGCACTATCAGGCTCAATGTCAAGTAGTTCCCTCACTGTCTCTATTTCGGCTTTAAACAAATTGAGCTTATCCAGCGTGAACCAAGATGTCTGATCATCCAGCGTGGGATCTGTGTACATTTGAGTTGCTGGCGGCTTCCATTCATCTGATAATCTTGATTCCAAAGAGCCTATAAAACAACAAGAAGGCTTTTAATGCAAAATTCCCTAATGCTGCATCTCTCTATTTACCCATATTGCAATCCAGCTTCTCCAACCCTAAATTCCACACCGTGTCATGCGGTATTGATTTTGCACTAGTGCTAGGCAAGATGACATTGGCATCAATCACCACTCGCTTTGCAGTGCTTGTTGTCTGCTGCTGTAATATCCAAATCGACGCTGCACTCTGGTTGTTTGAATCAAAGGGATACAGCCTGCAGTCTACCGTTTGACCTTGTTCGTTCAATAGTCGAGGCTTTTGCGTAAACTTGATTTTATCATTGAATCCAAGAATCACAATTGACGGATCACTTTCTATCTGATACGCTCCAAACAATGTGACATGGTCAGGGGCTCTGCCTAATAGCCACCAGTAATACAGCCAAGCAGACTGATCCTCGGGATCTGTGTAAATTGCATTTTTGACGAGATCGAGCTCTGCATATACGATATGGTCAATACAAGGAGAATCCCCACCTCAAAAAATAATACACCATCAACTCACCATTCAGGGCCACTTGGTTCTTCTCTTCAGCTGTCATGGAGGCGACAATTTCTGGAAGCAGCTTGGATCGCTGATGCCACGCCGAGTAGTTGCTGAAACTTTGGTTGATCTTTTGTGTGGTAAACTTGTACTCTTGTTGAATAATGTTAGTCAGTGCTTCAGGATCGTTGCTAGCGTTCCTTCGCAAGTGACCCACAACAAACCGTCTGTAGTCCCAACCGTGAACTAAAAGATGGCAGCATGAATATCATCGACATAACCACTATCCTCCGTTGTACCTTACAATTGCGAGCATCCATGGTCAGCATCTTTTCCACCAGACCCAACTCTGCTTGCCAGTCTGGCTTTGGCATGTTTTGCAGACACCAGATGCGATGATTCCACATCCAGTATGATTTGGGGTTCTTTTTGATCAATTGCAAAAAGAGCATCAGTTCCTTGTTGTACACCTTTTGCTGCTCCTCGGCGTCTAATCCTTTCAGTATACACTCTTGCAGTAAAATGCGTCGATAGTTCCAAATGGTGTAATAGTCCAGATTCCATTCCACTAGTTGGCTCGTCAATTTGAAGGTGTCTTGGTTGTATACCTCGTTTTTCATCTAAAGCGCTGTGTGTGTCAGTATGTATATACGCATGATTGACCAAGTATACCTTTTCTCGGCACTCATCCACAAGCTGATTGTACTCTTTGATTTTCACGGCTTCTTTTGCCTTTCGAGCCTTGACAACTTCCTCGGTTGTCTTTTCGCGTTTTCTTCCATGCTGTAAATCAGAGCACTGATGAATGTGGTGCCTATATAGGATGTCTATGCCATACTTACTACATCACTCATATTAACACATGTATAGATAAAATGAGTAAGAGAAGAACAGTACCTGTTTCCTACTGAATCCCGAAAAAAAAAAGAAATAAAATACACTCCCGCATTTGCCACCCAAGATAGGTATCACACACACACACACAAGAAAATGGTTGATGTGCAAAATGAAGATTATAATTTGTACATTTATGAACAAAATACACATCTGGATATGCACTACTATGCAACATTTCTCTGGATGCGATGCCCAAGTATAGTTAGCAGCATGCTGTTTTGTGCAAATTCGAAGAATCCGTACATCTTTCATATGCTTAATTAGCAGCCAGTCTAATTTACAGGCTCGACAAATAAATCCTCTTGCTAATCTACAATATGTATATATAAGACATGCATGATAACCTAAAATCCTTGTCTAGATGTGTGTATATGCGCTCTTAGGGGGGGTTGCAAGTGGCAGATTTGGCTGTTTGCAATGCAATGTGCCCCCTCTTTTTTTTTTTTCGTACATGTATATAATAGCATGAATACTCTTTGCTGTTTCTTTCTTTTCTCTCTTCTATATCCATCTATAGTCAACCAAAATGCCAGGTATGCGTAATTTAGAATCTCTTGCTTTATATATGAACTAAGCTCACACTCATTGCAGGCGTTATGGATATCAATCACTTGCTATGCCGTCCCATGATCAACAAGTCTGATTGCAATTATCAACACACTCTACTTTCATCCGAAATGCCTTCCCCAACGCACGCTTTTTCTCAACAGCACTACTACGTTTTGCCTCTACCTGCCAATTTTGACAATGTGGAGTTTTGGCAACACAATCGATCCATGAGCACAGCAAGTATTGCCAGTAACACCAGCACCTGTACTACAAACAGCAACTATAGTAGCAGCATGAACTCTTTTATTACAACGGATCAACCTCAGAAATACAGAAGACGTGTTAGTAGCGAGAGCGATACGAAATTCATTGCTTACTCAAATCACCAGCAACAGCGACAAAAGCCTGCTACTACCAAGCGTATAAGAGCGAATTCTGTTTCTTACATTCAAACCAGGACTCCTTGGACGCCAGCAGAAGACGATCTTTTACAAAAGGGGTACCAGCAAGGATTATCATGGGCTATGATATCATGTACTTTCTTGCCACATAGATCGCGTGGGTGTTGTTGGGGCCGATTTAAAACGCTACAAAGCAAAAATGCAATTGAAGTATATCAACAAAGAATTTGTCAACGACCTTGGAAAGCACACTATAAAAAGTAACCAAGTCCTCTACAACAACAGCATCTCATCAGATCAAACCTACTCTCATTTTCTAGTATCTACACACGCTAAACTCTATGTCTATGCACTCAATCCACATCACTATTCCTACACCTTGTATACATCCATGTTGAAAAAAAAAAACTATACCGCCAATATGAATTCATACAACTATTATGCACCTTTGAAGACAACATTACGCCTAACTTATTACTTTTGCATCGCATTCAAAAACACATTGACAAACAATTGTGCAATTGAGCATTGACTATTGAAATTTCGCAATAAATTCTATGCTTATCTATAAAGAACAAAGTATATCCGTTGTTTAATGATACACTATACCAAAATAGCTAATACGAGTTTGGGGAAGTTTTTCTTCCTGGATGATGTGTCTGGCAAGACTACAGTGCTTTAGCTCTCCAAAAATTGGCAATGATCTTGATTAGCCTCACTTCAATATACTACATTGTGCTATTTTCACATGATTCTTGACAAAAGCAGATTGCAATCCTTTTATTTAGATGATTAAAAGAGAAAGAGTGCAATCACAAAGAATCAATCCCATCTAGTAGAGCAGGCCTTATGTTTAAGTGGCTCCTGTTCTGAAGCCCAAGGCTCAACTTAATCATCCATCTTGAAAAGACAGAATGAGTGGAATACATTCCTCAATTCGATTAATATCTAAAATTTACTACAGTACTTTGGTCAATTGGTAAGATTAGCAAAGCTGGCGATCGCCGACTTTTGTACAAGACCTGTACACTGACGCTAGATGTGTTAATACAAAGGGTCATGTGAGATACTCTGGGTTGAGGCAAATGACATAAACAAAAGCGGTAAGGTGGTATAGTTTATTGAATTATCGAAGGAAACATGAGGAATTCCAATGATGGATGTTCAGGAACAATCTCATCAAAAGATAAATGGCTGTTGAGGCCATTCTCTTGCAATTGACTTCCAGTGAGCATGGTCTTTTGGAACAAGACATCCGGCATGTCATTGTCAGCTCCACTAACCGGATGTACTTCAGAGAACAAGGACCGTTGCATAACGATGTTGGCAAGCTTGTGGCTTGGCAAGTACTGCTTGATAGCTGCCTTTAAGACTGGAATGTCAACCTTGTGGCACTATACGGATATTTGTGAATACTTCGAATACATATATCAACCATCGAAAACTCGTGACACTTACAGATTTGATCAATGCCCCAGGAAGGACATCCGGAATGAAGACACAAAACTTACCAACATCGTCCATAATCTCATCCAACCTCCTACAAAGACTCATGAACTCTTGGTCCCTTCGATCTGGTCTGACACCTATAATTTGTCATCATGTGAGTATCTTGTTAAATGTGAACCACGTAAATTTACTAACCTCCTTTTAGGCCAGTCAAAATTTTGGTCGACTCTTCGTCTCGCTTGTCAGCTTTCACAGAGACGAGAGTTTCCCTAACACCACGTCCCACCTTGGAGGCTTCGCATAATAATTGGCTTGGCTGTTCCAAGGTGGGCTTGCGACCATTGACTACGTACTTGACCCTTAAGAAGTTGCGATAAGCCTTGCCGATGTACTCGTCAATACCCCCCGTCCATGATAGGCTCAACGAAAGGAGTACGGCCTTCGAAGGGTATCACCGGGTACACCCCTTCGCAAAGCCTTGCCTGCCTTCTGCTCAGGTCTTTGGCAGTCTCGTCGAGATTATTACTCATGGTAAACAATCCTATCATTATAGCAAAAGGTCAGCATCTAATAGCACAATACCTTTGTGCGTAATCTACTTACTGGTGCGCCCTTTGGCGCTGAGTATCTCTCCGAGGTTGCGAGGCTATCTTTCAGGACGAATATCCTCAGACGAGCTGATAGATGCATCACTACTTACAGTGGCTGGGGACTGTATGGGGACATCATCATTGAGGATGTACAGTATACTGCTTGCGATAACTTTGAACAAACGTGAAAGGTTATTTATTATAATGTTTTGTAACATATAATACGATTGTACCTTCTCTGACCAATAATGAAAAGTTGTATACCATTGTTCTGATAATATCCTTTTCGTTTTGATAGAATGCCCCGAGAGAATCAATCTTGTCTTGTATGCGTTACAGCTAGCCAAAGATGGTGAAGAGATCATTACTGGTGGACGTATTGATAGGTGTTTTATGAGAATGTGAAACTGAAAGCAGAAAGAGATGCTTGTTTGATCGTATTACATCAGGGTATAAATAGATGAAATCAGTGGTATATGACGTTTGTGTCTCGATTCTGTAAATTAAGATGTCAGTTTCAAATGGAGTAATTGTAAAGTTGATTCACAATCAAGATATATATTATATTGTAGGTAGGCTAGAATTTCGAGACGCACCTGCAGTGAAATCAGGTTTGAATAGATTTCACAAAAAAAAATAAAGCAATAGTAAAATACAATAGAAATCAACTGTATTTTATTTGTGTATAAAATGAACTGAAGATCCTGGAATTGAGTAAAAAAAAAGAGGAGTATTTATACATTTGCAACTAGCTTGTAAGATTAGTGATGATAGAGAGCAATAGGTTCTGCTATTGCGATATCTGGCAAATGTTGTTGATGTTTGATTTAAAGTGGTAATCAATGCAAGAGCACTGGCCATAAGGGTCGATTTGAGTAACCTTGATGGGCTTGAGTGAGCTATCGTCATAGCATGATTTAATGTAACCTTGATGGTCTAAAGTGTGATGTTTGTTATTGAAGTATGGAACCTGTGGAATTTGAGGCTTTATAGACTAAAATTCACGGAAAAAAAAGAATAAAAAACAGTAAAGCCAGCTTGATAAAAGTATGTTTTATTATCAAACTGACAGGTGTAAAGTAAACTGAAGTCTTTCTACTGGCCAGGTAGATGATCCTTCTTATATACTATAACAATGGATAAAAGTTCTATTGATTAGATTGACAAATAAGTCAACTCAGATCAACTAATGTCTAATCATGCTAAAAGACAACTCCAGCAAGCTAATCATGATTTAGCTCTGTCTGTATGAATAATTAGACTCTCATCCAAAGTACCCTGATCTATCCTTTCCATAAGGATAATTAATATATATCGATCTAGTAGCATGTATCCGATAGGTACAGTCTTCTTAGTCTATATCAATAGTACACATCTGAGTGTATATCTCTGAGCATACATCTTTAGCATGTATCTGAATATATGGCATATCTATAGCATATCGTATGTATGTCTGTAGCATGTCCCATATATAGTACAAGTCTGTAGTACATAAAGTATCTGTAGCTAGTATCACGGATATAGGCATGTGTCTTATAGCGTGGATCATGAAGTGCACATCTGAAGCAACAAGCTCATATTGCATTAATCTTGGTGCCTATCCAGATATGGTAAACATCCGTAGTCAATGTCGGAATACAAGTATAAGTCTATAGCGCCATCCATGTCCGTGGTGCCATCTATAGCCTATATCATATATAGTATGAATCTTAGAGTACTAGCGTATCTGAAGTCCATATCTTCTTATAGTATAAATCAATATCGTACATCTAATCCAATGTACATACAGTTTACATCTAAATCTGGAAACTGGATAAACTGTCGGAATGCAGATCGCAGTGGATGTATTCCACAGCATGTATTTTACTAACGTTTATTTGTGTTACAGCACACTACAATACTCTTGACATTTACTGCAGCTCAGTATCTGTCATCTCTTGCTTTCAAAGTATTTCACCTTATTATCATCATGCTAATGCTATTATTATGTATGCTTATCTGCTGACGACAGCGTGGTTAGATTGAGATGACATTTATTTTGGATATTTTTATGATGGGAATCTAGTCTTCTAGCTCATACACTCGGAATTTCGAGATATTTCTTCGTTTCGTGATAGCTTTTTTTGTGAATTAATAATCTGAACCAGCAATCTCATTATACTTTCAGAGGTTAAGTTCGTCTATCAGTTATTTACTGCACATACTGTAGGCATAAATAGAAAGAATTATTACACCCAATAGTGGTGCAAACTATATTGACATTCAAAATACGCAAAAGCATCAAGCACTTGAGCAAACAGGCGGGAATAATTGCTTACTTTTGAACGCTTACAAATACCCCAATTCTGCATCTTTTGACTAAGACTTTTTGAATAAAAATACTTTGACGTCTCAAAAGAGATTTCCATGTCAAAAAAACCATGTTTATAAGTATCTCGCGGCACAATACTCCCTCAAAGACAATGACTCTACTAAGCTGATTTAATCGGGGTTCAAAATTAAACTGACTTTAAAACTATTGATGTAAAAATGGCATCGCAAGAGTGCTGTTTTGATTCCATAAGAATATATTATACAAATAAAAATACTGTTGTAAGTAGACAGTGTGATAGCACGCAACGAGATGAATCGATTTATGATAAAAATATGCAATAATCTGGTCTTTTCCAGTACGAATAGATCAAAAAGAAGAATTTTCAGATGCTCCGAATACAGGCAAAATGTGGAATTCCGGGATATTTTACTTTCCACTGGCTCTGGTGATTTATCAGAAATAAATTATTTATAAAAAAAGAGTATGAAATTAATCAGGCAAAGAATATCGTTTATTACATTGAAAATAAGAGGGTTTATATACTATTCGAATTGAGGGATTTGATGTGAAGATAAGGTATTAGATGGGTTGGTTTGGGTGATAGGATAATAGATCCAATCTATTATCCTGAACATGCCATGATATGGATCGTAACTGAATCCTGTTTCATGTCAAAGTTTATGATCTGATGTGATCGGTGCTTGAACTGCTTGTTTCTATGCATTTGGAGATCCGGTTTAGAAATGATACATCATCTGGGAAGAAAATCATACTGTACAATGCCGGCAGTGTTCAATTTGTATCCACCCAGCAAGTAGAGTTTATTGAGCTGGATACCTCAAGTGTGGTCAATATATACCTTATTTACTAGATGGTCTTTTTCTCACTTAATAACATTTCTAATAACATTTATCAAACACCGAATACATCTGTGTTTGATTTATAAGGGAGAGGCAGCCTGAGGTAGCCAAGTTAGCATGAGCGAAACTTTTCAGAATGCTGCCCAATTTATTACCTAATAACATTTCTCAAACACCGAGTACCTCGTTGTTTGAAATATAGGGGGGGGGAGGTAACCCCAGGTATCCTCAGGTAGCCTGAGATATCCATTACGAACGTCTCACACTAAAAGCTCGCATGTGCGAAATATATATATCTTAGAATAAGATAGGAAACAGGGATAGCGTAAAAATAAAAAAAAGGGAGAAAATAGGGTCAGGGTAATACCCCGTCTAGGGTTAGGGGCGACAAAAAAAAGTCAGAAATTTTGGAAACAAATTACACCGATAAAAAGCTGGCGCAATTTAAGGACAGAATAGTATTTGAAACTTAGCAGTTGGCCTATTGGATGACGAGATATAGGAGTTTAAAATCCGGGGTGATGGGAACGTCTCACATTAAAATTCGTTAAAAACAAGGCCAATTGTGCTGAAACTAACCAGATAAGCACCTAAAGCTTGTATAATTGTATTAAAAATTTCAAAAAAAAGCAGTTTAGTCTTATTCCTGAGAGTTAATATGAAATTTGTATCGATGCATTTTTTCGCCCTTGTCAAAACCAAAAACCCGTTTAATGTGGCCGTATAAAGCTTGAACTAGTAGCTGAGGCTTCCAAGTAGCTATGCATGCTTTGAAACAAAAGAATTTAATTAGTAGATGCTGAGATATAAGCCTTCAAAGCATGGTGCTTTAGGCTCTAGAAATTGGAGCTTACAAGTCTACGTATTTTGCTTTCACTGCTTTTAAATTTAGTCAGTTGGTAGCTCAAAACTAGCAGACTATACCAGCGTTTTAAAATTTCAAAACGCATTACTAGAGCGGGAGATATCGGCATTTAAGTGTTTTCAAAATGGCCTAATAACATTTCTGGGCGACTCACGCCATGAGTCGTCGAGAAATGGTACCTTAGGTACCATGGGTACCATGGGCATCATGCTAAAAGCCAATCAGAACAAAGGGCAAGTGATACATAAGAATAGGATATCCTATTATTACAGGTATCATTTGAATGGCCAATCAGAAGCAAGACTCACGGTGCTTGGGTACCTTGATACATGAGGTATCATTCCTAATAACATTTTTCAAACACCGAGTACCTCGGTGTTTAAAAAATAGGAAAAAGTAGACTAAGATAGCCGAAGATAGCCTAGTTCGCGTATGCGAACTTATAGAAAATGTTATCCAGTTATTATCTCACCAGAGATTGCTTCACTGAGCGGTCTCATATATATCACTACATAGAGCGTACTCTGGAATAATTAGTAAAACAAATAGTTTGAAATCATTATATCATTAAACTGTTATAATCAATTTCAGTTTTACTATTAAAAAAATATAGAAAGCTCTTAACAGTAACGAGAGAGCACCAGCCAACTTATAAATATGCTATCAAGCGTCAATGGTTAATTAGCATTTCACTTTCTTGATATGTTATCATAAATCTCAAATAAGTCATCAATATCACTCATCAATAACGAAAAATAACGATGGAGGAATATGATAAACAAGATACAACTTATCATCGGCTTTCAATATGATACCCGACAAAACAACCGTTGATATAATAGGACAAAAAAATAAACAAAGGGAAAAAAAGGAGGGATTAGACAAAATATAAGAATACCACAAGAAGAGATTGGGATATTAAACAAAGAATATATAAAAGAGGGAATGTGATAAAAAAATGAATAGTGACAATTAAAAGAAACAAATCAAAACAGAATAGAGCAAAGCAACAATGAGAAGAAAAAGAAAAGGTTGTGATACTAAGAAAAGAACAAAGAAGGGAAAAGATAAGACTGCGATAATAAGAAAAGAAGCAACAACAAGTATGGGAACGAATACTGGATAAACAAGGACCCGACAAAATAGGAATTAAAATGATTAAAAATAAATACATAGAAAGAGAGAGAAATTGAGCAAAAATAATAAACAAAAAAGAATGCAAAAGAGT